CGTAATGCTTCAAGATTGTTAAAAAAGAAAAAAACTATAAAATAGAACTCTATCAACAAATATTGGACACAAGAAGTAAAATAAATAGATTTAAATTAAGGGTTAATATAGGTTAGTTTTTAAATTAATCAAGTGTTACTCCTATAATTCTCCTAAAAGGAAACGGTTTTTTATAAAAAACTCTCTTAAACCTAAAAAAATTTGAAGTCTGGGTAAACCATAATATTAGATTTATCTAAATTTTAAATAATATTCTTTTACTGCAAAGGGGTGTTAAAAAAAGGATATTTTGTATTTTTAACCTAAATTTCTTTAAATCTATAATCTGAACAATACTAGTTTTCGATTTCCCATAGACAGATAGACTTATCATCATTACCAGAAGCTAATGTATTTCCATTAGGAGAGAAACAGACTGAGTTGACATCATTACTATGACCATCTAATTTGGCTTTTTATTATCCTTTTAACAATTAAAAGGAATTATTTTATAGCAACCTGATTAGTAGTCCAAAAATACAATAATAATTTACATTATAACTATTGCTGACTTCAAATATGTTTATCTTAAAAAAAATAATCTGTTAATTCTGGTTCTTAGAAAAAATTGACTCTTTTCATCATTTGTACATGGATTGCAATGAGCCTCAAGAAGTTCAACAAAACCGGCCTAAATAAGACCAAGGTTTCCAATTTAACAATATATTTGATATAGTGAGCTATATCATTCCTATTATGATGCAAAGAATTCTAATAAATAGAAAGAGAGAGCTTGATTTAGAAATTTCTTCTCATTTTCATTTTTTCTTTTATTTATTTTTGAAGATAATTAATATTTTTTTGTTTTTTTTTAAATTGAAGGAATATTGCTTGTAGGATCTTATGTAGGCATTTTTTGAAAATGAGGAGTTCATATTGTATTGTCAATATCCGCTTTAAGTGGAAAATTAGATTTTTGCGGATTTCTATAAAATGGTATTTTTCTTTATGAATAATTCCCTATAGAAATTTAATATTATAAGCCAAAATAGATAGTCTCAAAATAGAGCAATTTTATCTTATTATAACATATTTTATACTATCTAATTCACTTAGTTAAAATAAATTACTTGCTAGAATTGATTATAAAAATAAATGATTTGTCCCAATTTTTCAAAAACTCAAATATATCTCCAATCTAATGTCTCACCAAAAAGTATTTCAATATTCAATGAAAGAATAAAATTATTCTTTTCTTCTATTTCAAATCAGAATTTTTCGAATATGATTAAGCTTTCTAATTTTCAATCATAATTATCGTAATTACGATTGAAAATTAGTTGAATTTCAAGAGAAACTATAATCTTTTACTAAATTGAGATTGTCATGTTACTCCCTTGTTATTTTATGATATTTTTATTCTCATTTCATTTTTATAATCATACTTTCATTGATGGATTTCTCTTATTAATTTAATTTGAAAATAGTCTCGATTTATTTCAATAAATAAATTGTCTTCTTTCAGATTTTTGTTCAAAAAAGTAAATTGGAATATGCTTAAAAATCCATAAGCAAAATATTTCAAGTACTTAACTTCTAATATAAAAATGAAATGAAAATAAAAGAATCACTCTAAATATTTTAGTCCAACTAGATCATATCATTTAATTTTCATAAGTAAGCTTACAATTCAGTTAAAATTAAACCAAAAGAATAAAAGAAATTACATCTGTTAGTTAATTTATAATTCTAATGAATTTTCTTTATTACGAAAAAAAAATAATTCTTTAGGAGGGTCTCCTTATGCTTAATATTTTGAAAAGTTGTATTTATTTTAGTATTTAAAATTCAGTTGATCACAAATTTTTTTCCAAAACACTCCTATTCTTTAACATAGATTTTAGATTCTTCCCTATTATGCTTTTTTGGACTATCCTGAATAATTAAGCCTTAATACCTAAATAAATTTGTTAAAAGTTGCTTTCATATGCTACTCCAAAACATCTTTATTCATAAATTATAGTAGAATTGTTCAGACTATTCATCAAATTATGAAATATGTTCTAATTGTTAATTATAGTACATTTTTTTCCTATGAATTAAGAGTTACAATAACAGTTGCTAAAGTTTTTTCCTTCTAGAATACTTCACATCAATCCTTTTGGCTTTCCAAGCAATTAATCTATTTCTACCTTTTTTTTCTTCTTTAAATTTAAAAATTTTTGCAATCTCTCTGAATTTTATCATCTTTGAAAGATTTTAATTATCATCAATCACATTCAAAATATCATCATATAAATATAAATTATAATGAATTAAAAGCATTTTAATTTATCCACAATTCAATCAAGAGAAAATATTTTAAAGGAAGAATAGATAAAGCAACATCATCAAAGGAGAACAAAAANTAAATTACTTGCTAGAATTGATTATAAAAATAAATGATTTGTCCCAATTTTTCAAAAACTCAAATATATCTCCAATCTAATGTCTCACCAAAAAGTATTTCAATATTCAATGAAAGAATAAAATTATTCTTTTCTTCTATTTCAAATCAGAATTTTTCGAATATGATTAAGCTTTCTAATTTTCAATCATAATTATCGTAATTACGATTGAAAATTAGTTGAATTTCAAGAGAAACTATAATCTTTTACTAAATTGAGATTGTCATGTTACTCCCTTGTTATTTTATGATATTTTTATTCTCATTTCATTTTTATAATCATACTTTCATTGATGGATTTCTCTTATTAATTTAATTTGAAAATAGTCTCGATTTATTTCAATAAATAAATTGTCTTCTTTCAGATTTTTGTTCAAAAAAGTAAATTGGAATATGCTTAAAAATCCATAAGCAAAATATTTCAAGTACTTAACTTCTAATATAAAAATGAAATGAAAATAAAAGAATCACTCTAAATATTTTAGTCCAACTAGATCATATCATTTAATTTTCATAAGTAAGCTTACAATTCAGTTAAAATTAAACCAAAAGAATAAAAGAAATTACATCTGTTAGTTAATTTATAATTCTAATGAATTTTCTTTATTACGAAAAAAAAATAATTCTTTAGGAGGGTCTCCTTATGCTTAATATTTTGAAAAGTTGTATTTATTTTAGTATTTAAAATTCAGTTGATCACAAATTTTTTTCCAAAACACTCCTATTCTTTAACATAGATTTTAGATTCTTCCCTATTATGCTTTTTTGGACTATCCTGAATAATTAAGCCTTAATACCTAAATAAATTTGTTAAAAGTTGCTTTCATATGCTACTCCAAAACATCTTTATTCATAAATTATAGTAGAATTGTTCAGACTATTCATCAAATTATGAAATATGTTCTAATTGTTAATTATAGTACATTTTTTTCCTATGAATTAAGAGTTACAATAACAGTTGCTAAAGTTTTTTCCTTCTAGAATACTTCACATCAATCCTTTTGGCTTTCCAAGCAATTAATCTATTTCTACCTTTTTTTTCTTCTTTAAATTTAAAAATTTTTGCAATCTCTCTGAATTTTATCATCTTTGAAAGATTTTAATTATCATCAATCACATTCAAAATATCATCATATAAATATAAATTATAATGAATTAAAAGCATTTTAATTTATCCACAATTCAATCAAGAGAAAATATTTTAAAGGAAGAATAGATAAAGCAACATCATCAAAGGAGAACAAAAATTGTTTGTTCTATAAACGAAAAAACGTGCGAAATCGATGTCATTAGAAATATGATAAAAGCGGGTGCTAATGCACTCAGGTTTATTGTTATAAAATTTTATTGATTAGTATTAACACAGCATACACACATAATAGAAAATAATATGAGAAATTAAAAATCATCAGGGATTAATTAGAGTAAGAATTAGATCAGACAATTCCAATTAATATGATGCTTTAAGGTAAGATAACGAGAATAGGCCAATTAAGATAACCCGAAATATATTTGAAAGTATTATTATTCTCAAAGAATAGAAAGGGAATATAATAAGAATAACCTAAGATAATAAAGTGATTGGAGATGAAAATATCATTTGTGTAGATTAAGATGAACTTTTTACACAAGCAAAGGTTGGAGATTAAATATACATTGATTATAGTTAAGTTGTGCTAAAGATCAAAGCATTAGAAACTGATTAAGAGTAAAAATTAGAAGAAATTACATAGGGCTAAATCGATATTAATGGAAAAATATCCAGATTTGTATCCCACAGAAGCGATATTTAGAAACACTATATTTGAGTAAGATAAATCAGAAAAAAGTAAAATGTAGTCTAAAAGTTCTTTATCAAGTGATAATTCAAGAAGCGGTTCATCAACTTAATTGTAATCAAAAAAACAAAAATATATTGATTAAATCATTCAAAATAAAAAGCAAAAACTTGCTACAAAAACTTTAGTAGTTTTCATTTGTCAAATTGAGTAGAATTGTAAAATTATACCTCAATATAAGGCTTAATGAGACCATTTAAACCTTTATTTATAACAAATAAAACAACAGAATAAAAATAGATAGTAAAAGAGTCAAATGACAGTGATGAAGAAATAGAAACATAGATAACCTCTAAAGATATCAATGATTTCACTATTGCCAAAAGATTAGATTTCGATTCAATAACATTGTCAAATGTTAGTAGGCCTGAGGAAGTGCATGAAGTTCTTAAATATCTTTAAAATAGTTAAAACATTTATTAGGCTCCTCAACTAATATTCAAATTTTGGTTAGAATAACAACTTAAGAAGGGATAAATAATTTTGAAAAAATAATGGAAATAGCCGATGGTTGTATAATTGCGAGAGCTTATTTGGCAACTTGGGCATAAATTGAAGACGTTGTATAAATGTAGCATGACATGATATTAAATTGCAGATAACTTGTTAAACCTGTAATATTTTAATTAATTAGGTATTAATTTCAACTTAAATTTTGGAATCTATGCTTACTTAAACAAATCCTACTTTTGCTGAAATGGGAGAGATCGCAGATGTAGTTGAATAACATATTGATGGTATCATGCTATCAGGTGAAACTACTTATGGAAATCACCCAATCAAAGTTGTTTAAGCTTTAGCAAGAATTAGCACAAATATCGAAATGCACACTAGATTGTAATATCAAGGAAATTTTTAAATAAAAATACAAGAGAATCCGATTGCTTCGATTATAGCATAAAATGCAATTTAAAACGCCTACAGGTATTTTTGGATTAAATTAGTCTGCGTGCTAAACTTATATTATTGTTTACCACAGGCGAAACAGCTTTAAGTTTATCAAAACTGCATTCTCCTTGCCCTATAGTTGCAGTTACTGCAAAGAAAACTATTGCTAGAAATCTTAATATTGTGAATGGTGTGATTCCATTTCTTGTTGGTAGTTTAGTTGGAATTGAATAGTAAATCATTGAAAAAATTTAGAATAACTCCAAGAATATTGGAAAATTTTAAGTAAAAAGGATGGATTAAACAAGGAGATTATATAATTAGTATATCTGGCTTGTTTGGAACATAAGAAGGCATAATCAATCAGATGACTATTTTGCTTATTTGAATTAAGTTGTGTTATCTTAAAGAAATGAATTTTATTTTTAGATTATAATTCTTCTTACATTATTTGTTTCAAATCTAGGAGTGTTCTTAATTAATCATCTTTTTGTTATGATTATTATTTTAAGCAATTCAACACAAAAACAATATATCAAACATTTGGAGATATATTCTAAAAAATTAAAATATATTTTTTATTAACAGCTTTATTTGCTAAAGATAGGCAAAAAATTAATGAATTGGGAGCCTTACATTACAAATTTAAGGAAACTCATTTTGATTAAAAAAAGAGAGAAATTTAAAATGTTTTGTAATATTGTTTGCAGATTGCATTTTTTCTTTTTACAGACTCAAACTTGAAAAACATAGCTAAAAATAATTTAATGATACTTTCATTCATTAATAAAATGATATATTTCCATTACATATTTGATAGAAAGTCTTCATATAAGATTGTAAGTTTTAATCTTAACTTTCAAAGAACTGCCAATCTTAAAAAAGAGTAAAAATTATGAATTAAATATGAAAAAATTTTCATGTTATTTAATATCAATCACAAAACAAAACAAAAAAGATTGATAATTCCAATTAATTGATCTGAATCTTAGATCAGCTGCTTTATTTATGTAATTTTATTTCTTTCGTGATTAATTGCATTAATAAAATATAATTTACTTTTCTTTTGTCTTTATTTATTTATAGGTTAGGTTCTAATCTTAATGAAATAATTTATTAAATTTTACTTGTTATACAATCATATATTCTAATGAATAGTTATCACAATTAATCAATTTCATTCCAAATTCTCAAAATTTCAACAAAAAAAAATGTATTCCTTTTATTTATAAAAGATTTTCTTCTTTGAATTATTGTAGATACTCACTGAATTAACACACCAATCTGTAATAACATTTATAAACCACTCATTGATCAGTTCCTAAGAGAAAGTTTAGTATGCCCATAATATAAAACACTAGTTTTTAATTTTTTATTATATAATAAATTATGATAAATGAGTTCATCATGAAAGTTCTAAATAATGAAATAGTTCTTGGAATAAACTAAAAGAAATCATTTATATTAACCAAAAATGATTTTTTCTATCTGCTGTTCTGATTTATATCTTTAAATAAATATTTCATTTTAAGGGGGTGTTCTGGGTTTAAGTAAAAATGCTTTAAATACTTTTTAGATAAAAATTCATTTATTTATCATTTTTTCTCGAAACTTGTTTGTTCTAATTGCGTTTCTATAACTCTGGTAATAGTTATTGTTGTTGAGGATTATTGTTTAATTGTAAAGATTTCATGCTTTATCACTAAAATGATGATTTAGATTCTTTAAATTAATTGCATTTCTATCTAATCGAAACAGGATTCATTTCGGATAGCTATAAAGAATTTTATAATTAGCTCTTAGAAATAACCGGAGTAGTCAGTCAAAAAGGTTGTTTTTAATAACTCTTAGGGGTTGCATTCTGATGGATCTTTTTATTGTATATTACTTAGATATTATTTCTAAAATATATTATATTTATTTAATAAATCTGTCAACAGAGTTGGACATCAAAATTACTAATCTCTCTTTCATTCCTAAAGCTCAGGTTGGTTCCCTCATTTAAGAAATAGTATTAATTTATTCAATTTAATACTTATTATTATAATTATTATGATAGAATAAAGGCTATTATTGAATTTAATCATTAAATATATTGAATGCAAGTATTTCTGATTTTATTAATATTTAAAGCCTGAATTTTATAATGCTTTGCAAATTGGTACTAGAGCTTGATTTTTTTTGAACATTTAAATTCTAATGAAATCTTGAACTATCATCTCAAAGCATTTTTGTATTAATTACTTATTTTCCTTTTTTATTTAAATTAGTCACAAAGATTATTTTCAATGCTCAATATTTCTTTTTTTTTTGTTTATATATTTTTATCCTCGATTACTTTTATTGAATTTTTTCTAATCATTTAATTTTCTTATTTAAAGGTTGATCAAAATATTCAGGTTAAGTGAAAACTTGTGATGGTGATTGATGAACTCTCTTATAAGACTAAGTATGTTATCAGAATCTGAGTAGGTTTAATTTGCTCATTAAAAAATTTAATTTGTTTAATTAAAATATGATATTATCACTCTTGTAAGCGAATATCGTTATGGTGCTTTAAATTTCTTTATATTGAACTAGCTAATCTTTGAAGCTCATCCAAATAACTAATATTAATTAAAATATAGTACTTTCTTGGTAAATTTTAAAGTTCACTTGAAGGAGTTAATTCTAATAAATTTTTTATCTCAACTAATCATTAAATTGGGATGGCATTACTGAGTTATGTGCTTTCTAATTATTAATTTATTGTACCCTCTTTCAGAATAAAATTTATATGTCAATGATGCTGATCTTAATAAAGCATCCTGATTGTATCTGCTCTATGATGAAAGGGATGAATGTTTGGATCCTGCTTAATCATAATAGGTGCTCTTAAAATCTTATGCATCAGTAGAAAGGTGGAACTTGCCTGTTTATTCTTGAGTACCAATCTGTTGCATCATAAAGAATTTAGGATAATGTTACTTTTTCTTCAATCCACTAATTTTGGCAGGTGAAGATTGAGATACTTATTCTTAACTTTAAGGTGGTTTCCCAAATAAAATTTCCAAGGGTTTCAATTTATTTTGGTACTTTCTTGGACTTTCTTTACTTGAATATCCTCCTTTTGAACTTTTAGCTTTTTTTTGGCCTAACTTTTCGAAATGGTTGTTGCTATCTATTATGGAGGTACGAACTTCACTTCTTAATGTTTAATAATTGCTCTAGTTAAGAAATGAAACAAACTTCTTTGTTTGCCGATTGGCTAGTATATGAAGAATGTTTTTCAGATATATCTGTCATATGAAAAATTGACATTAAAATTTATTGATATTATATTATTTTTATTTTAATATATTTTATGAATGTAAACTTACAAGTTGATAAATATAATTTAATTGTTTCTTGTACTTTTTTTATTTAAAATTTACTAGTTGATTAAAGAAATTTGAATTAAAAAAAATTTTTGATGATTATTATTTTGAATAGATTACATTATGTACAAGTTTAAAAACAGAAAAAGATTACTGACAAGAAACTAAAATAAAAAGTGTCTTTTTAAAAGGAATTCTAAAGAATGAATGGAATAGTAAAAAATACCTAAAATTATAATGGTAATATTTATTCTGTAGATTTTAGTAATGGAATCTAAGCAACATAAAAAGTAAATTTATATTTATCGTTATTTAAAAAGGGATCTTTATGTTGGATTGACTATGAAAACTATATTTTAGAGATAATTCATCATACAGTTTGGAAAAGGAATCAGATTAATTAATTGATTTAATTAATTTGAGATGTTTGGAGATCTGGATATACTTATTGTTTGAGTTAAAGGAACTCACGATTAATTAAATCTTCATACTTATTATTAAACATACAATGTGAATTAGTTTTAATTATAAGATAGAAGTTAGTATATTCAATAATTATGAAGTCCTTCAAAATATGAAATCTTGGAGATGGAAATGATTATTTAGGCAATATTTATCATTGAAAATTGTTGAACTAATAATCGTGACAGAATTACTAATACAAAAAAAAATTAATAATGGCAATATATTTTGAAATTTTTGAAAAATAAGATTAAGTTATAATTACTTTAGAATTAATTTTAGGAGGATACTTATAAAAAAAGACCTAAGAATAAAAAGCATCGAAATTATTTCAACTTTTGCTAAGATTTCTTAAATTCTAAAATGTAAATGCTGGACTTAGACTAAATGGTAATATATAATCCTTGCATAATTGCTTAAGTTTGTAAGAGATTATCAATATTAGCAATGATTTTGAATCAAAAGACGACACTCAAAACCATCTAGTTTTGAGATGAGGTTTGGTTGTTCAGAGATATTAAAAATTTAAGAATATAAAATGTTTAGCAATGAAAATATCATAAAAATGCTTGGTGAACTCTAATTAGAAAGTAAGTTCATTTAGAAGTTTTAATTGCAGAAAAAGTATTTAACATCACCAAATTTTTCTTTACTTTTATAAATCAAATAAAGATTAGATTATGAAAATTAAAGTCCAAGATAGACTCAAGTTCCTTTTTATAAGGGTTCACTCTAGAAAAACTCTGCTCATATAGAAAACAATTAAAAAGGCAATTTCGGTCAAAAAAAAATTAATTTAATAATATTAGAACAACATCATAGATTATCTACAAAACAAAATGAAGTCTCATCTTCCTTTTTTAGAATACTCTTTCATTTAAATACCCATTTATGAAAAAAATTCAACAAAAAGTTATTGGCAAAAATTGAACATACTATAAAACATGTTTGTAATTTGAAGCGATTGAAAAACTAGAATCTAATAATTCTATTAAAAACTAATTTTTATGTCTGTATCTTTTATTGTAAACTAATTTTTTCCAGCAAAGTTATAATTTAACCATATATACAATAGAATAACTACTATAATCTATTTTGAACATATTTCTAGCTTAGTATTTCAGAGATTGTTTTATGTAGATACAGTATTAGTGTTAAATATAAAATTATAATATGTAAATTGGTCGAGTGAAACCACAATCTATTCCCAAAGTTGGAGTGAGTTTTCTCAAGTTTTGCATTTCTTTTTCTTAAAATATTCTCTCCAAGACAGATGTTCATATTGATAATAAAATAAGTAGTTTGATTTAATTTTTCAATTAATTCATCCTTAACAATAATGGCTTTATATTTTAATAAGAAAATGATATTTTACTTATAAATTCTATTTATTTTTAGGAAATCTCCCTAAGATTCTTTTTTTAATAAAATTTGTTACTTAATCGCATTTTACAAATTTATTTTAATAAAAATACAATCCTAGTGAATTAAGAGATGAATGAAAATGAAAATATATTTTGGAATAAGAATTTCAACATTAATATATTTTATGCGCGTTGGTATCAGGCTTTAAAATGGATGCAGGAATCATAAATTTTAGGCTGATAGTAGTGGCTTCAAGGAAACGAAATAATAAAGGAAGATTTATTGAGCATCATGAATACCTCAAATCAAGAAAGGAAGAATTGATCTTTAGGAAGATTAATGAGATAGCTAAATAATGATTTACAGAAATGTAAATGGAGGGTTTAAAGTAGCTTTCACAAGAAGAAAATGTAAAAGCGGATAATTCTAATTTGAAAGAATAAATAATGATCAAAAATTTGGCTATTCAAACATTAAGTCACGTGAAGAAAAATCAACTTGGATTAATCGTATATCCATTTATAAATTTAGATTTAATTCCTTTAAATTAAGAAGAGACCTTAAGATATTTTCTCAAAGTAAGAAAAAGGGTTAAAAATGCCAGAATTGTCCTTAAAAGAATTTATGATTTTGCTTATACTTAAAGCTAAGTAATGAGTAGAGCCTTCATAGATAACTTTCTACAAAATAGAAATAATAGATAGAAATTAGTCCTGAACGATTAGCATAAGGATTAAAAGCATGACATTATTGAAATCGAATAATATTTAATTTCATTTAAAGAATGCATCATATTCCTGTTTATAGACCTGTACATTCACTTCCTGATTTTGAAGCCTATAATCCAGAGGAATATACAGATGTAAAGAGGCAATCTGAATAACCTATAAAGAATAAAAGTAATCGAATTCATTTAATGGAAGGTTATAGCATTCCAAATTTTTATCTGGAGCCAGATTAAATTGAGTCTCATCTTAAAAGATAAGTTGGTGGATACATTAAAGGTTAGGGTGGTAGAAAGACAAATGCAAGGAGAATGGCTAAAATTAGTACTTTAAGAAAAAAAGAAAAGTATACCTATTAGGCTAGATATGGTATTCATAAATGAGTTTATATAAATTTAATAATATTAATAAGATTTAAATGGAAATCTGGCCTTTGAGATATTAAAAAGATTAATAAATTAATAAAAGAAACTTAAAAAATGATTAGTTTCTCTTCCCCTATTCTATCTGAATCTTGGAAGAATTCAAATATGCTTCTTCTAAGTTTAATTGCCCCACCAGAAAATTTAAGTCCTGAATATTTTTGTTCCCTTTTAAACCAGTATGAAATTTTATCAATACAAAGGTATGGACCTGTCCATTAGGTGAAAATACTAAACAAATCCTTAATGGACTATAAAGTACTAGTAGAAATGGAAACCCATGAAGCTGCAAAATCAGCAAAGTCCTTTCTTGATTAATTGTCTTCAAACTTTATTAAGTGCTAGTATTATTAGGATGAGAAGCCCCTTTTATCAGGTTCCTATAATAATTGCTCCCTCGATCTTATTAACGATTCTACTTTAAGTACATAAAGATGTCGTCATTCTACATCTCTTAATGACAGTATTAATTAATTAAAATGTGCATAGTTGTATAAGAAGATGATAAGCATCTTTCAAGCATAAGATCTATATTATCTAGTTAGAGAATAATCAATTCTTCTTCCATAATGTAACCAACGATAACATTATGCTTGAATGGAATAAAAGGGAAGAACCTTGATGCTTAGAAACTGTATAATATCTTTAGTAATTTCGGAAACATTGACAAAATTCTACTCATTAAGTATTAACTAGAATAAACTAGGTTAAAAAATTTCGCACTCATCAAATATCTCAAAGAAGAGTATTCAATATTCGTTTTTTAAAACTGTTAAAAACTGTAATTCTTTGATAGCGTTGTTTCTATTTCTTTCGTTGCAGAAGATGCAATTGACTAACTTAAAAGTCTTGATACTCTCTACAATGAGCAAGACTACTATGTTGGTTCTTAAGAAACTGATAGGTAAGAATAGAAATAAAATTTAGATTTAATTCTAACAATAAAATGAATCTTTTGCCACCAAGTTAAGTCTTACACATCTCCAATCTTAAAAAGGTTTCATCGAATGCTGAAACTATGTGGGATGCCTTTTCTGAATTCGGTGTAGTAGAGGTTATTTGTAATGTTAATTTTAGGCAGTTAAAGTCCTTAATACTTAGTTCAAATTTATGTGTTTAGTCAAGATGGAAACTCTTTAATAAGCTTTGGAAGTGATGGCTTAAATGCACAACGAAGAGATAGATAATAGAAATGTATAAATCTCTTTCACAAAAGCCAAAATCTGATTATAATGAGGAAAATAATTTTTATTTTATAATAATTTAATTAAATATCATATCAAATTAATAAATACGGGGGAGTATTTTATATATTATCTTAATAAATATTATAAAGAATAGTTGTTCTTTATAATAATAATTATTTATTTTCTTAATTATTATAATGCAAGATCATTTGTAAGGTGTATGAATAAATAATTGCTGACGCATGATTTTCTAGTACAAATGTGTACAATTCAAATCTTTTTCTTTATATAATTCTTAGTATTTGATTAATAGCATTTCAATGTTCAACAACAATTTCTTTTTATAATAACAGCTACTCCTTCAACAAATGATCATATATAACCAAATGCTCTATCAAAGGTAATTCTTTTTCTTATCCTTCATTATTAGAACAAATTCATTACCAAAACTATAACAAATAATAAAGAAGAATGTAGATGAAAATGATCTCTCATCTCAATAAATCCTTAAATAGGATGAGACAAACCCAGTTAACCAAATATCTAAATAAACCAGAAAATTCTAAAAGACTATGAAAATAAAGGCCCCTCAATGTGTTGAAAAAGTTAGCAAATAAATTAAGGAAACTTCTCAGAAGAAAAAAATATTCTTGTCAATGTTGGATATAAAAGAAGCTTAATATAAAAAGTAATTTAGCTAATTAAATCTATAGATTTAAAATCATAGAGGAAGATAATCAAAAGAAACCAATGGGAGTAGTCCAAGAATAATTATGAATTTACTTTTGAATTATTTGTTTGTTAGAGTCTGCAACATAAATAAGTTTATATATATACTCTTTCCTTATTGATTTATTCCTAAAAGATTTATATATCATCCTATTGCATGATCATTAAGTTGTTTATTTTAAATTTCAGCAAATTCTCTCAAAATAGTTTAAATTTTATAATGATTTATAGAAATTCTTGTTATCTTTAACAATTTGAATATAACTCTGTATAAATTGATAGGAGGAACTTTGAATTTAAGACGAGTGCCAAAACTTATATAATTAAGAGATTATATGAGGAAAATTTATATTTAATTATAAATGTATGAAAAAAATCATTTTATATCATATTAAATAAATATTTTTATAACAAATATTATTATTAATTTCATCATTATAATTAGTGTACTTTTGTAGTGAAATGAAAACTTTAATAGAAAAAATAGATATATGCATTTTAGAAAAGAAGATCTTAAGCTAGACACATCTATTATTATAATATCTATAAATTGAAATCATATGACAATTTTGGAAGTGTAATAAACATATGTTGGAATTGATTTTCGAATTTGCTTATTCTCTAAGTCTTTTTAACTTTTTTATTTTTGGATACTCTTCGAGTACTTTCGTTTCAATTTATCAAAAAATTAAATTTTTCAGAATAAACTGTTAAAATATCTTATCTCTTAAAATTAGATCTTGAAGGAATTCTTCTATATATTGAATTTCTAAAATTACACACTCTAGAATGATTTATTATAATGACGGAATTTCAACCATTATTTTTAATTTATAACTTCCATAAATTTGAGAAAGATTTTGAATTGAATATAAAAACATCCAAAGTCATTATCATTATTGTTATATTTATTAATTTTATTATTTAATATATCCAAATAAAGAAATTTAGCATTATTTTTAAACCTACTTTTCATTTTTAGGAAAATTATGTATTTATAAATTTTAACTAAATTTTCATTCTCGAGTAGTTGATTGAATTAGTCATTTTCTTCTATTTATTTATACCAAATTGAGATATTATTATGATTATACGTCATTCTCTTTCCAAATTTAATATTTATGTATAGTTAACTAAACCTATAATGTCATTCAATTACATCTTAAGAAAAAGTTTTTTGCCATAACAGATTTGATAATATGTTATAAATTTTATAAGGAAAATTACTTTGGAAAGAGAATTTCATTTATAATATTGGTAAAAATATAACACAAAGAAACTTATTAATCTTCAAAACCATTAAAAACTTTGAGATATATTGAATAGGTCAATTAATAAATTATCATACATTAATTCCACTTAATTTAAGTCTTTCTAGAAATCTTTCCACAACTTATTTATCTGTATGAAATTTAGTTTCATTTTGATAACACAATATTTCTATGTCTAAAATTTTGGAACGTATAATGCCATTGGCAATCTAATATAAAGACGTTAAATACAATTAAAAATATGTACACTATCATCAACAAGCAACTAATGCAACCAAATACAACAGTTATCATTTATAAAATATAATCATATAATTAATATGTTTCTATTTAGATTAAATAAAGCAATGCTAAAGCAATTATAACTGTTCCAAAAATATTAACTAATGCTTTCATAATAATTTTATTCATCCTGTATTTTTTAAATGATTGAGCATAAATTGAATTAGTTTCTCTTGCTTAATAAGTAGCTGAACAAGTAAAACATTTAGGACTTCTTTATTTTATTATTTTTCTTTTAATACATTCTCTATGCATAATTAAATTACAAAAGCATGGTTGAATCAAATTACTATCATCAACCTTTTCTTATTACACTAGATACTAAGAATTATTTTCTTAAATATCATCACAAGGATCATCATCTAATTATTATAAAAATGAGACATTTACTTAATATACACTATTCGCACCCTCTTTTAAAACAGATTTATTAATCCTCTTATATCATTTTTTAATAAATATATATATATTTAATATATGAATGACAAATTTCATTAATTTTCTAATCATTTAGGTTATTCTTGCTGATTTCCTTCTAAATTCTATTTCAAATTATTTGAGTCTCAGAAACTTAGAAGTAGCTTTAAATTAAACAACTTTATATTGAAATAATATTATTAGATCTGCATAACTATATATTTTACGTGACTTTATATTTTTCTGTATTTCAGACAACGTGTTCGAGAAATTTCATTTTAGAATTTCAATTAGAATCGTTTTTAGATAGTTAAATTAATTAATGAGAATAACTATCGTATTTCTATACTCTGTCATATTGTCTTTAGCTTAAGAAGACTTTCCAGGAGAATCTTCTCCATTGTAAGTGGAGGTATAAATATTTGGAAATTCTGAACAAACAAAAATAAAAGATGAGGAAGCTGGAATATTTTAATTTGATGATTTTAAAAGAGGAACAGGATCATTGAATTAATTCTTCATTAAAGATTTACTAGAAACTATTTCAGCTGCTTTTGAGAGCATAGCAGATGATAAAGACGATGCTACTTTTTTGTAAGAAGCTTAGAAATTGCCATCTTAATCCGATGGATTAGAACCTATCTAAGTTGAAAGTCCTATTTTTGGATTTTTTAATCCATTCATTTCCATATTTTAACCATCAGAAATCTCAGATTTTGTAGAAATAGAAACAATCTCAATTAATGGATAAAAACAAACAAAAGTCACTAAAACTCAAACTAGAAATGGTATAACAACCACAACAACAGAAATAACAAGGGAAAATACTTAAAATACAAATAGTAATTAACTTTCAGATGAATTTTTATTATAAGAAAATCCAGTAATGGAAGAAGGAGAGAAATTTATAGAATCTGAAGAAGAAATATTAGGAGATAATGTAAATCAAATCAATTTAGGTATGAAATAACATAATTTAGATGAATTGGAATCAATTTAAGATTTTCATTTAGTTTAAGATAATTATGTTAAGAATGAATAAGTCATGAATATTGAAGAAAAATAAGTTTAACAGCTACCTTTAGGATTAACCATATTTGGTGGTTTTATTCTGACTTTATTTATTGGGTATTCGATAAAGAAATTTGTATTTAAAAATAATTAGTGAGTTTTGAAAACATTTATAAATTTAGTTAGTTTTAATAAATTTAGTTTATTCATAATATATATATATATATATAATAAAATGTCAGGAAAAACAAGAGATTATTTTGGAACTTTGAAATCAGTATCAATATATATATTATTAAAGGCTGGAAGAACAGTGTTGAAGGAAGATAGTGCAGGAGCTTGTATACAACCTGTTGAAAATTAAGTAATGATAGTCAGTTATGTAGGTACCTGAAACACCTCCTCATATAAAGAAATATAGAAAATCTTATAAGCATTAATTTGGTTGTTCAATAGTAATAAAGAAGATAAATTTTAGTTACATCCTGGACTAGTTGATGCTCCAAAACCGTAAGGAAATTGGATATATGGAAGAAAGACTGATTTATCAGACAAGGCTGGAGATTTATTTAGACAATAGCCATAAGGAATAAGAGAATTGATCAATGAAATTAATGAATAAAAATATGCATCTCATATCAAGGAGCCTTTAGGTACAATGCCAACTAGAAATTATAATTGGCCTGAAGAAGCTAAGTCAGATGGATTTGCTTTTGGGCAAAAGATTCCTCCATCTGAATATTCTGCTAAAGAAGTTGTATTTCCTCCAGATGCTAAGAGAGATGAGGAAAGAATTAGATTGATGTATTTGAAAAGTCATGGGAATTTCGAAGCAGGGGAATAGAAAAATAGAGAATATAATTGGAAGATCAATCCTAATGATTATAGATTTGGAAAAAAGGAAGATAGAGAATAATAATAAATGAAGAAAATATTACAACATGAACTTACTTAGAATTAATATCCTAAAACTACTATAATCTCAAAGAATTAAGAAGATTGGAAGAATTACAATGAGGATCCTTTGGGAAAACCAAAAAATTAGGCTTAATTAAATCCTAGAATGCCATAAATATTTGGAGAAATGAGAAAAGACGAATAATGGACAGCTGGATAATGCATAAATGGTTAGCCTACTTAAAAAGAAGTCTAACCTGATCTTGATTTAGGCAAAGCAACGAAATTTGGCTTTAGAAATTAACCAAAACCAGGAGATGAAACTAGATCTTTTGGTGTACCTGCAATCAGAAATGATATAAATAAAAAAGGAATGAAATCAGTTGCTGATCCTCAAAATTATGGTGATGAAGTACCTGCTGTAGCACTGTTATTCCCTGAAAAATTCTCACATATGGGATTATCAGAATAAGATTTTTAAAGATTAAGAACAAAAAAAGAGATTAAAGATATATTTGAATCTATTGGAATTAAATATGGTATCGGAAAATTTGAAGGCATATTTAAAAAAGCAAAAGAAATAGTAATGTTATTTTTAATAAATTAAAGCAAAATACATATGATGATAAAGTATCTGTAAAAGCTTTTTAATTAGCAGTATAAGAGATGCATTAAATTGATTGATTTAATTATAAAATAATATTTAAATATCTAAGTTTATTCACAGATTAAAGAGTAGACTCAAAGCAATAATTGGAACATTATGGGGAAATGTTGGTAAAGGATATTCTTTTGATTTATTGGCTGAAAAATACAATTTTGTGATAGATTTAATGGAGGAACAAATACAGGATATATGGTGTGCTTTTAATTTATTGTCATGTGAAATCTAATACTAGACCTGAATGATTGTAATAGAAAATGAAATTGAATTGGACTTGAGAGGTCGAGATTTCTTACGATGTGATACATTTTTATTGAAAAATCATTCAGTAACTACACATTAAGAGATTAAGAGGGAATTTAACAAGATACTCAAAAAGAAATCAATACTCTTAAAGATTACAAAGATTTATTATTAATCGAGAAATATGATTATAGATGCAACGTCATTAATTTCTAACGCCAGAAAGGATGGACGAAGAATTTTAACCAAAGGGGCTAATGCTATTATGTTGAATATTGATTATGTAACATATCCATATGTTACTTAATCCAGTACTAATGTAGATGGAGTTTTTAAAGGATTGAGAATACTGCTATTTAAATTGTTAAAGAAAAGAAGAAAGAACTTTTCTACATAACTTTCAAATGAATCTGGAAAAATGGGTCATGAATTTGACAAATACTGGAAGACCTCCTCTTAGATGCAGTTGGCTCGATATTGCTATTTTAAAATATTCAATCTAAATTAAAAGACATTCATCAATTAATCTTACTAAATTAGATATCTTAGCTTTGGTTAGAAGAAATGAAGAATGGATTGAATTATTGATTTAATGGAAAAGTTTTCGATTATATTTCTGCTTAATTAGAGGATCTAGCATAAATTGAAGTTTGGTATATCATAATGAAAGGATGAAAATAAGAAATCCCTGATTGAAAGATCTCTTCTGATTTACCAATCAAGGTCCAAATCTATATTAAGAAAATTGAAGAACTCTTAGAATACCTGTTTCTTGGATTGGAAATTGACTATAGAGAGAGATGATTATTTTAAAATATTGAGTCTTAAATTATATAATCATTAATTATTTCATTAATACATATTTTTCTTATCATCATGTAATTTATCATTTATTCTAATTATTTTATTATATCATTTGTTATTTTTTGTGGATTGCATTAAAATAAAAAGTGTGTCAAATTTTTATAATAACTATTATTAATTAAGAAAATAAAGTTAGTATATCACTAAATATTAATCTATTTAAATTTAAATAGAACTCTTAGATAATATTCCAAGAAACGTATATTATCAGATAATTTGATTTTCTAATTATCCAATTAATCTAATTTCTAGAAATTTTATACCATTATTAAAATATGTAAATGCAGAAATCTAAAACTAGTTTCAGTAATTTAATTTACATAAGAAAATAGTAATCAATACAAAAAATAGAATGAAATACTTTATTGAGTAAAAATGTATTATTAATTAAAATTTAGGGTTATTCAATAGTTTATTATTGAAAAATAGAGAAAGGATGGAAACAAAATTTTCATCAAAATTTTTTAAGTATTTAATTATATTAATAATAAATTTGATATACAATATGGGAAATTGTAATAACAGCAAAGATGTAAATTTTGATGATGCTTTATGTAATTAATTAATACGATTTCATCAAGTGCCTTGTAAAGCTGATTTTGTTCTGCTTTTTGTCATAGGTAGAGGGGGTTTTGGAAGAGTTTGGAAGGCTGAAAATAAAAAATCAAAATAATAGTTTGCGATTAAAGAGATGAATAAATGCAAGTAAAGAATTAATAATAGAATATTAGGATAATTAATAAGAAAAGTGTTAGTTCAGTTATGAATGAAAGATATTTATTAAGTAATTTAAGACATCCGTAAGATAAATAAACTAAATAGGTTTTTAGTAAATATGCATACTGCTTTTTAAGATAGAGAAAATTTATATTTAGTAATGGATTTAATGTAAGGTGGCGATTTGAGGTATCATCTATGCAAACAAAGAAAGTTTAATGAAAAATAAACAAGTATAGATTAATATAAATTTTAAAAGAATTTTTTATTGCATGCTTATTACTAGCACTAGATTATTTGCATACAAACACAGTACTACATAGAGATATTAAGCCAGAAAACTTAGTGTTTGATAAAAATGGTTTTAAATAATACTAAATTATAATAGGCTATTTAAGATTAACAGATTTAGGTATTGCCAGAATTTGGAAGCCTGATAATGAAAATGATACTAGCGGAACTCCTGGATATATGGCTCCAGAAGTTATGTGTAGATAGGCTCATGGAGTAGCTTCTGATTATTTTGCAGTTGGTGTTATTGCTTATGAATGTATGATGGGAAAAGTATTTAATTCCTTATTATTTAGAGACCTTATGTGGGAAAAACTAGAAGAGAAATTAGAGATTAAATTATGGCTAAATAAGTCTTGATTAAAATGAATTAAGTGCCTGAAGGATGGTCAGAAGAAGCTGCAGATTTTATCAATAGAACTCTATAAAGGAAACCTATGAATAGGTTAGGATTTAATGGGCCTGAAGAAGTATAATCACATCCATGGTTTAAAGATATTGATTGGAATAGTTTTATGAACTAATCAGTCATACCACAGTATTAAATTAATGTAATTGAAAAACTATTTATTTAGATAAATAATGATAATTTTGATGCAAAGTTTGCAAATATGAAAGAAGAGGAAGACCCTGAAATGAATTTATTAAATGGATAATTGTTAAGAAGATAATCAATATAAGATTAATTTAATGGTTATACTTATGACTAAACTATTACCTAATAGCCATTCTAAAATAGTCTGAATTCAAAATAGACTTTACCTCATTTAAATACTTAATAATTGACATCAGCTAAAAGAACTAATATAGAAGAAACTAATCCTCAATTATCTCAAATGTCATCAAAAAAATACAATTTAATTTCTTAAACTCCTAGATTATAAACCAAAAATATGCTAACTAGTTAAAAACCTTAAACAGATCGAAATCATTTTACTAACAAATTTTAATTCAACTGACTATTTTATAATTTGTTTTGTATAATATATATAAATTTTGTAATTGAATAGTATCAATCGCTATCATTTTCATTAGAATAACTATCATCTAATTTTGTTTAAGATCCTCTTTTCCCTTCTCCTAATATTACTTCTTTAAGTACATCATCTAAACCAATTAGACTTTTAGAAAATGAATCATTTTTTCTTTTTCTGCATTTTTGTCTCCTTCTTTTTTTTAACCATAAAAGTATTCCAAGTACAATCAATATAATTAATAAAAATGTACCCGCTGTGATATAAATCCATATGTAGTGTCTCTCTATGGGAAATTCAAATTTAATTGAGATATCTACTGTTTTTTTCTTGAATATATTGGATAGAATTAAATTACCAGTTACAGTTGTTGTTTTTGTGTAATTTGTTTTTATCTAAAATGATATTTTATCTTATTTTAAATAATCTATAAGAAAATATGTATCATTCTCAAAAAGTATATGTATATTATTATCTGGTTCACGTATGTATAATAAAAAATGAAATCTATCTCTTAAAGTAATATCAAAAAAGAATCTATATATCCTAATTGGTGAAGATTCATTGGCATCTTAAATTTTATGAAAAATCTAAACAAAAACTTGTAGATCATCATATAAGTAATCAAATTTGTCTTCAAAAAAGAAATTCTTTTCTACATCTTATTTCACACAAGCAGCCACCAACTGACTGATTTATAAGTTGCTTTTTAATTAAATTTAAGGTTTTTGCTTATTTGTATGAATACATCTAAAATAATTTAAATATATATATTTTTTAACTATTTTTGACATTTCCGTTTCAGAAAGAATTAAGTGAAATTCAAAAAATTTATCTGGTGTTCCCAATAATACTAAACATGTATAATCTTAACAATCTAGTAAATGGATTGTTTCTAAACGGTATTGGTTTATTGAATGAAATAAGTATTGATTCAATTATTAATATGAAAACTTTTCCTCCTTAGTTTTAAATAATTCAAAAGTTGTATTATCTAATCTAAAGAATAAGACTCTAAGTTCATGTATATCTAAAGTCAAAACTAAAATGGTTTCATCATTTAATAATATTGTATCAAAAGATAATTATCCTAAAATATTATAATCAAAAGTAGAAGATTAAATAATTTATTTACTAGTGAATTGACCATTCTCTATTTTACCAGATATTAGCTCATATTAATCTTATGAATTTTCATAGTTATATTTTATGAATTAAAATATTTATCCTTAAAATTTAATTGGATTTATTGCTTCAATTTATAATCTGTTTCCTAATGATATTTTTAATGGCTTAATCTTATAACTGATTTTTGAATTTGCATAATCATATTAAAAATTAATTTAAAAATATTAGACAAGTTTAGAATGATTTTATAAACTACTTGAATAATATTTATAACAATATAATAATACCTAATTAATATCATTAATAGATAATCTACATTATCTAAGATTTTCTAATTGTGAATTCAAATTTGTTAATCTTTCTTTTGTTAAGATTGTTATTCTATTAATATGTTTAGTAGTTTATCGTTATTTTTCATAAATGATAAAATAATATTAACTTACTGTAAATATTAGGTTATTCTCATAAGCAGTAGAATTAATAATACTCAAATATTCAGTTTAATTCATATCTAAAATATCAAAAATTCTTCCAAATTCTAAAGTTTCATAATGGTCACTCAAATATTAATTCAATTATAAAATATCATTTTTCTTTATAATTATATTTTTCTAATCTGATAAATTTTAGATTTCAAAATCTTCTACAGCTCCTTAAACTTCTGAGTTATTCAAATCTAAGTTTACATTTTGAGAATTTACAACTAAATTAATATTATTTGGATTAAAGATTATCTATGTTTCTGAATAATCAAAAAAGATATCAAACTCTTTAAAAATAATAGAATCTTAGTTTTATTAATAGACCATAATCATTTTTTTAGATTCTGTATCATCATTATTCAAAACACTATAATAAACAGGATTTGAATTCAAATAAAATAAAGTTCCTCCATTATTATCAAAGAAGAATGCCATTGAAAATATGTCCCATTCATTTGTGTCAAAATTATTAACAATAACTGGTATAGCACTTATTAGATCTTTTGATACAGGAATATCATGAAGTAGAATATTGGGAGATGGAAAAAAAGGTGAATAAGCTAAATATCCTTTAGCCTCTACTGGAATATAGATAACCTGTGAATCACTAAAAGGTTTTAATAAATTGTTAATTTAATAACTGAATAAAGAGTATCTTCTGATTAAAAAAGGATTATATGGATTCTATAAATCATATTCAAATATTTTTTAGTTTTATGAATCTTGATTACAAATATATACTAAAACTCTTTTATCTTAATGGAATTGAAAAAAGATTTTGGATGAATTTTTCATCATTGGTATACAATCTGGTTCTTTTATTTTATTGATTACTTTGTAATTCAATTTATAATCAGATATTGAGTAATATGTAATAATTTACATAATGCTTCCATCACTTAATAGTAAGAAGGATAATTTATTATCAATGATTTCAAATCGGGCATCTAATATTATAAATTCATCTAATTCTGGAATTGTTTGATAATCAATTTATCCCATTTTTTAAATGTCAATTTATGATACAAAAAAGATTTTACAAGTTAAACTGAACAATATGATTTTCTTACGATTAATAGGTATTGCAAATAAAGTGTCATTTATGCATCTAATTTCATTTAATTAAATATAATCATAGGTATCTTATTCTATTAAGAAATCACTATAAATTATCAAGTAATAAATACCCTGTCAATTAAGTACAAGAAGAAAATTAGTTATTATAACATAGAACATATTTCTTTTAAGCAGAATCTCCAATTATAGCAGTTAAAATGTTAAGACTAAAAAAATCAATGTTAGTAAATTGAAATTACTCTAATTTTATTTATTTTAATTTTCCTTCCTCCACAAATCTAATTTTATCATACTTAAATTATTAATAAGCTAAAATAGTTTCATTTGATTCATCTTTTATTAATCCTACAAGTGAAAAATAAGCATTTATTTCATTATACACAAATAAACCTGAAAATACTTTGATAAATTCAGATTTAAAATGCATAAACTTAATCTCTCTTATATATTCAATTACTGAAGATGCTGTAACTGGATTATCTTCCCATTCAATTTCATGATAATTTAGTAAAGGACCAAGTAGATTAGTATTCAAATTGAAATTGAATTGTTCTGATTTAAATATCAAATCATCTTATACATTTTCTTTTATTAAAAAGAATGAATCATCATTAAATTAAGAAATCACTAAATTAAATATATCAATTGCTGATATAGTAAGATTTGTAATTTATAAAGTAATCTAAAACATTAAATAATTCTTATTTTTTATTTCTTGTTCATATGTAAAAATTAAATGTTTACATTAAAGTTAATGCAAACTAAGATTTTACATTTTATAATTATATTCCAAATAATAACTTCCTGGAAATTCATCAAAATTAACCCTAAAAATTCCATAATTAGTACTTGTATCAATGATGTAATTAGGGACATATTATTAAATATTATATTTCTTTTAAAAAAACAAAATCTTTTAAGGCAAATAATTATCATTATTGGTAATATTATTCTTTTTTGTCATTACAACAATAAGATAATCATAATATATATGAATTTTCTATAAATTAAACCCATCTTATTTTATATAAAAATATCCTTCTATTTTATCTTAATCTGTAAGGTAAGTGAAATAGAAGTTTATTTTATATAGTAAGATTTCTGATGCTACATAAATATATGTGATTTCTTCTAAATATGATGATGAATATAAATTTGTATAAAGTCCTTCTTAAAGCTCTAAAAAATCACATGATATTTTATTTTTGATAAGATTGCCACATTTACAAATTCCATGTCTGTCAACTAACAATAAACTAAGAACCCATTTATTCTATTATTCATATTATGTATATTCAGTTATTCTTGTGATAGAATTAGCAATTAATTATTTGATATAAAAATAATTAACAATTTCTTCACTATTACACTTATTAAAATTATGTGAATCTAGAACATACACTTTAATTAAATAGATATCATCTATTAATTATGTACTTTCTTCAATTAATATGATTTAATCTTGTGGTTAAATTAAATTACCTAATTTAATTATAATATATATATATATACCATATAAACAATAAAAGATTCTACTAATTTATGAAAAATGTACAATATATTTAATATCTTTTTTCTTACAATTATTCCAATATGTCGTTACTTATTCACTTGATCCCAATATATTTTCAAAACTATAAAATTATATAGTAAATTAAACATCTTAAATTTTCATATTTCTATTTAAAATAATTTCAAGAATAACATTTATAAAATTATTTTATTGATCAACACAATCAATATTTACTTTTAAATCATCAAACAATCCATACATAGTTGTACATGATTATAAATCATTAATTGTATTGGTTAAATCATATTCATGATGAGAATATATATCCATTTGATTATTTATATTTTTTGTATATTCTAATATAATAACATCTTTATCGCATAAGAAAATAGTGATAGGGTATTTCTTTAAATTATATTATGAAGTAGTTTGATAAGACTTATTAAATTAAATAGAATTGATAAATTAACTCAATTCTGTTATTGTATAATTAGGTTGAGCTTTTTCTTTGGTAAAATTATTCATAGGTGCAATATTAATAATCTAAAATTCAGGATTCAAATAGTCTGAGTATTTAGTTAATAAATCATAATGATAAGATTCATGCATTGTCTACATAATTAGAGTTGAAGTTTGATTTCTAATTTATGCATACGCAATCTGAATAACTAGTATAATTAATAACATAATTAATTATCTAATATTATTTTATCAAAAACATTATTAATATCAAATATAAAATTTTACAACTATTAATTATGAAGTTTTTACATAATCTAGATTTATTTGGAATTTCTTATGAATAACCTTATTTGCCAAATAAAAAAACATATAAAAGCAGTTTTGGTGGATTTTTTACTATTGCTCTATATTCATTAAGTTTACTATACTTTGTATATAAGCTTCACTCTTGGTTAAGTGGTAATATAAACCCAAAAAGTACACAGATATATCAAGTGTTAAATAATGTTGATTTATAATTAAACTACCCATTGATTTCAATTTCATTTGATTCAATAACTTAGTAGTTAGATCCTCTAAATTCAAATGAAATGATTATTTAAACTTATTTAATTACATAGTAAAATTAAAGTATAAATAGTAATTTATGTTTAAAATATTTTTAGTTGTCAATTTTGAAGCTTAAAATAATAAAAAAATTATATTAGATAATTTCAATTTTTCATTAAGTGATAGTCAAACCTCACTTTACCCTACTTAAACTTTAATTGCACTTCAAATTTGTGATAAGAATTAATCAACTAAATGTGCATCAGATGAAAAAATTAAATAATTCTTAGAGTAATGGATTATTTTCTAAATTTAGACTTTCAGGAATAAGTATGAAAATTGATATGAATTTCCTCTATTTTAATGCTTAAACAAATTAATTTGAAAGAATTACTAGATAATTATCATATGCTATAGAAACTGATGTAACATTATTAAATGTATTTTAACTGTAAATGTAAAAGAATATCATCAATAATGGATTTTTATTTGATAATATGGTTTAAACCTAAGTTGTTAATGATGTTTAAATTATTACTCAATCTGTAAAGTAATAATATTTTTAAAATTATTTTAATGGGTTAATAGCTGTTTTTGAATTTAATTTAAATCAATTGACTTAAATATAATCTATTTAATATACTAAAATATCTGAAATTCTAGCTGATGTTGGTTCTATTATATCATCTTTAATGATTTTAAAAGGTTTAGCAATTGCAATGAATACATATTTATTAGAAGAACTCTTAAATTAATAAATTATTAGTTGTTATTATCCATAATTTAAAGACTTAAATATCAATAGAAATATTTTTGGTTAAATCAAATCTGTACAACACTTTAACAGTTATGTTGATTTAAATGAATTCAATAAATTTTATACTAAAGCAAAATAAATAGCGTTAAAAAAATAAACTATTATCAATTAAATATATGAAATTTCTAGATTATAATTCTTAGTACAATTGTCAATCGATAAAAATAAAATATCATAATCACATAAATTTGGGATTCCTCTAAATTTTGAATTTAACAATCGTTCAAATACTATTGTTCCTTTAGATGATTCAATCTAAGTATCAGACAGAGATAAAGTTCTTTATGGAAATGAAGATTTTAATATTTTAACACTTGAAAACATTTGAGAATTAGAAAACTTGATCAATTTATTAATTCTTATAGCATTATATAATAAAGTATTCATACATTTATTCTCTATTTTCTAAAATATATTTTAATTCTAAGTTATATTTTCACATCATTATATTATAATTAAAAGAATTATAATCATATAAACTTAAATACTTAAATCAATACATTTTATATTCATATTTCACAAAATCAATAAAATATCAGTGATGGATTTTTATAAAAACGATATTATTTTGATTATATATGTAATTTAATTATTTTCGAATCAGTAAAAATTGGTTAATAGCAAGATTTTTTAATAATTTGTTCTTATTAAATTCGTATAATTATAAAATTGGTAGTGGATATATATGATCTCTAATATTCATATTTATAATTAGATCTATAAGGATAAGCATCTCATAATTGGATAATTTGCTGATAAAATAATTGAAAAATAGATGCTAATAATTAGTTAAATATCTTAAGATAAGTTAGACAGAGAAGATTACAGAAAAACTCTTTGTGCAAAAGAAAATTTGAACTTTTTGATGATTATTTTTTAATATTTTACGGATTTATAATGTCATTAAAAAAATGATATATTTATAGATAAGTAAAATATAAAATGGAAAATTGAATAAATTATGGAATGTGATATCTTTAGGAGTCATAAATTAAATTTTATATAGCCTAATAGTCATCTAAAAAATATATCAATAATAGAAAATCAATTTTAAGATACTTCTAATTAAATGTTAAAATATGTATTATTTTTAATTTTTTCATTATTATTTAATTTTTGATTGATTTCTTGATTTAACAGCTTTTTTGACCTAATAAAATATAGCTATAATTTATTATCTATATATTACTTGAATATAAGACAAATTGAATAATTGATAAAAATTAATATATTTATGAATCCAATTTTACTATATTAGAATGTTTTAAATATAGAAATATTGATGAAGTTAATAGATAGATAATTGAATTTTCCAATGCCAATTCTTTAATTTTAGAATAAGAGGTTTTTGTTGAATGATAGTCAGTTAATCCAATAAATAAAACAATTATTGGAATTTAACTCATTAATAAAGTAGATAGAATGAAGGATAAGTTTGTAAATGGAATCTTATCAAAAATAAAAGCTTCTATTAATTTACTAATTGTCAATGCTTATCCTACTTTATCAATCATCATAACAGAATATGGAAATGGTTCATATTTTGCAGCAATACGATCCTGAAATTTAATACTAATAGGATTAGCAAGTATAATTGTTAGACCTATGTATAAACAGGCTTGATATATGTTATCAGAATTAGAAAATAAGTTCTCATCAAAATATATAAGCTGATATTAGTATATATTTTACATTTAATGTGAAAGATTAAGCAAACATTATTACCACAGTTAATAGCAATGATTCAAAAAACTTGAATTAACTATTTGTTTCAAATATCCATTATTAAACACAAAGTAGGGATGCAAAATCATAATATAGGATATAATCTTCAAGATTAAAGAGAAAAGGAATCAGCAAAATTATGGCTGACATTAAATAAAATATCATTGCCATTCTTTATTTATTAATAAAATTAATTATTTATGGGCACTTGTTGTTCATAATAATAAGGAGGAGAGATCTAAAATTTAGAATATAGATAATTTGAACCATTAGTAATGCCAACTTTGGTTCCTCAACAAATCAACTTTGAAGAATATCAAGAAGAAATTGTCAAAATATAATCATCAATGAGAAAGAAAAAAGCAAAAAACGTTGCAGCTTAGATGAAAGAAGAAGCTGAAAAAGAAAAGCCTGGTGATGTTTGGGTTTAAAGTAAAGAGCCTAAGATTATTGAATAAAATGTTCTAACGACTTACACTAAGCTTGGCAAGTTTAAATTCGATAAAAAGCTTCCTTAAGAGTTTAATGAATGCAGATTCTTTACAGCACATGTACATACCTTAAACTATAATTTTAGGAACACAAAAGAAACATAGGCAATATATATGTTGGTTAGTGGCTTTCTAGATTAAGACATGGTAGAGGGAAACAATATTTTGCTGATGGATCAATCTATGAAGGTTATTGGAAATTTGATTAAGCCAATGGAAGAGGAAGGATTATACATTCTAATGGTAATGCATATGAAGGAGACTGGAAAAATAATATGGCAAATGGTTATGGTATTTTTTATGATTTTGATGGATCTAGATATGAAGGTGAATGGTTATAGGATTAAAAAGTAAAATTTAATAATATATTAGCATGGTTAAGGTAAGGAAATCTTAGTTGATGGATAAGAATATGAAGGGACATTCTTTTAAGGAAAGAAATAAGGATAAGGAAGAGCAAAATTTCCTAATGGAGATATATATACTGGATAATTTGAAAATGATTCTATTACAGGTTTTGGAGAGTTAAAGTTTGAAGATGGTAGATACTATAAAGGTTAATTTAAAGATGGTAAAATGCATGGAAAAGGTCATTTTCTTTGGCCTGATGGAAGAGAATATTAAGGATACTATTGTTATGATCTTAAACATGGAGAAGGAGAATTTAGATGGGCTGATGGAACTATGTATAAAGGAGAATTTAGAGATGGAAAATAACATGGGAAGGGTATTCTTATTGATAAAAATGGAGTATAAAATGAAAGTTTTTGGAGTGAAGGAAAAGAAAAAAGAAAAAAGAGTGAAGCATGATTATTAAATTTTTATATCATTATTCTTTTAGGCTGACTCATATAAATTATTATTTAATTAATATATTGAAACTGATTATTTATAATATTGATTATAATCAGTATATTATAATATATCACATCTTTAAGAGATAATAATGATAATATATATTTTTTTTTTGAAAAATTGAATATATATATATATATCTTATGAATAAATGAAAAATTGTATTAATCATTTTTATTTGAATTCTTATTTTTTTATTTTACTTGGACTTTCATAAATTGTTGATTATACTAAAGACTTATTATTAATTGGTGAATATCTTCGAATTGAACTAATAAATAATTTAAATTATCATACTTAAAAGCATTTATTGAATCGATTAATGAATAAGGGTATTTTTATAATACTTTTTCATAATATGGTACATTAGAAGTGTATGTAGAATAATATGGAGAATATGCTAATGCTGAACTTGTTCTTAATTTATCTAATTCTGCTCTTCTTATATCTTCAAGCTATCTCAATCTCTCTAAAGAACTTTATCTTTCCAAATTTTGATATTTAACTTTACTTTCTATTAATTCCCTTTCTAATTCTGCTTATCTTATTCTTTACTCTCTTTCTAATACTATTAATCTATTTTCTCTTTCTATATCTCTTGCCCTACTTTCTGCTTCAATTTACTTTAATCTTGCTTCATTCTCTATTAATCTTATTCTCTCTCTACTTCTTCTTAAATCTTCATCTCTTATTCTATCAAATTCTCTAATTCTATTTTATTCTTCTATTTATTTTTATCTTATTAAACTTTCTTCTTATATCTATCTTAATCTTTCAGCACTTCTTTATCTTTCTGCACTTCTTCTTGTTTCATTTTCCAATTAAATAATTCTATTTTCATTCTCAATCTATTATAATCTTGATCTTCTTAATCTCTCAAGTGAATTTTCTCTTTGTCTAACATTTTCTAATCTCAAAGATGGATAATAATAAGGATAATAATATGGATAATAAGGATAGAAATAATAAGGATAACTAGGTAGAGCTAGTCTTTCTAATGATCTATTATTTTCCACTGCTCTAATATATTCTGTATCTCTAACAACACTTGATCTATATGGCAAAGGCTCCATTAAATGAACTGCTTCTACTAATTCACTATAAGATATTCTTCCATCTTAATCCAAATCAACAGCATCAAAAAATGACTCTACTTCTTCATTTAACAATGGAGCTCCTTATTTTTACATAAATAAAGATAAAGTATCTTTGGTCAGAAAACCTTAATTAAATAAATCAAGAGTTTTGAATGCTTCCAAAGTTGAAAAATCTAAAGAACTAACTAAAGCTTATCTTGCATGACTAATTGTTCTATAATTATTTATTTCTTATGTAAATAGATCAGCTAATGCCAATTCTACTTCACTAGGTAATAACATTCCAGGTTCAATTTAATAAGGAGTTCTTGCTTTTGCTATATCTCTTAAAGTATTATTTCTTTTTGGTAGAATGTATTAAAGAAAACTATCAAAATATATATAAATTAATTACTCTCCCAATTTTATTCTTCCATCTCTATCCCAATCTAATCTCTTAAAAAGATATGCAGCTTCAAATTATGAATGGGATATTTTATTGTCTTATAAAAATTCAATAATATCTGTATGAGCCAATTAATTCACTCTACTTTAATCTAATCTTAAAAATGCTATTTATTTTTGTTAAAATAATTACCAACTTCAACAGTAAACATCTCAAGTTAGGCTAAGATTTATCTTCTTTTTTCACTCAATTATTCGTTTTATGCAATAGCTTAAATTACAGTGGCTAATCTGATTTAAGTAGTTAGAGTCAAATTGGATTAGGAAAGCATAATAATAAATTTTATTTATGAATTATTTTTAATATTAATTTTTATCGTTATATTTTCTTTAAATTATCAATTTAATTTTCAAATTGTTAATAAGAATATGTTAAATGAAAAAATGAAATTATATCATCATCATTATAAATTTACTTTTAGTCTTATCAATACATTTATCTATATAATAATTTTCAATTATTTATTATAATAATATAACATTAAATTATTTGTATTTCATTGTAAAATCAAAATTATATTCTAAATAAACTCCCTATTTTATTATTTTTTTGTTATTGATAATAGAAAAATTATTTAAATATATATTTCTATATATTAATAGTTGTCCAAAATAGATAACATAAAATGAAGTTTGATACTGCACACTTTGAAATCTTCTCTTAACAGACTTAAACAAAAACTAAAGAATTATCCAAAAATAAACAATAAAATATTGGCCATTGGACTGATTAAGAACATAAACTTTATCTGGATTTTCTCTATAATTCTTAAGATTAAGTAGAAACAATACAAAAAAGCAAAGGGTAAAGATTTTTTAAGAAAATGAGTTAAAATATTGTTACACGTAGCCCAAGCTAATGTAGGTATGTTTTTTGAATTAATTTTATCTAGATCACATCATCAAAAGTTCAATCCCTTTGTTGTCTAAGGTAAATTTCATAAGACTACAAAGAAAATAAGACAATCTAACAAGCAATCGTATCTTAATATGAGAAGTAAATAATATATAAGATAATTATTCCAAAAACTTAGAAATACAAGATCTGAATCTATTTCAGAAGAGGAACTTGACTAAAGTATTTAATGAATATGATTAATTTTTTACATTTGATTAACTATCATAAAATAAGAAGTGTAATAAATAATATCTATATAATTATTTGATAAATTTTTATCAAAATTCTTATATTTCATAATGATAGAATAAGAAATTTAATCCTTATTAGAAAATGCTAAATAGAAATATTAATATACCATTCTTATTATATGATTGATTAAAATTAAGACTTTATAAATATTAAGCAAAAAAAAGACCATGTATTAAATTATTTATATGCTAATTTTGAGTATAAAATAAATAATCTATTTTACAATTTATATATTACTTCTTTTTAAATAAATAAATATGAATTCAATTATTAATAGAATTAAATAATCTCTAAATAATATTATTTATTCTCAATTGACTTATATACATATTAAAATCATATTTATTTTAAGTTAAATTAAGAACGTCGAACTGGCCTTAATTTAAACATACCAGGAGTTCTGGGTGTTGAAATAGCAAATTGGGCATTTGGTGAATTAGGAGTTTATGGACTTTCATCCAAGTTATATTTAGTTATACAATAAGGACTAAGGCTTGATATTGAACTTTTTGGACTGAATTAAGTAGAAATAGCTGAAAACTATTTGATTTATAATTCACAATGACCCAATTTTTTCAAAACATAATTTTATTTTCGAATTTTAAATTAACAAGCCTTATTAGAATTTTCTGTTGCAAACCATGGATGATTTAATGCTTCTTCTGCACTAAATCTTTAGATTGGGTTTTTATTCATTAAACCTTTTAAGAAGTTCATACCAACTTCACTTAATTTACATTCTTCAAATTTAACCTTAGCATAGTAATTTCTCATTACAACGTCATCATAGTCTTTACCATCGAATGGTGATTTACCTGCAATTAAAATGTACATAAGTATTCCAACACTATAAATATCAATTTTAAAATCATAGAGTTTATCTTATAATAATTCTGGTGCAACATAACCTGGAGTTCCACATCTAGTGAAAAGATATTATCCACTTGGAGAATAATAATCAGCCAATCCAAAATCTCCAATACATATATTATCAAGATCATCTTTATTTCTTAACATAAGATTCTCTGGCTTAATATCCCGATGTAATATTCCTTTTTAATGTATTGAATAAAGAGCTTTTAGAATACGAAATATTAACTTTGAACATTTTTCTTCTGAAAATGGAGGGGATTTCTTCATATATTAATGAAGTTCACCTCCTCTTAAATATTCCAATACCAAATATAAACAATCATCACCTTCATATACTTCATATAATTTAATGACTGAATCATGTTATATTTTTTTCATGATTGATATTTCTTTTATCATAGATAATCTATCTACATTCTCCTTTAATTTATTCTTCCTAAAACATTTGATAGCATATTCAGCCCCATCAAATTTATTAGTTGCCTTATATACCTATAAATAAGAAAATTAAATACATCTGCAAAATTCCCTTATCCTATTTTCTTTACTAAAGTGTAACTTTACGAAAAATTTCTTTATACACAATATTATCTCATATAATTATACCATGGTTCTACATCTCCAAAGAACTCAAAAATTTATTTATGTTTTGAAATTCTAATACCCAGACCTGCAGTTTAATGTTTAACATATTCAATTGTAGCATTGTCCAAATTAACCCATTTTTAGATTGTCTATTGGTTATTGTTTAAAATATACTTATTGTTTAAAGTAAAGCAAGTAATGATTCTAAATGCCTAGAGTACGTTTGCAGAACTCCTTATCCTTTTAGATGTACATTGAATCTTGCATTTATAATATTTAGTCTTAACTGGGTAGACCATTGTTAACCCAGAAGGTTGTGGTTTCAGGATCATCAAAAAAAGAATCCTTTATTTTCACATCCATTTTATGTATAATATTTAAATAAGTGAATCAAAATAATTACTGAGTATATGAAACCTTACAATATTATATAAATATATTATACAATATTTATAAAACTTGATCATTAAAAGAACTCTTATTATATTTTTTAAATGTTAACTAAGATATACTCAATTTTAATTAATATAATAGAATAATTGTTATTCCCTAAGAAATTCCATTATTATTGAACAGTATTATTAACTTCATTATTACTAGACATTAAATTATTTAATTTATTTTTTATTTATCAAAAATTATTTTAAGATAAGGAGATCATTCATAAGTTTTTAGGATAAAATAGATTTCAATCTAATATTATCTTAAATCTAACCTTATTTTTAATATATTTTTAATATATTTTTCTTTTTTTATTTAGATTAATTTAATAAATTTCCAGAAACATCTTTATAAAGTGGATGCTATTATAATTATGTAAATCTTTTGTGATTTTAAAATAATTGTGAAATATAATCATATATTATCATCATTTTTTTACTCCTCTTACATCTGCTTAAGTTCTATCACATATAGTATTCAAACCCCCATGATTCTTATCTATTGTTGATGGTCCACCATTTGCATGAACTCCTGTATATAAGTTTTTATCATCATGGAATTTAACAGCATCAGCTTTTGTTCCATTAAAATGAGGTCCACCAGCGTTGAGAATTTAATTGTGAACATCTTGAATCCCTACTCCCTTCTTTTCAGCCATCATTTATAAACCTTTTTCAAATTAAGCATATGTTATTGATCTAGCAGCTGGAGTAGGTTTGACTTTTGCAAAAATTAAATCAACATCTGTAGATGTCAATTTCTTATCTAAGAGATGACAATCTTTGGAAACTTTAGCAAAGGTTTTTCCATCCATCTCTGGTTTATTTGCAGTAAATTGCAAGAATACTTATTAAACATTGCCCTACATATTTTAATTATTATCTATTTTTGATAATTTTTTAGTGCTTTTATAATATAAAATATTAATTCCAGTGAAATATAATATTAATAATAATAAAAATAAATACATTCAATTTGATGCCATTTTCATTAATTTTAATTACATTTAATTCCAGTTCCCAATTGGAATTTCTAAAATTTAAGATAGCTCTGTTTAATGTCCTTTTAATAAGAAATATTTTAAAAGAGGATCATTTTATTTTTATCTTGTGAGTAATCTTGAACTATTAGATTCACGAATAAACATTAAATCTAGAAGTATACTTCGAATTTAATCAATATACTTCAAATCTTTACTTTATTAAGCTGCTTATTCTAATTTTTTGAGATTAGTCCAAAAATGATAAAAAGATGGGATTGGATAGAGCTTCTTAGTATAAGTAGGTGTATAAATATGTTTATTACAAACAAATGTTTTAGTCATATCGATTAGTATCTATTATTAGATTGGACTTATATATTAAATAGAATGCAATAAATCTTAATCCAATCGTTCTATACTTAAAGTAAATAATAAAAATACTCCTTCCCCATCTTCATTTTTACAAAGTTCTAAACAAACCTCATAGAAATAATCTATAGCCTTTTTTCTATCCTTCTTTCTTAAAATAGTTGCTTAAATGTATAATGAAAAAGAGTTGATTCTATCAAAATATTCTGATAAGAATTAACTTTACTTTCCATTGTTTAAATTAGTAAGTAAATTATTGAATTATAATTATGAATAAAATTCTTCATTAATTTCAGTAATTGCATTACTTAAAACTACAGGATCTATTTAAAATAAATCCATTTCTTCATAACCTATTAAAGGTTTTGGAATGATCTCATAAGGTTTGACTTATCTTAATTGAATACGATTATCAAATAAGAAGTGGATGAAATGTTCCATTAAATAATCTATATTTAGGCAAATATACCTAATTTTAATTATCCAATCTAAAATCTTTTCTATAAGTATTAATTCCTCATTATTTCTAAGTAGTTTCCAATATAAAAACAATAAAAAGGTTTAAATATTCATGTAATAATCAAGAGTTAAAATTAATGTTTTCATCTAATAATTTTCATTTTATTTCTTAAATATTTATTCGACTAATTATATAAATAGTGAATTAACGTGAATGTTAAAAAAATCATTACAATTTTCTAGATTTTTTAAATTGGTATTCAATTACATCCAATTTTTTACAGGGGCACTCAAAAGAGCCCTGACTTGACTACTCAAGATTTTATTATTTACACTTTAAAATAAATTTCATGTTTACTTTTCAATTATGAATTTCGCATTTTCTAAACTTAAGTGAAAAGGAAATTTTGTTGATTCCCTTTAAGGTGTAATGACTTTTTTAACAGTCTCCTATTATTATTTCTAATAAACAACAGTGGATTATTATGAATCTCCAGCAGATGGTCTAAGCCAGAATATTTTCATAAAAAAAATTATAAAAATCTCAAAATGATTGAAAGATTATTTGATGATACAAGTTATAAAAGAAATTTATAAATAATAATATCTAATATATACTTAGAAACCTAAGTAGACATCATATAAAGGTTGATTTCATAACGTAATATAATTATATAATATTTATTAAATAGTGAAATCCTTCAATAATAAACTCTATATTATGTTTGATTTAGTTTTAGTTTGAGTTTAAGTCTTAATGACTTAAAGAATTGAAATTAAATTTAAATGTAAACCAAAATATTTTGCTAAATTTATTAATATAGAATATAATAGTATACTATAAAAATTATTATTTCTCCTATCTTTTCTTTTCAGAGTTCTTATTCATTTATATTATTTAGAAATAATACCTATTTTATAATAAGTACTTTAATTTAAAATTTATGACATTTTGCTTCAAAGTGTTGGTCTTTATTATTTAATTTATATTTTACTTAAACAATCATATTTTATTATTGTACAGTATATATAGTTTAAATCAAAGTTAGATTAAAAGGATTAGGGATGTAAAAACGATTGAAAAAATATTAATCTACTATCTCTATATTTAATATATAAGGTAATACTTCTTATGAAGAACATTATAATTGAGAGTATGTAATGCAATAGGGTATGAATTAAATTTATTAACAGATGAGTAAAAATTATATTAATTTTTTCAATAAAAATGAGTTAAGAGCGTTTAGAATAAAGACCAGAGACATCGAAATGTTCTCGATTAGAAAAAAGAAGAATAATAAATTAGAATTCATAGAGAAATCGTACAGCTATTCAAAGCAGAACAGCTTAGAATTTTAATCAAAATAGTTACAATGGAATGACATTAGAAGAATATTTCAGAAAAAAAGGATAAGACAATAATAATACATAAGTGGAGAAAAAAAAAAAAGTACAACCCTTTTGTGATTTAGTTTTTGGTAACAAGTAATGAGTTCTTCATGGAATTCTAAAATTAAGATGTAATGAGAAGAACATATATGGGAGATAGTAAATACATGAATATGAAATAAGATTTGAAAAAGAAAATATAAGATTACGATAAGGATTTATTTTAGAAGTATGCTATTAAATTTGATTTGGGAAATGGTTTGGGAAAGTGAATTAATTTATATATATATATATATTTACACGATTTTTAATAAAATAAATACAAGATAGATATCTGTAACTTTAAGTAAGCTAAATTAAAGAAGATCATTTAATAGAAAATAATAATAAAGTACTTAATATGTTATAGTAAGTAAATTAAATATTTGATAGATTAATAATTCCTAAAATGAGACAAAATTTACATGAAATCTCTAAATGTGACATTAACATTATTAATTGAATAATTGTGTTTAGAATCTTATCAAGAGATCTTCAAAATGGATTGATTATAATAATTATCATCAATGAAGTTAAAATCAAGATACAAGTTTAAGTTTAAAACTTTAAAATTTTCATAAAATGAGCAATCATTTTTGATTAAATATTTTAATTTTAAGAATTGTAATAATATTATCTTAAGCTGGATAGCTTGTAATCTTTCTGCTATTAATTTTAAGTATTAATGATTGATAAATATTATGAAATAAAACATATTTATAAAATCTAATTAATTGATCAAAATATGATATTAGGACTACTATTGCAAATAATTTAAATAAATGGATTTTCTGTTACAAAAATATATAGAACCCAAGGTCTTTAATATATTGATTTGGATATGGATTAATTTAGTCAAGCAGTGTCAGGATAAACAACTTTAAACATAATATTAGAAAACACTATGAAAGTCTCATATCCCTTTTTGGCTTATTGCTTTAATAATGACGAATAGGTTGTAAAATCCATTCTATCATCCTTAAATTCAATTTAATATCATATAGAATCAAACAAGTAAAGATTAATATTTAATTAGAAAATAATGTGTGTTTGATAATAATGCTTTATTGTATTATTAAAAGATTTAACAACTGGTCTTTACAAATAATATTGATGATAAAAATGAATGGGCTTATAATTAATACAGTATATATTAATTGAACCAACGTAAAATGAGATTATATGTATATTCAACATATGAAACAACATACAGATTAACAATCATTTAATCAGAAAAAGGAGAATGTTATAAGTTTAATTATATAATAAAATAGTTCATGTAATAACCAAGGATATTGCAATGAGAATACAGTAAAGTTATGCCAATGCTAATCAGGATTATTAGATAGTACATGTTAGATAACAAGTAGTGTAATCAATTTTAAGAGTAAATCTTAAGTAAGTATAAATTTATTATTTAGTTTGAAATGGAAAAGCAAACATAAAACCTTGTTATAATTCCTATTATTGATTTCTCTGCAAATCTTTTAATTACTATTGATTCATAATTAGAGATCAAACTTTATTTTGGTTGTTCATACTAAAAATAATATATTCCATTTTATTAGAGCAACTAATATAATCAAAAGAATATACTAAATGGAAGTTTAATATTTAGTGTATAAGAATTATAGGATTGTTTTGAAAATGTTAATAAAATGGAGGAATCTCTATAAACATAATTATCAAAACATTTAGTAATTTTATTTGTTAATGAAAATATTATGAATACATAAATAACATTAAGATTGACTTCAGTGGATTCAGAAGAAAGTCAAAGCAATTTAGAGATGATTTATATTATTTCTTGTGTCTTGGGATGCTTAATGATATTAATTCTATTGATTGTCTTTATTATTTATCAATAAAGAAAAGTGAAAAAGATATTTATTTTATAACCTAATAGTGAGAGAGTAAATAAACTAAAAGTGAAAAAATTTAGACATTCCCTAAAAGAAGATTATATTGCAACTGAAATTTATGATTAAATAATCTAAGAATTTCCAGGACTTTTGGAGTCTTCAGAATGTTAAATATGTTTATTGTAATTCAAAAAACAAGATTTAGTTAAATTGACATATTGTTTACATTTATTTCATTAATATTGTCTAGATGAATGGAGAAAAAGAACTTAAGTACTTAATATTAATAAAAATAATAGACTTGTCCATTTTGTAGAAGTAATTTAACATAAGAAAAATATATATAAAAGATATAAGAAGAATAGATTATAAGATTAGGTGTAATTGTAGATGATGCAATATAAATTGATCCTTAAAAATTATAAGAGTTTTAACTAAGAGAATAAAGAATGCGATAATTACAATGTAAAGATAATAAAATTATATTAGAAACTTAATCTCCTGGGTCTGCTAATATTATATAAATTAACACTCCAGGTCTTTGTTAGTTTAGCGAAAGCTGACGAATTATGATTTTATTATATGTTTCTAATTTTTTTATTGACACTAGTTATTGCTGATTCAATTTTTAGCAAAGGATATAAATAAATGAATGGGTAGATTAACATTGAAACAGATATCTTTGACAGAATTAATTTGACAGTAGATCAGAGATTGATTATTACACTTAACAATTATTATTCACATAAGTTGCCTTTATTTTTGATTTGTAGAAGATCACCTTAATTTCCAAAAATTCCAGATTATTTTGCAATTTAAAAGTAAGTGAACAATTCTATTGAAATTAGTAATCAATGTGTTTCAGATCTAAATTCTTATGATTTTGGAAAACCTTCATAAAAAATAGTAATTGAGTTTAATGAAAGAGATAATAGTTTTATGAATATAATGTAATTGAAAAAAAATGCAAGAGCCAATATAATTGTTGTATTAGAATAAAGAAGCGATTTTGTTATTAATTTTGACATTTAAGACAAAAATGTTTGCTATGTGTAATTTATAAAATAAGAATTGTAGAGTATGCCAAAATCAAGGAATGTGTAAGTAAGGATAATGTGAATGTCCAACTGGATTTATTGGAAATGATTGTAGTATAGAAATTTTAGATTTATCTAAATAAGATGAGTTGGATCCTGTCTCAATTTATTATTTAAACATCACAGAATAAAATGTATTAATATTTTTTATATTATTAGTCATTCAGATTTGACTTTAATGAAAGATGTGGTTTTTTATTTCATTGTATTGGGAATAATCCATTTTATTCAAGAGGAGAGTTGTTATATCAATCTTTTATTGAAATCTCGAAGGAAGACAGTTAAAAATGTATTGAACAAATAAATTCATTAAATGAATAGTTTTCTTTACATTTATAACCATTTTATATCTTTGCTTCTAATAATTAAGTAGAAATTTTATTGGAATCTTCAGAGAATTCAAATAGAAATACTATTATTTACATTGTAACTTCAATTGGATTATCATTACTTTTGATAGTTATTTTTGCTTGTTTTAAATGTAAAAAAAGAGCTTAAGTTAATAATCTATTTGCAAATTCATCTTCAATGTCTCAAAAAATAGCTCTTATTAGATAAATGAATAAATTTATGCCAATTTAAACATTCGAAGAATTGATTAGAAAATTTCCTGGTTTAAGTGATGATTAATGTTGTCCAATATGTTTAGAAAACTATTAATAAGATCATAAAATTCGTGTCTCATATTGTACACATTTTTTTCATTCAGACTGTTTAGATCTTTGGATTGAAAAGAATGAAGTATTTTATATTCAATAATTTAATAGAATTGTCCGACTTGTAGATCTTCCTTAAATTATGAAACCCTTAACAAATTAACTAACACTGAAAATAATGATGAAGGACTATATTAAAATGCATCTTCAACTAAACAGATTAGCAATTATTCTTCATAAAAAAAAATAAGATTATATGGAGATAACAAATCAGCCAATTCACCAGTAGTAACATTATGAAATTACTTTATTTTTAATGATGACCAATTTGTTATGAAATTCATTAATAATTATTATGATTTCATTATTTTCCTTATTCTTATAATTAAGCTTAGCTGAAATTCTGATTTAAAATTTGGTTAATACAACAAAAGGAATATAAAATACTTCATTCAACTCTTAATGTGAAAATTTACTTCCTTAAAATAAGCTCAAAATATCACTCACATAACAATCTTAAGAAATATCCATATTAGCAATTTGTTATAACAAACTTGAGAATGTACAGAATTTTGAACAACTTCTTGATTCATCTAATGATATATCTAACAATTGTTTTGTAGACTACAATGCTTATATATTAAAAAACAAGACTTAAATTATCTTTATGTCGCATAATGAATATCCAACTTTAGTATCGTAATATCACAAAATTTTTCAAATTGAAAGAAATCAATGTAATGCAGTTATTTATTCATCTACTGACTCTATTTATATTTTGACAGTTGAATCTTTTGAGATAGATGATTGTGCAGAGTAAATTTAATTATTATTTTAAGGGATTGCAAAAATAGAGGTGTTTGTGTAAAAGGTTTTTGTTAATGTCCTTTAGGTTTTGTTGGATATGATTGCTCAATAGCAGCTACAAATATTGAATAAAATACCTATTTTTTTGGTTTTTAAATCCAGTATTTAGATTTAATCACCTTATAGTCAGTAGATTATATAATTGAATTAAATTCTGAAATATCTTATTCAATTTAATGTTATTCTAACTCATCACATTTATTTATACCCAATCAAAAAGGAAAAAGTTTGAAGATAGAAGAAAATCAAATAAATTTATGTAAATAACAAACATAATTATTGGAACAATTAACAAATATAAATTATTATTCATAATTTATTATTGTAACTAACACTTCAACTATTGTATAATATTCAGAATACAATAATTAATAATCATCAAGTATTATAGTTATAATAGTATTGACAACAATTTTAAGCATTATAATTATCTTAATTATTGTAATATATATTCTTAAAATAAAAAGTAAAAATCAAGAATAAAAAAATAATATCAATTAAATTGAATATTTTATGCCTGTTTAACAATTCTTATCAGTAACAGATAGGAAATCATGTAGTAAAGATGAATAATTTTGTTCAATTTGTTTAGAACTATTTAAACCTGAAAGTAATGTTAGAATTACATATTGTGAACATATATTTCATGTAAATTGTTTGTAAAATTGGATGAAAAAGAATAAAGTATCAATCTTATTACAATATTAGATATGTCCATTGTGTAGAGCTGCTTTGGATACTATAACTATTTAATCAAAAAAAATAAATTTGTAGAATCCTCAAAAAACTCATATATTACATTAATTGAGTTCATAACATAAAAATGATGGTTCTCTAACTTCAATTGATGGAAGTCTTACATATCACTCGCCAATTACTAAACAACTTGCAGTAGTTAAGCACTCAAAATTCCTAAAATGATTATTTCGTTGATCTTCAAATTTACAAAACTTATATATTTTCTTATGATAGTAACAATATAGTATTCACAATCATAATAATTTTGGCTATTATAATTTGATTACTTTAATACATATCCATTTCATATATAATTGATTGTATTGGATATGGATAGCCTTTATTTATTAGTATTTTATTAATTTAAATACTAAGACTATTAATTTACTTAATAATTTAATCTTAGATAATGAAATATAAATATTTATTTTAAACATATATCATTTATATTAGATTTACTATAAATATTAAGGGATTTATTTTATATTATGATAAATAATCAATTGGGATCTACTTACTATCCTAAAAATAGATGCTTATCGTTAGTACGCAACAATCTATGAAATAATTAAAAATTATCCTAAATTATAAATTAATATCTACTTTTGCACTTGCTCCTTCTCTTAAAAATTGAAGCATTATTAATCCTGGTTCTTAATAATTACCTTTGTCTAAGAAATTAGGTCGTTTATGATCTACAAAATTATGATTTAAATCTGTAGTAGGGAAATATTTGGTCCATTATTTACTTTATTTGAATGTACCCATATAATCATCAATTAATTATTATTATTTTTATTCTTCTTTTAATTATTTTTTTAAATCTTCTTCAATTGCAAATTAAGGTCTTTGATCATGTTCTGACATTAGATGAGGATTAGGTAAGGAATCAGGTTTAATTCTTGTCTTAATTTATTTATAAATTTACTTTAAATAAAGGTTTATTTTTATCTAAATATTCATCTCTAAATTTATGAGTTGATGGTGGATTATAAAAATCTTCTAATTTTTCTTTTTCTCTTTATTTTAAATTTGCTAATTTATTCTTTAATGTCATAACATCTTCTGGTTTAAATGTAGCATAAAATATTTATTTATCACATTCATTATTATTATTATCAATTGACTTTTTTGGTTAAAAATATTTCTATTCACTATTAATTAAAGCTGTATCTGATAATCCATAATATGGTTTCCTTAATAATACAGGTTAAGATAAATATTTTGCAGCAGTAGTTTAATTTAATTAAAATTCATTACTTTTTCTTTAAGAATCAGAGTTTTCTACTTTATAATTTAAGTTTTCAGGCATAAATTTTAGAATAGGATTTCTACCAGTTCTACATAATTTTTATTCTTTGCTTAATCTTTCTGCTTCATTAAAATAAGATTAAGTCTCAAATTTAATTGTTGGAAATTCATTTTAATCTTTTATGTAACTATTATAATAAATTTTATTTACAATTTAGAATTGATTACTTTTTCAAAAGGATTATCTTTCTCTTCCTATTTTATTATTCCATTATTTATTGGTTTAATTAAATCTGTCTCTTATAAAATTATTCCAGCCTCAGGTTTATCCTTATTAAATTTATGAATCTCTTTTAATTAAGATGTATGAATAATTTAAGATTGAGAACAATTTAACTTTGGTTTGTATTGAAATGGATTCATTTCATGCATATCAAGTATTTTTGTGATTTTCACTGGAGGTAGATCATGTCCTGTTGGTAATTTTTCTCCTGCTGCCAATAATAATTACACCCATTTATCTCTAAAAGGTCTTGGCTTTTCAATCCAAACATGATTCTCATTCAATACATAATGAATTTAAACTTATATTAATTACTTATTCATTACCTGCTCCTAATATTTCATCAACATTTATTGGCTCTTTTAGCTAATCCTTAAAAGCAACAATTCTTTTACTTAATGCTTCATCAATCATCGCTTAAGCTAACTTAAAATTTGATATCATAATATTACTTCTTCTTCAAAAAATAAATAATGCTTCTAACTGAATTTTAATATGTCTTCTTTCTTAATCCAACCATCATTATCTTAATCCATACACTCAACAAGTCTTTATATTGAGATTCGTGGAATCTATGTAGTTTTATGTATGAGTTTATCATATTTCCTAGGTTTTTGAAATGTCTTTGTGGGAGATTAACTTGTTGATTAGCCAAGAAACATTTCTTCCATTTTAGAAAGACTTTTCATTTTATATAAAATGTTATAATTATGAAACTGAAAATATTAAAGTATTGCAAAAAGGAAACTTAAACTAATCATTAGATTTTATTCAATCAACATTAATTAAATTTATCAAAGTAATTCCATTCATTAAGAGGCATCCTTAATATCTTAAAATTTTCTTAGATAATTTAATTATGAAAAGTTAATTCTTTTATTGCTTAAAATGCAACAGTTTGTTGGAAATACAATCTGTAAATTGATTCAAAATGATTATATAAATCATTTTAGAGAATATCAATAGTAGAATAAGGATTAATTTAGGTAGGCTATAAATTTAATATTTTTATTATTTCATCAGCTAATAAATGAAAATCTTAACAAGAAGATGATAGTTTGACAACTGTTAAATATTTATTAAATAATTCTATCTCTGTAAAATTCTATCTTTAGGCTATAAATTCTATTTCTGTTTATGTTATTGCAATTCTATTAGATTTACTTAGGTAATTTTCAAAAGCTATTAAACTATAATTATTTTAGTAATAATTATTGAAAACCTTTGAACTTATAAGTTGAAAATCCAAAATTTAATTATATGTTATATAAAGATTAGGATGATCTTACTTATTCTTCAAAGGTATGCATGTAAAATTGTAAAACATAAAAAAGCATCTAATTAAACATGAAATTCCAACAATATCTGGACCAAATTTCAATAATTTAAAAATCAAAGAATTTAAAGCAAACCAACAAATGTAATAAAATTATAATTTTATTGTCAAGTTTATTAAATTATCGTCATAATTATTATATTTTATTTTTCTCATCAAATAAAGTGTCAATATTTCTTCCAACAAACTATTATATAATACAAATCCTGTATTATTTTCATAGACCTATAAACAACAATAAAACTAAAATTCATAAAGATATAAATTTGTAAATATTGTTAATACTGGAAAAAACATACCATAAAATAATGCAATAACAATAAGGAAATTTTCATTCATATATATTTTTACTATTAAATTATTTTTTAATAACCTTTATTTTGAAAAAGCCCTTAATACTCTTAATGATTTTATTAATGTGAATGTAAAACAACAACCTCTTGAATATAGATAAATAATAGTTAATACTTAATACGATAATGTTTAATAAATAGAATCCTAAAATTCATTTGTATTTTAATCTAAGCAAATTTGCCATGTAATTTCACCATAAGTTTTAGTCAAATATAAATTAATTACAATCATTAATTGGAATAGATAAAATGATATTCCTTATAATATGGTTGTATATGGAGACAATTAATAAATAGGATAGCAATGTCTATTCTGATTAATTTTCCTTAAATAATAGATTAGTATTATTAGCATGACTAATTCAATAAATCCTAAAACAATTAAGATTAAAATCGATTATTTGTCAATATCCTACATATAATAATTAAATTAATATTATTTCACAATTAATCTCTCATAAGAGTTCTAAATTTATTCTTAAAGTATATAACCTTACGTAATGTTATTATTCCATATGATAAGGAATATTTGAATAAACTAAAATTTTAAAACTCTATTCTAAAATTAAATACTCTAAATTATTCATATAATAATTAATTTCATGTTAAGTTCTCTCCATTAAAGAAAAAATGAGAAATTATTTATAAACAATTAATTCTACTGTAGATTTATTAAGGACAATATTTATTATTAAAAATAAGAATAAATAAATTATTTGAGTTATTTATTCAAAAATAATATGCCAGAAGTAATTAACCTAAGTAATTTCTCTATTAATCATTTTTTAATATAAATATTTTTATCTTTTTCATAGCTGTTATAAGAATAAATAAAATGGATATTCTCATTCCAAATTAAAGTATTGCCTTCTAATTAAATATTCTATTTTTATTTTCTTATATTTAATTAGTTTTGGTAAAAGAATATCAGTCATTTATATCAAAAATATCAATAAATTTCATAAGATTTATAAGAATTAATATTTTCAGTTTTGTCTTTAGAGACTCTTTAGTAATTTATAATTGGAGTAGTCTATTAGATTTACAATTTAAAGATAAAAAGTATAATTCATAAATTTATTAAAATCTATTTATTTATTTGGTGATTATCATAAATAATGACTTAAAATGTTAATTCAAAATTTAATATAATATTATATCTTAACAGATTAAAGTAATAAAAACTAATCTACTATTTTTAAAAATAACTTATTTAATTAATTCATTTAATCTGCATACTTTCTTCTTCAGTTGGAACCTTTTCTTAAGAACTACTCATTTATCTATTTTAAAATATCAGTAACATTACCCAGCAGGAGACAATTCCACATCTTTATTAAAATTTTCAATTTAAAATTCTATTTTTTATGTTCCAGAAAATACTAAATCATATGCTTGATCAATAGGTATAAAATCTTGTCTTGAAATGTATTTTTAAAGAAATGCTTTTTTCTCCAATGATTCAATCAATCTCTTAGGTAATCTAAACAAAGGACCTTTATATATAATAAACTCAAGCAGAGCAAGTTATGCAAAAAATAGCACTGTAATCCTTGTTTGGTGAAATAATTATAATAATAACAGTAAGCATATTAGATAATATCTAGCTTTCATCACTAATGGAAAGAATAATACTTCAGTATCCTCATTTGGTTTTTTAAGAGCTCTACTATGTTAAGGATTAAGTACTTAGTTGTAATAAAATAAACTGCAACATTCCAAAATCCAAAATGATTAGACAACATCATTTCGTTATCATATTTAAATAAACAATATAGGTTGACAATTAAAAAGATAAATATCTAGATATAAATAAATCAATACCATTCCAAGACTGTTTTTAATGATAAATTCTAACAAATATAATATACTTCCTAGTCTTCTTTCTGCATTGTTAAGATCAGGTAAACAACATAAATTAAAAATAAGTGAAAAAAATGAACCTACAATTATATTAATCAAATACCTTAAACAAATGCTGATGTTAGCAATTACCAAATCCAAACATATTATAATGATATTGGTTAAAATTTTAACACATCTCCAATAAAAAGGTTTATGATCCAAAATATTGCAGCAATTATTATAAAAAGCTTATTTACTATTGGAGTAGATTGCCAAAATGCAAATAATATATTCTGATTAAATTAATTCATATTAATTAAATAATGCTTTTAAAAAATTATGTTTCTTTATTGTACGATTTTATATAGAAATACTTTAAAAAAATAAGCTTAATTGTTATCATCTAAATAAGTAAATAAATAAATCTTAGATCATTATAAATTTATTATTATTCCTATGTTTTAATGATAGTATGAAAGTACAAGTATTGTAAATTAGTTTATTTAATCAATTCGATTAAAAGAAATAAACATGATTTATTAAAAATCACTAAATTATCTTATTAATTATTAAAATTATATGAATTTAAAATATAAATATGCTTTTATTGAACATTTATCCACTTAAAAAGATATTTAAATTAAAACAAGTATTTGGCTAACATAATACTCTTCTTCTATATGTTTAAATCAGGAATGGTACGTAATATAAATTGTGTACACTTGATTGTAACAGTATTTTTATTTAATAATACGTATTTTAAGCATTATAAGTGAATATAGTTCAAATCTTGAGATTTAAATATTCTTTTGTAATTTATGAATACATTTTTTCTATATGATCCACAATTTCTTATTCAGCAATAACTTTTGTTTCAATATCTTGTTTAATACAACTCAATGATAGCTCTAAGGTAAGCTTTTATATTAACTATATTTTTAGAAATGCCTACTCATTACAAGAACAATAAAGACAATTAATTCATCCCCAATCTCCATTTGATATTCGTACTATTGAGCATAAGACTATGAAAAATGATGAAATAATTGATGAATAAAGTTCTTTTGAACTATAGAAATCTAAAAGAATATCTAAAACTATAAAAAAATCAAAGGAAACTAAATAAGACAACTTAAATTCTTCTCAATAACATACTAAAAAAAAGATATTCTTGTCAATGAAAGACATTAAGAATGCCCAATATAAAAAGTATAAATTGTAATTTACTTAGATATAAAATCACAAATGATAACAAAAATATAGAAGTAGTAATGAATTAAGAATAGAAGAATTGATATATTATTTACTTTATATTATTTGATATATGTATTAATGTCTATACTTTAAATCTCTTTTTTATTCAACCAATAAAAATATGAAACATTTATTTTGATAAAAAAATCATTATAAAAGTCCACAAAAAGTAGTTGTTTATGGAGATTTTCGATAAACTTTGAGCAACCATTCACAATAAATGTTAATGTTAAATTAATTAGAAATAAATCGGATGATTTATCATATTGCATGATAAATTATAATAAATATATATAATTTATAATAATTATTATTTACATAGCAAAAAGTTTATTAAATAATCAAATGTATCTTGTTATTTCTTCCTAATATTACATCAATATCTTATAAACAATCTTATGGGATTAAATTAAAATAAATTAAAATAATTTCATCAAAAGTCTTTCTTTTTAATAAGACTTTATTATTAAAATCCAATTAATGATGATGTTCTTACTATATAGAATTTAATTTTAGTATTTTAAAGAAGAATCAAAATGTTATTATAATAGTGAAACAAATATGTATGTGTATAAAATAATTAATAGAAAATGTTCATCAATAAAATTTGTAAAATAAATAATATTAATTATGCTGCTTTTGATATTTTTAGCATTAGTATCCTCATTAAGAATTCCAAAAAACTTTGTCATATCAAATATTGAGAGGACAGTGTCTTTAACTGATAGATATATCAACATCTAATCTAAAGTAACTATCAAAATAATTTTAAGATTACTTTTTAAAATGATGGAGTAATTCCAATTGAAAAGATTTATTATACAATCCATAATGCATTGTCAGATAGATTATATCATGTCAATGTAGAAGAAAGCAATGCAAAAAAACTCATAGAAGATGTGGATGTGAAATACAAATAGAATGCCACAGTCTATGAATTCACATTAATTAGACCAATTGAGCCTTCTTCGAAATTAGAAGTAGAATTAAGTGAACACTTTTATAAAAGATTTAAACCATTACCAAAAGAAATTGGATTAGAGGTATTATATAGAAAATAATAATAATTTAGGATGAACAATTAGTCTAATTTATGGATTCAGTATATTTCTTCACTCCTTATTTAGTAAAGAATCAAATAACTTATTATGAGACTCCCAAAATTATGTATAAATGCAATTTAATTATAGCTCTTATTCATTAAAATCAGCAACTCAAAGAAATTAACTTCTAGAATTTGGACCTTTCTAGGATATTAAACCTTTTTCTACATAAATTCACACAATTCATTTAGAAAATAACACACCAATGACTATTTTTACAAAAGCATCTAAAATTATTGAAGTCTCTCATTGGGGTAATATTTTAATTGAAGAAAATTATTCAATTGAAAATCAAGGAGCAAAGTTAAAAGGAGAATTTGGTAGAGTTAATTTTAATAAATACAATCCAAATGTTGGAAAACACTCTTTAAAATAATTATCTGCTTCACTTCCATATGATTCATGGGGAGTATATTACAGAGATGAAATTGGAAACATTTCAACATCAAATGCAGCTAAAGGGGTAACATTTAATTTATATGAGTATCTAAGAAACTTAATGGGGAAACCTAAGCCTTAGTCTAATTAAGACCTAGATTTGCAATATTTGGAGGATGGAATAGTAATTTTACTTTAGGATACAATTTACCCACCAAAAAGTATTTAATTTCTATATATATAATTTAGATATTTAGAATAAGATGGAAACAATTTTAGATTAACTTTAAATTTCTCCTTTTCTGTTAAGGAAATGGTATCCGATAAATATAACTTTTAAATTTCCTTACCTGAAGGAGCTTATGATATCCAAGTTGATCTACCATTATATGTGGAAAGAAATGACACACTATTATTTTCTTACTTTGATACAGTAGGTAGACCAACAATCATTTTGGATAAGGCTACAACAAGTCAATTCGATAATAAACAAATTATTGTAATATTTTATTACTAAGATAGATCACTTATAAATTTTCTGGAGTATCTATATTAAGAGAGCCTTTGATGATTTTCGGAACCTTTTTGTTTGCTTTTCTGTCAATAATATATTTAAGAAGATTAGATTTATAGACATTAAAATTAAAAGAGTGATACATTTAAAATTCATATGTTAAATCATTAATCCTATATAAATATTGATGTATCTCCTGTGGATTGGGTTAATTCATTTAAATTCCAATTAGGACTTTTACTTTCTCCAAATGTAAAATTCTTCCAACAAATTGTAGAATCTAAATTGCTAGTACTTTATTCTGAATATTCATATTGATCTGGTTCTAAAACATCATCTTAATCATTCATATCTATTCTAATTTTACGTAAATGTTGTATAAAATTATTTAAAGTAATTCTTTAATCACTATTAAATTCTAAACATCTTGAAATTAAATATACATAATCTTAATTAATATATTATTTATCTTATAATACTTACTTAATGAAATCTAAGTTTATTTTAAGATAGTCTTCATCTTAAAATACCTTTGTTGTTTTTACTGGTGGATAGATTCCATTATTGGCCATTTAGAATACTAAATAATTTGAATAATATATATTACAAGTCAATCCAAATTACCATATATCACTTGAGAAATCATACTTAGTTCCAAAAGCTTCAGGAGGATTGAAATCATAAGTACTAGAAAAGACTGAATAATCTCCATTTGGATCATCTTAATTACAATCCTATTAATTCATTTTTCTAGATCTATCAAAATCAGCTATTTTAAGATTGGCCATATGACAATCAAGATTTGTAAGGAATACATTTTAAGGTTTAATATCTCTATGTAAAATTTGCATCTTATGTAATTCAGTTAAAGCTAAAGCTAATTACATAGCAAACTTATATTGTAAATTTTTAAGTGGATGGTCAATTTTTTAAGATGATTCTTCAAATAAATCATGCAATGTTAAGGGATATTTAAGAAAAATAAAAAATGGAATCTTTTGAATACGAAAATAAGCAAAAAAGGTTGCAAATTTAGAATTGTCAATTAATTGTTCATTGAACATTAATTCTCTTTCATTTTGAATTTATCTATATTGATTTACTTCAATATCATCTTCATCAATAATTCTAGGTACTTTAATAAAGATTTCATTTTTAATTTGAGGATAAATTTAAAATAGTGAAGGTCTTGATGAAGTATATGTAAAGGAATTAAATCCAATAGATTATGCTTTTAAATCATTAATCTAAAATATCTTTTTGAAGAAATTCATCTTAATGCATCCTAAATCATAATCAGATTTTTAAATTGATAAAAGATTATCAGTTGTATTTTCAAAATTATCCTTACAATATTCATTGACATGAAAATATTAATTAACTTAAAATATACTATTAACATTTACCAAATTACTTAAATGATTCAAAATAGTTGTATTCAATTTCTTCAAAATTAAAATGAATTAAACTAAGATGTAGTACACCTTCAATTATATAAATATTATTAAGGCTCAATATATAAGGAGGGAAGCTACGTCTATTTAGTTCTTATAATGCTATAAAAATATAAAATATTATAATAAACTTATGCAAAGTTATGTTACTAAGAACAATTACAATTATTTATTTAATCTTTTCCTACAATTCTATAATCTAAATGTGTCTAAAAATTTTTATTATGTCATATAAATGCAATTTTATTCATAATAGATATTTTCTGGATGAATTAGGTTTACCAATCTTTATTAATTAAGTTTTTGAATAAGATGGGGAATATTTTATTAAAAAGATTGGGTTTGTAATTGATAAACTATGTATTTTTGGTCAGATTATTTTCGGATGCATTCATAAATCTTAGTTTATTCTATTTTAAATACTGTCTTAGAAATTGAGTTTTCTATAAGGATGAAGTTTTAATAATCCTTTTTTATCTAAATTTCTTCAGAAATCTGATTTATATGCTAGTTATTTTCAATTTAAGTTTAAATTCTCTAAGACATAATACTAAAATTTATTAATGTATTAATATGTTTAATGTATTATTTAATATTATCACTAATCATTATTCTACGTTTAACTCAACATTAATTCCTGGACCAATCTTGAAGTTTGTAATATCCTTGAAAGTTGGTAAAGTGCATTAGAAATCAATTACTCTTTTGTGAATCTAATTCTTAAATAATTTAATTACTCTCATTTCAAATCTATCCCAAGTCTTTGAACCTTCACCACAAGGACTCTTTCTGACAGTCATTTTAAGATGCTTTGTTGGCATTCTAACTGGTCCTTTGAATACAACTTGTTAGCCTTAATCTCTCTTAATGTTGAAATGTAATCATTACTTAGATTCCTCTAGCCTTTTCAATAACTTAAGTAGTGAAATTTTCTAAATCTTAAGGATTTCTTGATGTAACAATCATTCTAATTTTTTTGACTTATTGTTCATCTTCTACTTTCTTCTCTTTCAAGTCAGCCATAATATTTTGTGTTTTTTAAAATATATTTTTAATAAAAGATTTAAAATATATTTCCTCTATATGTTCATTTATTATATTATTATATTTACAAACTCCATAAACTCTTTTTGTTCATCCCTCTCTATTTTAATCATTTATCAAAAACATTCTTTACACATATTATTTTAAATATTTAATTATTATATTTAATCTTATTATTAAAAGATTATAGAACTAATCTTTCAAAGCTTAATGTGCAGCATATATTAATTCTTAATTACATTTAATATATATTTATTAATATAACTTAAATATAATAATAATGAATATTAATATTATAAGATATTTTAGATGTTATCCATCAAATAAATTCAGTTGTATAATTTTAATTAATTCTGAATTGAAAATCTTATAAAAACTATTAAACATTAAAGATTTGAATGTATTAAAAAATTTAAGTTTAACAAATATTATATAGAATGTGAATTTTACTTAATTTTAGATTTTTACTTTAATATTATAATTGTTGATCAAATATAAATGACAAAAAAAGTCTATTCAAATTCTAATCAGAAATTGAGTAAACTATATAGATTGTATTTGTCTTTAATAGAATTGAAGGATTTCTAACTTATAAATTGAAGACTACTAATTGTTCAGCATTAAGTTATTTGGTGATTTGAAATTGAAGTTAATAAAATTTGTAATTAAAATTTCATGAATATATAAATAATGATATAATTATGCTGTTCTTAATCAAGGCAAAGCTTTCTTTTTAATTTTTATATACCTTAGACTCCAGTATTGATATTTATTCATCCAAAGAATGTTTTATTATTTAAATGATTAAATCTCAAAATAACAAAGCCATCAATTTAACATAATCTATCTTAGAAGACAGTCCAGAATTTTGGATTCATAGACCTTAAACATTAATCCAATTCCAACTATCAGATGAACTCTCTGTTGTTAATAGGAATCGATTAATCTAAAAAACAATATATTTTGGAAGTTATTATCTAAAATATGGAGATGATGTATGAATGATCTAAATTATAAAACAGTAATTTCTTGATGTTAGAAATCTATTTCTAGAGTTAGTTTACCATCCAAGAACTTCTCAATCAGGATTTAGATTAAGTAAAAATGGTGAAAAACTGGATGTATATGGAGATGTTTAAAATTGGGTTGAAGTCTTAAGAAAGTATACAATCTAAACAAATCTGTAATAAAAATATAAAATAATCAAAAAAATCGGAGAGGGAAGCCAATTTCAAGTATATATAACTTTATATTTCAATAAAAGGTTTTCAAAATTAGAAACAAACTAAATGGGTAAGAAAATGCAGTCAGGATATATGATAAATAAAAATTACAAAATTCTCCAAACTTGCTTGAACTTGTCAAAAGGCAAATTAATATTAAAAGGTAATTGGATCATAAAAATTTAATTCGTCTATTAGAAACTTTTGAGAGTGTTAATCATCTATATATTGTAGAAGAATTAGTTGAAGGTGGAACTTTAGAAAATAAGCTTTCATCAACCAATTTTAATCAATAATAGATCATTCTCATTATAAAATAAACCTTAAATGGATTATAAGAGATGCATAAAAAAGGATTGATACATGGTGATGTCAATCTAAAAGCCATAGGTTTTAAGAGCGAATAAGACTTAGATTCATTATGTTTATTACATTATTCTAAAGTAATGTCAATTAATGCAGCCAGAAACTCAACCAAAAAAATGATAAGTTAAAGAACTTCTTTAAAACATGATAAAACACATATTTCTGATCTATAATAATTAGGTATTATTTTAATAAGATTACTTACTGGATATTAATTCAATCAATTTAATTTGCCTAATCAAATGGATGATATTAAAAGCATTTTAAATTTCTAATAAATTAGTAAGGAATTAGAGGTTTTACTTTAGTAATTACTTTTAATTGATTTTGAATTGTAACTAAGCGATACAAATACTCCTTTAGAAGTGTTAAAAAATGATATATTCAAGAAATAAATAGAGCCATCTAATTTTATTCTTAAATATTCAACTTTAAATGAAATAAGAAGATAAAGTTTATAAAGTGATAGTGAAGATGAATCAATGGAAATTCGTTCTAGAGTTAATACATTACCAAACATCTAAGAAAGAAAAAGCGACTCAAGAAGTTTATCAAAAAGAGTGAAAAATATTGTGTAACCATTGAAAATATCTAAATTTAATAAAATTGATTAGGTTGCTAATCCCCCTTCATAAAATTCATAAAGAAGACCAAGTAATCTTTATTAACTTCCAAAACTGAATCTTATGCCCAAGATCAAGTAAAAAGTATAGTGAATTATAATAATATAATAATTATTCTCATTTCATAAATACTTTAAAAAAAATATAGAATTATTTTGACTTTTCAAATTGCATAGTTTTTATTAAAAGTAATATAATATTCTAAAGATTTTTCTAGTAATCATTTTATATATAAATATTTTTTGAATGATATTTTAAGTAGACAATAATGACATGAGTTTACTTCTACTTTTAATATTAAGTAAATTCATTTTTCTTATGGTTATATTCGAAAACAAAATAATTAAATAAATTGGATTTAAAGAGTATGATTATAAAATATATGAAATAATGATTTTTTTTGAAAAACAATAAAATTTATATGATAAAACAATAACTATTGTAAATTGGTTCAGCAGATTCCTTTTTCAATGATCATACTTCTTTATATTCATTCCATTCTATTCATCCTTTTGTTCCGTAATATAAAGGTGAGTTTTAGATTAGTTATTAAAACAGATTAGTAATAAAAAATTTGGCAATAGGATCAAATTTCATTAGATTTGGTGATGATGTATAATAAATTTATTTGTAAATAGAAATTTATCAATTTAAAGAATGTTTGCATGTAAAAGATTGTCCATCCAAAAACAGGACTTTTTGGGATTAAACTATCGAAGAATGGAGTGGATTTAGATATTTTTGGTTTATAAGATTAGTGGATTGAAATGATGAAAAAATATACAATACAATTTGATTTTATTTAGAAGTTTTAACTTTTAAATAAACTTGGAGAAGGATATTCAACAATTGTATATCTTTTTATAAAAATTTTAGGTATATAGAGCCAGAAATAAATTGACAAAGAAAGAGTATGCAGTTAAAGTTTTTGATAAGAAAAGGCTTCTAATTAATAAATTTGAAGCAAAAAAGTTCTTAAAAGAATTGAAAATAATTAGATGCTTGAATAATCAGAATTTACTGAAATTGTATGAAGTTTATGAGAGTAATAATCATATATACTTAATTTTGGAATTATTTACAGGTGAAAAACTCGCTTCTATTACTCAAAAATAATAAGCATTAACAGAATAGGAAATTTTGATAATAATGAGACCTCTATTCTAAGCTGTTTAATATTTACATGATCTTAATATATTTCATAAATAGATTAGTACTTAAAGCATAATATTTAAAAATAAGAATGATTTATAAAATCCTTGTTTAATTGATTTTAACTAAGCTATTTAAATAATAGAAGGGGATTAAGAAGATCAATAAACAATATCAGTTAATCCTGAGAAACAAATTTTATATTATATTAAATTTGATGTTTTATCTTTGGGAATAGTAATGCATAATATGTTAACAGGGAAATAATTTTAGATAAATTAAGCTATTGATGATGCTATGATGAATAAATTCAGAGGAGCAGAAGATTTATAATTTATTGATCCTCCCTTATCTGATCTATGTTTTGATTTCTTAAATTCAATTTTTAATTAAGGTATGAAACCAAAAACTTGTAAATAATTATTGGCACATCCAATATTTGATCAAGAAAATCAAAAAACATAAAGAAATTTAGGAATTCATTTAATTGGAATTTTAAATTAAAACTCAAGTAGATTTCGAATAAATTCTAAATAATCTCAAAGATCTCCAAAAGCAATAAAAGTAATTTCTCTAAAGAAAGATTTCAATATATTATCAAAAAGTCCATCAGAGAAACCTAATCTCAATAGTGATTACTTTGAACCTCCTTAATCTCATCTTATGTTCAGAAGAGGCAGTAGACAAAAAAGAACCTTGAATTTTAATAATCATAATGAAATTAGTAGTTGAATTTATTCTATATCTTTATCTATTTGATTTCTTATTGAAAATATATATATTAATTTTTTATTATATATAATATCTTACTAAATTGTATTCAAATTCATTTCTATTGATTTTGAATTTGTTTCTAATGATATTTTGAATTACACTCATATATATTTTGGATATAATACAGGGTTGTACTCAAATTTAAAATTAAATAATTAGATGCTTATAATTTATTATAAAATATCTTTTATGTTATTATAAATATATGGGTTATGATGTATTCACTATAATTAGTGTAAAGTTTAGAATTTAATAAACTGAAACTAAAAATGATGCAAATGTCAATAATACTGATGGTTTTGTATTTTAGAATGAGTGAATCTTTAACAGTAAGTATAAATATTTGTTAATGCTCTTCTATTTAAACTGCTTATGATTGTAACTAATTGAGTACATGTGAATGGGATTTAACTTCCAAGAGTTGTATTTAAGCTAAATTAGTTGCTTATTCCTCCACTCTTTGTTCTTCTATTATAGATGGAATTAGATGTGCTAAATAAAGAGGATGTGCTTTTTTAGATAAAAAATGTGTAGTATTTAGTAATTGCTAATCATATATTGCAACATCAAATGTAGAATGTTAAAAGTATTCAATGTAATGTAATTGGTCTATTGTTAATTAATATTGCACAGATTAAAGTGTTTGTAATGAATATATAGGTGAAGATAAATAATCAGGTTGTGAATCTGCTAAATAATTAAATGGGGAAGGCTTATGTATTTATAACACATAAACTAAATAATGCAAAGAAAAGGAATGTAAAGATTATCCTAAGAAAACAGATGAAGACTGTAGTAAAGTGCTTTTAAATTAAGTTTGTATAACTGATAAAAAAACATGTGTGAAGGAACTTGGTAATTGTGAATCTTATAATATTGAGGATTGTCTAAATATCTTATCTAAAAATGGAGAGTGTGAAATCAATAATAATACTAATAAGTGTCAACCCAGAACTTGTAAATTGGCTCCTGATGCGTCATCAGATGATGCATGCAAAAAGTATAAATCAACATGTTTATCTAATAAACTAAAATGTGTTGACTAATTGAATTCTTGTTCAACTTATTCAATTGATGAATGTTTAAGTTTAAAAGGAAATAAAGGAGATTGTTAATTAAATTTAGATAATTCATTATGTAAAGATCCTGCATGTGAAGATTTTAAAGGGTCAACAGATGATGAATGTAAAAAAGCTAGTCCAAATTTATAATGCATATCCAATGGATTTTAATGTGTTTCAATATTAGCAGATACTTGTAATAAAGTGAAAATTCTAGAGAACTCAACTTGTGATCAATATATAAGTAAAGAAGGTTAGTGTAAACCAGAAACTGAAGGGTCTAAGATATGTGTATTAGATCCATGTTAAAATCATGAATTTGACTCAGATTAATAATGCAATAAGTATTCATCTAAAGACAAAATTTCACCAAAATTATGCATATCAAATGGTGTTAAATGTACAACTTAATTATAACCATGCAGTAATTATAAAAAGTCTGATGGATGCTTTAAATATAAAGGATAAGATGGAAAATGCTTAGATACTGAAACTTTAGATATATGCCAACCAACTCCTTGTGAATATATTGAATAACCAAGTCTAACAAATTGTATCTAAACAAATCCTAGTTGTTAATTTGATGGATAGAATTGTGTTAAATCATTAAAATAATGTGATTAATATGCAACCAAATGTGATACTATTATTACAATTAATTAAAAACCTTGTATTGAAGATCCAACTAATCCTGAAAAATGCATAGAAAAAACCTGCAGTACTGCTCCATCTACTACAAAAACAGATGAAGATTGTGAAGCATACTTATCAACATGTTTAACTAATGGTTAAGGTTGTACTGATAAATTATAAACTTGTGATTCTTATACTGGTAGCTTTTAATAGTGTGAAAAATTAATTGGATTAGATGGTAAATGTACTGGAACAAGTAAGACTCAAACTAGTGATAAATGTATTGCTAAAACTTGTCAAGAATCTAGTACAGCTAATGAATAAGCATGTAAAGCTTATACCAAAAATTGTTTATTTAATAGTATATTGAATAAATGTTAACCTTCAATTTAGTCATGTAAATCAATTGATAATTAAATGACTTGTGAATAAACTTTGACTACTGAATAAGGTAGATTCTGTTTATGGATTAATGAAATTTGTGTTACAGCCTCTTGCAATATGATTGAAACATAAGGAAGCCAAGATATATGTAATACTTTTGGAGAAAATTGTCAATATGATAATCTTAGTGGTTGTAAAGATAAAACATCTTATCAATGTTAATCACTTAGATCTAGAATTACATGTACTACAGATTCATCTGGGAATGCTTGTATTTGGGATTAAATTTAGAAAAAGTGCATCAAATTTAATAAATGTGAAGATTTCTTATTGGTAATCAAAAAAGATAATGATGGGAATATTATACCAAAAAATAATATAGAAATTGCTTCAGATAATCTTATTTGTTCTAGTATAAGTGATAAATGTTATTCAGATGGAAGTGAGATATGTAAGCATAAATTACCTTGTCAATAGTTTACTTAAGAAAATTGTAATTAATAATTTGGAATTGATGATAAAATATGTGGTTACAATGCTATTAAATAAATATGTTAAACATTTGGTACATGTGGAGATTTATAACTTAAAACACATGTAGAATGTTAAGCATACAATATAAAATGTACTACTAATAAAGAAACTTGTGTAGAAAAAATTTAATGCAATTTGATTAAAGATTAAGATTCTTGTGATGCTGGAGGTACTGATGGAAGATGTTTCTGGGATAATACAATATGTTCTCCTTGGAAATGTTAAAATGCCATATTAACCACTCATTAAGAATGCTAAAAAGAATCATCTAAATGTACAACTAATGGAATTAATTGTATTGATTTATAAGAATGTAATAAATATGAAAATGCAGGTTGTGTAATAGGAGTTGATAATACTACTTGTTTTTATGATACTTTGACAAATAAATGCAGAATAAAGATTTGTACTGATTATACTGGCATAACAGAATAAAGAGAGTGTTAAGTTATTGGTTGTGCTTATGATTCTGCTAATTCAGCTTGTATTAATTTTAACAGTTGTAATAATTATTCAAACTAATTTTTATGTAATGACAATGTTTCTAAAGAAAATTCTACTTGTATTTGGTAAGAAGAAATAAATAGTACTTCTATTTGTTAATAAATGAATTCTTGTAGTTAAGCAAATTTAAATGAAAAAAATTGTAAGAATTTTGGTTGTGCATATGTACCAGAAGCATTAATTAATGGAACAATTTAAAATTCTGAATGCAATTAAATGGATTGTTCATCATTAAATCCAAATAGCAATAGTGACATTGGATGTAAACCTGTCATTAATACTATAAATAAATAGATAACATTATGTGCTTGGAGTTCCAAAATGAATAAATGCATAGAAAGTACAGACTTAAGTGTTTACAATCAAAATAATTGTTTTACATTAACACAATATAATTATTACTGGAATCCAACCACTTCCTAATGTGTTTCATGTACTAAAATAGAAAAACCTTAAAATTCTTCTAAAGGCAACGATACTCCTAATACAACCACATAAAATTCGTTTGGAATAGGTCTTTTCTAATAGTTTGCTCTCTTAATAATTGTATGTTTCTAACTATTTTGATGTATAAGTTAAATTAAAAATATAATTAATAATTTTATCATCATTTTTGATTAATCTATTAGGCTGCCTATGATAAAGTTGCCTGAATTGATTTTTTAGCTGCTTCATTAAATCTTCTTTCTTCAATTTAAACTAATATTTTAGTTATCATAATTACTTTATTTTTATAACTTTGATCTTTGAACATTAGGTATTAAAAATTACTAAACTAAATCTTTGATAATAGTTTCATCACTATTGTATTTTCTTTCAAAATATTCAACAGGAGTATTCATTTTTTGTTTTCTTAGATTTGTCATAATGGTTGCTTATCTTGTGGCAGCTATAGATTTATTTAAATATATCTACCTTATTCAATAGTATTCTTAAATATCCAATGTAAATATGTATCAACAGTTCCTTAATGTACTCTCATAATTTAATTATATTAAACATCTTCTCTATCTCTTAATATTTATTCTGCCTATCTAGTACCAGCCTCTTGAATTTCTCTTAATCTTCTATCTTCTTCAGCTGATTTAACCATTTAAGCAATTCTTTTCTCTTATTTAATTCTGAGTAACTCTTTGCTTAACATATCTAATGTCTCTGCAATCACTTCTCCTTAAATAGCTTCCAAAGCAGCATTCTTAACTTTTTCTTCATGTTGTTACATTAATATTTCTTCTTATTCAGCTTCTGGTAGATCTGGTATTTTAGCAACAGTTAATAATTCCTCAATTAAGGCAGTTCGCTATATGGATATCAAATTTAATAATTACCTTCTCTTTTCCTTCATACATTATATTCTACATAGCTCTACCTCTAAATAATCTTTATAGTAAGATAACAGCTGAATTCTTTTTATCTTCTGATTATCTTTTAACTGCTTCTTCTTTGAATTATTCATAATTTTCAAATTTCATTTATTGTCTCTTAACATCACCATTTTCAAATTCTTAATTATATGTTGGAGTAGCAGGTCTAATAATGATATTTTTATTTCCAATATGATCTGCTTAAGTATCATTTGATTAATCTTATTTATTTAATCCAAATATTTAATTTCTTGCTTTATTGACTTCTATCTTATGTTGAATTTCTAATCTTGTGTAATCCTTCTCAATAATTTTAATAAATTGAGCTACATTTACTGTAGTTTCTAAAATAGATGGTTTTATTGTAGTTGATAATTCAGTCAATCCTTTATAAGTATTTAATGCAACTGGTTATACTTCATATTTGCTAGCTATTTTATCCAAACTTAATCCTTCTCTTGTAATACCAGCATAAACTTTAGATGCAAAATTAGCATAATCTTCTATAATTTCTCTACCTTTATCTTCATTATCTATTTCTTTTCTGCTTTTCTACATTTTTCTAAGTATTTTTATCTTTCTCTTTTAAATTTTAGCCACCATTCTATTCTTTAACTCTGTTTTCTTAATTTTAATGCTTTCTATTCTTTAAGCATTCTTTTCTTCTACATCCTTTTCTCTTTCTTTTAAAGCCTCTTATAATAAATATAATCTCTCATTCTAATTTCTAACTCAAATTATAATTGGAATTACATCTTGATATCTGTTTCCTTTTTCTTCCACTCTCTTTCTTCTTATGACTTCATTAATACTCTTCTCAATTTAAATGAAGCTTCATCTGAAATAGGAGGCAATGCATTCTCAAACCACACTTTTTCTCTATTCCATTCTATAGACTCCAATTCTTCAATAGAAGCAGGCAACCCCTTATCCCATTTCAGATGCTGTAATGCTAAAATTTCTATATTTTAATCTTCATTCTAATCATGTGCTGGTGTATATGGGTCAGTTTAGGCTTCAGCTTCTCTATAATCAGTTTAAATTTCAACATCTTTAACCTATCAAAATAAAAAGTAGTATTACTCTCTCTATAGTCACCTTTGCTGGAGGAGGTTATTCTTTCACTTATTATACAGGGGGTTGACTCAATTTTATAGGAGTATCAGTCATCGTTGGGACCAAAGGTCTTTTGAAATATAGAGGACGAGTACTCCCACTAATGTAGTTGTACATGGATTGATTCCTATATTGATCATGTAAGACATAAGCTTCTTGCATTGAATATTTGTTAATTTTATTATTATTCAAAAAAATAATATAAAAAAATAGGACCTACTTGGATTCGAACCAAGGTCTTGAGGGTTAGAGCCTCAGGTACTAACCGCTATACGATAGATCCTGTAATGCTAAATTATATGATAGAAACTAAATATATTATTATTGTATTCTTGATAAACATAATTATCATAAGAAATTGATTATTTAAAGTATATAATATAAATTCCATCTCTAATTCACAAGTTAAATCTAATTTTGAGAATAATTATTATGATATGACCTATATTTTATTTTTTAGTTTGAATCTCGAAATTAAGTGAATTTATGACTCCTAAGGATCAATATTTTAAGAATGAAATGATATCCTATAATTTTTCAACTATTGATCGTATTGTAAATAATATTATTTTTTTTTATTAAATAATAAACATTAATAAAAAATTAAAAGTTTTAATTAACTATTAAGATTTACTTAAGTCTTTAACTTATTATCTAAAAGGAAAGAGAAGAACAAGGTTTGATTATTGGTTATATTAATTAAATTATACATAAGAAGTTTCGTTTTAAAATTATTTAATTAATATATATTTGTTAATATATTATATCAAAATCCATCAAATCATTTTGTTTTTTAAAGCTCTAAATTTCATATATATACACCTATTAATAAAATAAAATGGGTTGCTGTATAAAATCAAATAAACTCAATAAGATTTAGACAATCAAAACAAATAATGGTGTGGTAATTTTCACATCCACTGCAGATATTCATCAAATCTATAATTTCGGTAAAATGATGGGCTTGGGAGTCTTTGGAAAGGTTCTAGTTGCTAAAATGAAGGCAAATAATGAAAAACTCTTTGCTATAAAAATGATAGAGAAATAGAAGGTATCTGGAAAGGAAACGTAATTAGCTAATGAGATTTATGTTCTTTAAAGATTAGATCATCCAAATATCATTAAGTTTTATGAAGTATATCAGAACAACTTATACTTCTATATATGTATGGAATATTGTGCAGGAGGAGAACTCTTAGAGCGTATCCCAAAACATTAAAATGCTTTTACTGAGAAATAAGGCTAATAAATTGCATTTAAGGTTAATTATACTTATTCTATAGTTAGGTATTATCGGCAATAGCATATATTCATGAATAAGGAATAGTTCATAGAGATATCAAACCAGAGAACATTTTATTTACTAAAAAAGATTTGAATTCTGAACCAAAAATTATTGATTTTGGAATGGCAATTAAATTAGATGAATCTTTGTAGACGTATTATAATGTTATCCATCCTCCTAGTAAAGCATTAAATTGTGTTGGAACTCCCTTATATGTTGCTCCTGAAGTGATTGATGGATATTATAGCGAGAAATGTGACATATGGAGTTTTGGAGTAATGCTCTTTTATATATTATGTGGATATCCACCATTTTATGCATCAAATAAAAAAGAATTATTTTAACATATTTAAAATTAAGATGTATATATTAATATACTAAAAACTAAGTTAATTTTCGATAGAAGGCATTGGAATCATTTGTCAAAAGAAATTAAAAGCTTTCTAAGGAGGCTTTTATGTAAAAACCCTATTATAAGGCCAACGGCTAAAGATTGTCTAAAGGATCCATGGTTTAGTCTAACCTTTGAAGGAGTCAATAAAATTAATAATCTACGCAGATCCAAAACTAAAATGCTTACTTAAAGGTAGATAGCTCCTTCAGATTATTTTGAAGATGGAAGATCAATTTATGAAATGTTAAAGAATTATAGAACAGGGGCAAGATTCAAAAAGGAAGTTATGAAAATTTTAATAAATTAATTGAATGAGAAAGAGTTGGAACATTTAAAAAGACTCTTTTAAAAGATAGATGAAGATAATTCTGGTACTATTACCTATCATGAATTAGAGAAAGCATTATGGAGTGAAGTAATTTTTTTAATTAATTCTATTTAGGGTTCTTAAGTATCACATGATGAGGTTAAGTAATTGATGTTAGCAATAGGAATGGACAATGAAGATGAAACATAAGAATGTTCATCAGGAAAATCATTCAAACCATTAGTTATAAAATACAGTGATTTTTTGACTGCTTGCATTGATGAAAGAAGAGTATTAACAAAAGAAAAAGTATACTAATGTTGTTTATTTAGTTGCTATCATTATTCAAATATTTTGATCATTAGAATTTGAATTATATCACAAAAGAAAATATATAAGAAGTATTTGCTAGACATGGTAGATCTCTAACTGACGAGAAATTGAATTAAATGATATATGAAATAGATCCAAATCATGATTAAAAGATATCATTTGATGAGTTCTGTTAAATGATGTCAGTGGAAGGTGTTTGTTAATTGATTGACTTTAAAGATGGTAATTTGGAACAATAAATTATATCTCCAAAGATAGACAATAAAATAGAACTTATATAATTTGAATGAATAATACTAATCTGTTATACTTTCATGATTTTGACATAAAAAATTCTATATTATTAATATCAAAATGGGTAATCTATCTACATCAAAGGAGAATCCTTAATCTCTTAAATAGATAACAAGAACTTCGAATTCAAGGATTTCAATAAGAGATAAATTGTTAAAAGATAATAATGCTTTTATGAATTCATGCACTGAAGCTTATTTCAATAAATTCCATAAGGTAATGAAAATAATCAAATATTTAGAAAATAGTAGAAAATGACATTAAAGAATTGTGTAAAAATTTGAATTAGAAAAAGCTGTTTATAAATAATAATGGAAAGTATCCAGATGATGCTGAATAATAAATAATTTATAAGTAGATTTCTAATGATATGTAACATAAGGGGAAGCATCTCTATAATTAGCTTATATTACATTATAGTTAATTTCTAAATGAACTCTTTGAATTTCATGAATAATTACCAATTAAATCTATTTCCTCATATAATTATGGAGATGTAAAAACCAGTACATAGCTTGTTAGAAATATTAGTTTCAAAAGAAGCTTCTCTGAGAAAATTAAAGTTGAACAACCATCATTTTCAGATAAAAATCATATAAAACAATCAATTCAAAATTAAAATATTGTTAATCAATTTCTTGAGAATAAACAATTGGCATTCTTATTTTTAGAATAACTAAGTTGCATTTTTAAACTTTGTTAAACTATTATTGAATATACATATGGATCTTGTATTTCCTCAATATTTGGTGATGATATAGATACTTTTACAGATCGTTAATTATTAATTACAAAGATTTATTAAAAAGATATTTTTAAATTTATTCCTTAACTATCAATATTATTATCAAATGCTTTACCAATAGTTTATAATAATAGATCTGCCCTAATTACCTATGATTTTAAGATTGAATAAATGAATGAAACTAATATGAGTGAAGATTTCTAAGATTCACAAGAATAAACAATAGATGAGTAATCAACATCATATGAAATATATTAGAAAACATAGCCTTATTTAAAAACCTTTAATATAATAGATAATATTATTAATTGTAAAATGCCTTGGTTAAAATTTAAATTGATAGGAAAATTAGAGAATATGATTGTGGATATGTTTTTATCATCTAGATCAAAGAATTAAGTTTCAAATTTTAAATATATCATTCAATCTGAAGATTCTAAAATTGAAGTGTTAAGATGTATATTACAAAAATATATGTGTTCAAGTGAAAATTAAAATTTATTATTATGCTATTAGTATTTAAGATGGATGTAAGAATATGATTCAGTTATTCATTAGAAATTAAAAACCTTTACATGTCCTTATTTTGTTCGATTTTTATCATTATATGAGGTAGCATATAATTACTATCAACGAAAATAAGCTATGCTTTTATTTAATTAATGAGTTTATTTAATGTTGTTTTTATTATTTTTTGAATCAATCGTATATGCAAATCAAAATGATGACTATGTTCACTTCAATTCAACGATAAATGCCAATCTAAGATATGGTTAATTCATATAATTGATTCCTAATACTTTTGGAATGGGATCAAATAATTAATATCGAATTGTAGATGGGATAGCATCTATAAATTTAACAATAAGTTCTCCAACAAAGAATGAATTTGATTTTTTTATCTTTGACTCACCCTACAATTAATTTTATGTTTGTTACATTCATTTTTCAGAGAGATCAGAAAATTTATGTTAATAATTGGTGTAAAATATATGTTAACCCTGTCCTAAGAATTAGATATACTTTTAATAGTTAGTATCAGTCTTTATATAAGCAGTAATGAGTGTTTAGTTAAATTATTAAGATCAAATAGAAAATGCAACAAACATGAATTCATTATGTTTTTTAGGTTGTTAAAGTGATTAAATAGGATCATTTATAATAGCAAATACTTCATATTAATATTATTAGAATGCAGCCTCTTATATGATACTAGACAATACAGCTTTTCCAAATCTTAGTGATTGCCATATTACAATCACAAATTGTCAAAATGCAAGTTCAGAAATAGTTATTGACAATAAGGATGAAAATTTTACAAATTTTTGTAACTTAATGAGAAATATAAGTTGTGTTTAGCAATTTTAAAATATAACTTAACCTGAAATATAATTTAATATAGATTTCAATATTGAAGTAAAATTGGGATTAATTCATAGATTACTCCAAATAATTAACTATATTATGTACAATATATGGTAATGATAATATTAGTAATAATAATTATCTTTTTGTTTATTATACTATGTGTTATAGCAATGAGATTTAAACAAGTTAAGAAAAAGATTTATGAAACAATAAAGAAAAAAAAGTGATAACAAAAGAATTATCAAATGATTTATATAATAATATAAAAATAATTAGATTATTTAAATATTTATAATAGAAATTAATAGTTAAATTATATACTACATAATGATTTCGATATAAATATCAATTTATATATATCATTATTAGCATGATGATAAATTAGTTAATTTTAGCAATTGAGCTCTCTATGATAATTACTTCTTCCATGGTGTTTAGATTAACACTAGGAGGTGGACCATCAAGACATCTCTATACATTATTATTCCAATGGCATTCATTAGATGATTATCTAGTGGAACATTCAGCATTTCTCAATTTAGAACAAGATGGTTTACATTAATTATTAATATATGTGCATCTTTGAGTATTTTATACTATTAATAAATTTAATAAATTTATTACCACAAGAAGCTTTATCTAGATCTGTACATAAATTTGAAATGCATCCTTTAATTTCACTGTAATAACAATATCCATTCATATTTAAACAAGTACATGAATCTTTAATTTCTGAGCAAGCTACACAAGTAAAGTCTGGTAATAATACACATACTTCTCCATCAGCCTAATATCCATGACAAGTTGAAGAACTATTACCTTAATCAGAACATATTTTAGATGTGCATTAATATTCAGTTCCATATGGTTAAGCAAGTTCCCATCTACACTTCTTATTAAGAAATGTTGAAGAAGTACACAGTTTTTCTTATAGAGTTGTATCAGTTAATTTAGAATAAGTGATATAATCTTAACATTAATTAAGTGCTTAGCAATAAGAACCATCCCAATAACATTGTTTATTATTCATAATACCAGTGCAACTCTCTTTTTTCATATAGTTGCATTCTTTAAGAACACATTAAAAATATGACCATTAGCAATTACCAGTGCATTAATCTTCATTAAAATGTTAACATCCTTAATCAACACAATGATCATCATTCCATAGATCTTAAGCACATTTTTTACCACCAATAGTATACATACTACAATCTACATTATATAATTCAGAGCATTTAGAAGCAGAACTACATTTATATAAATTAACATAACAAGTAGATTTGGCTATTTTACCTGAACAAGAAGTTAATGAAAGATCACTACATCTCTTGTTACGACATGAACCAGTTAATGTGTCAAAAATGCATTATATATTGTGACAATTATCTGAAGCAAATTTAGTACAATCTATAATTTGAAGTGATGAAACTTCTCCTCTACAAAAACATCTATCATCAATCCATTAACATTATGTAGTTTTGTTACATCCCAATTAATTAATACCACTATATGAACATTTATCATTTGAATATGATTAAACACATCCTCTATTCACAAAACTAAATTTACATGGTTCATTTATTACATTTTTACATACTTAGCCATTTACATTTTTCAATTCATTACATTTTATAATATTTGAAATTTCATATTTTTAACAAAATCCTTCAGAAAAACGGCAAAGTTCTGTTTCAACAGAAACACAACCTACTTTATTTAATCCAGATGTATTGCATTTATCAACTTATGGATCAAATTATCCAGTACATGTTCCATCTTTGAAATATTTACAAATGACATTGTCTTTATCAATTTAAGCACAAGATTTTGGGTTAACATTGAGTAATTCACTACATGTTATTAAACCTACTTTAATATAATTATATTCGCATCTTTCATTAATCCAAATTGTAGGCTATTTAAGAACACTTATACATGCCATTCTATTCATACCCTTTTTAGTATTAAGATATCGACCATCTTTATTTTAAATAAAAATTTCATTTGTTTCAGAGAAATTTTCACAATTTAAAGTGATTGAATTATGTTAACATTTTAAATTTGATGTAGTTATTGAAGCACAAACTTTTGGAGATACTGATTAATATTGACTACATTCTGTATATGTTACATTGAAATCAAATGATTTACATTTACTACCAGTCCAATCACAAGAATCAGCTTAAGTTGATAAACATCCATAATAATTTAATCCTGGAGTACTACATAAATCTTCTTCTGAATTTGATAATTGACATACAAAATTTAATTAATCATAACTAACACCAATTTTTTTTAAATTATCAACAGGAGCACCTAATTTTGTATAAGCTTTACGACAAACATTTGAATTAATTAATATGTGAGTAGATACTTCAAAACCATCTTCATCATCTAAAGAATAACATCTTTATCCTAACCATTTGCAATATTAACCATCTTATGATACTGATAAACAAGAATGTATATTTATGTTATCATTACATTTTAATTTATCAATTTCAGCAATTTCACATTTTTCTTTGAATATACAATTCCAACCTTACATTGCAACTGCTCTGCATCCATCTAATGATAGATCATCATCACAAGTAACTTCTTCTATATTTGCACTTTAACATAAATTATCCTTCCAATGACAAGTTTAACCTTCTATAATAGGTGCTAAACAAAGTTCTTTTTTTGAATATTTCAATTCAACACAAGTCATGAAAGAAGCAAAACTAGAATCTACCAATATTACACATTTTCCTATATCAATTCTCCAATAACAATTTCCAGCTGTATTTTATTAGCATCCTAAAGGACTTTTTGAGTTAGCACAAATTGATTAAGTTGTATCCTAAAAACATTTTGTTCCATCATGTCCACAAAAATCTGATGAGAAATAGAAGCATATCCCTGGAGATATTACTGGTTCAGTATGCTCAGCACAAGTTACTTTATTTCCCTTATAAGTCTTGCAACTACCACTATCATTATCCCATTAGCAAGATGTATTAATATTAATTAAACATTAATACTTTGTGTATATTTATTCGCATGTATTAAAGTATTTGTCTGTACTGTATTGTAAACATAAATTACTAGACCAATAGCAATTATTCTATATATACATACACCCTTTTTTAGTGATAATTGAAGTGCAAATTGAACCAAATATTTTGGAAGTACATCTCTATTAAGTTGAATCATATTAACAAATTTCAGATTCTAAAGCCAAACACTATGAAGAGTTTTAAGAAAGTACAGCATTTCTTTAATCACATTTTACATTTGGATCATCAATTTAAGCAAAAGTTGCACATGAGAAATCATCTTCTGATTTACATTAAACTGTTGAAAAGGCACATAATCCTCTACTTACTATACCAGATGCACAACTTGTTGAAGCAGCAAGTACTCTCTTTCCATTACAAGTTTTAGCAGTGTCATTCCAAACACAATAATTAAGATTATCTAAACAACCTAATTTATTTAAATTTTCAGTGCATTTTACATTGTAAGTTGGAACTATACATCCATCAGTGCTAGCTTAACATCTACTATTTGTTATTAATAAACATTTTGTTGAAGATAATGATGAATAAAGTAAATCTTAACAATTATCCCAAGTACTTGCTGTTATGCATTCATTATCAATAAATTTACAATGAACTAATTGATTCACACATCCTGCTAGATTTAAATCAGATTTACACCCATAATTTTTACTTACTTAAATACATTTTAACATCTTAATATCCCATCTACAAGAAGAACCTACCCATAAACAAGCCTATTTGTTAATTGCATCAGAACATAATGAATTTTTGGTTGTTAATTTTGCACATGTTGATCCCATAGTACAAGGTTCTCCATTCAAAATTATACAACAATATTCTGAGTTATTTGTTAATGCAGAACAACTTGATCCAGCTGTTGCACTCTAACATGTTCCTGCATTCCATATACAACATTTCTTTTAATGAGATTTACATGCCAATTCATTAAGATTATCTGTACATTCCAATTCATTTAATGATTACTAATTAATCTAAATACATTTCTTAGATTCATTATTAAATTAACAAGTCTCTGTTGTAAAAGATAAACATGCCAATTTATTCAACCCTGATAAACTGCATATTCCTTTTACTGTTACAACAGAACAACTTGAAGATACCCATTTACATGCTGCATCTGTTGCTTTCGAACAAACACCTGGGTTTACATTAGTATAAGAGGCACAACCATCTGTTACACTAATTTCTAAGCATGTACTTCCATCCCATTTACAAGTTTATCCTTCATTCATATTAAGACATCCTGATTAATTAGAAGGATCAGTACATTTATTTTTAACTAAAGTTGATGGATTAGTAACATCTATGCAAACTCCTTCTGAAAATACACAACTTCCAGTAGTTGCATTTATACATGCTCCTTTATTTGCTCCTAATGTTTAACAATTAGGAGCAACTTCTTATTTGCATCCCAGATTCCAAATGCAGTTTCCAGATTCAATTGATGCACAAATTGTTGCTGAAAAATTAGAATCTGCATATGCACTACAATTATCAGTTGGTTAAGTCTAAATTTAGACACATTTATTAATACTAGTGTCCCATTTACATTTTTGATCTGAATTTTTAATTCTTACACATCCTTAATAATTAAATGAAAAATCTTCAGTACAACTAGCTAAGTAAGGATTTTCTGTAATATCATAACATTATTTTTAAAAATAGAAACAGGAATTTAGTGTATTGGCTACACAAGCCATTTCATTTAATCCTTAACATGGTTAATTATCATTTGTTGGAACAATACAATATGTTGTTTAATATACTATATCATAAATGTATTAACATTTTGTACCACCACTAAAACTCATACAAGCATTAGGATTAATATTTGACAATTCACTACATTATACATCAACTGAAATTTCAGTACAAGAATTATTTATCCATTAACATATTTATGATCTACTTGTAATACATTACTTAAAAGATGTGCAATAATAACAACTCCAATAGGTTGTATCTGTTTCATAACAATAATTTCCATAATATTGATCAAAATTGCATGCTTAAGTTTTAATTTAAGTTAAACAATACACAGAATTAATAGTTGGATCTGATGTACATAAATCCAATTATGCATTTGTTACTTTACATTTTTAATTAATAGAATCATATATACATGCAACATCTGTAACATATTTGCATAAGTACATTGAAACCACATAGCCAGAAGCAAATTGAGAACAAGTATAATATTAAGATAGAAAATATGGTTAATATTCTTGACAAATATCGTTAATTAAGTCGTATGCACATTAAGATATAGTAACAGATACACAAGATTCTTTATCTAAACTATCTGAACAACCTTAACTTGTAAAATCACTGACTTCTTAACATCCATAATCATCTTTTGAAGTATCTTATTCAAATCTGCATTTATATCCTATAGTATTATTGAGACATGCTTTTTTATTCAGCCCTATGGAATTACATTAATTTGTTGTTGTTGTTACTTCTATACATGCTTTACTAGTACTATCATATTGACATTTGTCTGTACCAAATATGATTGATTGACATATTCTTTTAACAAATTTACCTTATGCTGAGCCTACCTGACTACACTAAGTGTAAGGAGTGATGACAATTTTTTTACATTTTCCTAGAGTAGTCCAAGAACATGTATCATTTGTAATTGCTAGACAATCTGTTTCATTCAATTGACTCTTACATAAATCTCCTTCCGAACCACTGTTTAAACATATTTCTAAACTCCAATCCCAGTAACATAATGAATTCAATCCACAGGTATAATAACTATATCCAGGTTTACAATCTTAGACCAAATCTGTGAAATCTACACATTTGAAATTTATTGAATCGTATTGACAATATTAACCATCAGTGTAAATAGTCTAACAAACTCTAGGATTATAGAGTTTACTTTAATAGTCAGTACAACTTGAACTATAAGAATCAAGATCATAAGCAAATTAACAAGTATTATCAACCCATTTACAATTATATTGTAATGAAGCCAAACAACCTAATTTGTTCACCAAACTAAAACATGCTACTGAATAAGCTGCTGTTCCAGCTACTTCAAAACATTGTAATTTATCAGAATCATAATAACAAGCCCCTGCTGTATTTTCTAAACATGCTTTCCTATTCAATCCCTTATCAATACAGTTGTAACTCACTTCGGCAGATGTCAAAATTTTACAATGACTATCTACAACATTAGAAACACATGCTTCTTCAGGATAAGTACTAGCACATAAAGTTGGATTTACTGTCATGGACACATAATCTGAACATGATTAACCTGATTTAATAGGCTAACATTTTTTCTCTGAATCTACCCATTAACAATATTAACCAGTTGTTGATATACTTAAACATAATTTTTTATTTGCTTATTTACAAAGTAGAGATGAAAATTTGGAATCATTAGGATCTGTAATTTCTAAACATTTCAAAGATGATTGATCAAAATAACAATACTTACTACTGTTGGAGAGAGCTACACAAGCATGTAAATTGATATCCAAAGTTGATCCACAATCTGTCCATTCAGAAAGATTAGCAGTAAATTCTGTACAAGAACTTGTTGCTGAATTATAGGAGCAATAAAAACTAGTACTTATGTATCTTTCTAATGTTACTTCAAATGCCAAACAAAATAATTTGTTGACATTCGAATACTAAGTACATTAATCAGTAGCAGGAAAACTAAATAATTCACAAATATTATCTTTTGCTAACCATCTACAATATTAACTAGCCTTTGTTATTAAAACACAAGTGCTTTTTGATGGAAAATTTGTATCACAATTGATTGTAGCATAATCAGATTCTTCAGTAGATTTACATTAATTAGTAGTAGTATCAAAATGACACTTTGAACTTACAAATGCACAACCATATGGATTCAAACCAGCAGCAGTACAAGCAGTAGTTGGTGGTACTTATGTAGTACAACTCTTTCTAGATAAATCATAAACACATCTTTAGTTGTTAGATTAAATCATTGCACAAGTTCTTTAAGTAACAGATTATAGAGCTTAGCATGTTACTGCATTTCCTAAAATTGTAACTTTTACGCATTAATTTGAAGACCATCTACAACTTTCTAATGGATCAGAAACTGAACTGCAAGCTGCTTCATTTAAACCTTCTGTTTCACAATTAATTGTTGTGGGCAATATAACTTTTTCACAAGAAGTAGAATTTATATTATATTTACACATTATTGGATTACCAATTTCATCTTCTTCTTTAATAGCTCTACAAGCAACTGCATTTACTAATTTTAGTGAATCACATTTAGTTTCTCTAGTTATTGTTATTGTTTAACAAGTTCCTGAATCTCCATTCCATTAGCAAGGAGATACTGTATTTAGTGTATTAAGACAACCCAATTTATTAAATCCTTTAGTTGAACATTCTTCAGTTCCATATGTTGTAAAACATCTACCATCAACCCAGAAACTAGCAACTGTTGTTATTTTACTACAAGCATTTTGATTAACATTTTCTAGCTCTTCGGGTAGATCTTCTGGAGTAATATAGATTTCTATGCATTTTTCATTATAAAATTAACAAACTTAGCTAGGATTTGTCAAATTTATACAAGCTAATTTGTTTAAGCCACTTGCACATCCTAATAAATTTAAATTACTTATAGATTTGCAGTATCCATTTTCATATAGACAATACTTATCTGCTCCCATACATGAATGGTAATTTTATCCTTTTCTATCACATTCATTCTACTTAAATTTGCAATGGTTTCCTAAATCAAACCATTAACATTCATATTTAGATAATTCACATTTTGAAGCAGTGTCTAAAATCTTAGACTTACACATTCGATCACACTTCATTGTTTATTCATCATAAAAACATGCTTCATCATCTTTTATTATATTAGCACAAACACTGGGTGAAACCTATATTATTTGAAAAACTTCTTACTTATATTGATATATCACAAGTACTATCTTCTTTTACTAAATATTTAGTACATTAACTACCATTCCAATAACAAGTTTCTTTAAAGTTTGTAACTTATAAACATGCAATTTTATTTAACTTATCGCTACACAATAAAGTAGAGAAATTCATCACTTTTTAACAATTTCCATTCTAAAAAATACAAGGTTCAGTTTCAACTAACATACAACCTAATGAATTCAATCCTCCAGCATCACATGTTATCTACTTATATATTTCAACAACTGGTTAAAAACATCCTGGAATCATCATTTATTATTCATATTTATTTTCCCCACCTGATGATGTTAAGTTCTCAAAATATAACTGTATCAAAGAATCATGTGCTCCATGTTAATGAATTGCTAATTTCAATTTCAATTTATACCTGGAAAATTAATAATTTATTGACAGATTGCAATTGATGACAGTTTCAAATCATCTGTCATTGAAGTTGCTTAAGCTAATATCATTGCTTGACTTTCTGTGATTGGAATACATTCATCTTTCCAAATACAATATGCTTCTTCAACTCCTAAACACCCAGCTCTTGATAAATTTTTTTAACACTCTGAGGCATCATCAACAACATTTCTGCAATATCCACTGAAAATACCTATTTAAATACTACTAATTAAATACATTCAGCTATTGATTTGTCTGGGTATATTCTTTATGATATGCATGCTTGTAAATTTAAATAATTCTGGCATCCCAACAATTTACCTGTTGATTCTTAGCATTGGTTATTCTATTCATTCCATCTGCAAGAAATTCCAGTACTTTGTATACATCCGGTTTCATCTTAAAAGTAATCAGAACACTAATCACAACTACACATTTGAAGAAAAACAATAATTAGTATTATCGTAAACTTTTTCATTTTAATATTATTATGCATAACTTAAATCAATCTATTTATCAATTATATAATCAATAACAATAAACCAATATTAATTTAACAACCTATTACTCAAATGTTAATCAATCATTACTATTTTTACAAAATTAATTATTATTGTATTGGATTAAGTCTGAAATTACAATTTCTCTTTTTTCAACTTCTTTAATTATCAACCAAAATGAGATAAAACTTATTTCTTTATATACCTATTTAGAATATAATAATTTTACTACTTTATTCTTTACCTATTTTAAGAAAGAACATTTAAATAGGAACTATAAATTATTTGAATCAACATATTTTTAACTAATAAATATTCAGTAAATAAAAATATATAATATGTTTAAAGAATCAATATTTCAAGGCAATTAAACAAAACTTATTTGGAGTTATCTACCTATGCCAGTCCTCTCTAAAAAAGGAGCTTTGGATGGAGAATTTATTAAATCAAGTACTAACACTTGTAAAATAAAAAAATTCATTTTGATACAAAATATTTTAGGTTGTTACACAAAAAAAGTATTCTTAAATATATTTAGGGTCCCATCAAATGGATAAATTATGAAAATTCTTTTATCGAGATAACTCGAGACAAAATGCTTGGAGAAGGGATATCTATAACTAAAGGAGAAACACTTATTTTATATGGAGAAACAGAAATTTGGTTCAATTATATGAAGAGATGGTGTATTTAATAAGGCTTTTCAAATACATACAAAATAATGGAGAAAATAGGCAGAGGAAATCAAGCAGAAGTATTAATAAATTCTATTTAGGTGTACAGCTGTAGATACCAATTAGGAGATGAAAAATTTGCTGTTAAATAATATTCCAAACATAAATTAACTAATAGATAAGATAAAATTGCTCTTTTAAAAGAAATATCTATCTTGCGTCAAGTTTAACATGAAAATATAATTCGTCTTTATGAAGTTTTTGAGAACGAAGACACTATATATGTTGTAATGGAATTGCTAGAAGGAGGAGATTTAAATGATTATTTAAAATAACCAAGTTCATTTTTCAATGAAAAATAGTTAGCTAGTTTCATATATAGACTATTTAAAGCAATTTTATCATTTCATAAATTTGGCATAATGCATCGCGATATCAAACCAAAAAATATAATTTTAAGAAAATAAAGCCTGTCTTAATTTTGTGTAGCCGATTTTGGTTTAGCAGATTATTATAATAAAGATGGGAAATATTTATTTTAAAGATGTGGAACTCCTGGTTTTGTAGCTCCTGAGATTTTGAGAGATGAATTCTATGATTTTAAAGTTGATGTTTTTAGTGTAGGTGTAATAATGTATATTATAATTTCTGGGGAGGAACCATTTGGAGGTGATTATAATGAAACTATAACAAAGAATTATTTGGGGTAGGTTGATGTAAGCAATCTAAAAATAAGTGAATAAGGATAATTGTTTTTGAAATCATTATTTGAAGTTAGACAATTAAGACCTACGGTTAAAGAAGCTATGAATCATTAATGGTTTAAATAGGAAAAGATTGTGACAGAGAAATACAGAATTCGTATTAAAGAGCCTTAAATTAAGCAAGTTTAATTGTTTATCCCTTCAATAACAGAAACCACTATTTCACATAGTTAGTTTTTAAAGCCTACTAGAACTGCATCATCAACGAGAAACTCAAATTATCGTTTAAGTCCTATAGCTTTAAAGAAACCAAATAAAACTCCAAATCCAAGCCCAAGTCTCAAGAGGAAATCCCTCAAGTGAAAACCTATTACTATTACATAAGCAAAAAAGCCTTATGAATTTATATTATTTACTTTTAAATTATTTTTTTTTCATTTATTATTGAATATCTGAAGAGAGATGATTAATAAAATTCAATTTATGATACTTAGTATTTATCTCGCAGATTAGAGTTCTGTTAATTTTTAGAATATATTGAGATGTGTTATATTAACTGAGAATAGATTAAGAAGAATATGTTTTAGTTGATTTGATTTTAAAATTTAAGATTTTATTTTGTTTAAAATGTCTTAAAAGAAGCAACAAATGCAAGTCGAGTAAGTTATTGTATTGATGATGTAGATAAAAGGTTCCTGAAAACGTCGCTAAGAAGACTGTTAGAGATACTAAATTGAGGGAAGCTGTTGCTAAGAGAAGAACAGAGAGATTGGCTGCCAACAAAACTAGAAGAGCTCAATGGGAAAAAAATGCTTAAGCTTATGAAGCTGAATATAAGGCTGCAGATAAGAGCTTAGTTGATAACTTACGCAAAGCTAAGACTGAAGGTGGATTCTATGTTCCAGCTGAAGCTAAATTGATTTTGGTTGTCAGAATCAGAGGGTATTATTTATTTTACTAATGAAAGTATCAACACCTTGAATCCACAGGTTAGATAAACCTTGAGACTTTTAAAATTAAGATAACTTCACAATGCAGCCTTTGTTAGAGTCAACAAGGCCACAATTGAAATGATCAGAAAAGTTGAACCATATGTCACTTATGGATATCCATCAAGAGCTGTTATCAAGAATCTTATTTATAAGAGAGGATATGCCAAAGTTAATGGTCAAAGAATCCCAATCACAAACAATAATGTGATTGAGTAATAATTAGGAAAAGTTGGCATTCACAGCATTGAAGATCTTATTCATGAGATTGTTACAGTAGGACCTCACTTCAAAGAAGCAAATAGATTCTTATGGTAATTATTAATTCTAATTTTTAGGGCATTCAAGTTGAGAGGACCAAGAGGTGGATTCATTGCAAAGAGAAAATCCTTCATTAATCAAGGAGATTGGGGAAATAGAGAAGATCTTATTAATGATCTTGTTAAGAGAATGATTTGATTGAAAAGTAATTATATATACATTAATAAATAAATAAATCAATTATTTCATGAATAAGTATTGAAGAAACAGTGTATTTTTCAAAAGTTATTAATGATGAAGAAAATCAAGTTAGTAAATTTAATTAACAATAAACAGGTTAGACCAATTGTTTATTAGAAAATCCTATCATTATTTCATAGAGAAAAAAAAGATTAAAATAAACAAAATAAAAAAAGTAAATTCCTTAGGGATATTTTTAATTATTAACTTCGCTAAATATTCTAAAATATCATCTAATTAAAGAGTATAACATAATAAGAAATATTTATTACTAAAAGAATTCTATAATTTATAAAATATTAAAAATGAGTCATTATTAAAAATGGCTTAGTTTCCCAGGTTTTTTAATTATATTAATTCTAAAATTTATCCATCATATATAAGTATTATTGTATTTTTAATACTTTCTTAGAATTTGATTAAATAATTATTAAGATAGAGATTGTTATTGTAATTATATCTTATATTGTTCCTCTCAAGATATTCAATTTTGTTTCAAAAAAGCTATTACTATATTTTTCCTTTTTAACATAATGTTGTAATCATAATTATCATTTAATGCATAAATATATTTCTGTATTTCTTGTGTTCCAATGGATGATTTTGAAAAAGGTAATTGATTAATGAGATTAAAGCTTTTTAATGTTTCATGAGTTATAATAATAAAATTATAACAAACACAAAAAAATTATTTATTATTATAATAAAACTAATCATTTTTAAAAATGTTATTTTTATATATTCTCATTTTCATGAAATATGTTTAAGTTCTGATATTGGCCTTTAACCTGGCCATCTAGATATATGATTTTGCCAGTATTAATTCTCAATGATAGTATTCCATAATTTCTTAGCTGTGTCTTTTGTTACATCATTCATTTAGGCAAATTAATCTAGTGTAAACTTATTCAATTCAGGATTGCCAGATAATTATGATACCATATATTCAACTACACTTGATTGATTTTAATATATAATAATTACCATGTAATTGTTGAAGTTTTTTCACCTCTTATAATACTATTATCCATAAGTCTATGAGGTATGTCATAAATTGCCATATTTTCAATTTCATTAAATGGTAATTTGTGTTCTTTAACTTTGATTACAATTTTTTAACAGATATCTATTTTTCCTGGATCACCTGAATTCTAAACAAAATATATATAATTATTTACTTTCATATTTAAAGCTTTAGAAACTAAATCCATTTACTAAGGTGTTACTTAGCAAAATTTAACTATATCTTCTAGTTTAATTTTATTTAATCTTTCATCATAATTACGTTGACTTCTTTTTTCTTTTATAGTTAGATTATAGGCCAAAGCAGCTAAAGCTAAAAAGCTTTTGTTGGCAATCTAGAATTTTTAAATTTAATCTTCTTACCTCATTAGCATTATCAAACATCAAAGATCTGTATTTAGAGATGACATCATTAGTGAATGCCTCATTCATTCTAAAAATACTCGATAACTTTTAAATTTGATGTTCTCCAGCTTCAAATTTTTCATAAAATTGTTTTCTCTACTTAGGATCTGATTTTCCTAACATTTCACAAAGCTAATTTTTAAAAGCATCTCTTTTATTTTCATATCCTCCAAATCTAGTTTACTTTTTTCCTGGTTCATCTGCCTCGTGCAAATTAACCTCATTTTCATAAGTAATTTTTCCTTATTCAATAACTATTCCATTGCATAGTTTTGATTTACAAAAGCTTGAGGACGACCTTGGATCAAAGTAAGCATTATTTTTGCAATAAGGACATATGATATTACTATCTGTCATTAATAATCTAATATTTTTATTAATCAATTGCGAACAAAAAATTTAGCCCAAAATTCTGGATGGTAATTTTGCTTATCAGAAATAATAGTAAATTGAAATTTGATAAAATTCATAAAGACTAACTAAAACCAACTTGAAATACATTAAATAAAGTAACATGTTAAATCATATTGTAAATCTATTAAAATTTTGAACAATTTTTGGAACTATATTAAAAATTGTTATTCTTATCCATATAAGTGATGGATAAATGGTATTTCTATAACATTCACTGAGAATATCTAAATAAAATTAAACTATATGATTTATATCTTCAAATTTTATGTTTTTTTAGATTAGATAATCATGAAATTGAAATTTTAATGCTCATTTTTCTATTTAAAACTGTTAGTCAGTTTAATGGCACTTTTAGAATAAGATATAATGTAAGATAAATAAGAATTCTGATTTAAAATTGCTAGTAGTATCTTAATTTAATTTATTTATAAAAGAACTCAAAGAAATTGAAGATTTTTAATATAATATGATTAAATAATGGGTTTTAATTTATAAAAAGATTTAGAAATAGTATAAGATTTGAATATTTTAATTTTTGTTAAGATTTCTTTTGATTTGATATAATTAAAGATATTTATATTTTTATTTAATTTACTAAATTTCAATTAATAAATAAATGAATTCATTTAGAAGAGTAGTAACCAAAACTAAAACTAGTATATTCTTACATAAAGAAAGCATTGATAATGTTTTAAGAGAGCAATTAGCTGCATTAAGATTGCTTTAACCAAAAACTTAAGTACTAAAAATTAGTAAATGAAGATCGTTGATCAAAAATTAGAACAACGTAAATAAGAACTTTTATATCAAATGACTTAAGAAAATTAATAAATTAATGATCATTTTCATTTAAAATCATATTAAAACATTTTAGCTGAATTAACTTATATTAATAATAAAAAAAGATCACAAATATTAGAAGAATTTAAGTTATAGAATGAATAGGTTATTGTTGTTCCAGAGTTAGATTTATAAAATGATATTGATAAGGAAATAGATTGTAAGTAGATGTTGAAAAAAAGAATTGATTAGATTGAGCATTCGGTGAGAATTATTGAAAAACAGAATAATTTAATGAATGAGTAAATTGAACTATACATTTAGAATGATCCAAAAATTCATCTAAAAGAAATTGAAAACAAATAATAATTGTCCCTTTTTGTTCATTATATTGGAACCATTAAAAAAGCAATGAAATTAGAAAAGGAATGGTAGACTTAAAAAATTGAAAAATTAAAATATAAGGCAGAAAAGTCATAAGCAATTACAGAGTAAAAATTAAAAGAACTATTAGAATAAGAGGATAAAGAGATGTCGCTGTTACTTTAATATGAATAGACAAGTGATCAAATTAATTAAATAAATGAAGAAATTAAAACAAAATTTCACAAAATTGAAGAATGTGCTGAGTTATTAGAAGAATTTGATGATATTGATAAATTACGATTAATATTTGTTTTAGAAAATCCAAATGATTTTGAACTTGAAGAGATTTTATAACATGTTCGTTTGCAATTAAGATAACCATTTTCTAGATTATAATTGGCATCATCTTTATAAGAATATATAGATAGAGCAAGATTTAGTGGAGTTTCTTCTAGAATGAAGATATTTTTTAAATTTCATGATAATGATTTGAATTATTCAATCAATTAATTGATATAAGTTTATAGAAAGTTATAATTTCAAGATGGGACACTAAGAAATAGATATGAAGATTTATTATTATAAAAAGGGCAATTGATTAATAATTTACTATATTTGAATTAGTTGTAATTTTATGAGTTAGATGAACCTGAATCTGCAGCACCGTAAATAGATGAATCATAACATGAAATGGCTCAATATCTTAAAAATATTTAGATAAGACATTTATCAAATAACAAATATTTTTTTGTAAGAATTTTTACAATGCTTACAACTGTATTATCTAGAATACTAAATTCATTGTATAATATAAAAGAAATTTTGAAGTCTTGCAATTCTGATATGTTTGGACATGAGTAAATAATTATATATACATATTAGGTTCTATTTAAAATGGACATATAATAAAATGTTTATATAATTNAAAAAAAGATCACAAATATTAGAAGAATTTAAGTTATAGAATGAATAGGTTATTGTTGTTCCAGAGTTAGATTTATAAAATGATATTGATAAGGAAATAGATTGTAAGTAGATGTTGAAAAAAAGAATTGATTAGATTGAGCATTCGGTGAGAATTATTGAAAAACAGAATAATTTAATGAATGAGTAAATTGAACTATACATTTAGAATGATCCAAAAATTCATCTAAAAGAAATTGAAAACAAATAATAATTGTCCCTTTTTGTTCATTATATTGGAACCATTAAAAAAGCAATGAAATTAGAAAAGGAATGGTAGACTTAAAAAATTGAAAAATTAAAATATAAGGCAGAAAAGTCATAAGCAATTACAGAGTAAAAATTAAAAGAACTATTAGAATAAGAGGATAAAGAGATGTCGCTGTTACTTTAATATGAATAGACAAGTGATCAAATTAATTAAATAAATGAAGAAATTAAAACAAAATTTCACAAAATTGAAGAATGTGCTGAGTTATTAGAAGAATTTGATGATATTGATAAATTACGATTAATATTTGTTTTAGAAAATCCAAATGATTTTGAACTTGAAGAGATTTTATAACATGTTCGTTTGCAATTAAGATAACCATTTTCTAGATTATAATTGGCATCATCTTTATAAGAATATATAGATAGAGCAAGATTTAGTGGAGTTTCTTCTAGAATGAAGATATTTTTTAAATTTCATGATAATGATTTGAATTATTCAATCAATTAATTGATATAAGTTTATAGAAAGTTATAATTTCAAGATGGGACACTAAGAAATAGATATGAAGATTTATTATTATAAAAAGGGCAATTGATTAATAATTTACTATATTTGAATTAGTTGTAATTTTATGAGTTAGATGAACCTGAATCTGCAGCACCGTAAATAGATGAATCATAACATGAAATGGCTCAATATCTTAAAAATATTTAGATAAGACATTTATCAAATAACAAATATTTTTTTGTAAGAATTTTTACAATGCTTACAACTGTATTATCTAGAATACTAAATTCATTGTATAATATAAAAGAAATTTTGAAGTCTTGCAATTCTGATATGTTTGGACATGAGTAAATAATTATATATACATATTAGGTTCTATTTAAAATGGACATATAATAAAATGTTTATATAATTATCTTAAGTAATACAATAATTAGAAAAATAATATAAAATCAAATTAATAGCTAAAGATCCCAGTATAAGAAATTCAAATTAGTTTTTAAATGCAATCTATGATCATATAGAGGAAAAGGCTTTGCGTGAAAAAACAACAATCCAACCTAACCAACAATAAACGATTGATTAGATATTGCCTCAACTTAATCCATTATCGATATAAAAGGTTTCATAATTAATCAGTTAAGACATTTTCTTATAATAATTTCTGAGGTTCTCAGATCTTGCTTTATTAATAAAAAATTAATCATCTAGTCTAAACGAAGCTGAAGTGATCAAACTAATATAAATTGAAGGCTATGATATTGCTCATTGTGAATTAAGATCTTCCACCTAACATTTATTTAGAGTGATACAAGACATAATTACAGAATGTAGAACTGTAAAAGAATCTAGTGTTTAAGCTAAGAGCCTTGCTAAAAAATATCACATTTAAGAAATAATTGATAAACATATGTCATCATATGAATACAAATTCAAAGAATGGAAGAAGGAAGTACTAGAAAATAAAATAAAATAATTTGAACATTAATTTGATGAAATAACAGAAGCTCCAACAACTCCAGAAATGAAACTTAAATCAAGTATTGCAACAATTAGTACACATATTACATCATAACCATCAAAATTACATTACAATAGTCAAATCACAAAAGAATCTACTTTATTAACTCCAACTTCAAATAATCTAAGAAGATATCTAAACACAGTTGAATCTCAAATCCCAAATAAAAAAGCTCAACTTCCCAAAGAACCTATTTTTGCTCATTTACACTAGATGAGTAGAAAAATTAAAAATGAAAAAATTACTACTTAAACTCATTTAAGGACTTTTACTCTTTAAAGTATTGATTCCACAAAGTAACAAAGTTAACAAACTATTCCGCTAAAACTACTCCCTTCAATACCAATATAGAGTTTTTCTTAAAATCTCCTTAAATAACCAACAAATAAGATTATTACCAGACAACATAGAAAAAGTCAAGTTGTTAAAACTGAGCCAACTGTAAAATTAGAAACTAAATAAATACAAAACTATTCAGATATCTATGAGAAATCAAATAAAAAATTATTTGACTTTTTTAAAAATGCTAGTATGAAAATTAAATGAATTACATTAAGATTATATATTGAATAAATAATATTGTTTTTTTTTAAGAGTTTCTCTCAATTAGATGTTGCTTAATTAAATCTAAAGAAGAAACCTAAATTATTTTTTATATTCCCTTATATTTAAGTAGTTAACTAAATTGAGATTATATCAATCTGTTTTATTAGATAATCTATCAATGTCTCTTTTTATTATTAATATAAGTTAATTCAGCTAAAATGTTTTAATATGATTTTAAATGAAAATGATCATTAATTTATTAATTTTCTTAAGTCATTTGATATAAAAGTTCTTATTTACGTTGTTCTAATTTTTGATCAACGATCTTCATTTACTAATTTTTAGTACTTAAGTTTTTGGTTAAAGCAATCTTAATGCAGCTAATTGCTCTCTTAAAACATTATCAATGCTTTCTTTATGTAAGAATATACTAGTTTTAGTTTTGGTTACTACTCTTCTAAATGAATTCATTTATTTATTAATTGAAATTTAGTAAATTAAATAAAAATATAAATATCTTTAATTATATCAAATCAAAAGAAATCTTAACAAAAATTAAAATATTCAAATCTTATACTATTTCTAAATCTTTTTATAAATTAAAACCCATTATTTAATCATATTATATTAAAAATCTTCAATTTCTTTGAGTTCTTTTATAAATAAATTAAATTAAGATACTACTAGCAATTTTAAATCAGAATTCTTATTTATCTTACATTATATCTTATTCTAAAAGTGCCATTAAACTGACTAACAGTTTTAAATAGAAAAATGAGCATTAAAATTTCAATTTCATGATTATCTAATCTAAAAAAACATAAAATTTGAAGATATAAATCATATAGTTTAATTTTATTTAGATATTCTCAGTGAATGTTATAGAAATACCATTTATCCATCACTTATATGGATAAGAATAACAATTTTTAATATAGTTCCAAAAATTGTTCAAAATTTTAATAGATTTACAATATGATTTAACATGTTACTTTATTTAATGTATTTCAAGTTGGTTTTAGTTAGTCTTTATGAATTTTATCAAATTTCAATTTACTATTATTTCTGATAAGCAAAATTACCATCCAGAATTTTGGGCTAAATTTTTTGTTCGCAATTGATTAATAAAAATATTAGATTATTAATGACAGATAGTAATATCATATGTCCTTATTGCAAAAATAATGCTTACTTTGATCCAAGGTCGTCCTCAAGCTTTTGTAAATCAAAACTATGCAATGGAATAGTTATTGAATAAGGAAAAATTACTTATGAAAATGAGGTTAATTTGCACGAGGCAGATGAACCAGGAAAAAAGTAAACTAGATTTGGAGGATATGAAAATAAAAGAGATGCTTTTAAAAATTAGCTTTGTGAAATGTTAGGAAAATCAGATCCTAAGTAGAGAAAACAATTTTATGAAAAATTTGAAGCTGGAGAACATCAAATTTAAAAGTTATCGAGTATTTTTAGAATGAATGAGGCATTCACTAATGATGTCATCTCTAAATACAGATCTTTGATGTTTGATAATGCTAATGAGGTAAGAAGATTAAATTTAAAAATTCTAGATTGCCAACAAAAGCTTTTTAGCTTTAGCTGCTTTGGCCTATAATCTAACTATAAAAGAAAAAAGAAGTCAACGTAATTATGATGAAAGATTAAATAAAATTAAACTAGAAGATATAGTTAAATTTTGCTAAGTAACACCTTAGTAAATGGATTTAGTTTCTAAAGCTTTAAATATGAAAGTAAATAATTATATATATTTTGTTTAGAATTCAGGTGATCCAGGAAAAATAGATATCTGTTAAAAAATTGTAATCAAAGTTAAAGAACACAAATTACCATTTAATGAAATTGAAAATATGGCAATTTATGACATACCTCATAGACTTATGGATAATAGTATTATAAGAGGTGAAAAAACTTCAACAATTACATGGTAATTATTATATATTAAAATCAATCAAGTGTAGTTGAATATATGGTATCATAATTATCTGGCAATCCTGAATTGAATAAGTTTACACTAGATTAATTTGCCTAAATGAATGATGTAACAAAAGACACAGCTAAGAAATTATGGAATACTATCATTGAGAATTAATACTGGCAAAATCATATATCTAGATGGCCAGGTTAAAGGCCAATATCAGAACTTAAACATATTTCATGAAAATGAGAATATATAAAAATAACATTTTTAAAAATGATTAGTTTTATTATAATAATAAATAATTTTTTTGTGTTTGTTATAATTTTATTATTATAACTCATGAAACATTAAAAAGCTTTAATCTCATTAATCAATTACCTTTTTCAAAATCATCCATTGGAACACAAGAAATACAGAAATATATTTATGCATTAAATGATAATTATGATTACAACATTATGTTAAAAAGGAAAAATATAGTAATAGCTTTTTTGAAACAAAATTGAATATCTTGAGAGGAACAATATAAGATATAATTACAATAACAATCTCTATCTTAATAATTATTTAATCAAATTCTAAGAAAGTATTAAAAATACAATAATACTTATATATGATGGATAAATTTTAGAATTAATATAATTAAAAAACCTGGGAAACTAAGCCATTTTTAATAATGACTCATTTTTAATATTTTATAAATTATAGAATTCTTTTAGTAATAAATNTATCTACTGAGATTTTTTTGCTTTTTTTCGATTTTTGAGGCTCTTTCACTGCTCCAATTTGTAAATAATAAGGTGCTCTATAAGGCTCCTCTTGGTTTTTTGTTGTTTTTCAAATGGTGATTAAAGAGTTAAATACACCCAAAACTCATTAGGAGTCAACTCTATTTATTGCATGCTATTGGTTTTTAAAATTGATGGTCTAAAATTCACAAAAAGAGCTCCACTTCATATAGTTTTGTCATATTTAATATGTCCTTAGAACATTCATCCATAAATTAAGCGTATAGATAAGAAAAATAAGTAAAGATTGTAAATTTGAATTTGGATTAATTAGAACATCATTATCTTTCAAACCTAAAGTAATTACATAAAATTATTTTTATTTTAACTGAATTGAAAAAAAAATTAAATTATAGAAAATAAGAAGATTGTGGGAGCAATAGCGAGAAAAAATCGAAAAAATTGATTATTTTGATTATGAATATCTTTTCTTAATAGTAGCTTAAGTTAATATAATTAAAATAAAACTCAAAGTAATTGTAAATTTCAATAAAATTTTATTAAAGTATGTTTTAAAGTATTCTAATATTAATAATCTTTAGGCTAAGTAATTATATGGATAGGATATTAATTTTCAAACCAAGCTTAAAAAAATTAGTTTGAATTGTTATTTTTTTTAAATATAATACTTGCGAATATTTAATGAATTATATTTAATTTTGTAAAAATCATAAATAATTATATTTTGAAAATTTAAAATCTCATTGTAAATAGATAATAAGTGAAAGCTGTTTAGAAACATAAACTAATAGAGAATTAATTCTAACAAGAATAATTTAATTCTAACATTACTTATATAAAAACTAGAATTATAATAAAAATTATATTATTAATTTGAATATTACTTATTGATATGATTAGTTTTTGAAACAGTCTAATAAGTTAATTTCAAACTATTTATATCGATAAATAATCATTTTCACTTTTAATATTATTAATTGAAATATTTATGCAATAAAAACTGTGGATTCCAATTCCAAATGAATTTAAACCAAAACAAGAACATTTAATTATTTAAGGAGAATTCACAAAACCTAATGGTAAAACTAGATTTCTATATGGATATGATAAATACATAGTTTGCTTTAAGGTTAGCCATACTTTTTATATTAACTAGAAGGATGAATAGCCAAAGAAATGTTTAAAATTAGAATTTGAAACTAAATTTGAAATTTTAAGATAAGCAATATAGAAAAAAGATGAGGATGATGATTCACTTGGACCAATAATAGGAATTTAATTCTTGAGAGATATTGTAGAGATCATGCCTACCTATAAATTAAGTGCATCTGCTAAATTAATACTTGAATGGAGATAATATTTAAGTCCAAGAATCAATCAATGGTAATTTCATCAGATGTTTCGAGTTTATAAAAAAATTGGAAAAGGAAATTTTGCCTCAGTATTAATGTACATTTTATAATAGGTCTATATGGCTGAAAGAATAGAAGATGGTGAAGAAATGGCAATCAAAGCGTTTGCAAAACAGGCTGCTTATGCTGAGGAGAATGGAAAGGAAGCAATTTTAAATGAATTAGCAATAATGAGAAAATTACGTAACAAACATCTGATGAGAATGTTTGAAGTTTACGAAACCTAGAATTCTNAATTTCAATAAAATTTTATTAAAGTATGTTTTAAAGTATTCTAATATTAATAATCTTTAGGCTAAGTAATTATATGGATAGGATATTAATTTTCAAACCAAGCTTAAAAAAATTAGTTTGAATTGTTATTTTTTTTAAATATAATACTTGCGAATATTTAATGAATTATATTTAATTTTGTAAAAATCATAAATAATTATATTTTGAAAATTTAAAATCTCATTGTAAATAGATAATAAGTGAAAGCTGTTTAGAAACATAAACTAATAGAGAATTAATTCTAACAAGAATAATTTAATTCTAACATTACTTATATAAAAACTAGAATTATAATAAAAATTATATTATTAATTTGAATATTACTTATTGATATGATTAGTTTTTGAAACAGTCTAATAAGTTAATTTCAAACTATTTATATCGATAAATAATCATTTTCACTTTTAATATTATTAATTGAAATATTTATGCAATAAAAACTGTGGATTCCAATTCCAAATGAATTTAAACCAAAACAAGAACATTTAATTATTTAAGGAGAATTCACAAAACCTAATGGTAAAACTAGATTTCTATATGGATATGATAAATACATAGTTTGCTTTAAGGTTAGCCATACTTTTTATATTAACTAGAAGGATGAATAGCCAAAGAAATGTTTAAAATTAGAATTTGAAACTAAATTTGAAATTTTAAGATAAGCAATATAGAAAAAAGATGAGGATGATGATTCACTTGGACCAATAATAGGAATTTAATTCTTGAGAGATATTGTAGAGATCATGCCTACCTATAAATTAAGTGCATCTGCTAAATTAATACTTGAATGGAGATAATATTTAAGTCCAAGAATCAATCAATGGTAATTTCATCAGATGTTTCGAGTTTATAAAAAAATTGGAAAAGGAAATTTTGCCTCAGTATTAATGTACATTTTATAATAGGTCTATATGGCTGAAAGAATAGAAGATGGTGAAGAAATGGCAATCAAAGCGTTTGCAAAACAGGCTGCTTATGCTGAGGAGAATGGAAAGGAAGCAATTTTAAATGAATTAGCAATAATGAGAAAATTACGTAACAAACATCTGATGAGAATGTTTGAAGTTTACGAAACCTAGAATTCTTTATATGTAGCTTTAGAATTGTTAGAAGGAGGCTCATTGTATGATTTAATCAAAGAAAAAGTGCCTATCAATACAAAATAAATACAATAAATAATGGTGGGGATATTAATTGGTCTGTAGGAAATGCATAAGAAGGACATAATGCATAGAGACTTAAAGCTTGAAAATATATTGTTTAAAACTTAGAAGTATAATTTAATTCGATCATATTAGGAAAATGGAATCAGTAGTAATAGCTGATTTTGGTTTAGCTACTTATGTGAATGAACCAGTTTATTTATATTGTAGATGTGGTACTCCTGGTTATGTGGCACCTGAAGTTATTAACATAAAGGATATGAAATCTAAATACTCTTCTATTTGTGATATTTATAGTTTGGGATTGGTCTTTTATTTATTATTGACAGGTAAGCCAGCTTTCAATGGAAAAAGTTATGCTACTGTAGTAAAATAAAATAGAGAGGCCAGTATCGATTTTGATATTAAATAATTGTAAAATGTTCCTGGGGCTGCGGTTGATTTATTAAAGTAGATGTTAGAAAAAGATCCAAAAAAGAGAATAAATGCAGAAAAATGCTTACATCATCCATTCTTATCTGAAATGACTAAGATAATGATTGAAGCAGAAAAAGAAGATCAATAGCATATAGATGAGGTTGATGAGGGTAATGAAATTCAAAACATAAATAAAATTAATGATGAGTAATTCTATAAATATTATTTAGGTATTCTAAATTTGATGCTACTAGAAATATTAATTCTCCTCTTCAATCACCAAAGTAATCTCCAGGCCTCATCATGTAAAAATAAATTTAATAATAAAAATAAATTGATTCTACTAAGGCTGTTGGAAATGATTCACCTTTATTAAAAGGAAAGGTTGATTCAATAGATAGTGCATAATCTATTGGAACTCCTAAAAAGAAGAATAATTAATATTAACCATCACCATAAATTAAACCATCTAGATTTGCAAAATAAGCTGAAAATAATCCTTTGTTAAAATATGCAAAAAAGGACTGAAAATTTTATAGATTGTATTTAAAGAAATAATTATATTTCATTCTTACTAATCTGGTTTTTCAATATCTTTTAGTATAGATTTGTCTTAATCAGATAATTTGCAGAAACTATTGTCAAATACTTCTCCATAAAAACTGTTTGGCTTCCATTTCATAGATTTTGAATGTTAATGTAATTGACTAATGCTTTTATTCTATCAATTACGTTAATGCTAAAATTTATGATGGATGTTCTTCAAATAGATCGAGAGTGAATTTATTTGGAATAAAGACCTTTAATTCTTTTAATCTTTTTGATTGATTTATTTTTTTTTATACTCCTGTTTGCGAATCAATTAATGCCTTTAACTTTATTTTCGCTTATTTTTCCCCCTCTTTTATCCAAAATTCTCTAAATTTTCTTTCTTTTTCTCCTAATTTTGATAATGGAACTTCTCCAAAACAACTGCCATCAAAAAACTCTTTTGTACCAGTTTTAACTAATTGAAAATGCTTATCTATTTACTCTCTATTAGACCTTTTTCTAAATTTCTTTATGGCTCTATTATATGATATTTCAGATAATCGTTTATTAAGGGTTCTTTGCATAAATATATATCTTTTTCTCTCTCAAATACACCTCCATATTATTTACTCTAAGAATTGAAAACTAATTAAATTAATTATATAATTCTACCTTTCCTTTTTAAGATCTTATATTTATTTTGCTCATTAATTTCTTTCAATCTCTTATTCTTAATTTCTTAATATTCTTTATATCTATTTGTTTTATATTATTGAATTGACTCTTTCAGCTGATCTTACATATCTTCTATTTGTTTTCCGATTGGAGGGAACACTAATTACTTAGAAGTAGATGACATTTATTTATAAATAATTCACAAATATATAGATTATAATAGTATGTTAAAATTGTTTTAACTAATGAGAAACAATAGTCTTAAAAATGAATATTGAAAAAATATCGAGATGGTTTTCTAATTCTTAAAGAACTATCAAAAATTTAGAACCATTTTAGAATTCAAGATCCCATAGAAAAAATAATGCGTTAATTAATATTTCTACATAAATGTCATGAAATTTTATTGATTCTATATTAATATCTTCACTTCTTTTCCCTATTTCTATTATGTTGTTAAAATAAAAGATTCAAAATTATACTACAATAATCCCTTCTATATAAATTATTGTAATTATACAATGCTTTAGTTTTTGTTGTGTATTACTATTATTTTTTAATTCAATTTTTTTATTTAATTTTAATAATTTAATTTAATTTTTTTAATATAATGTACTTTTCTAACAAATATTAGGTAAATTTCAAAATTTTTATTTGTTTTTATGGTCATTAAATTTTTAACATTTAGTATTATCAAAAATTAACTAATATTTATATTTAAAAATAATCAAATTTAGAATAGCTTAATGCTGCTTACGACTTAAATTATCATTAGAGACATTAGAAATAAGGCAATAAGGCGATTATTTAAAATTAGACACTAATATATCAGAAATAATAATGATATCATGGATAAAAAATGATTTTAATTGATAAAAATAATCAAATTGAATTAATTAACATTCATATAGAATTTCTTGATCCCATAAATATTGAATTTAAATATTTAATAAATAATTAATATACTTTTATTCCATTTATAATTTAATTTGTCAATTGTAATCAAATATATTTTTAATTCAAACATTTTAATTAAAATAATATCAAAGTTATTGAATGATTTTAATAACCAGAAGCATTCCATAAAATAAAGTAAATAGACATGAATTAATATATTGATATCATACTTTGAATTGCTATTATTATAAATGAATTAACAAATTGTAAGCAACAGTATAAGAGAATTTAGTCAGTATAACAGAGTATTAGAGGGTAATAAGCGATATGTGGAAAAAAAATTGACAACAGATGATTAATACTTCAAAAAATTGTCAACAGGATAATCTCCAAAATATTTACTTATTGGATGTTCTGATTCCAGAGCACCACCAAATGAATTAACAGAAACAGATCCAGGAGAAATCTTCATCCATAGAAATATTGCTAATTTAGTAATACCAACAGATTTGAATGTAATATAAAATTATATTTTAAAGTTAAATTGTGTAATTTAGTATGCAGTCGAACATTTAAATATTCATAGTATTATAGTAATGGGTCACACATGTTGTGGAGGAATCAAAGCTGCAATGGCTTAAGAATCAGTTGGAGGATTGTTAGATTTGTGGTTGAATCAGATAAAAATAGTTTATGAAAAACATTAAGATCTTATTGAATCATTAGAGAATGAAGAAGATAGATTAGATTGTCTTAGTTAATTGAATGTTAGAGCTTAAGTTATGAATATATGGAAGAATCCAATTATTTAAAAGTCTTGGCAAAAAGGAAATCGTATTTTATTTTAATTATAATAGCTATAATGGTTCATGGTTGGTTATTTAGAGTTGAGACAGGTTATATTGAAGAATTACTAATTGATTCATAAACACCATATGAAATGAATAAAGTATTTGCTTTGAAATTTAAATTGGATTCTGAGAGAATATTATCAAAATAAACAACACCGTTAGGCTCACCGAAGAATAATGCAAGAAAGAGATTTTAATTCATGTAAAAGAAGATAATTTAACATATCAAATAATAAAAGGAAAATACTTCAAGAATTGAAAAGATTAGTGATCTTCAATAGATAAGTGAACTAATTTAAAATTGTTAAGAGTTATGAATATCAATTATATATTTATATTAAACTATAATAAAATTATGTAATATATAATACCATTTGAAATAATATAAAAAGTTAAATTAATCTTATATGTCCCATGTTCTGATTCTCTTTATTTTTTTTAGATAGATTGAAAAGTGATTAATTATAATTAAAATGATTGTATTATTCCACAAAATCCATATACTTTAATTTCATGAGATGAAAGCTTACTGAAATTTTCTTAGTTGAGTCCTTAAAATAAATTTAATTAATTTGAGATTTAATTTTTTGTAAATCAAACAAATAATTTTTATAATGTGGAACTTAATTCATTCTAATCCCATATGCTTTAAGAAAAAAATAGCTCAAGTATACATTTTGATTTTATCTAGGAATAATTAATGCATTTAAACAACCTTTAAAATTCTAAACCTTTGATTAATAACTAATAACCATGGAAACCAGAACATTCACTATCTAGACTTGTTAATAAATATACTAATAGTATGGTTATTTAATTAAATATTAGCTCATGAAAAGGAAATATCTGAATCTAATAGCAAATTACTTAGGAAAATGATGGAGATTTAAGAACGAAATAATACAATTAAATAACCAACAGCACATGGTTCTTTAGAAAATTTGAGAAAAAGAGAATAAAATAAAATATGCTCAGAAAACCAAACTATTTTGAAGCGATTATAGTCTGCTAATTCAGCTTATTCTAAAAAAAATTGGGTTAGTGATATCGAAAAAGTTAAAAAATATAGAGAGAATTTATAAAGAAGAACAAGTAAATAATATAAATAGGAATAGGAACTAATGATGATTTAAATTTATTAGCAGCATAAGAATAAGTCAAAAGGACTCTTTTTAGTCAATCATCATCAAGAAGTATAATCTTTTATTAATTAGAATTAAAAACAAGTCAAGGTCCTAGAACAACAACTTATGAATCATTATATTGAATATTTAAATCTATTTAATTTACAATTGAATATTTATTTGAAGTTCTTTTAATTGTGTAATTAAATGAAAAATTTATTATTTAATTTTATCTATTAAAATTCTTTGTTTTATATAGTACAATCAAATTTTCTTTTGTATTATTCTCTATGTATTGAATTAATTAGAATAATTTATAAAGAAAAATAATAAAATATATGAATAAATAAAATCATCACATATTTTATTATAATTAATCTTCTTATTCTTCATTTATTTAGCCCATTTAATTAATTTAATGCTCATTTTTTGTATTAATTTCATTAACCAATTCTTAATTTTATGAATTGATAATTAAAGATGGTTTATTTTCAGTTAATAATGGATTAGGTGAGTTTGGGGATAATGCTGAATTAAAGTCTGAAGTGTAAAATTTTTTAAAGTTTCTTCTTGCCAAAGTCGGTGTAACTTATTATTTTATTTTACAAACAAATTGACCAAAGGTTTTCATATTTTGCATTACAGGTACTTTAAGAGAATAAGCATTTTCTTCTTCAACTATATCATCTTCCTAATGAAAATTTTATTATTAATGATTATCTTTTGGATGAAAATTTTGAGTTTAAAACGCTGGTGTGTATTTATTGTTATTTTATTAAAATTTACCTCTTTTAGTTTAAAATTTTGATTAAAAATAATTATGTTGTAATGCTACTTAATCTGATATTCTTTCTTTTGGATTAATCTTTAATAATTAAGCAATCAATTCTATAGCTTCCTTTGGTGCTCTATATAAAGTAAGAAGTTCATCATTGATTTAACACTTTTTATTTAATTTTAATATTTCTTTATAATCTGTTCCTGGAAATAACTCTTTACCTGTCAATCTAAATAATAAAACTCTATTTACAATTTATAGAAGATACAACCAACACTAAACATATCACAAATCAAATCATATTTTTAATTTAAATCTTTAAGATTAGCAATTTCAGGAGCAACATAACCAGAAGTTCCACATTTAGGATAAGGATAAGTTTCAGCATATATTGATGTTGCTAATCCAAAATCGACAACTTTTAATTCATCATAAGTATTTTGATATTTAAACATAATATTTTCAGGGTTTAAATCTCTATGCATAATACCTAAAGAATGCATATACTAAAGCGCTGTCAAGAGTTACTAAAATTAACAAATTCTTTTACAAACATAATAGTTTATATTTATTCCTATTCAAAAATAACTTATCTCTTATTGAATGACTCATGTAAACTCTAACCTTATAAATACTTTAAAATCAAATAAAATTTATTTTCTCCTTCAAAAAGTTCTTCTAAGTGTATTATTTTTGGATGGTTCATCTTTTACATCAGTTATATCTCATTAAATAATCGATTCTATGTTTATATTCAAATGATTACAAATCCTCCATCTTCTATTAAGTATCGTTTATCAACGCACTTCGAAGCATATTAATCTTTAGAGCCCTTTTTCATCACTAAATAAACCTAAACGGTAAATCAATGTTATACTCTTGAAGAACCTCCTCTCCCAACATACTTATTGGATAATAGAAATCACTAATTTCTTTAAACATAACTTTGCAAGCCAAAAGTTCTTTAAGTTATAATATGATATTTGGGTTCGCATAAAAATATTTGAATTGTTCTTTATATAAAAAACCAAACTATTCAGTCTCTTATGAATGCTATTAAGAGATAAAATGTATTAAAGTAGTTAATAATAAAGGCACATTATATTTAGGTGTCTATGACTATTTAACCTATTATTTATAAGTAAACATTTTACTGTAGCTAGAATCAATTGGTTTGGCAGTAGATATCCATAATACTTGACATCTTTAAGGAGATGTTTTCTAAAGCATTCAAACTAAAAATTTACTCTCTTGGTAATTAATGTTTTGCATATTATTTATAGAAATTATGCAAAGTATTATATACTATAACCTAATTATTTTCAGATTAAGCAAAATCTAAGATTTTATAGCTGAAATAGCAAGACAAGAAATGAATTTATAAATAGAAACATCAAAAAGAGATGTCAAATTAATCAAAAGTTAAAATTTTATCAAATGTGATTTACTTTAATTTTAATATTCTTATTATTCCAAAAATAGTAACACCAGCCTAAATTTTGTAATTATGAATTTTAATCTAGAAAAAAAAATCATAAATAATGATTATGTACCTCTAAAGTATTTAAAAGATTCTATATTCTAGAAATTCTATTTTAAATGAATCAATTTAATTATCTAATTGAGAAATAACCATATATTCATAACAAATTTAATTCTTTTGAAATATGTAAAGAAGTGTAATTAAATTAAGATATTAAAGAGAAAATTATGTATCAAGGGTGAAAGAATATTTTTATATAACGAGGAATTTCGATATTTATATAAAAAATAAATTAATAATAAATATATAATTATTAATAATCATAGAAATATTTATTAAATAAGGATAATTATCAATAAATCATCAAAATCATGTTAATTTATTAGAAATTAAACTAAAATACTAATTTTGCCATAACTATTGCTCAATCTATATGGCTTAATAAAAAAATATAAAAATTAATAAATAATTGAAGAAACTAGAAAAAAAATCATAAATTTTTAATGTAATTTGCTACTTTGGCGAGTTGTAGAATAATTTATTCTTTATATGTTTGAAGAGTATTCATAATAGTACTTTGACCTTTGGAATGTCTAAAAATTAGCTTATTAGCTTTAAAGTAATAATATATTCCTCTTCTTGATCCTTCAATCTACCATAGAATTCTTGAAAATCAAATGGTATTAAGGATTGCTCTAAATGAATAGTAATCTAGATTATTTTTAATTTAAATACTCTGTTCTTTAAATAAATTGGTTATTTATTATAATTCACTTTATTGGCTGAGATTAATCCATCTTAATCAGAATCTAAAATTTAGAATAATTTCTTTACAACTACTTTATCTATATAATATCATCTTATAAAGATGATATTATATAGATTCTGTTTATATATTTATTTGGTATTTGGATGAAGTCTTTTTGGACTAGGAGTTTTTTGTTTAGCTTATGATTCATTATGATTTGATTTTAAATTTAGCAAATAATTAGTTTCTGTTTAGATATCCTTTATTTTGTAATTAAGTTACATAAAATAATTTTAATGTAATTATAATAAACAAACTATTAAATTATACTTGATAAACACTCATTCAAACAAATCCTTTATTACAATAAATAAGTATGCTAACAACATACCTAATAACCAAAATTTAGATAGTAAAGAAAACATTCCTTAAGGTCTTGTATTTTAGAGAAAACTGTATTTGGCATCAACTGATCCAGATATAACAAATCTAGAATCTGGAGTAAAACATAATGCTGTACATGGTAGTTCATGAGCCTATTTACTAGATTCAATATCTAATTTTCTAAATTAATATATGTAAATCTATAATACCTTGCATTTATTATTTTTACAGTTCCATCTGAACATCCAATACCTATAAACATACCTTCTTTTGATTAACAAGTACTAGTTACTGGATGTCCATGAACTTTAATTGTTTTTAATGGTTTAATATTATCATTATCAATTCTCCAACATGTCATATAGGAGGATCCTCTCATAGGATTTTTGAATGTAAATATTGTATTACCATCTAATGAGAATAGAGCTGAATGAAATTGTAATTTATGGATATTATTTGATGAAATATCTAATTTATGCAACACGTGGTTATCTTTTAATATTTTACATTCTTCATTATCAGTGGCAACTATTAGCTATTGTCAAAATTAGATTTACCATTCCATTTGCTACATGATAATCTAATGATTAAATTTTGCCTTTCATATCCACTGTGTATTTCAATTAATAATCTTTATTCCAAACTTTCAAAATTCCATCTTCTCCACCTGTGGCTAAAGTATCTCCTTAATAATTGAAAACACCATCATTTTAACAAGGTTCTTTTGGTGCTCTGTCAGTCTAAAATTTAGTTACAATTGAAATCTTGTTATCTTAAACTTTCAATATCACACATTAATCATCGCTATTTCCTACAATTAATCCTGTTCTCATATTTAATCTTAATCTTTGAAATATCTCATCTCCTAATTATAAAGTATTAATAGGATCCTTCAAAATTCCATATATAGGTTTTGGAAATAATTGCTTAATGATTATTGAAAGTATACTAGACTATTAACCAATCCATATCTTTTTCCTCCTCCTCCTAAGCTCACTAAAACAGAATCAGAAAAACACACAACTGAAAAAATTGGACTCTCAAGATCTTTCTACTTATTGTCATTCATTAATTTATATTAAATATTAATTAAGGTACAATTCTTCCATTTCTTCTCTTTAGATTTCTAAGATCTTATATATNTAAAGAAAACATTCCTTAAGGTCTTGTATTTTAGAGAAAACTGTATTTGGCATCAACTGATCCAGATATAACAAATCTAGAATCTGGAGTAAAACATAATGCTGTACATGGTAGTTCATGAGCCTATTTACTAGATTCAATATCTAATTTTCTAAATTAATATATGTAAATCTATAATACCTTGCATTTATTATTTTTACAGTTCCATCTGAACATCCAATACCTATAAACATACCTTCTTTTGATTAACAAGTACTAGTTACTGGATGTCCATGAACTTTAATTGTTTTTAATGGTTTAATATTATCATTATCAATTCTCCAACATGTCATATAGGAGGATCCTCTCATAGGATTTTTGAATGTAAATATTGTATTACCATCTAATGAGAATAGAGCTGAATGAAATTGTAATTTATGGATATTATTTGATGAAATATCTAATTTATGCAACACGTGGTTATCTTTTAATATTTTACATTCTTCATTATCAGTGGCAACTATTAGCTATTGTCAAAATTAGATTTACCATTCCATTTGCTACATGATAATCTAATGATTAAATTTTGCCTTTCATATCCACTGTGTATTTCAATTAATAATCTTTATTCCAAACTTTCAAAATTCCATCTTCTCCACCTGTGGCTAAAGTATCTCCTTAATAATTGAAAACACCATCATTTTAACAAGGTTCTTTTGGTGCTCTGTCAGTCTAAAATTTAGTTACAATTGAAATCTTGTTATCTTAAACTTTCAATATCACACATTAATCATCGCTATTTCCTACAATTAATCCTGTTCTCATATTTAATCTTAATCTTTGAAATATCTCATCTCCTAATTATAAAGTATTAATAGGATCCTTCAAAATTCCATATATAGGTTTTGGAAATAATTGCTTAATGATTATTGAAAGTATACTAGACTATTAACCAATCCATATCTTTTTCCTCCTCCTCCTAAGCTCACTAAAACAGAATCAGAAAAACACACAACTGAAAAAATTGGACTCTCAAGATCTTTCTACTTATTGTCATTCATTAATTTATATTAAATATTAATTAAGGTACAATTCTTCCATTTCTTCTCTTTAGATTTCTAAGATCTTATATATCATATATTAACATATTTACTTTATTTGTATTATTGAATGATAACTGATGCATTTCGCCTTTCCTAATCTTCTTATGTTTTTATTTTTTTACTCTTATACAAAGATACAAATAAATTTGGATACATCATATACTTCTAAAATTGTTCTATTACAGATTGATGAAAATCTTATTTATAACTTCTATTAATTTTCCTAATCACATTCTCTAAATTCCAATCTTTATTGTATTGTAAGTTTTGGATTTTATCATAAATATCTATATTCTCTTCTCCCTTGTTAGTCAACTATTTATAAAACATTTAAAGATCATTTTATTATTATTGAGTATATTTATGAATATTTTAATATTTCTATTTAATTGATTCATACATCTCTTTCATACCATTATCATTCATTAAAATATCAATTGTTTATGTTCTTACCATATTTATAGAAACTTAAGCCTTACATAAATATTTATTTTGCCTTTAATGATTATCATTTTAATTAACTCTTTCATTATTTTAACAATCCTCCAATCCTTAAATTGATTATTTTTATTCATAATTAGGTACTAATTATTCAATTATTTAATCATTTTCTATTTGATATATTTTGGCTGAATTTGAAATCAATTCAAAATCTTAAGAAGCAGAAAAATGATGTCTCTTTCTTGTTCTATTGAAGCTATCTCGAAATTAATCCTATATAAAATTATGTGATTTAATGACTTTTTCTTTATCTGGTACAAAATGAACTAGGTAACATTCATGACTCATATGATTTTTATCTTGACAAATATAACAATAGGTAATATCTTTCATTTTTTAATATTATTCCTAATCAATTTCATTTTATAATATAACTTCCCTTATTCCTTAATTAGGAATTATTAATATGCTACAAAATGAGGCTGTTTTATATTACAATGTAGATGATTAATTACTTTTCATTTCCAAATGACCGAAATAATCATTATCTTTCAAATAACATAATTACCTCTTATATTGTATAAATCAATACTTTTTATTATTTAACTTCAACTAGACCTTATTCTATAATGAATATATTAAGATTATTATTTTCAATAACTATGCCAGGTTAATATGTTTTAAATTCTACTTTTTCAAGAAGTTGATGTAAACATTCTTAAGAGAAGAATTACCTGAAAAATTCACATTTATTTAATAAAACTTAAGCAGATTCAATTTTGAGATTTGTTTACAATTCTTCTGGTAACAATTAAATCAGATCAGATTATTCATTTCTTTTTTATATAATTTCTTATTCCCAATAAAAATTGAAATATTCTCTCACTCTAATCTAAATATTTTTAATAAATACTTATATTATAAACCTTAACTAATTTATTTTTCTCTCATATATTCATTTATACATGTCATCTTCTATCTAATTTTCTCATTATTCTCTTTGATTTAAGTCAATATAGTTCCTATTGTATTTACAGAAAATGATAATTGCAAAGTTGATAGAAACATATAACAAATACAAAATATCTTCTCAATTGGATCTATATTTTTATAGTGAATATCTTACTTGTTGGTACTATTTCTCCATAGCCAACAGTGAACATTGTAACACTCATAAAATAAAATGATTCCAAGTATACATTTTACCAAGGTTCACCTTCAACTCTTTTAAGCCAATTAATTGTATCTTATCTTTATTTATATTCACCTATTACTACCCTTATATTATTAACTATATTAATTACCAAAGACAACAACAAAAATGTTATATTAATAAAATCAAGAATACTAATTTAAGTAATTCAATAAATGAATTACTTAACTTACTTAATTTTAATTGATGTTAAATAGTATCAAAAAATTGTAGAATATTCATTATTTATTAATAGAAGAGTAAAAATGCAATTCTAGGCCATCCATCCTCTTCTAATATATATGGGCTTTCTTATTCTGATAAAAATGATAAGGCAAGTATGATCCCACAAAAAATACTAAATAATTCCAAACAAGTTGATATTGTAAATTATTTTTTAATTAGTTCAAATTTATCTTTTAAAGGAAGTCCTTTATCATAACAAATTGTAAATGCTCTAAGTATTATATCAAGAATAAAAAATAGACAGGTTAAAATAATAAATATACTATGATATTATTCACTATCTTTAGAATGAAATGATATAACTATAGGCATCCATATTATCATATACATTCTCATAATACTCAATATAAAATCCCATAATAATTTAAATTTACTTTATGGTTCAATTAATGGAATTAATGAAAAGCATAGAAGAAATTTTTATTTTAATAAAGTTTTAAATTCTCTATATTTCATTCTTAATTTTATTCTGAAATCAATTAGGTTTAAATTTTGTTTAACTATATTAGTTGTAATATTTTTTCTTTTCTTCATATGCTTATATGATGATGCAGAATCATCTATAAATTTAAAATGTTTTTTTGAAAATTTTTGATTTGGTCTAATAAATTGCAACATTTTGTTGGCATATTTGGTTAAATGAAAATAAATCAATAACTTTGAAAAAGATTTCTATCTTGGAGAAATGGAGCTTGTTTAATTACTTTATAAATTTTGAAATAAAGCATTAATTTCTGTTTCTTCAAATTTCTCTTTTTATTTGTTATTCTATTTTATTGCTTATTTTGTAATGGTTTCATCTATTCCAATGATAGAATGATCAATATTGTTATTAGATTCACTTTAAATATCATTTATCATTAGAGTACAACGACTGATGTTTTAATTTTAATCCATTATAAAATTACAAATAATTTAATATTCAAAAATCAGGATGAATAGCAATTCTTTTCTTCTTCTTAGAAGTTCTAATATCTAAAATATTACTTAATTATACTTTTATTCACTTTTGGTTATTAAAGAATTTCTGATGGTTTTTCAGAATGGTATTTTTGTAAGTACATCTTAGGGAATAATAAATATTTTGATATCTATTCAAGATTTATTTTTTCATTTTTACGATTTTACATATAATTTAAAGCAAAATTATGTTCTGCTATTATTCTATCAATATTCCAATTTTTATAATAATGTTTATAACTCTTATATCTATCTATTTGACATTCACCTAAACCCAAAAGAAATTCTAATCTCTTATAAAGTATAAAAATATCTTTTTAAACTTTTTCATTGTAAAATTGAATTTATTTATATTTTTCAGATATAGCTTCGAACTGGTAATATAGATTTAGTTCATTAATTTCACACTTAATTTCTTATTTTCTATCATTTTTTGAAATTTCTTTGTTTTCAAAATCACCTCTTTATCCTATATTCATATTAAGAACCATTGATTTAGGTTTCTCATCAGTTATTTCAAATAAGGATCGAGGTGTACAAACATTTATTTGCTACTACTTTTCATTATTTGGAAAAAGAAGTTCAATTTCATTGTTACAATCTTATTAAAATTATTCTGCACTATCTTAAAAAAACTTCAATTCATTTTTCCATTCTTAAAATTAATCTTTGGGCTTTCTCTTATGCCTACCCCTATTTTATGTAGAATTGTATAAATATTTCTTTATTACTTTTTCATTATCTGGAATAAAATGCACTTAAGAACACAATTCTGTTGCATGATATCCTTTACATATCATACATTCATTAATAATACTGAGATTAGCTTATGACACTATTTCCAATTCATTCTAATTTTATGCTACTAATTAGACCAAAGATGTATATGGAATAATAAGAAGATTTGTAAATGATTTTGTACGATATTTAGTTTCATTTATTAAATCTAAAGACACCCTTTTTAGTCCAAATTACTAAAATTAATTTAATTAGCCTACCACAGTCTATTAAATTAAATATCAAATATTTACTTAATTTTATATTATTTCTACACATCCATATTCAATTATATAAATATTTTGCAAATCATTAATTATTATTCCTGGTTAAAAATTCTACACATAAGCAATCTCTACTAATTGATTTAAAAAACTTGGAGTGAATTTCTCTTTAAAAAATTAACATTTATTAATTAAATTAGAACTTCCTTCTCTTTATATACTTTTTTAGAGTTCTTCTGGAAGTAATTTTATTATTTCAGCAGTCTCATTTTTCTTTTAAACATTTTCTTATTACCAATAATAATTTAAATATTCTCTAACTCTAAATATGATTATAATAATTATCTTACTTAAATTATAATCCACGACTCATTTATCTATTTCTCATATGTTCTGTAACAGCTGTCATTTTTTACTTTATTTCTTCATTGTTTTCTTTCAATTAAATCAATATAGATCCTATTGTATTTACAGAATAAGATAACTACAATGTACAGAAAAACATATAGATAATTGTAAAACACTTTTCTGATGTATCTATAATTTATCTAATTAAATATACTTTGTGGTGTTATATCACCATATCCAACTGTAAATGTAGTTACACTTATAAAATACATAGCTTCTAAATAAATATCATGCCAAGGTTAATTGATATCCAGTTTTGCCTTATCAAGCCAAGAGGATTAGTCTGTTAAATGTTCATAAGTTCCAATTATCACCCTAATTATATCTCTTTAATACCACATGCATGAAAAAATATGTTAGATTAATAAGATTAAACAAATCAATTTTACCAATTCGATTAATGAATTAGTTGATTTACTTGGTTTTATTACACATTGTAAATTTTCTATAAACTAAAGAATATTTTTTGTCTGGACAATTAATAATAGTAATAGTATTTTAGTCCATCCATCATCTTCAACTACTGACATTGAAAAATTGTTTTAATGAAATTAGATGCTGAAAAATAAGGATATAATAAAACTAAATAATTCTATTGCAGTCCAAAAATTTATTTAATATTGTATCAATTAATATCTATCTTTAACAGGAAACCCCTTATCAAATCTTATTGTAAAAGTTTGCATTGCCAAATCAATCAAAAAAGCACTACTGCAGACATTAAGAGTATATGCATTCAAGTCTTCTAAAGTTCCATTTTTAAATGCTATTAAAATGGGAATCCAAAATAATAAGTATATTCTCATTATAGTAATGATTCCATCCCAAATCAATTTCTTAGTTGAATAAGGATCTAATATAGGGATTATTTCTATCAATTATTAAAACTTTTTCTTGATTTAGAATATTAAGGTATTCTTAAAATCTTTTATAATACTACGAAACCCTACAACTGCTCTATTTTATTATATTATTGATGTTTTTTATTATTATTTTTTTGGATAGCTTTTGAAAGATGAAGATTTATCAGATATCATAAAAAACTAATTTTTTGACAATTCTTTATTTGGATGAATATATGACAACATTTTCCTTTTGAAATGATGGATATTGAAATGAACCATTAATTATGAAAATTGTTTTTTTTACACTTAAAATTATCTAGGTTTTTCATTTTGAATAGGAATATCTTCAATTCTTTAACATTCTTCCAATTTCATAGATTGAACTGCTTAATTTTAACCATGTATTGAATGATAGAGAATTGAATTATTACAGCCAGATTATGACTCCTCTTAAATCATTAATTGGCAGTGTGAAATATGAGAGTTATCTGTTAAATTGGTCTAATTCATATATTAATTTTCAATCTAAAATCAATAAATATTTTCAATTATTCAAAGAAAATTTAATATTTTCACATAAAACCTTTTGATTTCTATAAATAATATATATTATAATTTTTAGAAATCATTTTTCAAATCTTTCTTTAAGTAAGTTAAAAATAATTAATAAAATTTGATATATTGATTGTTATTTTACAAATAAATCTATTCTCAATCTCTTGAATTTTATTCATAAAATAGATAAATTTGCTCAAGACGATGAATAGTATATAAATATCTATTTCTTATGATTCAATTAAGATATTAATTTATATTAAATTCATGTTAATTTAATATGATTCATGAACTTTTACTAATAATAAATAAATGAGTCTGATTGATACCTTCTTGAATCAAATGAAACTAATGATTATGTAAATAATATAGAATAGAATATTATGAATTTATGTGTTTCAATATTAATTAAATTCTAAGCCTTCTAAATTGAATCCATTATTCTTTTATATTGCCCATACACTTATATTTTATTTACTCTTTGGAAGATTGATTCTAACTACTAGAATTAGTTTATCAATGATACAAAAATAAAAATAAGGAAGATAAAATAAAAATATTGTAATTTAATTAAAATAAATTTGAAATATTTACCAATATGATCAAATATAACTTAATTATTGTGGAACCTACTATTTTTTACAATCAGCACAAGAAATGGTTTACTTTTCTACAATCGGTTTTAATATATAAAAATCACTTTTAATTGATTTTTATTATTATTTATTATTTTATTATTTTTACATTTCAATTTATTTATTAAGACCTTCAATTATTTCTTAGCTTACTTTCTTTTTATTACAAATTTCTTTATATTTTCTTTACTTTTCTTATTAAATAATTTCTTATTCTCTTTAACGCTACTTTTGTTATTCTATTAATTTGATAGCTTCTTCTCTTGTTTTTTTAAGTTTAACTTACGCATTTAAATCTAATATGAGTTAATGTTATAATTATTATTTCTCTATTTTCTCTTATTCTATTTAATTGTGATAATCTTATAAAGTCTTAATTCTTTCATCAATTTCATTATTTTTTATGGCTCTTTGTTATTATTATTTTTTCAATTGTTCTTTTTAATGATTTTACCAGTGATTATTATTGTATATCATTTGATAATTTTTTCTTCTTTATTATTCTTTCTCTTCTTAAGCTTGATATCTCCAATAAGGATCATCATATTCCATAGATTAAGACATTTAATCTAATTGTTTTAATCTTTTTTGTTATTCAAGTTAGCTTGAAAGTTCTTAATGTAAACTATGTTATTTTATTCTTTTATCAATTTTTTCTTTTTACAAAATTTCTTAATTTTATTTTATAATTAAGTTTTATTGTTATATTTCTTACTCTAAAATAAGTTTTTCCTTTTCTTTTTGCTAATCCAATAATTATTTCGAAATATTTAGATTTTATTATTCCATTTACTTTCTGACTGATAATTATTCAACTTCAAAATTAATCTTTTATTATTCTCTTAATTAATTTTATTCCATTTATTTCATCAACAATCTCTATTGTATAATTGTAAAATTACTTTCTCCAATTCAGATTCTTATTTTTTATTCTATTGTTATTTATTTAAAAGTCTTTTATTATAGCAAGGACTGCATAACAATGTTTTTCCAATCTATATATTAGATTCCTATATTGATTTTTAACCACTAGAAAAAGCAATTTGATATTGCTCTTTCGAAGGTGTATGACTATGAAATGATCTTGCACTAACATCTCTATTCGGATTGAGTTATTTGATATTTTCATATTTTTCCCTCATTTGTTTTACATTTTACATAATTATAAATAAAATTTAAATTAGATCAACATTTAAAAAATATAAACAAATTTTGAAAATGTATGAATAGTTGTTATTTATATAATTTATTTAAACTAGGATTACTTTAGATTAATTGAAAAATGTGCAATATAAAGTATCAACATTCTTAATCTAAAATATCATTTTTCCAAATCCCATTTGTAGTTTTTGAATGTTCATATAAGGTACCAGGTCCATTTTTCTATCCATTTTTGTAATATCCATAAAATTTTGATTTATTTCCCTCCTCTATTACTTACCCTTCTAGAACACCATTTACAAATTCACCCTTATAGGTCAAACCATTCTTAACTAAAATTCCAAGCCCATGATATTTATCATTATCCCATTATCCCAAATATATTAGATTCTTGTTTTTATCATACATAGCACCCATACCATGCCTTTTTGTAATATTTATTTATCCAAAATAAACTGTATCATCAGCATATTCAATTTGATAAATGCTATCTTATTATTTCGCAGGACTTTCTTATTCAGTTGTTGTTCTTTAAAAGGAAAGATAACTAAACTTTCTATCTGATAAAGGTGTAGATTTTAATATTGTTTAAGGCGGATTTGATCTGTAAACATCCACTGACAAATCTAACAATTATCTTAGATTTTACATCTTTTCATCTATGATTAGGGACTTGATTAAATAATAAAGGATTAACGTAGTTTACTATTAGACAAAGTGACTTTTGGAGGAGAGGAAGGAAACCCTTAAAAATTTTAAATTGTCATTAGAGAAGTAAGTGTCAATTTAGGACAATATTTCAGAAATCTAATTACTGGACGTGGACTCCTTTTTCTAATGATATATCTCTAATTCATCATATAGAAATAAAATTTATTAGTTGGATGTATTTATAAATAGCATAACAACAATATATATAAAAACGTTAAGCTTATCAAAACAAGCAATGAAATTTATGATGTTTTAAATTACTAACAATACCCTTTTTGGTTTCAGTCTTACTTTTTTATTTCATTAAAGATAAAGTACAAATAGATCTATTTTATCAAATTAAAAAATATTGATGTCATTTCTGTTTACTCTATGAATTAAATGATTTTGAATAATAGTCTCATCATAATTTAGAATTATTAAGAAAGGATATTCTTCAAAAATGAAATAGCTTAATAATATGAAAAAATAAATAATTTAAAATTCTGGAGATTTTAATAAATATTTGTTCACTTCTGTGTCTTAATAAGGCAAGGGAAAAAGATAAGCTGTTCCTTTCTGATAGCTATTTTTGAAATAGTAATACTTAATAAAAATCATAAATTTATGGAATTACCAAATGATTTATAAATAAATGAAGAAAATCAATTCTAATAATAATACTAGTAAAAAATAGCTTTGTTCCTAAAATTTATATCTTAATTTTATTTAATGGATGATCAGATGTATTTTATATAAATTAATTATTTAGTTTAAAATATTTTAATAATTCTCTTATAATAAATATTATAAAAATTTCACATTATTGATTAAAGGTATTTTTATATTTGTTTATGTTTTTATGTTCTTCTAATGAGATCGTTGATTTTAGCAGTTCGAATTAATTTTAATATTTATTGATCATCTGTTAATTTACAATAATCTGGATATTGGCAATCTGTTGGAACTTTAATTGATAAAAAAAGCTCATATATAGAAATTTAATACATACTTATATACTTACTATATTGTTATGTTTGATTGCATAATGTAATGGTGTAAATCCTGATAAATCTTTAGAGAGTGGATTTGAATTATAAGTAATTAACAATTTTATCATGTTTAAATTATTCTTTTATGTAGCTATGTGTAGACCAGTCATCTACTTTTCATCAAAGTCAAATGCATATAGATTGTTTTATTAAAGTAATACTTCTACTTTATCGAGTAATCCTTTCTTTACATAATATAAAAAAGAATATGATCCCTATTATTAAAATGGTTTATATTGTGTCATTTTGTTATCTATCAAATCTTGAAGTGAGACTTACTATTCTTTGGATCTTCCTAATAGAAAACGAACAATATTTCTTAATTTCCTTTATCTCACACTTCTTAAATATCGATGATCAAAATCCATAAGTTCTTCTTCATCACCTTCTTTTAACATCTTTTTAAGAGCATATGAATAAATTTCTTTTTTTACATCAATATCATTTTTCACTAAATCACAATAATAAAATCATACATTATTTATAAATGTCTTTTTTAGAATTAAGGTACCCTTTTATTGTAGGAGATGATGGTTTACTAAGAGAAGTATTAAAAAGTAACTATTATTTAGGACTCATATCATTATTAATACTAATAGTATCATTTTCATCCTATAATATTTTCAAAATGAATACCTTTCGAATTAAATCTTTGACTTCCTTACATCTGCAAAATTTGGATTTATTAATTTTCACTTATTAAGTTTCAGGTGATCTAGGTTTAACATTATTAGAGGATAATCCTTTCATAAATTAATTAAAGTCTAAAAATGGTTTGATATTAGTTATTGATGGTTATCCATTTAAGAAGTTATTTCTTGCTAAAATAGATTTAGTTGATCTGCTGGGTCCGAATGCAGAAAATTATTGTGCCCTAACTAAGGATAATGAAGTTCTTACGTAATGGTTATGGAGGAGGGCCAACTCTAAATTTATTTTAGGACGAAAAAAGTAAATCTTTAGGTGGAGAGCCTTTTTAAGCGAATTTTGCAGTATTATTTCTATTTTCTTTTAATTTCCTTAGAGCTTTATTACCTGTGTATGTTCGTGTTGCATTTCGGCCCTCAAAGGTTTAAGTTGATTACATTTATATTAAATATCGATTTTATTATTATTATTATATAAATCACATACAATATTATTCTTGCTTTTCTAAAAATATGAGATATTTTTCTGATTATTTTTAATTAAAAAGCGAGAAAAATGCAATTTTGGTTTATAATAACCTTAATAATTCTTAATTCTTTGGAAATTCAATTAATTACTTTAAGAAACCTTATCCAAAATGTAATTTTATTAATATTTAAAAATCTTCTTTGTATTTCTCTATTAATTCCTATGTTAATGATTATTATAATAAAGCCCATATATCAGAATTACCATCAGAATAAAGTAAATGATTAATCAATTATTATATTGCTTTTTCTTCTTAATTTAATTTCAAATAACTTGATACTAATAACAATTAAAAATGAGAATCATAAAGATCAATTTATTACAAATTGTTTAATTCTTATATTTCAAATTCTTTATCCATTTTAATCATTAAAATCAGCCATTCTTTTTTTAGAATATGACTTTCATTCATATAACAATCTTTCATCTTTTTTAAAATTTATAGTTTTTCCTCATCTTCTTTATAATTTATAAGTTTAAGTAATATAATACCATTTTTAATTTTAGTTAAATCAATTTCACTCTCTTAAATAATTGATAATAATATCTCATATTCTAACATATTAATATAATTGTGGTCATAAGAATATTTTTCAATTTCAATTTAAAGTTTATCATCATCTAAATGTGTTAATGATCTTAACCATAAATTAAACTTATATTTTTGAGGTGTTTCATTATTATAAAATTACTAATACAATCCTGGGTTCTAAAATATGATGTTATTATAATAAATAAGTATATTTCTTAGTTCATTATTTCCTTGATAATTTGCATAAAAAAATTATCCTGTTAGTTCTTTCAAAAGTAATAAAATCGCAACACATAAATTATCATACCTTTTTTATATTATCAATTGTACTTGCGAAGCATTACTAATTTCTACAATAAAAATGCTAAAACTCTATTTTATTTTGTTCTACTTGATGTAAAAGGAGTATTAGGGTGAAAAATAAAGAAATTAGCCTCTGGTTCTATTTAAGCTATATGTTGCAATGCATGTTATTTATAATAATTCATTCTAAAAGGAGAAATTAAATTTTTTAATCAATATTTTTATTCATCTCTTTCTTAGAGATGTTAAGAAACTTATTGAAACATAGTTATGTCTTTTTATTTAAATAAAAGTAGAATCTTGAATAAATTTATTATATTGATCATAAGATGTAAACTAATCATTGAGCTGGATTGTTGGCTTTTAAAAATTCTTAGGCTTCATTTATTGCCTCTAATGCCTTTGTCTTTTCTTCACTAGTGTCAATTAATGGATCATTAAGTTTTCCATCCTAATTATATTTTTTAAGTATCTTACAAGCCATACTTAGAGTTCATTCACAGATTCAACAAGTCTTCCAATAATATTGGGATACATTTATACTGTTTCTTATAGAACTTCTTCCTAAATTATGTAAAATAATATTTGAACTTGTTTTTTGATGTCTGCTTCATCAGCATTTTAGTTCTTAAGCTTCTAAATTCTTTCATTTTATTTCAATTCCTCCTTTTAATAACCAAAAAATTCTTTTTGAATTCTTTTGATAGCTGATGTTTTGATCTTAAGTTATTTTAAATCTTTATTGTTCTCTGCCATTATATAAATTTATATATTGTAAAATTTAAATAGAAATTCGAATTTAGAACTATATGAGATTTGTTTTATTTTTAATGTGAACACTCCTCAAAATTAGATCATATTTGTAGTTTTATTTCAATATGATTTGAAAATTATAAATATTTTACATTTCTTAATAATAATATAAAGGATTGATCTAACATAATTTAGTTTAGAAAAAACGATAATTATATTATTATGATAATTTTAGTTTTAGGATGCTTATTATTAGTAAATGCATTACCAGGTGATTCTTGTTAGACAACAGCAAAAGGAATATTTGCAAAAAGATAAACTGAATTTGAAGAATAATTGAATAGATTAAGAAATGAAGTAGCATAAGGAAGAAGAAAGAATCATGTTGGTGAATTTGATTATGCAGCAAATATGAATGTTGTTGAATGGTAATAAGGAATTGCAAATGCAGCACAAACATGTTCAGAAAGATGTCCAGATTCTCTTGAAACTTGCAAATAAGTAGATTAAGAATATATATAACAATTAGTTAACAACTCGTTATGGAGCTTTACATAAATTCAGAACAGTACATTCTGTTAGTTAGGAATGGGAACCAAGAGAGATTTATCAAAAGTGGATGGATGATAATAAAGGTGAGTAATTAGTGATTGCAAGAATGAAATATTTTGGATGTGGACGTTCATTGAAAAAGAATATTGATAAATTTATAGAATATGTTGTTTGTTTCTTTGATGAGGTACTAAATTTCAAAGATAACAAAGGCTCCTCGTAAGGGTATTGTTCCTTATGTCTCTGCAACTTAAAAAACAATAGGATCAGCATGTGATAAAGGAAGATCAAGTACTTATTCAGGATTATGTAAAACAACAATATATCAATAAAAAATATTTGATGGAATAAGGTTTAGTAAATATACTCTGGTTGAAAGTAAGTGATATATATATATATATAAAATAATATTGAATATAATATGAAGAAATCTAAATTAATATTTGTATTTTATATTTTATATTTTATACAATAGAGTAGTAATAAATAAATAGTATTAAATCAATATATTTATTACTACTCTATTGTATATATAAATTATAAATTAATGGGAATAATCATGATGTTACATAATTATATTATCATCATCTTATTTGATCTACTAATTTAAAATGATTTGTTTATTAAGAGTAATTATAATTAAGATTTATAATAATAAATTGATAGTGTAAATCATAATGATTATTAATTTCAGCCTAAAGAGTAAGTCAAAAACAAAATATAAAATTTTATTAATATATTACAAACACTTTGAATATAATTCATTTTTTGAGTTTTTCTTTTTTGTTTTTGGTTGGGTCTGGATTCATATTTTACCATTTATATCCTTCAATTGCATTAATGAAATTAGAAAGCATTAATTTAGGAATATTATTAGTGGTAGTCTATTAAAATTTGAATCTATTATAGATAATATATAAATATTACTTTGTTGTGGGTTCTTAATTAACCTATTTAATTTTAAGTTATTATTCAGGTTCATCCGAAATAAGATTTGTTGGTTCTAATAATTTCTCAATATATGATATTTTGTTATTTTTTTCTTTTTATTTATTTGAATTGAAAAATTTAATTGGAGGAGGAGTTAATTATGTTTAAATTGTTTGTTGAATTTGGGTCATTTATTATGGTTATTCTCTGATAACTTCTGAATATGCTTATTCTTCATCATCTAATTGTTTAAGATTTCTCTCTTCTAAGACATGTTTATTAGATGTGTCATTTTTCAATTCTTTTTCACATTTTTCTGCATATAATCTTAAATCTTCAGTCACTGGTGCTATCAATTTGGTTGTATATTTATTCTCATCATAAGTAGGTTCAATTCCAAATTTTTTAATAGCTTCAAATTGATCAAAGTTTTTAACTGTTTAATCTTCTAAATTAGAGGCATCCACATTTTATTCCCATCTAACAAATGTTTTAGTTTTTTTTTCAGATTTTGATTTCTCAACAATCTGAGATTGCTATATTTGATTTTGTACTTTCAAATAAGTTAAATCTTTGAATTGAACTTATTTATTATCATTAGATTCATTAGTTGCCAAATTACGAGTATAATTGAATACTAATTTTTGTTCATTTGGTTAAATGAGTCTTATTTATCCTTCATATTGAGTACCATTGATATCTTAATATTGGACACATTCTTATGATTTAAGAACTAAAAAAAAATGAGCCAAGTTGGCTTACATTTATTCAGAAATAATCATATAATATATATATATATACAATTAAAAATATCAATAGCTTATTTATGTTTCAAGTTATGTTAATCAAATGTCTTACAATTTAACCTATTATTCTTCTTTTGATACTAAATTATTTTGGATTATCAAGATATCTAACGCTTATCTGATAATGATCAATAATATATATAATATGGATTAAATATAACTTTGTAAATCCATGAATATCTTCCAAAATGAACTTATAAAGATTAGACTAAAGATATTAAATATAATATTAAACAATTTCAAGTATTAATTACTTAGATTATAGATAAATTCAATAAAAAATAAGTGATAAACCAATTTTAATATAATAATAATTATTTTATTGTTATTTCTCTTCTAAAATACAATAAATACAACTAAAAATAGTTCTAAATAAAGGCAATTATAATAATTAGATTATATATAATAATAATAATTGCTTGGTTATATATAGATAAAGCTCATAGATTGATTCTTTCAACAATTAATATATTAATCTATAGATTGTTTTAAATTCTTTCTAAGTTCTCTAAGTTTCTTTTATGATCAAAAGTAGTATATTAAAATATTCAATTAAATTTCATATTTAGTGTAAGTAACAAAACCCACTCTTGTTTAAATAGTAATTAGACTTGACAAGATGACTATTAATATCCACTTGTTAATAAAACTAATTTTGTTAATACTAAAATCAATTCATTTATTAAATTATATATATATATATACGTATATATAAATAATATGGAGAACTTTAAACATAGTTTATAGTCGAAACTAGAGAATAGACTTTAGTTCATTATAGGTTTCACACAGTTTTGTTTAATGAAAGAAAACTATTTCCTCTGGATTTTAGCAATGATAGTAAGTGTTCTTTAAAAAGTTGCCATAATAAAATTAGCTCCTTTACTTAATAATTTTAAAGGAGTAACTGGATCCTAAGATTTAGAGTTACTATTTAAAATGTGTGTTCCTACTATGTATTTACCAGAAAATTTGGGATATGATTATTTGATTGCATGTTAGAGTGTATTCATAGTACTCTTTTCTATTCCAGCCATTTTAGTTGGAGTGAGTATGTCTGATGAAATAACATTTTTTAAATAAACGAAGTTTAAGAATAAAAGATAATTAAATATTAGTTAAAGTGACAATTTAAGTGATTGTATTTAGATTATGCATTAGATTTATAACTAAAATTCATATATAGAAGGATTTTAACATCGTTTAATGTCAGATCAATCAAATACATCCTTATAAATAATAAGATTGAGATAAATAGCAATATTTTTGAATTATTTTCCTCATGTTTTCTTAATACCTATACTATATTTCTTATTACAAATTAACTTAATCTTAGAAAAGGCAGATTAAACACAATAGGTTGTTGGGTAAATCTTGAATGTTATTTTGGCTTTTCAAACCTTATTTATTTCAAGTTTATCATTGGTATGGTGTTAAGTATCATTTACTTTACATGAATCTAATTTTATGAGATTAAGATTTTCATACCTATAATGGTTACATTTAGGATTCAGTATAATACCAATATTAATCAGCTATTCTTATGTACGTGCTGGTAATGTCATCTATGAGGATGATTTTATTCATATAGTTAATTTAGTATTTGTTATATTGGCTTTTCTTATTGATGCTTTAGATGCATATATAACATTACCTTATGTACAGAAATTTAAATATTCCACAAATGTATTTATGAGGGCAATAGTAATTTGTTTGACATTATTCTTTATTTGTAGATTAAGTGACTAATAGATTATATGTTTAACTTTTATAGTTTCTCCATGTCTTAGTAGACTTTTTATAGTTCTTCAAGATAGTAGAATTGGTAATGTACTTACTTCAACATTAAAGAAGGAGAAATCTATTCAAATTCCAGTTATACAATAATATTAATAACCTTAATAAACATTAAATACTCATGAATCTGAATAAGGTTTACGTATTGAAAGTGAAAATATCAAATATAAGGATTTCTAATCAAATATTATTAAATAATATGATATGTCTTACTTCATTCATTTTATTAGAGCTGTCTAATTAATGAAATTGACAGAAATTGGAGTCTTAACAAGAAATTCTGGAGTTTAATTAAAGAATGAAAGATCTAAGATACTTATGGTCTGTATAATATTATTGAAAACTCACACTGAAAATTGTAATAATCAATATTGTTTTTGTCGTGGTTTAAAAGGTGAAAAGAGAAAGATAATAGAAAAATATGAAATAGTTAAAGAAATGAGAATGTATGATGATTTTAAAATACTTAATATTCAATTCTATATTGAATTGATTATGAGATATTTAAGAGATTACTCTAAACTAGTTTTCTAAACTGAAATACGTAAGACACATCCAAATATTATTTATTTGATATAAATTTTAGTTTTTTTATGCAATTCTGATGAATGTTATTAAGCATAATTGTAAATACTTGATTTGAAGCATTTATTAGAAAAAGGAAGTTCTTTGTAGCAAAGATTAGCTTTTGAATTACTGAAGAGTTATTCAAAATATCAAATTCTACATAGATTCAAAGAAGATATTACTAGATAATCAATTGAATTGACATTAAAATATGAAGATTATAGATACACAGAATTAGAGAGAGATCGTTTATTAAAATTAGTATTTACAAATTTGTAATATAAAAAACAGTTTCTAATAAAATTAAATGATGAAACTCATAGTTATGAGTCACTTGAAGAATTATATTTATAATTAAATTAATAAAATTGTAAGATTTAAAAAGAACTAGAATATTTTAATTTATATTCACCAGGTAGAACTTCTTTGTATTGTTACATGCTTTATTGTTTAGAAGTTACAAATAATTATGATCAATTTATTAAATTATGTAATTTAATCAATACAAGAGAAAGTAAATTTTTTGAATATCCATCATTTTATTATAAAACTGAAGAATAATCATATAAAGTTGGTTATATGTCACTAAATCTAACATAATCACATATGAAGAGAGGTGAAATTATTAGTTTCTCTAAGAATTTTCCATCTTTTGTGGGATATACTTAGGAAGAATTTCGATAATAAGTGAAATCATTAGATCAACTATGTTATCCAAGTCTAATCAAAGCACATGATGAAATGATGGAAATGTTTGTATTAACAAATAGACCTATGGTTTTTAGATAACCTTTGCCATTCTTAACATAATAATAAACTCCAGGAATTTTGAGTTATTTGGAAATCTTTATAGATATTAGTTTTAATTTTTCATCAAATGTACTTCCATCATTTTGTTTTATGAAAGAAATCAAATAAGGAATTAGATAAGATGGATTAAGTGGATTTATTTTATTAGATTCAAAATAAAATATAGAGGGAATTACTAATAATGCTTTAGAATGTTTTGAAATGAGTAATCCTTCACAATTATTAGGTAAATCTATTAATTAATTTATACCTAATTTTAATTCTTTGGATGCTTAATTACAACATTATTTGGAAGAATATTAAAAGGAGAATTGTATAAGTGGAACATTAACAACAGCAAATAAATTGGTTTAACATTTTACTGTATCTTAAGATTCTATAGAAATGATATTAGACAAAGAAACTAAATTTCAATTGGATTTAGAAGTGTAATTGTCTTATTCTCTTGTAAATAGGATGGTTTTTAAAGTATATGTTTTAAAAATCAGATCCCCTTATAAATTAGGAGCTGTTTGTTCTGATGAATCCCCATTATCCAAGTCTTTAGATGAATATAGTTCTGAATTTGAAGGTATTCAATTAAAGGATTATATCATGCCTGGTGTAGGAGATAATGAGATTCCCTAATTTACTACTTAACCAGATCCAATAACTTTACGTAGTCAAATGGTTGCTGTTGAATAAGAAAATTAACCATTAAAACAATAAGAATTCTTATGTAGTGATCATCATGATATGATATCAAAATAAGATTCAAGTGAAAAAGATTTAGAATCACCAGAATAACCTCATAAATAAATATATATTAATAGTATTAGTAGTAATTCATCTAAACAAAGTGAAATCTAAAGGATTTTAGTTAAATCTCATTTTTATCGTAAATTTTCTGAAATGAATACTAAACCTAAATTGCTTTATGCATTACTTATTATAAATATCTTTTCTTTGATAGCTATTTTAGGATTTGCAACTGCAAATACAATACTTTATGCAAATTGGTAAAGTAATATAAGAAGCAATATTTATATTTTATAAGCCTTTACAATGACTGCTTATAGTAGAGCAACTATGTAAGGAACAATGACTTTGATATAATATATTCAAATGGATTAAAATTTATCAGAATATGGGATGTATTATGATTATAATGCTACTTTACTTGGATAATTGTAGACAGTGTTGGATAGAAATATTGAAATATTTTCAACAAAAATGGATGAGTATTCAGAAAATTCAATAATTAGAGAAGTATTTTCAACAATAGAATTAGAACAATTAGATATATTTGAGAATGTAGATAAAACAGTTAAGGGTTGGACTGCTCTATTTTAATTAATTTATATGATAAGATCATTGCATATATCTGATTTTACAGATAATTTTTAATTTTTTAAATCCATCTTATATTTATTAAGATCTTATAGTAAATACAAGGATGCATATTCACTTTTAAATATTAGATTCACTGATGAAATTAATTCAATTTTGGCATCTTAAGATAATATAATAGATTATGTTACTTTTACATTCATTGCTTTTTATGTTGTCTATTTTTGTATAGCATTTCTCTTATAATCTTCATATATTTAATTATGTAAGAAATACATAAGATGTTCAGAGTAAATTTCACATTCTGCAATTGCTAGCGAATTAATTCATGTGAATTAATTATTATTAATTAATTAAGATGTATTTATAATATATGATATTATTATTAGCATTTCGATCTTTATGAATATCATTTCTCATTAAGAGATAAATTCCATTAGGATGAAGTAGACAAATAAAATAATAATTATTTGAGTGGAAGTTCCAGTGCTAATAATAATAATAATAATAATAATAATAATAATAATAAGAAATTTATCAAAGTTTAGGAATAATGGAATTTAAAACGATAACTTACATTTAGTTTTCATTTAATTTCCTTTACTATTTCATTAATAACTTTTTTATTAATAAGAATGAGTGATAAATTATAAATTTATGAATTAGAATCTAAATTAACAATCTATTAAAAATGTATTACTTTTACAGAAAGTTTATCAGAAGCATGTTTAACTAATTTCATTTTACAAAGTAATAAATATTTGGTCAAAAATGAATTTATTGATCCTGAAGATCCAGCTTAATTTTTTATTTATACAAATGAAAGTTATACAATAGCAAATAGTATTTTAGGAGAAATCCTTTATTCAGAAGGAACAGTTTCTGAAGAATTAAAGGTTCTATTTTCAAGTAATGTATGTTTGGTTGTCAATGAACCTGAAATCTGTGTGACTGTTAATAATGGAGAATTGTAATAAGGATTATTATTACCATCTTAAGATATATTTTAAATTTTAAGAGAAAACATAGATTTATATTAAATTTAAGGTTCTGCAACTTAAATGCTTTAACTTAGACATATGTTATCTGAAAGTTTTATGATAGATGCAATAAGTAATTTTGTAGATACAGTTCGATAGACTGTAGAGTAAGGAATCTTGGATAGTAACAATGTCAAATTAACAATTTCTATAATATTTTACCTTTTCATTATTTCTATAAATATAGCATAGATTTGCTTAATGCATTAATATATCACATAAAAATTGTGGGGTATAAGACAATTTGTTTATTTGTTACCACCTAAAGCATTGTATAATGAAGATAGTTTTTATAAAACTCTCACCTATTTACTGAAAATTGACAATTAAATACTATATCTGTGAAAATCTTATTTATTAATAATTTATATAATAACCTTAAAGTTTCTAAATAATCTATTGAGATTCTTAAAAGTATAAGGAGAAGAAGAAAGAATTATATTGAAAAGAAGAATATAAGATTTATATTCATATGATAAATTTTATTTATAAATTCAAATAGATGAAGTATGTATACTAATAATCTAACTATTAAAAAGAACTAATCAATAAAAACCGTTGGATTCTAATAAAATGTATAAAATAAACTAATATATATAAATATATATATATATAAATATTAAATACAAAATGGCAATAACTGATAAACTTTGCTTTGGTTTCTCAACTGCAGCAATAATCATATATGTAAGCTTATTTGCAATCACTAATATCCTTGGTTATGGTCCTGTTAACTAACCTATCAGCAATGGAAGTATATTTATAGGCCAATGTTAGAGTAATGCAATTTGATTTACTTTCCGGATCCAAAAGATATTTCAAAGACTCTCTGTTTAGATGAATGTCCAAAAACAGGTGATAAAAAATTGTAATGTGATAATTGTTCTGGAAATATTATAAATACAGATGAATGTATTATATTATTAATTAAATTAGACAATCATGGTTGTTTACCTACATTATATTCTTAATTATAATAAGTTATGCCTGCTTTGGAAACACCTAAACTCAATAACTTTACATTATCTTTGATTTCAAACAGTGAATTTGTTTTTACAGGACTAATATTACTACTATCAATTCTATATATAAATTAGAGAATATTCAGATAATATTTTTCACTTATTATTTCATTCTTAACTAATTTTTATCCATATTGTATATTATGGTTATCCATTATTATGGCAAATCGCTTGTCAACATTTCATGATATGGAAAAACTATAAAGAGCAGGAGAATCAAGATAATTAAATTAATAATCAATTGAAATCATAGTTCAAGCATTCAATTATAAAACTATTTATACAATACTTTTATTGATCTTAATCAAAGTATTTATAGGATCTCTTATATCTTAATTCTTTAATTAAAATGATAAAGAGGGATATAGATTGAAAAGTTATATATCTTTGACAATAAGAAAGAATTTAGGATAATATACATTTAGATATAATTCTGTAATTTAATCACTTGTTATCATAAACTTTTTAGTAATGTATTATTCCATAACGTATTAATTAATTAAAGAATTTTAGTGGAGCATTAAGTATAGGTTCAATTGACTCAACAAAACCTGTTTATAGCCAATACTCTACTTCCATATTAGGAATTATCTTAGCTATTATATTATTTTGCCTTTTTGTTTATGCATCCAAAATATTAAGATTATATACTGATTATTTTATATACATTTTTTCATTAAAACAATTGCTATGGGAAGAAGAATAAAATATATAAATTTTAAAGTATTTATCAATTTGATATTTAAATAGAAATTCATTTGAAGTATTTGGAACAATATCTCTACTAGCTTTTAAGCAAATCATTTATTCACCAAAAAGTTTAGGAATTAAACTTATGTATTTAATTAAAAAGCCTTAAATTGCTCATAAATGGGAGAATGATTTATCTTTATTAACCTCACTAACATTAGGTCGTTAAGTGTTTTATTTGACTCAAAATTAAGTAAATAATTAACCAATAGCTTCATATTAATTATAAGAGAGTATAGATGCTTTAAATATATAGGATTTAGATATTGTTTATTTATTATGTATGAATAATTTAAATTATTATAATAGATTAATAAGCTGAAGCAATTCTTAGATATTCTGGATGGTCAATGGGATGTCTTATTGGAATTGTTAATTCACTCTTTGGTTGTGGTTTCTCCACTATTTTATTAATGATTCCATTGAGTTGTGATCTTAATTATGTGATCAGTGCATAATTAATTAAAGGATTTTTAACATTTGGATTGATCGAAGGAGATAAGGATGATGACAAATTGATGAATTTTTATAAAACAATCATCTTAATTGAGAAAGAAGAATAATTGTCCAAGAAAAAATAATAATAACATTGAGTATAAATAATAAAATAATATGGATAAATATCAAGTCTCATCAAGTGCAAGATTTATTTATGAAAAACATGAGCAGAATTTCAGAAACTCAATTTACACAGGAATATCATTCTTTCCATTTATTCTATTGCTGAAACTCATTTTTCAATGTACTTTCCTTACAATTGCAAGTGCATTAATCACTTCATTATTCTACTATCAAAACAAGTACAGATGGAGATATCTTATATAAATTATCCTCTGTGCTGCATAATTAGGGGAAATCTAAATATATTGTATTTAATCTCACATTTTCACTTTTTTAACCAATTTTATTCTTATCCCTTATTGGCCTATTTAGGTGTTATTTCAACTTCTAATAATACGTCAACTAAGTCATGCTTATTTATTCTTATTAATAATTACTCTTTTAAGGGCTTTTGAAATACTAAAAAGATATTTTTATGCTAAAATTTGCAGAATGAATGCAATTTAATAAGAGTATGAAGGTATGATATTAAATTTACCTCATCATATACTTTATTTAGATGAAAATTTAAATGAACTTTTTTCAAATAAACCAATAAAATTGATATCTTTTTCTTAACAATAAGTTACAGATTTTATAAAAAAGAAATATATAGGAATAATACAATTAGAAACTAGTGATAAACAATTAATTGAATATCAAATTAAAGCATGGGAAGGTAATTTATTATTAATCCAAACCTATTTTTAAAATGAAGATGATTCATTTTTTATTGTAATGAACGAAAAGATTAATAAATTGTATACATTATTAAGTCAAGATTATACTAAATGGAATAATTTGAGAGCATTTAGGATGATTAAAGAATCTGATTTAAGTGCTTTAGGATAATGTTTATCTGAATGTCTTGATTTAGAGCATTTTATTATATCATAAATAATGCATCCTTCTTAAGAAATCACATTATTTGATATCAAAATTTAATTATGTAATTTAATAGAATGTACTGTATTAAAATTATATGAACATTTTAATAAAATTAATTTAATATTTGAAAATGGTATTCCAGAATTAGTGGCAGGTAACAAAAGATTACTTAAATTCATTTTATAAACATTACTCTATTCAACTAGATTTTGTGATAAATAAAAAGGTGAATTATCTATTAAATGCATAATATCTCAAATAAATTAAGAAAAATCAAGTTATGATTTAGAATTTACATTAATATTTACATGTACACCTTCTGTAATTAAATTATATTCTTAAGTATTTGGATTACGTGATGCAAAATTAAATCAACATGAATAATTTTTAATTTATTGTCTTTAAATATGTAAATAATAAATGAAATTAAATCAAAATGAATTTAAATTTTAAACTGATGGAGACAATGTTATTATTACATTTACTTTTTTAAGTTATATAACTAGTAATAAACCAGATCATATGTCATAATTTACAGATATCACATTTTCTAGAATTGTTTTAAATGATTGTCATTATTAATGGAAAGAAAAAGTTTAAATATTACCTACTAAATTCATGTTAGATTCTTAAATAAGAAAAAGTTTATAAACTTCTACAAATAATGAAATATTGCCACAATAAATAAATAAGAAAATAGATATAAATTTTCCTGAAATAAGAGATGAACTTATCTTATTGTTAGAGACCACTCTTGAAGATGCAAGAGATAAAGGTATCTTAGATTAGATAGTTATAGATTTATCAGATAATAATGATAAATTTGCAATAAGTGTAATAATAATTATTATATATTCTAGGAATATGCAGATAGTATAGCTAATTCTCCTCCTTCATTTAATACTCCTTAAATTAATTCAACTAAATTATAAGATTTAATTAAAGAGAAATTCAAAAAACGTTTGTCTAGGGCTAAAAAAACAAAGAAGAAAAAGAAATTAGTCAAAAATAATTATAATGTAGTTTTTCCTAGAAGAAATGATTCAAATTGTAAAAGTAATCAAGAACCTGTTATGTTTAATTTTAATAAAGATGTTTAATAAAATAGAGATAATAGAATTAATTTAAAATGGACACATCGTTATAATGTTATATAACCTCCAAAAACTGTTAATGAAATACTTTGTTATGTTTCCAATATAAAATTATCAAATGATATCAAAACCAATTTTGGAAATTCTACTTATGATAATTTTGAAATAAAAGATCCTATAATTGTAGTTGATATAGTAGATGTAATTAGACTTTATAAATAATATTTATTAGCTGGTAAATAATTTTATTTTATTATGTTATTTGTTAAAAAATAATAAGAAATTGCAGACTTTGCAGATATTGTTCAAAAAAATGAATAAGAATTTGTCCAGTAAAATCCAAAATTTTAATAGACTTATTTGATTGGTATTACAGAATCTTAATTAAAACCTTCTTTATATGCATTTTTTAAATGTATTATACCATTTGGTTAATGGAATACAGATATAAAATAAATAAAAGCTCTTATTGCAAATTAAAGAGGAATAAAATGATCAAATAAGTGTTATTACAATTAATAGTAATATAGTTAAGATAATCAATAACTTAAAATTAGTACTTGATTATAATTACTAATTTTTCTCTTCTTCTAATACTATTCGTGGTTTCTTGACTAATTAAATGAATGTACTAATATCATTAGAATTCAATTTTTTATGTTCCAACATTTTATGTAGATTCTCTTATTCAATTTAAGTTCTTGGAGCTATTATTGAATTGAAATTTACTTAAGATGCCAAAATATGTTTAATCTTTTTGATCCTTAAATAATGCTAAAAATTAATCATTTATTATATTATTCTCATCAGATTGAAAGAAAGAAGAATTTTCATCTCTATTTCTATTGCTGTAAATACGAGTTAGATCAGAAGAATTACACTTATGAAAATTGTCAGTTGGAGTTCTTCTATGTTTAAGTAATTCTAATAATTTAAGTTGTTCCATTGTATCATCAACTTGATCTGATAAATGACGAACATGTCTTTTAACAATTCTTCCAGGATGTTCATTACCATGATTTTTGAGATCTTATAATGGTTATTTGCATCTTTTCATAAATATCTTTTAAAGAGCATTCATTTTCATGCTCCAATTAAATTTCAACATCAACGTTTCAAATTGAGCAGAAGATGATCTAATATTTTTTTTTGATTTCATTATAAATTATTAATTGAAGAAACTTTCAATATTATATATTTCAATTGAAAAGTCTATGAAAAAAATACTTATCTTTTAGATCTAAAAAATCAATTAAATCTTATAGATCATATCAAATTATATATATTAAAATGATGTGGATCATATTTAATAAATAAGATATTAATTTAATACATAATAAATTAAATACTACAAAATTAAGTATTTTCAATAGTATTAAGTATCTGAAAAAGAGTTTAAATATTTTTATTAGAACTTTATTTATGTGAATATCACATCCACAATCAGAACTTCATAAAAAGTAAATATTATATTTCTAAAAATCTATAAGACTTTTCTATATTTAAGAAGAATAGGAAAAGATAATTATTGAATTACCTGATTACACTCTCTCTTATATTGAATTAAAAATTATATATGATGTTAAAATAAAATGATTTCTTATATTTTATAAATATTAAATGATCATATCAATTTCTTATTGAAATGATGAGTTTCTTTATACCATCTAAATCAAAAATAGTAATACAAAAACTCAAAATTTAATTACTCTATAGAAAATCAATTTTAGAATTCCATTACTAAAAACTCAAAAGAAATAACCTTAATTTAAAGAATATGAGAATTAAAATTAAATAATACCCAAGTGACAGATCCATTCATACTGATTCACAGCAAATGAGTCTATTTTTCCAACTTTAAGAAGATGAAGTTTTATATATAATCAAATATTAGTAATTAAATAAATATTTTTATGAAAAATACACTTGTTCAAAATATCCTAAAAAAATAGGGTAACACTAATTTAATAAAAATACATACACCTAAATAAACATTATTGCAATTAGACTCACCTCCTAAAGGATTTTTCACAAAAGAGTTTTTTGAAAAAAATAAAAATAACATTCATATTTATGAATCCATTGAGGAAAATATGAAATATCATTACCTTAATCCATAATCAAGTTTTGATCTATCAAATTAAGCAGATATGTATTATCCTTATAGCAATAACATGAAAATTAATAGAGACTTGCATCTTATTTTAGCAGAAGCTTATTTTGGTTCAACTAAGCCTAAAACTGCCATAATAGGTAACTAAGCAACTTCACGTTTGGTTAGATATATTTAGGATTTAAATTATGACCCTGTTGCTTGTGATAGTAAAAGGAACTTTAAAGACTTCACAAATTATATTTTAAATCTAAATGGGATTTCTTCTCAATAATTAGTATAAATGGAAAAATATGAATTTCTATCTGGTTAGAAATTCGATTTCATTGAAATTGAGGATATCTTTCGTAAACCATTTGCATTATTAGTGCCTGCTCTTAAGGCAATTAATGATGGTGGATTATTAATATATACAATTTAATAATTTGTTCCTAATACTATGGCAATTGGAAAATAAACTAAATAATAAATACATTTTTTTCCAAATGACATTTAATGCAATTCTGAAACTATTATTTAAGGAACCCTTGCTAAATTTGAATAAGTTGCACATGATCTTGGTAAACATATTGAACCCCTGTATTCTTAAGCTACTGGTAATTAAGTAGGACATCTTACATTATGTATGTCAGTGAGAAATGGAAAAAAATAGATTAATCATTATCATGCTTATTGTTCTACTTGTGGTAGATTTACAAATGGTTGTGAATAATCAAATAATTGTTCATTTACAGGAATGGGTCCATTATATATAAAAAATTTAGATCAAAACAAAGAATTTTTATAGAAATGTTTATAAATTAAAAAATATACTAATTGGGGATTCTTATAAAAAATGTTAGAATAAATACATAATATTCCTTCTGATTGTTATCCATTCTACATTAATAAATATATCAAATATGAGGCTTCCTTTTTCTTTTATGAAGTATTAGGAAATGATGAAGGATATTTTGTAGCCAAATCTCCTTATCATAATATGCCAACTATTTATACAAATATGCCTTGGAATATTTTAATGGGCAAACTTCATTAATTTGTAATTTATTATATTTATTAATAGATGATTGATATTAATTAAAAGCCTTCTCCTTATATAGAATCCTTCCCAAAACAACCCTTAAATCATTTAAATCTTGAATTAGCATTAAGAATACAATATGATGAAGAAACAAGATTATAATCGCTTCCAAGATAATTAAAAGTTAGAAGATAAGATGAAATGGAATAATAAAATTGATAATTTGATTTTTTTATCGTAAATAATAAACCAGTATTTTTTTTGTTTAAATAAACATATCTTTTAAAAAATAATTAACATCATTTTAATAAGATTAAAGTATTCTATTGAATATATATAGATTATTAACATATGTAAACCTTATTTTCTGTTTGTTGATATAATCTAAATGTAATTTATTAAAATCTATTGAATTTATGTTAAAATTGACAATAAAATATAATTTTTAATTCAAAATGAAAATGAATGACGTAATGAATTAATTTAAATTATAAATTCAGGAACATATCAATTTTAAATTTAGATTTAAAAACTACTAAAATAATATAATAATTTAATATTTTCAAATTCACTTTTTATTTGTTGATTCATCTTCACTTGATAAGATATTATTCTAATAAGCTAAAATGATATTTTAAATTCTTCTTACTCTCAATCAAATATTATACTAGAAATCCATTTTCTTGAACAAAGTTAATAGCTTTCTTATATGATTTACCAGTGAAATTAAGTATTCTTACTACATCCTCATCATTAGCATTTGGAAAATTCTACAAGATGATATTGAGTAATTTTTAGACTGTCTCATATAAATTATATCATGTACATTTCTCTTCATTTTTTGTGTAAACTCTGATTAAACGCGTTTTCACATTCGATTGAGGGAATACAATTAGTTGGCGCTATCTTCCTATTTGAACTTGCTTTACTAACTTAGGTTGGATGCGAGCAGGTTCCTTACGATTTTTCTAAGGCTTCTTCTTTTGTTTAGGTGATTAGAATGATTCATAATGCATTTATCGCATTGTCTTCTAAAAATTTAAACTTTTTGAGACTCTTCTTGGAAGTTAAGGGGACACAGAAGATTCATAATCATAAACCCTTCCTTAACTTTCCAACTAATCCAAATCCAAGATCTTAGGCACCTTTTTGGGTTGAGCAGGTGCTTTTGCAACAGGTTTTGGAGCTTGTTCCTAAGGTTCTTGAGGAGCATCCTCTTCATCACTCGAAATTGTTATAACTACTTTTTGCTATTGTAGCTTTTGATTATGTAATAGATCAGTCATAATGAAATAAGGAAATTATCTATTAATATACATTGATTGAGGAGTATTGTATGAATAAGCAGAAGAAAATGGATAAGTCATAGGCAAATTATTCATGTAATTAGGGAAAATTTATAGAGGTCTAAAGTTTTGAGCAAATTGATTTTAATGATCTTATGGGTTCATTTTCCTCTTGTAATTTTAATATTATTTACTCATTAAATAAATACTAAGATTTATTCTGTAATATTAGTATATAATTTTAAATGTAGATTATAGATGCATTAATAATCCACTGTTTTAAAATGAAGATTAAGATGTCATAAAACAAAGAAATAATATAGTTTTTTTTTATATAATTAACATAAGAAATTTTATTTGTTTTAATAATATAAATTAATAATCATATTTTTCTATGTAATTTTATTAATGATTAAATATCTTCTAAAACTTTAATTTTTTATTAATTATGCAATTCTCCCTATTTTTACGATTAAAATTAAATTTATTAAGTCTAACAATCATACTATTTAAATTTATCTTCCAACTAAATATATGAATATTTCTTACATTCTTTATTGTATGTATAAGATTTTATAATTATTATTTATATTTCTGAGACTTTTTCTAATGCTTTTCAGTTTCTAGTTCTGACTACTTTAATTTTTACTTAAGATCATTCTCCCTTTATTTTTATTCTTTTAATTCTTCTTTAGCATTCTAAACTGATTCAACTAAATTATCAATTTTTTTTTCAACTTCATCCATTTATTTTTCATGCTATAATTTACGATCTAGATGTTCTTATTCTAGATTTCTATTGTAATTTTGCACTTAAATAAGTGAATCTGATAAGTTTTGATTATCATCTTTAAGCTATTGTTTATATGTATAACATACTTATTCAATTATTCTTTAATCTTAATATGATCTTTATTCCATTTATTTAATTTAGCTCAGTAAATTTGAATTTATCTGTTTCTAATCTTATATTTCTAAGAGTGATTATTAAATTTTTTCTTCGTTATTCAATAATTTTTGTGCTTATTAATCATTCATGTATTTCTATTCATTACTAATTTATTATAATTTTTAAAAATCATATTCTTGAATCTATATATTTTTTTCATCGTTATCTATTTTCCTTTATAATTCTTAGATTATCTATTAGAACTAATCAATTTTTAATTTTTATTGATTAGCTTTTTGTTTTTTTTTATTTATTATCTCTTAAAATTAGTCTTAATACTTTTTTGATTCTTGCTCAAGGTTTAAAAGTTTTGCTTGTGTGCTTTCAGAAACTTATTGTAATTTTTCTTAGCATTCTTCAAATTTTATTATATATTACTATGTTTATGCCTTTTGATATTGTAATTCTTTATTTAAATAGTTAATTTATTTTTAATTATCTTCATCTCTAAAACGAAAATCTTATATTAATTGATCAAAGTATCTAATTTAAGCTTCTTTTTATTATTTTTCTTCTAACAATTACATTTTTTCCTCTTCTAATTCTCTATTTTATGCTTCTTAATTTTTACTAATAACTATTAATTAAATGATAATACATTTCAGATGAAAAATCTTCGCATAGACTTTATACTCGTTCTAATTCTTTCCCAAAATTTTAGCCTTATTCATCAAATTATATTTCTTGTTATTTTAGTTATTCTTTTAACAATAATATTTTATCTTTTTTCAATAATAATTTTTGATGTGAAACATGATATTATTATTATAATTCTTCAATTATTTTCTCTTAACCTTCACACTTTTATCTATTCTCTCTAACATTATTTTCAACTTTAGTAAAAGAATCTTAAATAGATTTTAATTCAAATTCTAATTATTTGATATGCTTTTCTCTTTAATTAATTTTAACTTCTAAATCTTTATTTACTTACATATAATCCTTTAAAGTCATCTAAATTATATAAAAAATCACTACTTTTAATTCTTTATTCAAAATTCTCAATCTTTCTTATTTTTCTTTTTCTTGCAATTCTTTAGCATTTAAAGTCTCTCTTAATCGACTCATCTGCTCAATAGAATGATTCTTTTTTTCCCTTGATGAACTTTCTCTATTTTGTAATGACTAAAGTTTTACTCATCATTGAAATTAGTTCTACTTTGTCGAGATCTTGTTTAATAAAATGTAATAGGTTGAGATATTATTTGTTCTGGTTGAATCATTTAGTCAAGTTATTGACTGGTTTTTTTGTAGCGTTCAATTAATTTGTTAACATTTTTTTCTAAACGATTTTCCATAAAAAATATATATAAAGAATCAAAATTATGAAAGTTCAGCATGACTCTTCTTTCTTAATTCCTGTGAATTACACATTTTAATGTCTAGATCACTCTATTATTCCTCATCCTCTGATAATTACATAGGATTATGCAATTATATAACAGGTTAATTAAAGGTTGATTCATCATCATCAGAATTGGTCTCATTACAAATAAAGAAAGGAGCATAAATCTATTGCAATAAGATTCTTGGCTATCTATTATTCTTTGTAATTAAAGCAATTAAATGATCTATTTCATTTTTGCTTAATTGAATTTATAGATTATATAATGTTTCTAAATATTGCTTTATATTTAATAATCTTACATCAATACTTATATATCCAATTGTAAATATATGAGAATGTTTCTTTATTAAATATTCATTAATTTAACATCGTTTTATTGAAATACTTTCATTAATAGCTTATAATTCATTATTACTCAATATGTTATAATTCTCCATTAAATTCTTAAAAATACTTTTAACTCTTGAAGCTGTAGTTTCAATTTCACCATTTTCAAGATCTGCTAAATATGAAGCCAATTATGAAATTTCTTCATCATCTTTTAATCCAAAAATTTGATGAGTCAAATTCTCTTCTAATTACTACAAAGTAAGAATTTAATTAGTAATTAAATATTCATCAATCTATTTTAAAGATATTTATTAAGCTATTAGATTTAATCGAACCTTTCTTGCTAATGGCAAAATATCTTTTTTTTCTAAAGAATCCAATTTTCTAACTTTAGTTTCTTATTCAATATATTTTTCTGGCTCTTCTTGTTAAATTGTTTTAAGTATTACTGTTCTTCTAATAAATCTTTATGATTATTATAATTGCTAATAATTGACTTTTTCTTATTCATACATATTTTCAAAATGAGAAATAGTTTTCAAAAGTTCTTTATTTCTACTTTCAAGTTTTTCTATTATTTCTTATTCTAATGATAATTTATTATCAAACAATTATTCTTATTATTTTATCTATTATTAGGATTTTCTCAATTCTAATTTTGTTTGCTCTAATTCTAAATAATATTTTTCATCTACTCTAGGAATTTCCTTTTAAGAAATCCTACCATCATAAAGTTGCTATTTTTTCTTTAAATCACTTATCTCTAATAATAATTAATTATTAAGTGCTTTCAGTTTATTTTATTAAATTTATAAAGCATTACATTTTATTAATAATTTATTGTTTGATTTCTAAGTATAATAAATTGAAATACTTTAAGTTCCTCATATTCAGTTGTTTTATCTTCCAATAACTATGTCAATTATTGATTATCATTTTATAACTACAAACAAAATATATCTAAATTAGTTTATATTAATGGATTTTTTAGAGAGTTCACAAATGCTTTTATTTCTTCTAATTGTTAATGCAATTTAGAATTTTCTTCCTTACAATTTTATTTATATAAACCTTTAGATTAGCAATTCTCTCCTAGTATAATTATTTGAATCTGGATGAACTTTTAAGAGGACTGCTCTCATCCTTGTATATAGCCTCTTTCTTATAATATTACACTTAAGCTTGTAGCTTCTTAATGTTAATAAACAATTGGTTCTTGCTTTATTTGAGAGATTGAATTTCCTCAAACATAGTTTCCTTATCCTTTATGAAATATTATTTTTGTTTTCCTGTTTCATTTGGTGTTTGATTGAATTTCATAGATGTTTAATATTTAATAGGACTAGTCAACAAGAGATTTCTTTAGGATGTTGATTGCATTATTTAATTTTTTTAATTATTGACCCTTAATGGTATAATAAAATATATAATTTTATCAAGATGCAGTTCCTCTTTCTAAATTAGCTTTAATATCTGCAGCATAATCTCCAAAGAATCTTTCTAATTTTTTATTGAAGATCCTATTTCTTTCATTAATATAAGTCACAGGTTAATCTTCATTGAATCTTCTTCTTCTTGAAAACTCTTTTCTTCTCTCTTACTATTTAGTAATATCAGAACTCAGTCTCTCTAATGCTTCATTTGTAGGCACAAACTCTTAATTTGACTCTAAAAATTAATCTATATATAAAATACCCATTTATTATTTATATTTTCCTTCATCTTTTGCTAAAGTAGTACATCTTTTCTTATAAGCATTATAAACAGCATCTTCATTAAATACATCCCATCCAAAATATTCTTTTTTTCTTTCTTATTCTTCATCATGTTTAATTGTTAATCTATTTAAATAATCTTTATCTTCATCTATTTATTTGAATTCTAATTCTTTTTTTTCTGCCTCCTTTTTCAAAAGATATCTTCTTTTCCTTACATATTTATCATATTAAGCATCAGTATTTTATCTTTCTTCATTTAAAACTGCTTTATCATTTAATACTTTAGATTATTAGATTTTCTTTTTTAATCCCAAATATCTTTCTTTATGTTTTTATGTCATAAAGTTTTTGCCTTCAAATTATTCTAAACCTTCTTATGAATCATCTTCTTACTCTTATTCTTCTGTAGATTTCTTTAACAATCCTTCAACTAATAATTATCCTTTCTTATCTTCTTAATTTTCTTAACTTTATTACTTAAATTTTTCAGGATTCAATGCCTAGAGTTTTTATTCCTCTTCTTTATCNATTTGAATCTGGATGAACTTTTAAGAGGACTGCTCTCATCCTTGTATATAGCCTCTTTCTTATAATATTACACTTAAGCTTGTAGCTTCTTAATGTTAATAAACAATTGGTTCTTGCTTTATTTGAGAGATTGAATTTCCTCAAACATAGTTTCCTTATCCTTTATGAAATATTATTTTTGTTTTCCTGTTTCATTTGGTGTTTGATTGAATTTCATAGATGTTTAATATTTAATAGGACTAGTCAACAAGAGATTTCTTTAGGATGTTGATTGCATTATTTAATTTTTTTAATTATTGACCCTTAATGGTATAATAAAATATATAATTTTATCAAGATGCAGTTCCTCTTTCTAAATTAGCTTTAATATCTGCAGCATAATCTCCAAAAAATCTCTCTAATTTTTTATTGAAGATCCTATTTCTTTCATTAATATAAGTCACAGGTTAATCTTCATTGAATCTTCTTCTTCTTGAAAACTCTTTTCTTCTCTCTTATTATTTAGTAATATCAGAACTCAGTCTCTCTAATGCTTCATTTGTAGGCACAAACTCTTAATTTGACTCTAAAAATTAATCTATATATAAAATACCCATTTATTATTTATATTTTCCTTCATCTTTTGCTAAAGTAGTACATCTTTTCTTATAAGCATTATAAACAGCATCTTCATTAAATACATCCCATCCAAAATATTCTTTTTTTCTTTCTTATTCTTCATCATGTTTAATTGTTAATCTATTTAAATAATCTTTATCTTCATCTATTTATTTGAATTCTAATTCTTTTTTTTCTGCCTCCTTTTTCAAAAGATATCTTCTTTTCCTTACATATTTATCATATTAAGCATCAGTATTTTATCTTTCTTCATTTAAAACTGCTTTATCATTTAATACTTTAGATTATTAGATTTTCTTTTTTAATCCCAAATATCTTTCTTTATGTTTTTATGTCATAAAGTTTTTGCCTTCAAATTATTCTAAACCTTCTTATGAATCATCTTCTTACTCTTATTCTTCTGTAGATTTCTTTAACAATCCTTCAACTAATAATTATCCTTTCTTATCTTCTTAATTTTCTTAACTTTATTACTTAATTTTTTCAGGATTCAATGCCTAGAGTTTTTATTCCTCTTCTTTATCCAATTCATCCAAATAATCTTATCCATATAATGCTTTTAATCTATCTCTATGAATTTCCTCCATAATCTCTTTTTTAAAAGGATCACAAATTAACCAATTTTTAGATTCTGACACTTCACCGCAATTAATTATAATAACTGGTATCCTTGGTCTATCTTACATATCTACTGGCACTTGACCTACTCTTTTAATTACTTCAATTCCATCAATAACCTATCCAAATACTACATGTTTTCCATCTAAATGTGGACATGGTTTTAAAGTAATAAAAAATTAAGAATTATTTGTATTTCTTCCTCTGTTTGCCATTGATAACAAACCAGCACATGCATGTCTTCTTGAAAAATTTTCATCTACAAAAGTTTAACCATATATTGAAGCACCCTAATATTATTTAAATTATATAATACTCCAGTTCCATCATTATTTATAATGTCTCCCCCTTGAATCAACATATTATCTGCTATCCTAAATACATTTGTATTCAAATAATGTAGTTTTTTTGTTTTTCTTGCCATTCCTACATTGCCATATTCACCTGTACAAAGACCTCTAAAGTTTTCTGCTGTTTTAGGTGTTACATCATTAAACAATTCAAAGATAACTCTACCTGCTGCTTATGTACCTATTTGAAAATCTAGAAACACCTATGGATATCTACTCATTATTAAATTAATGAATAAGAAATCTCATTTAGGTTAGATTATTAGAAAAATAAAAAGAAAATCATAAAAGAAATATTATTATTTTATTCTTCATCTATCAATAACAGAAACCTTAAGTACCATAGCTATCAAATACATAATCGATTAGTAAGTTCTGAATGTTAAGGATTGAATTCTCCTAATAAAAATGGTTTCATCTTAACCTTTTAAGAAAATAGCTAAATAAATCATTTATATTATATAATGCTCCAAGCTTATAAGATTTCAAAAATAGTATAGAGTATTAAATACCAGAGAAAATATTTGAGTCTATTTTAGCAAATGAATATATTTTAATAAATAACAAAGAATATATACTATGGAATAACTTGAAAAATAGTTTTATAATATTGGAAAGAAGATACATATATTTTTAACCACGACTCTTTTCCATCTGGCTAATATTTTAATATTTATATCAATCTCAATAGATTTAAGAATGTTAATTAACAAATTTACAAAATAGCATTTCTTTCAATCTAAAAAGTTTCTAATTTGATTTTAATGAATGAACTCAGCCTAATTATGATTTATAAAAAATATATGAAAAGTAATCTTCAAAGTCTATTATTTATACTTAAGTATTTCATTCAAATTAGTTTAGATCTGGTTTCATAGTGTCAATATTATTCGATTAGGTATTAAATCTAAAATCTACAGATTTTTAGAGTCGTTAAGAAAAGAAATTGATTATACCTTCATTTTAATAATCAGGACCTCCTTCTTAAGTGAGTTTCCGTCTTTAGAATAATGCTTCGACTATTTTTTTAGATGATTAACGTGATCCTTCTTACTCTATCATTTCATTATTCATAAAAATTTAGCAAGCTTATTTTTCATTTTCTTTACCTAAGTTTATAGGTTTCTACTCTTTTTCTTCAGTATTCTTAATAACCTTCATTTTACTATCCTGATTATAGATATTTTTTATTATTGATGGATTTGTATATTAAACTTGTCTATTTCTCGAATCAATTATGTATTCAAATGTCGTAATTCCTTTTTTATAAATGTATGCATGAAATACAATTAATTATAGAAGAAATAATGATCCAATTATTTCAATAATTAAGAAAATAATAGTTATTATTATTAATATCAACTCTTATTTATCTGAATAAATCTTTAATAAAATGAAAATTTACTTCTACAGTTTATAGCTCTTATTTATTGTATTAATTAATGACTCTTGCATTCACAATTATAGAATATAATAGGAAGAGGAATGTAGATATAATCATTCCTATAAATTATTTATAATTTTTTCTTCCTATACAATTATTGATCCAATAACAATGATGATCAAAACCTTCGCAACATCTAATAAAAATTTTAAACTACCTATTACAATATCCACAATGTTTGGTTTACTCTTTAACATAAGCTATGCAAACTTCACAAAATTGGGTGAGTTGATGTTCTTCATAATCAAAATATACTCTAATTTCTTCAAAATTTATATACCCTCTATTATTTTATTATTAAATCACAAAATTATCAATTGGATCGCTCATGGTAGTTTTTAAAGAAAAATAAATACAAATTAAAACCAAGAAAGAGAAAATTATGTAATGTACTATCTAAATATGATAATGATATTACTTTTTCTTCAAGAATAAAAGTATGAATATAAGTGATGAAAACATTTGAAATGAAAAGTACATAGGAGAATATCTGTAAGAGAGTTGGAAATTAGGAACAACCACTTCTAACTTTCATAATAATAATATTTATATATTTGTAACTCTTCAGAAAAATATTTGATGTATAAAATATACAAATAAATGATTATATTATAAAAGTTTGAAATACAGTATTATTTAATTATTGCTTAATCTTAACTCTTTATAAACTTTTTATTAAATCCTCATATCAAACAAATATGAATCATATATTCCAAAATAAATGATAATTTTGTATTAAATAAAATTATGAATTAAATTGAACCTACTGATAATGGGGCTTAAGAGAAAAAAGTTTTCAAAGGAATGATAAAACTATACCCAGATATCTCCCAAACAAACTACCTTTGTTCACTCTGCCACTATTTTGTGATGACATTTATCTTTGTAAGTGTCGAAAGTCTCTAACCGTTACTATTTAATTAGAGATATGGTATCCATCCAAAAGATGCTGGAATGTGTAAACATTTAATATAATTTAGAAAATGGATATATGTTGCTTATAGACATTGCAACAAAATGTATATTCGCACCTATAGTAGGAATAATGAGTGATAAGGTTGGAAGAGTGCCTATATTACAAATGGGAATTGTATTAACAGCTCTATCAATTACCAGTATGGGATTTGCAGAAAACATCTATCCACAATATTGTATATCAAGAGTATTAATAATATCTTATTCAGATTCAATATGCAATTGGAGCCATCACATTAGCCACTATTCCTTTTCTGGGTGACTATGTACTCGATGAAACTAAAGGAAAGGCTTCTGCAATAAATGTAATTCTGGCTGCATTTGGAGCAATGTTCTCAGCCACAGTAATTACAAAACTTTTAACTCAAAGTTTTTCAATTTAAACTACTTATATTGTTGTGGGATCCTCTTTTCTATGTCTAGGTTTACTTTACACTTTAGGGTTAAAAAAAGGATTACATTTTAAAAAAGAAAGAAAAATTTATAAGAATGCTCCTCTAAGAGATGATTTGATATAAAAAAGTATCTGTCCTTATCAGAATATCAAATAAATTTAGGATGAAGACTTTGATTACATAGATTATGATAAAGAAGTCAGAGCTCTGAATCAAATAAAACAAGATTCTTCTTGTGGAGCTGCAATGAAGATAGCTTTGTTAGCTGGAAAAAATATATGGATATTTTAAGGGTATGTGACCAATTTCTTGGGAAGAGGAGATTCCATTTTACTCACTTTATCATTATAGATATGGAGTCAATAATTTGTAGATGAAACTTTAAATGATGATGATGCCTATAAATAAGCCAGTATTTAAGTATTAATATTGTTTATATTTAAAATTATAGGCATAAACCCTTTCTGGAGTGACTTATATGGTAATTATGATAGGAGCTGTGTTTTATGGTATTTTATTTGAAAAAGTTTCCAAAAACAAGTTGCTTTTTATAATGTTTAGTCTTACTATGGTTGGATGCTTTTTAATGAATTTTGCACCTAATCCAAAAAGTCCTTATACCTTTTTAATTATGTCAATTTTAGGAAGTGGAATGTCTGGATTGTACACTGGAGCTTTATATTTTGTCAATAAGTATGCTTATTCTGAATTCAGAGGGTACATTTTATTAATATCCTCCTAGATACATTTCAGGATTAGCAAACGTTTTTAGTGTATTGGGAATATTAATTTGTTCATTTGTAGGAGGAGTGCTTTAGGATCACTGGAGTAAAATAGCACCATTCAATCTTTTTGGATTCATGTCACTTTTAGGGCTTATTTTAGTAGTTTGGAGTTACTATGCCTTATATTAAAGTAGAAGTGTAAAATGAATAATATAATTAATATTATAATTGTCATATAAATCAATTAAAAAAATGCTTACTTATTATATATAGTATAGCATTAGCAAAACTTGCTTTTACATATAATTCTTTTATAATCGACGGCCTCTGAGATCATATCAGAATATGGGTTGATGTAGACTAGTTTTTTAAGGAAGGAACCATTATGAGTGGCTTGTTTGGTTGAATAATTATTATTTTTCTATTCAAATCTTCCTCAAGAAGATTAATCCAATAATAAATTGATACACTATTGAAATATATATGTAGAATGCATCTAGAAACTAATGTATAATCAATCTAGCGCTTTTGATTTGAGTGTATAAAAATAAATATTTAATATAATATAATATAATATAATATAATATAATATAATATAATATAATATAATATAATATAATATAATATAATATAATATAATATAATATAATATAATATAATATAATATAATATAATATAATATAATATAATATAATATAATATAATATAATATAATATAATATAATATAATATAATATAATATAATATAATATAATATAATATAATATAATATAATATAATATAATATAATATAATATAATATAATATAATATAATATAATATAATATAATATAATATAATATAATATAATATAATATAATATAATATAATATAATATAATATAATATAATATAATATAATATAATATAATATAATATAATATAATATAATATAATATAATATAATATAATATAATATAATATAATATAATATAATATAATATAATATAATATAATATAATATAATATAATATAATATAATATAATATAATATAATATAATATAATATAATATAATATAATATAATATAATATAATATAATATAATATAATATAATATAATATAATATAATATAATATAATATAATATAATATAATATAATATAATATAATATAATATAATATAATATAATATAATATAATATAATATAATATAATATAATATAATATTATTAATGCTAATGATTTAACAATTTGTTATTTTTCAAATACTATTCACCTCATTCCATTTTAGCAAAACCAACAAATTTATTTTGTTTACCCATATTTTTTAAATGATTAAAATGGCCATTCCAGGCTTCCTTGAATCCAGGAAGAAGATTATATTTAAGATTATATTTCTTACAAACTTCCAATACAATAGGAGCTATTTCTGGATATAAATATTAACTCACTCCAGGGAATAGATGATGAATGACTTAATAATTTAAAGCTCCACATAAATATGTCATTAACCAATTACCATGACTATAATCTACAGAACTTTTAATTTATAAAACTGCCCATTCAATTGGCCATTATTCATTAGTACCATTCTTAGCTACTTTATCCATATTATTATAAAAGAATTCAGCTTCATCTGATACATGAGAAACTTAGAAATTAATAGCTAACCAATATCCTGTGATAAATTCAACATAAATGAAAAGGAACCAAAATTAAGCTTAACTCATTCCAAAAATTTAAACAGGCAAATAATATCTCCAAAATAGCCATAGTAATTTACTGCTAGCTTATCTTAATTTATCTTATATAGATATTGGATTAACTTTAACAGGACCATCAGTTTCCTTTAAAAATATTTCAAAAACATCATAATATCTAGATCTAAGTGATAATAATCCATATAGAATAGGCATATACAAATGTTAATATTTATACATAGCACACCAAATTTATTCTTTGACAAGTCTTCTAACATCTCCTTCTTTCAATTATGGTATATCTGGATCTGATCCCATAATATTTGTATATTAATGATGTCCAATTACATGTTAATTTTACCAAGCCAACATGGATGATCCAGAAATATAATCTAATGTAAGTCTACCAAAGAACCACCACCATTTTTCATTATTTCCTACTGCTCCATGTGATGCATCATGCATTAAATGTAAAGTATTTAAAGCTTATAAAATACCAAAAATAGTGCCTATTAAAATTCTTTTTGTTAAGCAAAATGAATCATCAATAAATGTTAAATAAAATGTATAAAAGAAACATGTCCACAAAGGTATTGCTCTGATAAGTCCTGGAATTGGAGTTTTTGGATTTATTCCTTTGGATTAAAAATATTTCTTAACTCTATCTGCACATTCCTTATAAAATCCAGAGTCAGGTTTGAAAGTTGGCCACTCTGTGGTTATTAGATCTCCAATCAAATATTTCTCGAGTAATTTCTCAGGTTTTTCAGAAAAAGGATGATATGATTGAAATGCAAGAGATGCATCTCTTCCACAATTCAACAATAAAAATTCTCTTCCTCCAGGATGGCTGTTCAAAAATGATGTAACATCATATACTTTTCCTTTAATTGCTACATAGGCTGAAGATTAATTGTCATGCTTTTTCAATTCTTGCCAAGTTAATTTTTAATTTTTAGCCAACTCTTTCTATTGTGGTGCTTTCTTTTAGCTATCCAAATATAATGAATAGACTTCGGCGATGATAGCATATAATGGCACTAATTTGAATAGACCATCAAAAATGAAGAGAGCCATTAGAAGAAATAAAATGCCAAATTAAGTTATGATACCTTCCATAATTTAAATTAATATCCAATAAATAATATACTGTAATTAAATTTAATGAAAAGAGTTTTACAACAATACTTCTTCTCAAAATAGAGAATGGAAATATTTTTTTTAAAAGATTGTGTACAAGGATTTTAAGGAGAAGTACGCATTGTAAAACCAGGATTTTTTGAGAAAAATCTATTTCCAATGGCCTTGGCATATCAGAATCTGCCAGGATATAGAAGAAGGTATTAAGAGTTGAAATTTGAATTATAGATTATTACCCAATCTTGATGAAGAAAAGCTAGAAAATAAAATATAAAGAAGAAAGGATATTAAATTGTTTTAATAAAAAATCGCAGGAATCCATTTAGAATTTGTTAGACCTCCAAAATTTTCGAATCCAAATCTTCTTAAAGATCCAATAGATGACAAATTAATTATTGAGGAAGTTTAATAAAGATTCAAATTACAAGTATAATTTATGCATATTTACCATAGGTCACTAAAAATCATTTGTTATCTATGTTTAACAAAATTACTACCTATGGATAATTTACATTATAAATTGAAAACTTCTACAGTCCAGAATTGCAAGATTATACAACATTTTAAATTACAGTAGTGACCAAAAAACCTATAATGAAAGTCTAAAAGTTGATTGATGAAGTGGCCACAAAGGATGAATAAAATAAAGATGAAAATAAAGAAAAATAGGATTAGAAAGTTGTAAAATAAGGAAAAGAAAAAGAAAAGGAAATCTAAAAATGAAAAATTATTATAATATAAATAAATGAGTTCTATAGATTACGATAAAACTTTTGATGCCACATTAGTGAAAAAAGATTAAATAACACATGATACCTATTTGTTTGGATTTTAGAGTGAGGTTGATATATAATTAGAACCAGCTGAACATTTTCAGATTTTGTATATTTTTATTCATTTATTCAAGAATGAAAGATTCAGATGGAATTGATATAAATAGAAACTATACTCCAATTCTTTCTTAAAAGGTTTGTATTGATTTTACAATTAGAGATATTTTGAAGTCCCAATTAAAATTTACCCATCAGGATCATTGACTCCAATTTTAGAAAAATTGAGTATCAATAGTAAATTATAAATGTAAAGAAAAATTGGGAAGTTAGCCTATTTGGGAGCTAATAAGTTTATAATAGCGTAAAATGATTTTTTTATTAAGCCCAAAAATAAATAAACAATTTTAAGTTTTTAAAACAATGTTAATGATATGTGGAGGAACAGGTATTACACCTGCTTTTTCTATTATCAAACATGTTTGTTAAAATAAAGATCCACTTCAAATGCATTTATTATATGCCAATAAAACATCTAAAGATATCTTATTAAAAGATTAATTATCTAAGTTTCAAAATGAGTGTTCAAATTTAAAAGTGACTTATATTTTAGATAAAGAACCAGGATATAATGGATTATAAGGGTATGTAACTTTGGATGTGTTAAAATAAGTCTTCCCCTCACCCAATAATGATATGATAGGAACATTTTGTGGACCAACAGCTATGAATAAGATTGTGGCTGAATTATATAAGAACTACAATATATAAACTGTAGTGAAATTCTGAGATTATTATTTTAAATAATGAATATTAACAATCAACATTATCATCAATAAACCTTTCTAATCATATCATTTTAACTATTTATATTTAAGTCTAATGTTAGCTAAATTGATAGATTAAATTGAATTTTAAATACTTTTACTTATAAAGTTTTTCGAAACCAATATACTAGATAATAAATAGAAGTATGGAGAACTATTAAAAATGAAACCTAGTTTTTATATATTATAAATTTTATAAGTAAGAACAATTAGTTCATAACTTGTATATACAATTATTTTAATCTATAAGAATGAATTTTATTTAATGAGTTGAAAAACATTAAAATAAAGCTGGATTATAAGAGTTAAATAATCAATGAATAATGAATTAGACTTATAATGAGTTTTAAAAAATTGTTTATAAATATCTTAATATATCTCTTAATATACATAAGAATAATAAAGTAATTCTTCAGACCTAACAGACATCATAACAAAAAAGAGAGAACAATCATAAATTTCAATTTATTCAAATTGTGTTTAATCCAATTCATTATGTTTGATGAGACATTCAAAGAATTGTATGATTATATAAGTCATCCATTATAATGTTAAGAACTATGAGAACTATTAAAGAAAGATAATAAATACTAAAGATATTATTTAATACATGAGAGAAAAACAAAAAAATGAATTTAGTATTTAGAAACAATTGAAGCAAAATTAAACAAGCAACGCTTTATTAATGATGAAGTAAATAAGAATATTGAGAATCTTTAAAAAAAGGTTAGTTTATGTTTGATTTCTGATTTTTTAGCTCAAGAAACAGCAGAATTATTTAATGATTGATTTATGATATTGATAATTAGGCAAAGTCGTTTTTATTTAATTAATATTAATTCATGAAATCCATAATACTGATTGCCCTTATTGCTATAGCCTTTACAGCTAGAGTTTAAGAAAGAAACATGGCTAAAATTCAAGCTGAATTAGCAAAGAGTACATATGGAAGTGCATTACTTCATTTGGTTGAGTTACACTCAATGGCAGGTGGTCCAGTTTAAGAATTGATTGATGCTATCGAAGAACTCATCAATGACTTAGAGGAAGAATTAGAAACACTTGAATTCGATTTCCAAGTTAGAACAAACGAGCATAATGCTTTAGTTGTTAGTCTTGAACAAGACATTCAAGATGCTGTTATAGGTATATAGCAAAATTAATTTCTTAGACGTCAACAACACACAAGACACTCTTGACAACTTACTTTATCCAAGAAGAAACCAAATCTAAAGCAAAATAGATACCGTTATTGGATATTAAGAAGAGAATAGAAAGAACTATGATGAAGCTGTTCTTGTTAGAGAATAAGAGCATGAAGCCTTTGAAGCTTAAGTTGCTGAATTAAATGATGCTACTGCTTCAGTTGATGATGCTCTTGCTCTTTTAGCTTCTTTGACCAATCCATCATTACTCTAAATTAAGAGATTCTAAAATACATTGAAAAACATTGAAAATAAATTGAGATCAAGATCTAGAATGGCACCAATGATCAAGGCACTCATTAATTTAGCATCAAATTAAAACTTTTCAAATCAAGATGTTTTGAAATCTATTGTTGATGCTCTTAATGATTTTAGAAATGCTGTTGTTGATTAAATCAATGATTTAACAGCCTAAGAAGCTTAAGATGTTATTGATCATGAAGCTTATCTTGAATAATTAGATGATGAATTCTCTGAATTTGGAAGATAAATAGACAGAGCAACAGTTGATTTGACTGCAACAAATGGTAAATATTTATATTTAATTTAATAGAAAAAATTGATTCAATGGTTGAATTTAGAGATTAAAGAGCTGCTGATTAAAAATAATACACTGCTGAATTAGAATTAGAAAATAACACCTATGCTGAGGAAACCGACATTTACACCAACACTAAAAATGAATTCACCAGAGAATTGGGTGTCAGTGAATAAGCTTTAGCTCTTGTTTAAAGCGTAGATTTCTCAAACATTAAGGTTTGATATTAATATACAAATAAATAAATATTTCATAAAAATGTTTTAATTCAAAAAGATAGCCAAATTACCTCTTATTCTTATTTAATGTGAATGTGGAAGGGAGTTCTTATAAGAAGAAATGTATTGTTGTCTATCGTATAATTATTTGTACATCTTAGATGCCAAAATAGTATGTGTAGATATTGTACATCAAATGAAATATTTTGTTATTATTGTAGAAATTGTGGAGATGTACAAATTACAAGTGAAACATCTAATCTGACTGTAAGTTGTAGTTCTTGTTTTGAATGTCCTATTTGCAAAAATGTATTACGTAGACAAATAGACACTGAAAAGAATTATGGATTCACATGTTCTTATTGTTTTTATACAACACGATCAATTGGAGTGACTGATCCTAATTTTTAATTGGTTTATGCTAAAATTAATAATGCTTATAAACAGGAATATGAAGCTGAGTATAAGGATTTTTAAGAATAATAAAATCGAATTAAAAGTATTGAAAATAATAATTATCTCATTAAGAAACAATAAAAAAATAAACATGTATTAAAATCATTGACATAATCATGGACTAAAAGTGAAGTCTTGACTCACTATAGTAATGCAGAGATAGATAAAATGACTAAAGAGAAAAATTTTAAAGTTGTTCTATAAAGATATAACTTAGACTTGAATAATAAATAAGTTGAATTGCAAGATTTTAATCCTTCGTCATAAAAACCAGCTTTATTACCAATACCTTTAGGATTATTAAGTAGAAAGAATAGAAAATGTAGAAAGTGTTCAAAATTGATTTTTACTCTATAACCAGAAAAAAACTCAAAAAAATTTGCATATAGTGTTTAAAATTTACATTATGATTATGCTCCTTATTTATAAATAGGTAAAGTATCATATGTAAATAAGGAGAAAACAGAATTATAAGTAGTCATATAAATGTTTAATAAAAGTAAAAATGCATTAGAATACTAATTTTAACCTCTTGATTAATAAATATTAGAATAATTTAAATTATTAACTGTGAAGAATCTCCCCTCACCAACCTTTACTTTCAATAATGAAAATATCGAAAATGATGTTTAATAATATTAAAAATTTGATGCAATTTTAATTATTAAAGATGCCACAAAAATACAGTTTGCATTTTCTGTAAAAGCTAAAATAAAAATGCCTATGGATATATAATAATTGAATTATAATGTTAATGTATATATTGGAACATTATGATATACAATATTAGTAATTATAAATATCATCTTAAATCTTCAGTCAAATCTTAATTATTATCTAGTTTTATTTTTTGGCATTCTTATAGATGAATTTTCTTATTTTCTAGTTTTACATGATGTTTTTGCTTCAGATCTAGTTAATTTCCTTTCAGATTATGGAGATTATTTAGTTGTCAATAATGTTTGGAGTAATAATTTTTAATTCTTAAGTAAAGAGATTTCATCTTTTATTGTTCTTTTTTCAGTCTCAAATTTTTATGCAAATTCAAATGTTTAATGTTTTAATTTATCAATCTCATGTCGATAGAGACTCAAAAGCTTATCATCATTTTATTATTGAGATGTTGAGGAACGAGTAGGAACATTTAATGTCCTTTATGTACATGCACCTTCTGAATCTAATTCCTCACCTGTCATAATAGAGGATTTTTTTGAATGTTTACCAATTATTTATTTATCACTTTTTTATTAAGATTATTGAGATATTCTCAATTTTAGATTTAAATCATATATTGCTTCATCCTTTTATTTTAACTGCTATTTAAGACTATCAATTATTAACTCATATTTTTATTTAGCTAATCTCATCAATTTATCATGTTCAAGTTATGTTTACAACAATTACTCTTACAATAATAATTCTTTGCTATAAAATTCTTGCTGTTGTTGATGCAATTTCTGTTTCAATTGTTAAATTGATTTCTGAATTTATATTTCATTTGACTAAGTAATAGGCTTTGTTTTGTTTTAGTGATTTAATGAATCTTGGTATTCCTCTGGTTCTGTTTGATTTTTAGAGTAATTTTGAAAACGACCATGCAAAAGTGATTTCATCTGTTCACTTGGTTTTATCATAGCCATGGATTCATTAGTGTAAGATGAATAAACTAGATCATCTGGACTCTAAAATGCCTAATATAACTATGGTCTAGAGTTCATTAAAGACAATTATTATTAATATCAACTCAAATAATACTAAATACATGATATAATAAGTGAATAATTATTTTACATTCAAATATTTATCTATTATTAATAAACTTATTTTATTTCTTTATTGAATAAATTTATTCATACTTTATAAATGATTATTATATAAATCTAAAAATAATTGCTTAATATTTATGTATCTAATTGATATATATGTAAAAGATGTGTAGAATATTATAAATTATAATCATTAATGCTTCAATTTAGCAACCCAATTCTTTATTAAAATAAATGTAGCTAATGAATATGCCTCTTAGATTTCTGTCTCATTAACTTCTATCATCATAAGTTTTTATTCTATCTCATCATGCAATCGAATCTATTAGCCTTCATTTATCCATGGATCTCTTGCTAATTCTTATATTGTAGATCTAAGATTTGGGTCTTTATTTAAACATTTTTTTAGAAAATTTTAAAATTCAATTCTACAATTAGGATATTAAATTCTATTAATATAATATTTATTTACTCATTTTATTATATTGAATCCATAATCTCTTATATATCAACTCCAAGATATGGTACTTTTAAAAAAGCAAATGAATATATTGTAATTCCAAATGCCCAAATATCAGCTGCTTTTCTATCAAATTAACAATTTTCAAAACATTCAGGAGCCATAAATAAATAAGTGCCATTGGTACCAAAATGCTCAGTATCACCATTTATAATTTAAGAAACCCCAAAATCACATATTTTAGCCCTAAACTTTTAATCAAACAAAATATTTTAAGGTTTTAAATCTCTATGTACTATTCCTAATTCATGCACTATATTGATATTATTATAATCTTTTACTTTAATAAATACCTTTTATAATGTCTCTACAAATTATTCTCAATTTTTCTTCTGTAAGTTTAAAATCTTAATGTGTTAAAATAAATTCTCCTAAATCTTCATTCCAATCAATTAATTAACCATTTTATGCATACTCCATTACTTTGATATTAAAAGCAGAGAATACCCATATACATTTTATTTGAATTAGGAGAATCAATAATTTCATAAAGACGAATAATATTAGGATGACGTAACTTCTTCATAATAGCAATCTCCTTAGCCACATTTTAAAATGCATTCTTAATCTTAACAACTACCATTATAATTAAAATATAACCTCCATTTGAATCAGTATAATACTCTCTTTATTTTTTAAGTCTGCTTTTATTTAGTATTTTTATAGCATAATTTTATAAATTTTTTTCTGCAAGTCTCACTTTTCCAAATGAACCTTATCCCAAAACTTATTTTAATATATAATCATTGAGTTTTTTTTCACCTTCAATAGTATGAGACTTTCTTAGATTTATTGTTTCCTTTATTTTTTATCTTTAAGGGACAGAGTACGAACTCAATTACATTGTGGGTTTCTATTATTCTGAATTCTCTTAGACTGGTTATTATTTAATTGGTATATCAACTAAGTCATCAAATTCTTTATCATTTCTTTTTAAACATCCACAATTTCCCATACTATTGATAATGAATTCACTTTAATAATTATTTTATATATATATATATATTGATTGAGAATAAATTAAAAAATTATAGTATTTCATTATATTGATAATATTTCACTTTGACACCATTTTGTTGGCTAACCATATTACCAAACTCCTTTTCTTATTTTGTTCTTATAAATAAATGCTCCTTCACCATGTTATTTACCATTTTTCCAATTACCTTTATATATTCTTCCATCTGACCAATCCAATTCTCCATAGCCTTCTCTTTAATCTTTTTCAAACTACAATTCATAGTTAAATAAAAATACATTTCCTTTATATATTTTTCCATCAGGCCAAATATATATTCCATAACCATGCATTTAATTAAACATCCATTCTCCTTTATACTAATTTCAATTTCCAATATACCTTTTTGCCATCTCTCCAAGTATATTCACCATTACCATGAGGCATTCCATCCAATAATTCCCCTTCATATTTAGAACCATCTGGCCAATAAAACACTCCATATCCAGTTTTTTAACCATTTAAATAATTGCCTTCATATTTTTAACCATTTTTCCACTCCTCAACAGCTTTCTCATCATATATATATTATTATTTACTCCATGTTATTTATCATCTACCCATTGTCCATTGTATGTAGTTCCATCTATAGTAACATATTTTCCAGTTCCCCATGCCTTATCACTTTTCCATTCTCCTTCATAACTAATTTTATAAACTGATTATTTACTAATCACCATTAGGAAGAACCATTCTTCCATATCCCTACTATTAATCATTATACCATTCCCCTTCATATATTGATCCAAAAGGATATAACTATTTTCCAAATCCATGTCTTTTGCCATCTGACCATTATCCCATATAAAATGATCTAACATCTACTTTAGATATACCCTGCATCAATTTGAACTGGACCAGCATAAGTAAGTGTCTGATCTTTAATGATTGGAAATGGAAATGGACCTTTAATCCTTAACATAAATACCTAAAGAATTAAATATGGTTAGAGCTAGTGAAGATTGTTCATCAAATATCTATACTATTAAAAGAATGCATATATACATTAGTGTTTTCAATCAACACTCCTCTATAACTCTTAATGCTTCCATAATTCTCTTCCTGTGCTATATTTTAATATCAACTAATACATCGATTTTTTCTGATCTTATAGGTGAACTTGGAGTTTCATTAGATTCTTTAATTTTTGTTGGTTCCTTGACCTCTAAATTTTCGTTGCTTATTTATATTGGAGCTGGAATAGCAGTAAAAGGTTCTTTATCTTACGAAGGGTTAGCACAACATGATCCCATCTATTTATTTTAATTTATATATAATATTTTATTATTATTAACTACTCATGATTGAAACCTATCTGATAAAAGACTCAAACAAAATACTTTTTTTGACTTGGTATTATCTAAAATTCTTTTGGTAATTTATTAGGACTTTTTGATGATTTTATAGAGACTTATCCAGATTCTAATATGTTATTTTTATGTTCTGTATTACAAAATGTAAATCCTAAGGAAGATAGTTCTTCCATACTCTTACATGAATTCTTCTATCTAGATATTTGTATTAATTTTTACTTGTTTTGTAAGTTTTGTAACTTATTACATTGTCTTTCAGTTTGTGATGTGCTTGCTCTCAACTAATTAACTTAAGATGTGTCATTATTTGTTATCAACTAATTTATAATTGAATCTTTTGCTAAGTTTTATTCTTTTAGTTAAATATTTTCTTATATTAATTTTTGTATCAGCTGAGAATTACCTATGTAACATTTTGTTACTTCTGTTCTATTTGCCTGCTGTTAATTATCACTTATTTTCCTTTAATTTATTAAAGAAGGAATTTATTTTAAGATAGGTTCTGATTGCTTTGTTATATGTACTGGATTACAGGATTTTTCCATCTTTTATTAGAATATTTGATACCTTATAACTATTTCCAGGAATCTTTGAGGAACATCCTTTATCAGACCTGTTATCAGTCACATTTTTTTAAATGGATGTATAGAATTTTTAATCAACAGTAAATTTTATATTGGACTTCTTTGTTTAAAACATCATAAACAAGTATTCTTTTGGTTATAATAAATATAAATTATAAACATTTACAAAATATATTATATATCAATTCCAAATATGGCCAGTGAATATTATAAAATAGTATAGTAAATTAAAAAAGTATTACAAATCTCTCATAAACTTACAACAATTTAATTTAATTTTATTTCTTCTTTCTTTGACTTTCAAATATAATTTATTTATTATTCTAAAAACTAAATATGTTAATTAAGAGACATTCTAGTTTAGAATATTCATACATCCAGGTAATGGTAATTTTGAAAATAGAAAAATATATAATAATTTATTTATATAAAATAATTAAAAATGATTCGTCTAACTCAAAGCAAATCAGTGGCACGCTTTTCTGGAGCTCTATGGGGACCTATTCATGAAAGACCAATTGTTGATAGAGTAATGTCTACATCATAATGGCCAGTCCCATACTATTAAAGAATCTTTAAGGCATATCCTGTTAGATGTAAAATGTTATTAAGAAAAAAGAAAATAAATAAACTTGGGCAATGAATTTAGCTGGAGCAGAAATTCATGATATCAATTGGTATTGCGCAAAGCAAGCTTTAAGCAGAACTCTTAAAGGAAGATAAGCTGTTGAATATGTAGAAAATAATATCCCAACTTAAAGTATATAATTTCATATAAAATAAGGTTACATTGTTATTTAAAAGGATGTTTCAAGAATGGCAAAAGCATATGTTAGTGATTTAAGTCTTTTCCTAAGTGTGGCAAATAAGGAAAGCAAAGTCATATTAGACTCTGTTGAATTGATTTGAAATAAAGAAAAATTATTTTATAAATATGCATTTACAAATTTATTTGAATAAATAAAATCTCAATTCTAAGTAATATAAAATATCTAATGAACTAAGCAAGTTTATTATGAAGAATTCAATAAATATTTGTTTATTATTTTTCATTTTTATTTATGAAATTGTAAATAAAATGCTAAAGATAATACCTATTATCAAAAATAGCATTTTCTCTTACTTCATATAAAACCTTAATAATCAAATTAAATAAAGAAATTATTTTATTTTTAACAAATACATATTCATAAATATTAGAATAATGTGTTACTTTGAAATAGTAAAAAAATTCCCTTCTTTTATTCTGTACTTTTCAAATTGATTTCATTACAGATGCATTTATGTTGTTTTTACTTTATTACATTAAATAAGAATTTTAGATAGATCCAAAATTTTTTTATTCTATGTATCTATCTATTATATACTTAATATATATAAGCTCTTTTTTTAGATAAAATTCAGATTCACATAATATTTGAAATTGAATTCATCATCAATAGGATTGTACCTATCTATTTTATATAAAATTATAAGCTAATTTGTCAACTGAATGATAAAATTTTCTTAGGAATATTTTATTTTGAAAATTAATATATTTTATTGATCAAAGCTTTGCTTTTTCATTCCATTTTGGCCATACGTTTTCAATTACTTTAATGTACTATTCTTAAGCTTTTTCTTTAGAAATGGTTCCTAACTTTTTCCAAGCATCATATTTTGCTCTCTCTACTACTTTTAATTTACTTGGAGCACTACCTTTGCAAGGTCCTTCAGAAATCTATAAATAAATTAAGAAATGATCACTTGTTTAAACAGAGCATAAAGTTACAATTTTTATGAATTATCTAACTCTTTTCCTCCTGTATTTCCTGATTTTATGAATTTTTAAACAAGATCAAACCTTTCTTAAACTGTGCTCATATAATAATTATTAATTAAATTTAATTGTAATTTTTTATTTTTATAAGATGAATATGAAAAAATATAAATTTTTGTATTTAAATCATATCAATTCAATATTAGTCAGATAATTTTGTTCATTTATGTGAGAATATGTAAAGGATAAAAGTTTTCCTTGTTTCACTTGATGTTTTAAAATTAAATAATTTTTATCTTTCAATTTTCCAATTTCAATTTAAAGTTTAGTTTTACTTTAATTTAATTTATCTATTCAAAATTATCATCAAAATTGTACTTATTATTTAATACTTTAAAGTAATTTTATCAATCGTTAAACATTCCTTATTTTAATGAACTTCGAATTCATATAATTATCTAAATTCTTCATAAGTACAATCATTTAATTCTGAATTTAAATAGGCAGTGTTGATAAAAGGTTTGCCTTCTACTAATTATGTTTCACAATTAATTACTGTTCTATAAATTCCTTAAGCTCCAACAATATTACCTGAATTTGTTAAAACATTTATATCATGAAGTTCATGTTCTTAATTAAATTCATCTGTAATTCTACCTTGATGTTAAATACTATCAATTGAAAACAATTAATTTAATTCCATAAAACCTGTTAATTGATTTGATTCACCTTAATCAAAATATATTGATTTAAAAATGTTGTTTTCTTTGAATGAAAAGGTCTCTTCTTACAATATCTTATTATCCTCTAAACCTTCGCCAAAGTTAAACGATTGATGATTATAAGTGTAAATTTTTATAACTTTACAAACCCCTTTATTATGGAGAATTGATAATTCCTTAATATTTTCATTTATTGTATACGTTTCCTTAGTTAAATTGGTATCATTTAACTCACTTTTAGATAAACCATAGATCTATCCATTGAGTTTATATAAATTCATCTAATTCATAGATTATGTTTCATTATTATTTCTAATTATAGAAATAAATCTCTCATGCAATTCAGTAATCAATCCAGAATGTACTTTTTCATTTTATTTTAATAAACTAAAAAGATCTTGAAGCAATGATTATAATTTGCTGATCTTATTCTTAAGTTATTGAATTAAACCTATTTCATTATCATTCTTTTAATTGCTAACAGAATTATTTCTTAATCTTGTTCTACTTGATTCTTTTGTGTTTAACTTTATTTTTAATTTATAACTATTACAGACTATAATTTCCCTCTGTCTAATTGTAAATATTAAAATTAATATGAGGGAGGCTTTTATAAGAATTCATTTTCAAAACTATCATTGTTAACCATTAAAGTTTATTTTATGGACATTACATTACCCTAATAAAACTAATTATCAACTAACTTTCTAAATTAATCTTTTTTAGTTAACATCTCAAATATTTAATTTTGAAAATAATATTGAATTAATATCAATAAAATAATAAAGGAATATCTTATTAGGATAATACAAACCCCTCAATCTTAGATTAAATTCTGTTTCAGAACAACATCATATTAATTATTACCCAAGATTAATTAAATTTTCTATTCATTTTTGTAGATAAGAATTGGATACTTTATTCAAAATTAAAATTATTTTTTATTATTTTGAGTGTAATAAGTATCAAAGACTTAACTTAATTAGCAGTTCCCCCATTATTAGAATGAATATAAAAACATGATCTTGACCCTTTAACTCTAATGGATTTGATAACTCACATTAAACAAAAATAAACAGAATTTTAATTTAGACTTAACCATATATTGCAAAATACTATAATCAACATGAAAAATAATAATAATAGAAAAGAGTAAGCTTTTAATAATTAAAAAAAAGAGGGTTTTTATTAATATAATTCCAATTAGTAGTTTAAATTTATTTCCCGTAACTCTCAAAACATAGCTCCATTTTTCATTTGATAATAATATTATTTTAGGAAAAACTGTTTTTTGTTTTAAAGAAAAATAGAAATTTAAATGTTATATTTATATTTATTTATGATCTTTCACACAACAAATAATTATTGTTTGTTTTCTTAATATTTATGAGTATAAAATTTAATTGTTGTATGTTTGGCTTTAAATCTATGTGTTAATGCATAAACACTAAAAGGGCTGTTTTTGTTTGTGGTTAGACATGCCAAATGATTAAGGTTTACATGAGGTGGAGGAGACAATGAATTAACATTGCTAAATATCTAAATCAAATGATCAAATATTTCTTGTTAGGATATTTATGGTTTTGCATCTTCAAGTTCCATTTAACCTTATGGTCTTATGTCTTTATTCCACATATTATTAAGTTTTTTCTCTTTTTCCTATGGAATATATATATTTAAATTTTACTTCTATATAATAATATTTAAGTAAATGAGGTGGAACAGGAGGAGCTTTATCATTAAAATTAAAATCTTAAATTACTTATTTTTGATTCTAGATAACAGAATCAGTAGGTGATTTCTCTGGTTTAAATTATTAACTTGATTCCATAAATTCTTTGGCTTTATTTTCAACTTTAGTTGTATCTATTACATTATTAATATTTCCATGTTCATCTGCAGTTGTAGGATCGTCAGGAGAGAATCTCCAATCACCATCCACAATAAATTTATAATGATGAATTCCTTTAGGTAAGGGTATCACTATACTAAATTCACCACCTTTATCTCTTTATAATTAATGAGTAGTTTTCCATTAGGAAAATGTGCCTGCCACAAATACCTTTTATCCACCAAAATTCCATTTAAATTATGTATTAACAAATTCCTGTTGTGTTTATTCAATATTATTGATACTTTTAGCAGATTTATCACTCATAGATCTAAATATAAGATTGATTATACCCTCCTGAATTCATATAATTAATAGCATGTTCATGTCTTTATGTTTCTGTAACTAATTTACTACTTTGAGATCCCATATAAAATATTTAATTTATAATTCAAAATCTTTTCCTATCCGTCTTTTTTGCACCATCTGCTTATTATTTGTTTTTATCTAAATTAATAACATCTTCTTCTAATTTCTTTTTGTTATTGGCATCTTGTACTCTTTATTTATTAAATTCTGCTAACTATAAAATTATATATTAAATATTATACTTCATCATCAAATTATTCATCATTATTTTTATTATTCATATCTCCTAATTCATCCAAATCTAATTCATTTCCTTTTCCAAATTGATCATCTTCTTCACTTTTAACAGATTTTTCTTTTGGTTCTTCAATAGGAGGTTCTGGTATCTCTGGTTCTTCAGGTTCTTCTTCATCTTATTCCATTAAATCTTTCAAATCAAATTTTTCTAAAGCTTTATTAGCTTCATCTCCTTCATTCATTGGATTTAACCTTCCTTAATTGGTTACAACAAAATCAGATTTTAGCTTTTCTTTGCTATATTTATTTGCAAATTCAAGCATATCTTAATCAGCAAATCTTGATTATCCCATAAACATTTCTTCTTCTGCTACTAAATCAAATACCATTATTTCAGCAACTATATCAATTATAGATGAAAAGTTTTATGAAATATATAATCCTACCAAAAAAACATATATAGCAGGTACTATTGGATAATGAACTGCCTCTTTAATATCAATAACAAATCTATCAATCATTTAATTAGTATATAATTAATAATAAACTAAGTAAGTTCCTACTGATGATATAAATAACATTCCTATTAGCCTTACAAACCCAAGAGTTCTCTTAATCATTTCTATTCTTGAGGAATTTCTTTCTCTTAAATAAAATACTTTTTGTCCTGCCAACCAAAAACTTTCTCCAAAAATAGCTATATGCATAAAATTCCTATGACTAATATATTTTCCTGCATATTCATAAAACCAAAATCCTGGAATTGAAAAAAACAATAAAATGTGCAAAAGAAAGCTTTTTCTTGACATAGATAATAACATAGATTTCCAATAATAAAACAAAGCATTTGGAATCCAGAAAATAGGAACCAATAATGCTCCCATCAAAAAACTTCCCATATGATACCTAATAGTGTACCAAAGAGGTCTTAACATTGGAGCATTTAAATAATTTTTATCTCTACTGAAATACCAGACTGAACAACAGCAAGCAATATAACATCGAACATAATAATAAAATGCTTATAATGTCCAAAGCATAAAAAATAATACAACATAAAATCCTCTCTCTTACCACACCTAAAACACTACTTTTCTATATGAAGTACTGGAAAAGCCAACAGGAGCTGGAACAGTTTCTGGTGTTCCAGAATTTATACCTCCTATTAAGACTAAAATAAATAGGATTGCTAATGCAGATTGTAATAATGATATAACTAATGGAATTATTAATACATGTAGCATTTACCTTAAAGGCTTAAGCATTCTTTCCATGACTTAAATCATTCTTAAAATTTAATGAAAACAGTAAATTAAGAAGAATACATATACAGGAATTAAGTATAATAAAGCTTACTTTATAATTTCTAATAAATATAGATGTGCTGCCACACATTAATAAGGATCCTAAATATCAACAGGACAATCTCTTTAAATAACTTTTTATTTTTCTTCATCCAAATATTTAGACAAAAATACCATAGCAACACAAAATCCTGTTACAAAACCCCATAACATCATATGAGCAATTCCTAATTTATTTTCAAATCATACTCTTTCCTAACAATATAATGACAAAAATTATTCCTACTACTATTTAAACAGCAAATGCTCCTATTATTAATTCTATATTCTAATTTATATATATATATATTTTATACTATCCAAAAATCACCAGCTATTCTTTTAAAAATTTACATATCACTATTTATAATCTTTTCAATTGCATTTCTTCTTTATCCTAATTCTAAAGGCATACAATAAACAATGTAAGGATCAGTATAGTATGTATCATAACAATAATCTTCCAAAATAGTTTATCCATCAATATCATATAAACAAATTTATTAAGTCTATTTTTTATTTTTTTTATTTACATAGTCTAAAGCATTCGGACATTTTTCTACACAAATTGCTATATCAAATAAATTATCTGGATCAAGGAAATAAGCAAAAGGTTTATTCTCTAATTATTTAATTCCACATAAGTCAGTTCTAAAATCGGAACTCCGATAGAGCCTTTCTAATTTAAATTCTTAGTATGCTATTATATATTTTGCAACTAGTTTTACCATAAAAACCATAAGCAAATGAAAACCCCAAAAATATAATCCAAATAAATATGCATATAAGATCTGTACAAGATCTCAATTCTGTAGCCACTGGCCCATAGAAATCTTCAACAGGAGGTTCATAATTAAGGTTCTATGGATGAGTTTCATCACGATTTTTGTAAAAATCGAGATCATTTGCAGCCTTTTCCAACTTTGCCATTACAACTTAATTTAATTAAAAAAATGAATAATATACTGTATATTTATAATGATAAGCAGATAATATTCTTATTAAATTAGAATACATTTAAATCTTTCAATGTTCTAGGATAGTTTAGTAAGTTGAGATAAATATATAAGAAGGTTTTCTTCAAATTCATTTTAGATACTTTCTAAAACAGAGTGCCTATATCAACTATGAGCTTTCTTTTTATTAGCTAACTTTAAAGAATGAAAAAATTATGTATAACACACTTATAACAAATATAACAATTTGGCAATTTCATATTCTAGTCATGTTTATTTATTTGGAAAGGATATGAATCATTACATGATCAGTAATTGATATAATCTTCTCGAATTCAATGAGGATGATATCATAAAATAGATTTAAATGTTTATGAAAATTAAATTTATGTATCTAGAATATTAGTTAAGTCTCAATCATAAATTTTAATAAAATAATTAAACCTAAGAAATTCATTCACTATTATTATTTTATAAATATATCCATCTAAAACTCAAAAAGATGGGATAATATTTTCTAAAATCAAATAAATGAAATATTAACAAACAATTTATTATAAAATTCCTATATTATTTCAATTGTCTGAATCATTTAATTTTAGGTATTCTTCTAAATATTCATCTGTAATTTATTCATATTAAAGTTTTGTTGTTTGATGAATTTCTATTTAATTAAAGACAAAATTTTATTAAATTTAAAAGCAACTTAACTCATGAGCTGGTTTATTCTTTAATAAAATCCTTTAGTTACAAAATGAACAAGGTTCAGTTCTACTCTCACAAATTTTAATATGTTCATCCTTATAATAGCTCATCAAACTTAAATTACAATATGGACATAGATTTTAATTATTTTCACATATTTTTTGATGATTGCTTAAACTTTATTAACCTAGATGATATGAAAATTATTACTATTAAATTTTTCTTTACAATAAACACATTAAAATTTGCCTTTATCATATTATTCCTAACAATAAGGTTTATGTAATTCCAAAAGCTTGTTTTATATGGCTTCTCCACAAAAGATACATTTTGTTTTAAGAAGTTTACATTATTCTAAATGATTTTAAAGTTCTTCTTTTTAATAAAATTAAGAACAAAATTGGCATTATAAACATTTATGATGAGTAAGATCTTCTAATTGAGTTACTATATATGACAATTTTACTTTAAAAAATTTTGCAATTTTAACATGTGTTTTAAAGATGATAATTTAAATGTTCCTCTTGATTATTGAAATCGAAACTTACTTCGCATATAATACATTTTTTCATATTTTAAGAACAATATAGCTCATGCATAGTTTAATTAGATTGCAATATTTCTTTATTGCAATGTTGACAAAGGATATATTCAATCATATAAAAAAATAATTAAATTCTTTTTTTTAGTAATTTTTTATAAGCAAATATCCCTTTTGTTTAGAAATTTGTTTTTGCATCTTTAAAGAAATATGAGAATTAATCTAAAATTAATTTTGTGAAAATGAATATAATTCAGCCATTTAAGAGTCCTCTATATTACTTAATAAATTATTATAATAAGGAAATTATAAAACTTTAATTTATTTCATTCTTTTGATTTAACTTGAGTTTATTCCAATTAATAATTCTCTCTTTTTTTCATTTTAGTCTAATGTTGTAATTTTTGAGTAATATTTTTTTAATTTGATCATCCTTCTTATCAGGCAATGTGTTATTCTAATTTATATTAATTATTATTTAAAGAAACATTAACTATTTTTTCCAAAAAGTTTGTTTCTTTTTAGATAATGTTTATTTTTTGATGTTCAAGTTTTAGAACTTCATTTTGCAATCATTATTTTCAACATTAAGTGATTTTTTAATTGTTTTTATTTATTTATTTATTTATTATTGAATGTTGTTTATTATTTAATGTATTGATAATACTTAATTATTAAATATCTCAAACTCTTTAAATCTTGCTTATATTGGTTTATTTCTAAACGACTATCACATGAGTTTGTTCAATTTGATTTTTATGTTTTAAAAACTTAAAAATTATTAACTAAGTTTAGAGTAATTAAAATGCTTTTGTGAAGCTATAAATAAATGAGAAATATGAATATTCAAAATATTATCGAAGCAAGTGATAAAACCTATAAATAAAAAATCATTGCCACACATAACGATATGATTTTTATATTCACAACTACATACATAATCCTTGATGATTTTATTGAAAATTAAGAAAATCTCAATGAAATATTCAAAACCAATTTTGTTTCTTAATTTAACTCTAATCCAATAAAAATTTTAAAAGATCTGAAAGTATATTATCTTGATTAAGGCTTCAATTTTAAAATATACTTTAATTCTTTCATAGAAATCTTAAAAATTTGTAAACTCTTAAATAACATTAATCGAATTCATGAAAAAGAAATGTTTTATATACCTAGATAAATAGACTTTTATATAATAATCATTAAACCAAAAATAAAATATTTTTTAATAAAAAAGTAGAAGTAATAGATTAAAATCCTATAATAAAAAATTAAAGGATAGGTATTTTTAAATTATATTTCTAAAAATTCATATTGATTTCAGGAGTACCATTATTGTTATTATTATTATTTCAGAAATTTGCACTATCATAATACTTTAAAAGATAAAGCTAAATTCGAAGTTTGGGATTGAGAATACTTAAAATGAAAGTATGCTATTAAATAATTAAATTCATGGAGTAAAATAGTATAAACAATGCTAGATGACAACTAAATTTGAGGATTCAATATGAATTTTAATACCCGATATAAAAAACGGTTTATATATATATATTATTATTTTTATCAAAAATGAAGAAAGCCTTCATAACTTTAATGTTGCTGATGGTTGTAGTCATTTCTTCGAAGTTAGAGGCATCAGAACTCCGAACTCGAGGTATTCTTGTACTAATAGGTAGGGATGAGTTACACTGAAGCGTATAATCTAGATGTTTCTCGCTTGTATTGTAATAGTGATTTCGATTTCATAATTGGTGAATTAGAGAGATGGATTGATATCATTGATAATAGAGAATAATTGATAAAGGACTTAGCAATAATCAATTAGATTATTAATATTGTAGAGAAAGCAAAAGGTACAATGTCTGTAATTCATTCAACTATGTTGGTGCAAATATAATAAAAAATAGAAAAGTCTCTTTAAAATATTTTTATTCAAAATAAATGGGCAGCCTGTAGAGTAGAAGATGCCCTTGAATATGTGGGCTAATTGAATGCTACATAAAGTATTATTGAAATATATAGTAGCAAATGAGGAGAAAATAGCATTAGCAAATTAAATTATTGCTCATTTGAGAAAGACTTAAGAAGAAATCTATATGTATTTGAATCAATGTTAATATGCTAAGAAAACTATATATTTGAGATAAAAAGTTGCTTAACTTAATGTATTAAAAAAAGAATGTGAACATGAAATTAGAAAAGCTAAAATAATTTTTGATAATGATTGGGACTCAGAAGAGTTTGTTTATTATGATGAAATACCTGGAGAAACAATATATTATTATTTTGAAGAAGAAGATGTAGAAATACCTTTATAAGATGTATATCATGAACCTTAGCATTATACTCATTAAAAATAGAAGAATAATTAGAATAAAAATTTAATTAAGAATACTGGAAATGATATGAATTAAGGAATAGAGGGAAACTAAAGATATATTGCTTTAGGGCATGAAATAGATGGGGAAATTAAAGAGTCTGATGGAGATAATTAAAATATTGATGAAACTTAAACTTAATAACCTTAAGAAACAGAAAATGTTATTTAAGCCGTAAAAGTTAGCAAAGTTGAGGATTAAAATAATGAAGAATCTCATTTAAATGATTCCATTAATTCAAAAGATAATAATGAAGAATAAAGTGTTACAGAATAATAAGACGACATTTCTGTTTAAGAGGAAAGCAAGAAAAATGAATAAGTACATTAAATAGAATCCACAAAAGTTTAAAAAACTGAAACTTAAGTTGAAAATAGTATTAAACCATTAGATATACCAAAATAAAAAGAATTAGAAGATTCTAAAACTATTAAATAATAATAAATTGAAGAAGAGAGATCTTTGAAAATTTAATCATTAAGAGAAGATATTGATAAAAATGAACCAACTTCATTCCAACCACCAAAACATAAAGCTAATGTTGGTAGAATTTAAGAAAGAAAAATTGTGGCTGTCAATACAAAATATTAAAATTCTGAATATGATGGAGAAACAACAGAGTAGTTTGAATTTACTGATAGAGCATTATTATAAGATTCTTCTGAATATGGCTATGGATATTGGGTCAGATATGCTGAACATAGTGCTAAAGAACATGCTAGATAAGAAGGAGAGTACTATTTCCTTTCTAGAATGACTATTAATGAAGAATATGAAGATTTTTCATTTTATGGAGACAGAGCTCTTGCTGTTTTTCTATTTGATAATTCATTTGTATTTAGTACCTATGATACAAGTGATAAACTTAAAACTAAAGATAAAGCTGTTGTATTAAATGAGAATATGGATGGAATGTGGTATTTTGTGATGTTCTCGTATAGTAGTCCTTAAAGAAAAGCTGTAGGTTATGTTGTTAGTTATGGAGAAGGTAACGGAATTTATAGAGTTTAAATTGATGCAACACACATTCCTCCTTCTTATATAAAAATAATATTTGGAGGTAAACATTTGAATTATTATGGATTAAATGGTTAATTTGCTAACATATTTTATGATATTGATGCTCCAGCATTTGTTGATGGTGATGATGCATTAGATGAAGTTCTTAAAACATTAAGTAATCCACCTTAGAATGTACCTGCTGTAATAGATGAAAATATATTGATGAAACCAAAACATTTTAATGGAAATGATAAGGGTGAATCATTTCATTTTGATCCATAAGAATCATAATTGATTATTGAAGAATATGCTGTTGGATTATGGTTTAGATGGATTGATGATCTTAAAGTAGATGAGCCTAATACATTTTAAATTGTGAATTTGAGATCAAACAAAAATAAGGCTCCAGGAAAAGGAGTATTGGGAGATAGAGCATTAGAATTACACCATACTTTTGGAGGAGGTGCAAAAAGTACTGTTTATTTTAATACTTATACAATAAAAGGAAACAGAGCAAAAGGATAACCATATTTATCTAAAACTGTAGAAAGCTCAGAATTTTTATGGACTTATGTATACTTTGGTTATGATAATGATGGTGGAAGAGCTTATGGTGCTCTAATTAAACCAGGATATGTAGGTGAAATTCAATTTGAAGGCATTTAACATAAATTAGTTAATAATTTAATGGTAACACTTGGTGGAGATGATGTTATATCTCCATTTAATGGAATGATTGGATATGTTGGTATTTATTTGGGAACAGGAGCATATAGAGAGGGATTAGATTTTGGTATGACATTTAATTATGGGGATGGAGTTATGGCTGTGTATTAAGTAGGTAAGCCAGTGACTTATGTTGCAGGGGACATAAATTCTGCAAGATATGTAGAATATGATTCTGTTGAAGATGTTGTAGATAAGATTGTAATTCATAATGATGAAGGAATGAAAATAAATGGATAAAGTGAATATGCTTTTGGAATGTGGACTAGATGGTTAAGTACTTTACCAAAATATTTGAGTAAAAGAGCTCCTATTCATAACATAGCTAGATTAGGAACTTAAGGTTATGTGATTGAATCTGTTGATGGAAAACTTGTGAGATCAAATGCCAATAGACCCAAAACACCTAAAGATACAACTTTATCTATTGCTCTAACAACTGATTCATATGAATTTTAAACATTAAAATTGAAAGAAGAGCTTCCATTCTCTTAATTGGAGGGCAGATGGCATTATGTTTATTTTGGATATAAGAGACATGGAAATAAAGGGTTAGCTAAAGGATATGTGTAATTTGGAGTTGATGGTGAAGTAGAAGAAGTGATCTTTGATATTTATCATGATTTCTTACTTGAGTATGTTGAATTTATTGTTGGTAAAACTGCTGCACCACTATTCAATGGAGAAATGGCTAGAATTACATTTTCATTTGGACCAGGATCATTTGTTCCTACTACTGATACTTTGAAATTATATACACAAAATACTCTTCCAGAAAAAGCTTATATTCATCCAGTATCAAGATAAACATTGTAATTAGTTGGGGCACCTTAATAAATAAAAGAAGAACCAATTCAATTTGAATTTGAAAAATATTAAGGAGCTGAAGAATATGCATTATCAGGTTGGGTGAAATGGAGTGGACCTTCAGTTACTGGTAAAGTAGCTCATTTAATTACTATGGCATAAAAAAGATTAAATGATTTGAATGGTAAAAATGAGGAAACATTGTAAATTACAAGGGGAGATTAAAGTTTTACTTTTATTACTTACAATCAAAATCAAGAGGAATATAAATTAGTTTCTCATGATGAATCATATGGAGAGTATGCAGATTAATGGACTTATATTTATTATGGATTCTCATAATAATTAAGAAAAACTTATGGGTTTTTGAAATATACTTTTACAGAGAATGAATTCAGATAGGAAGAAGTTAATCATTTTTATTTAGCAGTTTTTTCAGTCTTAATTTAAGAGAAATAATAATTTACTTAATTTATAGGGTAAATAAAGACATGGGTTATAAATGTTGGAGATGGTGCCTTTAGAGAAGGAGGTTTTGATGAAAATGAAAATATTAAAGTACATTTTGGATTTATTAGTGGAACTGATCATATTAAATTATAATAAGCTGGATAAGAAGCTCATCATGAAGAAACTATTTTAGAATGTTCATCTCAAAATAAAGATGTTCCCTTATAAATTGAATTTTAATAAAGTGATAAATTACATTTACATGGTGTTAGTGAATATGGTTATGGTTATTGGGTTAAATTCTAATATTTTGCAAATAAAAATACAATCTATAGTAGACCACCATTGATGGGATTGAGTAGATTAACTAGTAATAGAGATTATAAAGATTTTGATGCCCCAGGAGATAGAGTGCTTTTAGTATTATTAGGTAAAAGTTCATATCATTTTGGAACATATGATGTCATAACCAAATCAAATAATGTTGCTGGAGATATTCCTTATTAAATTGAATCAGAAGGTGAATGGACTTATGTGTATTTCAGTTTTAAACGTATTTCATAAACATAAGGACATGCAATGGCATTTACTCATTATTAAGAAAATACTTCAGGAATTTAGATGGATGTTATGCATTCATTATTGAATGATTATTTGTAATTAATAGTAGGTAATGCAGGAAAGTATTATTCATCATTCAATGGATAGATTACAACTATTCGTTTTAATTTGGGACCAGGATCTTATATTGACACAAAATAAGGTTTATTACAGAGAATTAAAAATAAGGATACTATTCCAGATATTGTATCACCTACAAAGAAATATGATGTTTTGATTGGAAAACATGATGCAACTAAAATAGAAGAAGAACAACATATTACTCATATAAATGAAGTAGCTAGAGAATATAGCATCTAATTGTGGTTTAGATGGTTCAAATAGACAGTCAAAACATAATAATTGATATATAGGTTTACATCAACAAATCCTGACAGTCTTGGAGATGCCCAAAAAATAGGAGATAGAACTTTGGCTCTCTTCCATACAGATGGTATAGAGTTTAGTACTTACAGTTTGAATCCATTATCTTTATCAAATTCATATGAAGCTAAAATACCTTCTTAATAATTAGAGGTATGGACATTTGTTTATTTTGGATATTCAAAACATCATTAGAAAATTAGTTATTATTTATTAGCTGATTAAGATGAACATAAAGGTTTAGAAGCAGCATTACATGCAGTTTCATCAAACTATTGGCTTTATCTGACAAAAGATGCCTAAATAAAACCATTTGATAGTAGACTTGCTTAAGTTATCTTAAATATTGGTGATGGTAGCTACAGAGAAGAAAATTTCAATACTCTTTAAGTTTATTTGGCAGCACCAAAATTATTTAGTTCAGATAGTAAATTTGATTGGGAAGCAGATGATACAATAACTTTAGTATCTAGTGATTCTGATAAGTGGGGATCAAAAATTACATTTTCTGAACCAGACAGAAAGATAGAGAGTGTTTAAGAATATTCAGTTGGTTTATGGGCAAGATTCTTATAAGCTTGGCCAGAGAGATAATGGCATACACCTTCTGAAATGCAAATTTTTAGATTAACTTACAATGATGAAAGAGAAAGTGGTAGAATTACTGTAGGAGATAGAATTTTAAGTGCCTTTGTTATATTAGAGAATTATTTATTTGGAACCTACGATTTAAATGATGATGCTCCAAATGAAATTAGCACTATACCATATTCTCATTTAGAAGGTAAATGGCACTATATATATGTTGGTTATAAGAGGTAATTGTAATAGGCTAATTATTTTGTATTTGATGGAGAATAAATTAAACATGCTACAAATGAGAAATTAATGCATAAGCCTCTTGGTGATTATGTTCATTTGATTTTAGGAGGAGAAAAAGATATATCTCCTTTCCAAGGCTTATTGACAGAAGTAGCAGCTCATTTTGGAGTTGGATCATTTATAAATAATGGAGAAGAATTATTAAAATCAATTGATACTAGTTTTGCATTACCTTAAGAATTGACTGTAGAATATATTCACAAATAGAAACATGGTTAATAATAATTGATAGGAGAAGGTGATAATAATGAAGGTAGTGAAAGTACTGGAGATACTTGGAGTGGAGTAGGTGAATATGCTATATCTGGTTGGTTTAAGATTGCAGAAACTTAATTGAAAAAAGAAGGAGAAATAAATTCACCATGTCAGATACTATTTAGAATTACTAATAATGATAAAGAACATTTAAATGATCGTAAAATATAAGGAGATAGAGCATTACATGCTTAAATATGTACAAGTGATACAATTAAATTGAGTACTTACACTCTTAAAGGACTAAAGGATTGGAATGAAGCAAAATTCTTAGAAGAAAAAGTTGAATTGACTGTTTCAAAAAAGGCTTGGTCTTATATTTATATGGCTTATAATGAAGATCTAAGTGAAGTTCATACATTATTACATTTATTTGCAGAAGATAAACCTGTCATTTTTAAGGGAATCTAACATTTTGTACCTCATTTTATTGGTATTTATGTTGGAAAGGATCCACATTCAAGAAGATTTTAAGGTGAACTTTAAAAATGGGTTGCTCAATATGGATAAGGTGCATTTATTGATGTTTTAAAGAAAGGATATGAAGACAATTTACCTAATTTTAGACATATTTAGATAAATTAAAAATATTTATGGTATGAAAAAGAGGATCATATAATACAAACTCCTGAGAAAGTAGAAGTAACATTGACATAAGAAACAGAATCAGTTGATGAATATGCTGTAGGTGTTTGGACAAGATGGCTTATTGCATTCCCTAATACTTTAATTGATAGATCAGATGTTCATACTATATTTAGATTCTCAAGTACACGATAATATTAAGATAAAAGTGAATTAGGTAATAGAATATTATCAGCATTCCTTACAAAAGGTAATTATGAATTCAGTACTTATGATGCATCTAAACCAGCTAATGCTGTAGATGGTTAATTACCATATGATAATATTGAAGGAGAATGGACTTATGTTTATACAGCTTATAAAAATAAATAGTTTTATGGAATGATATTGTTTAAAGAATAATAAAAGGCAGTTCATTTAACATTAGATGTTACTCATTTGGTGCTCACTGGATATGCACATTTTGTATTAGGAGCAAGTGAGTTTGGTTATAAAGCATTTCATGGATGGTTTTTCGATCCAAGAATTTTCTTAGGTTCTGGAAGCTTCATCAATGATTCTTAAAAAGTAGTTGAGATGATACATAAATTACATCGTAAATTACCTGTTTCACCACAATAAGCTGAAGATTTCAAATGGCCTGTTTCTATTATGGATACAACAAATTGGGAAGATATGGATACTAAAAAGGATAAACTTAATTATGAATTTACTGATAAGACTTAAATTTAATAGTATAGTTTTGGATTTTGGTATTAAAATGCTATTTTATTACCTGAAATGGAAGATGATTATAGAGGATTAGTGAGATTAACTACTAATGGTCCAGATATTGCTGGAGATGATAAATTCATTGGAGATCGAACTCTTGCTGTATTTACAAAGACTGATCAATTATTGGCTAGTACATATACTATAAAAGATCCTTCTTTTGAACCAGTATCTCATACATTTGATGTAAAAAAACATTAATGGACATTTGTTTACTTTGGATATGAGAAAGGTCATGCCAGAGCTTACATATTATTACCAGAAGGTCCTCAAGATAAAGTACTTCTTGTACATCATATAATTCCTAATTAATTCTATTTACACATAATAAATGATATTGGCCATCCTGCATTTTGGGTATTATTTATTTAAATCTATTTTAGGGTAAAATTTATGGATTGAAAGTTAATTTTGGAGAAGGAAGTTATCTTGACAATCCTTTAGAACTAATAGATAGATGGCCTTATGATCAAAAATAACATCAAGATATTGATAAATAAGGATAAAAAGCATTATGTATATTATTTTAACTATTTAAGCTATTAATTCTGCTAAAGTTTCAAAGTAGAAATCAGAAGAATTCAAGGAATGAGCTTATAAATAACTTATGAAATAATTAAATTTAATTAATAATTTTTACGTGTTCAATAATGGAAGAACGTCGATTACCTCCTCATTTAAGAAGAACTCAATAGTAATAGCCAATCAATCGAGAACCTGAACAACCTACATAATAACCTCCAGTGCAACAAAGATAAGCAAATGTATACCAATAAGGATAAAATGAAAATCATTAATAATAATACAATGCATAATAATAATATGTAGGTTAATAATAATATCCACAATAATAACAATATTAACCATAATAGAACTTTCCTACATAATAAGTAGAATAATAACAGCGAAAACCATAAAAAATTGATGTTGATTAAATTCCTAGACCATATATAAAGTCAGAAGAATCAATTACATATTAATAGTAATTTTGAATATTTATTAGAGGTTCTCTACAGCTCCTGCACCTTTATATCATCCTCCATGTGTTCATTAATTTTATTAAACATTTGATGAAGGAAATTGTGGACCAAGATATATGAGAAGTTCAGTTTATGCAATAGGAAATGAACCATCTATTCTATAATAAACAGAGATTCCATTTGGTATAGTAGTATAACCATTAATGGAACCATCTCTCTTTGAATCAGATTTACCATAAGTTGAATTTACAAATGAACCATTGCGTTGTTAGAGATGTAAAGCATATGTTAGTCCTTACTTTTAATTTTGCTAAGGTGGTAATAATTATGTTTGCAATATTTGTAAAATGAAGAATTAAGTGCCACCAGATTATTATTGTGTTTTGGGTTAAGGAAATTAAAGAGGCGATAAATTTTAAAGAGATGAATTAAATAAAGGATCTTATGAAATCATAGCACCTACTAGTTATATAAAAAAGGAAATAAAGAATAATTTAATATTATTTTGTATAGAATTGACACAGATATCAGTTGCAAAGGGTTTATATTCTTAAGTGATTTCTTCACTTTAATCAATATTGGATACAATTCCATATCCAGATAAAACAGATATTGCATTTATAACATTTGATTCTAAAATTTAATTTTATAACATTCCAAAAAATTTAACAGGAGAACCATAAATAATAGTTGTAAGTGAAATTGATGAAGCTAATGTACCACTTCCACCAGAGAAGTTATTTTTAAATATTGAGACAGATAGAGATAAAATAGATTATATGTTAGAAAAACTTAGTAAATTTGGAGAAACAATAACACAATAAGCTAATTAACTTGTTTCAGTTGGAACAGTATTATCAAATGCAGTATAATTAATGTAACCTAGAAGTGGACGTATATTGTATTTTGGATGTTCAGCACCAAGATATGGAATAGGGAAATTACCATAAAAACCAACAGATACTAAATTATTTGGTACAGATTAGGAAAAATTGTTTTATTAACCTAATGATTAAGCATATGTAAAATTGGGATAAACATGTCTCAGAAATCATATCTCTGTTGATTTATTTATTGCAAATGATGAAAATTTTGAATTAGCTACTGTTTCTCCTGTTTCAAATATAACAGGGGGAAGTATTTATTTTTATCCTCATTATAATTAATAAATTAATGGAACAGAATTGCATTATGCATTATATAGAAATCTTACAAGATCTTATGCATATGATCTAATAATGACTGTTAGAACTTCTCCAGGAATTATATTATTTGATTATTATACAGGTAGTGGGAAAATATCTGTAAGAGATTTGGAATTATCTACTTTAAATTCAGATTAATCCATAGCAATAATGTTAAAGTAAGAGGAAAAGATATTGGATCCTGAAGCTTATATATAATATGCTTTATTGTTTACTAATTAATAAGGATAAAGAGTGATTAGAGTTTTTAATTTATAATTATAAGTTGTTAATAAGAATAGTGGAAACAATGCATGGCATAACATTTTTAAAACTGGAGATGTTGATTGCATTGCTACATTATTAAGTAGAAAAAATCTACCAAATATTATGGTATAATCAATTAAACAAATTAGACAAAGTCTATTTGAATCTGTTATTAATATTTTGCATGCATATAGAAAATATGTATTATTTATATTTTAATTTAGTGTTCTAGTAATAGTCCTGCAGGTTAGTTGATTTTACCAGAAGCAATTAAAATCTTACCTCTATATTTATAGACTTTATCAAAGAGAGATATACTTAAATATGGAAATGTTAGAATAGATAATAGAATTTTTGAAATTCATTTAGTTTTGACACAATCTATGCATTTTTTGACTAATTTCTTTTATCCAAAACTATTTCCAGTTCATGATATTAATTCTTAAATTGTGGCTGATAAATATTATGTGGGTACATTGACTGATGATGAAAAGACAGTTTTGCCTAATAATATTGCCACCACAATTGATAAAATTAAATCAGATGGAATTTACATTTTAGATACAAGCCAATTTATATATATTTATGTAGGATAAAATGTTGATTAATCATTATTGTTGAATGTAATTTAATTATATAATTTTTTTAGCTTTTTGGAGTGAATTCTTTTGCAGAATTAAGTTCGATAGAATTATTTACAAAAATAGATACTGATTATAGCACAAAAATCTAAAATATTATTGAATCATTATAATAAATTAGAGGTGGTACTTATGTTCCTATTAGAGTTGTTCGCCAAAAGTATTTGATTATAATAAATGGATAGTTCTCCATAAGCTTCTTTAGTACAATCAAAATTAGTTGAGGATGAATAACAACTAGAAAAATCATATGCTGATTATCTTTGTGAATTACATGGAGCTATCTAAAATAAAGGTGGCGTGTGAGATAATTTTATATATTAAATAAATAATTATATTTATGGTGTATGATATTCATTAAAATCAATCTTACGATGAAGAATTATCTGCAGTTTAATATTATTATTGTTACTGTTGGTGGGGCTAATTGTATCTTACAGTTTATTCATCCCATTACAATAGATTATCACTTCTTTATGAAGGATTAAAACTTTACATAGAATTGGTTGAGCTATTTAGTAAATTCTGCTTGTATTATTTTAAAGATTCTAGAAATTTTTCAGTTTTTTGTATGTTATTATCACAATCAGAAATAGCTGATAGTTTCTATGTTGTGTCTATAGTTTAGGTATCATTTAATATTTAATTGATATGGTCTTAGAGGATATTTATTTTATCTCTTATTAATAATGATTTGAAATTTAAAGATATTTAATCTTCTTACATCAATTCATATGTATTTTTAGAACCTACCATTTTTAATCTCTAGAATATTCTAAATTATTATTACCTTTATTTCACCCTCTGCTTATAATATTTCCTCCTGTAAACTTTTTGTATATTTAATCCACTCTTTTACAAATTCCTTGTCGATAGAGGAAATGTCAGAAGTAAGTTATGAATACAAATCTTGATATTCATTTGTTCCCTCATTTAATAATTATTCTATTGTCATCCTTTTTAATTGCTTAATACTTCCTATAACAGAATCACCCATCTTAATAAAAATAATTAATTCATAAAAATTTAAATAGTTTTCTTTTTATAATATTAAACCAATAACTTAAAATAGTAAATAAGTTTTTATATGTTTGTTTCATATTATTTTAGTGTAACTTATAGATAATTATATTAAGTTATTTTTATTAAATGAGACCTAAAGAATCAGATGTATATAAAAGAATTCGATTGTTGGGATAAGGATCCTTTGGAAAGGCCTACTTATGTGAGTCTTTGAAAGATCATTCTCTTTGTGTAATTAAACAAATGGATATGAGATATTTAAGTGAAGAAGAAAAAAAAGTAAAGAGAATTTTAAAATGTTTAGGAAACCTATTAAGAGTTTAGAATCATGGCTTAACTGAAGCATCCAAACATAATCAACTTTAGAGAAGTTTACAAAACTGTAAAAGGTAAATTATGTATAGTAATGGATTATGCTGAGGGTATAAATAATAATTAATTGATTCAAAATAGGAGGTGATTTAGCACAATTGATTAAAAGTCATGAAGGTTATATTCCAGAATCTAGAATCTTAGATTGGTTTACTTAAATGTGTTTAGCAATTAAACATTGTCATGATCGTAAAGTTATTCATAGAGATATTAAAACATAAAATATGTTCCTTACAAAGGATAATAGAATTAGATTAGGAGATTTTGGTATTGCAAGATTATTGGATAACACTCGTGATAAAGCACATACAATGGTTGGTACACCATATTATTTAGCTCCTGAATTGTTAGAAAATAAACCTTATAGTTTTAAAGGTGATGTGTGGTCATTGGGAGTGATATTATATGAAGTATATAAAGAGAATTATATCTTAGATGTGTGCTAAAACACCTCCATTTAATGCAGATTCATTAGCATCATTAGCTTTAAAAATAGTTCGTGGATAATATTAAGCTATCTCGAATAATTATTCATCTCAATTAAGAACGTAAATCTACATTCATAATTAAACAAAGGTAGCCTTGTGAATTAACTTCTGACAGTGAATCCTGAAAAAAGACCAGATGTACATTAAATATTAAAAATGCCAATTATTACAAATAGAATAAAGAATTTTCTATCTGAAACTATGAAGAGAAGTGAGTTTGATCATACAATATTACATAATCAATAGATTCAATTAAGTGATACTACTATTCCATTAATAGATGATTAAGATGCAAAAGTAGATTAAACAGAATAAACTCCATAAAATAGAAATTAAATATAATAATAATTACCAGGTATCAAAAGTCCACCTATTGGATAATCAAAATAAAGAAAGAATAGTGACCTAAGAAAATTACCAGAAATTAAACTTCCTAAACCTGAAAGGCCTCCTATTTCAAGACAATAAACAAGTCGATAATAATTACATTAATTGCCTAGTCAACGTATATAACCATCAACACCAGATTTAGGAATTGCACATAAATATAAGAATTCTCGATTTATAACTAAAGAAAGTCCTGATTCTTTTTAAGGTTCTGATCAAATATTAGAAGAAATAACTAAAAATAGTGAATAAGGAAGTCCTAAGTTTTTTTAGAATGTTAAAGATAAACCTCATATTAAAAATATTAAAGGATTATCTAAATTAGATTAGATATAAAAAATTAAATTAGGATAAAAATCTGAAGATGATGCTAAAAAACCTGTTTATAGAGTTCATGCCTAACCAAAATTATTAGAATAATTCATTAAGAAATAGAGAGATAGAAAGATATCCGAAGAAATAACATCAACTTAATAAAAATAAGAAATATATTAATAATAATAATAATAATAATAATAATAATAATAATAATAATAACTTGAAAAAATATCAGAAACACCAGAATAAAAATTATTAGATAAAACTACTATTAGTGATTTTTAAACATCAGAAGAATAATAATAAATTTAAAATAATTAGCAAACTGTTGAAACTGCTGCTTTTGACTTATAACCTTAATTCTAGTTTTAAGTATTTGATGTCACTTAGAAAAAACCTACTAAATCAAATAAACCATTAACTTCAAAAACAGATGAAGAAAAAAATAAAAAAAAAATATATAAAATTATATACAAAGATCCATTTTAAAAAAAAAATTAAATCATTAAAAAAAAAAATAGTGAAGAAGACATGAAAGAGATGATAAATGAATTAAAAAACGTACTTGTAATAATTAATATTTTCTATATCTTAGTCAGAAGAACCTAAAAAAATAGAGGAATTACCATTATAAGGATAAAATGATTCTGAAGGTTCTAGAATATATTCAGAAGATTCAAGTGAAGATTTTAGAGAAAATACTGATACCTTACCTCCTAAAACCTAAATTAATACTTGGATGTAAGGTAGATCATAATAAATACAAAATATAAATACTTCAAAATCATAACCAGAATTATAAGGATCAAACAAAAGTAGTTAAAAAAATTTGAAAGATTAATTGATAACAAAATTAGGATAACATTTTGAATAATTATATAAATTAGCAAAATTATGTTCCCATTAAGAAGATTTGGGAAAGTAACATATAAAGATGGCTATATTGGATAATCTAGATTTGGATGAAAATAAAGCTGAAGCATGTGCTACATTGTTAGTGACATTAGCAACTATTGGTTACTGATTTTTGTTGTTTTCTAAAAAACTTATCATAGCTATTTCATTTAACTCAATCTTTATTCCCATCCTTACATACTTTAAGCCCAAGCAGGAGTTGGTAATTAGATTTCTGCCATACATTTCTTAATTAAATCTACATCTAATGGTTTAGCAAAAGGATCAATATGTTCTACTTAATCATAATTTATTTCATCATCTTCTTCTTTATCAGAATTCTCTTCCATTTTTTCATATCCTTGAAATTCTTAAAATTCATCATCTTCATCTTAATTTAAGTTTTCCTCTTTTTCTTTTTCATCATAGTTCTCTTTTTATTCATTTTCATTGTTTAAATTATTAATTTAATCAATAGGATATTCAGCCCCTTTGTAATTTGGATTGTCATATTTTTTAAACATCTCATATTCAGCTTCCATCATAGCTAATTTCTTGTCAACAATTTAATCCTAATATTATGATAATTTTTTATACTATAGTTTTCTAATCTAAATCTGTATTCATTAATTTAAATAGTAATTATACTTTTTATTTGTAATTAAAACAAATGTAAAAATATGTGAAATTCTTTAATATTGCTCAATAACTAAAGTTTGTGAAAAGAAAAGGATGGACTAGATTTCCACTAATTTAAGAAGTTGAATCAGTTGCTGATCATAGTTGGATGATTTAAATGATTGCTTTATCTTTGCCAACTAATGAATTAAATAAAGACAAATGCATAAAGATTGCATTATTACATGATTTAGCAGAAGTGATTGTAGGTGACATTATTCCAAGTGAAAATATGCCAGCAAATGAAAAGAAATAGAAAGAAGATAATGCTATGAAAATGATGGTTTAAGATTTAGATGAAGATATTAAAAATGAATTATATAGTATACATAAAGAATACGAAAATGGTGAAAGTATTGAAGCAGAAGTTGTTAGAGAATTGGATAAATTGGAAATGTTATTCTAAGCATTTGATTATGAATAAAAATATAAAGTCAGATTAGATGAATTTTATACTTGTGAGACTAGAATAAAAACTAAATATGTTAGACCATTATTGGATGAATTACTTAAATAGAGAGAATAATTCTTATCTTAATGATTATTATTAATTTAAATATGATATAAAATTCTACTCGTAACCGTTCTGAACAATTAATATTTCAAAGAAGATAACAGGAATAGTATGTAGGTAAATTGAACACAAAGCTTCGACAAGAACATTACGAGAAAACATTTGCAGCTTGGGAAAATAAAGGAAAAGATATTGCCAATTTGTAATATACAAAGAATAGGTTTTTAAGTAGCATATTTTAGACTTTAATAAATTCGTTCAGAAGCTGAAGCTAATAAGAATTAAAGAAGAGAAAAACTTGCTTTTTTACTTAATGAAGAGCATGAACAGTATCAATAAGAGATTAAAGCTATGGTTGAAACTCCAGAATAGGTCAAAGAGAGAATGATGAAAGAAGTTGCTGAATTAAAACAAAGAAAGGAAGCTGATAGGGCTAGATAAGCAGAAGCAGCATATAATCGTAGATTTAGAGAAAATGCTGATGAACTCAGAATGGTGACTTAGCAATTTAATGAACTATAAGCAGTAGCATATAGAAATATGTAAATGATGGAGAAATAAAAAATGTTAGAGGATCAATATGAGGGTATAGAATTAAATGATTATAATTTATAGAGGAAATGATTTATGCAGAATTATATAGAAGGGAAATACTAAAAAAGGAGAGATTAGAAAAGGAAAAGGAATTGGAACAAAAGGCTAAAGTAGATGAACGAAATAAAGTGTTGGCTGTATAAACAAAAATGAATGAAGTTAAACATTAAAAAACAAAGGAAGAAATTGAATAGGAAAAATAAATGCTAGTAAAATTATTTGTTCACATTTTTAGAAAGAAGAATGGAAAAGAGAAGAAGAAAGACATAAATAAAGAGAAAATCAATTTATGAATTATAAGAAGGAAATAAATTCAGAAATTGCATTAAATAATGAATAATAAAAGGAATATAAAAAATAACTTAAACATCAAGAGAAAATTGAGGATAAGGAAATGATTTCATAAGTACTAGCAAGAGAAGAGGCTATTGCAAAGATGGAATAAGCAGAGAAATAAAGATAAAAAGAAGAAACAAGATAATTTTTACTTAATTTTAAGAATAGAACAAATGAATATAGTGTAAATGATTAATTAAAGGAAAAATTAATTAATGAAGAGAATAATAGACAATGGGAAACTAAAGAGGCTAAATGGAAAGCTGAAGATGTAATAAATGTTTTTATTGTAAGGATGCAAGAGTGAAATTAATGTATGAAGTGTATGCTTAAAGAGCAGATAATGTGGAAATAAAGAAGAAATTAATAGAAGATGAGAAAAATGTTAAATAAATGGATAAATTGGAACTTCAACGTTAAATGGAATTATATCAAAAAGAATTAGAGGAAAAACAAAGATTAGAATAAGAAGTAAATTATACATGAAATCTGTTTAGAAAATTATGTAAACAAAACACAATTTAATAAATTAAATGGATGAGAAAAAACAAAGATAATAATTATTAAGAGATAAAAAATAATAGGAAGAAGAAGCACTTCGAAAATAAAAAGAAGAATACGATAAAAAAATAGAATTAGAAAAGGCTAAAGGCCGTGCTTTGCTCGATGAACTTAGAAAATAAAGACCATATTGAATTATTAGAATCAATTCAAATATAATTTAAAATAATCTCTTTATTTAACATATTTAATATTTAGAAAGTATTATTTATTTAGAATATTAGATATGTGATTGAAGTTCCTTTTAATTTGAATTCTTTCATAGGTACATATATAATGAAAAATTGATTAAATTAAATTATTTAATTCTTGGATATGTCAACTCCTCAAATAAAATCAAAATTGGTTCAAACATTTGGAAGAAAGAAGAATGCTGTAGCAAGTGCAAGTGTTAGAGAAGGAAAGGGTACTTAATAATAATAAAATAAGGTTTGGTTAGAGTGAATGGAGCTCCAATTGAATTAGTCAATCCAGCACCATTGAGATAAAAGGCTCTCGAACCATTATTACTTCTTGGTTAAGTTAGAACAGGTAGATTAGATATCAGAGTCACAGTTAGAGGTGGAGGAAGCACTGCTTAAATTTATGCCATTAGATAGGTAGAATTAGCAATCTTAAATATTATTTAGGCCATCAGCAAGGGTATCGTTGCTTACTATCAAAAATACATTGATGAAACTTAAAAGAGAGAAATCAAAGATCTATTATTATAATATGATAGAACACTTTTGGTTGCTGATCCAAGAAGATGTGAGCCAAGAAAATTTGGTGGTAAGGGTGCTAGAGCCAGAAGATAAAAGAGTTATAGATGAAAATTTTATATCATAGTACATTAAAAAATATAAAATATTAATGGAATTTTAGTGTTGTTAATGTTCGATAGNGACAATGGGAAACTAAAGAGGCTAAATGGAAAGCTGAAGATGTAATAAATGTTTTTATTGTAAGGATGCAAGAGTGAAATTAATGTATGAAGTGTATGCTTAAAGAGCAGATAATGTGGAAATAAAGAAGAAATTAATAGAAGATGAGAAAAATGTTAAATAAATGGATAAATTGGAACTTCAACGTTAAATGGAATTATATCAAAAAGAATTAGAGGAAAAACAAAGATTAGAATAAGAAGTAAATTATATATGAAATCTGTTTAGAAAATTATGTAAACAAAACACAATTTAATAAATTAAATGGATGAGAAAAAACAAAGATAATAATTATTAAGAGATAAAAAATAATAGGAAGAAGAAGCACTTCGAAAATAAAAAGAAGAATACGATAAAAAAATAGAATTAGAAAAGGCTAAAGGCCGTGCTTTGCTCGATGAACTTAGAAAATAAAGACCATATTGAATTATTAGAATCAATTCAAATATAATTTAAAATAATCTCTTTATTTAACATATTTAATATTTAGAAAGTATTATTTATTTAGAATATTAGATATGTGATTGAAGTTCCTTTTAATTTGAATTCTTTCATAGGTACATATATAATGAAAAATTGATTAAATTAAATTATTTAATTCTTGGATATGTCAACTCCTCAAATAAAATCAAAATTGGTTCAAACATTTGGAAGAAAGAAGAATGCTGTAGCAAGTGCAAGTGTTAGAGAAGGAAAGGGTACTTAATAATAATAAAATAAGGTTTGGTTAGAGTGAATGGAGCTCCAATTGAATTAGTCAATCCAGCACCATTGAGATAAAAGGCTCTCGAACCATTATTACTTCTTGGTTAAGTTAGAACAGGTAGATTAGATATCAGAGTCACAGTTAGAGGTGGAGGAAGCACTGCTTAAATTTATGCCATTAGATAGGTAGAATTAGCAATCTTAAATATTATTTAGGCCATCAGCAAGGGTATCGTTGCTTACTATCAAAAATACATTGATGAAACTTAAAAGAGAGAAATCAAAGATCTATTATTATAATATGATAGAACACTTTTGGTTGCTGATCCAAGAAGATGTGAGCCAAGAAAATTTGGTGGTAAGGGTGCTAGAGCCAGAAGATAAAAGAGTTATAGATGAAAATTTTATATCATAGTACATTAAAAAATATAAAATATTAATGGAATTTTAGTGTTGTTAATGTTCGATAGAGTTCAATCANAAATTGGAACTTCAACGTTAAATGGAATTATATCAAAAAGAATTAGAGGAAAAACAAAGATTAGAATAAGAAGTAAATTATACATGAAATCTGTTTAGAAAATTATGTAAACAAAACACAATTTAATAAATTAAATGGATGAGAAAAAACAAAGATAATAATTATTAAGAGATAAAAAATAATAGGAAGAAGAAGCACTTCGAAAATAAAAAGAAGAATACGATAAAAAAATAGAATTAGAAAAGGCTAAAGGCCGTGCTTTGCTCGATGAACTTAGAAAATAAAGACCATATTGAATTATTAGAATCAATTCAAATATAATTTAAAATAATCTCTTTATTTAACATATTTAATATTTAGAAAGTATTATTTATTTAGAATATTAGATATGTGATTGAAGTTCCTTTTAATTTGAATTCTTTCATAGGTACATATATAATGAAAAATTGATTAAATTAAATTATTTAATTCTTGGATATGTCAACTCCTCAAATAAAATCAAAATTGGTTCAAACATTTGGAAGAAAGAAGAATGCTGTAGCAAGTGCAAGTGTTAGAGAAGGAAAGGGTACTTAATAATAATAAAATAAGGTTTGGTTAGAGTGAATGGAGCTCCAATTGAATTAGTCAATCCAGCACCATTGAGATAAAAGGCTCTCGAACCATTATTACTTCTTGGTTAAGTTAGAACAGGTAGATTAGATATCAGAGTCACAGTTAGAGGTGGAGGAAGCACTGCTTAAATTTATGCCATTAGATAGGTAGAATTAGCAATCTTAAATATTATTTAGGCCATCAGCAAGGGTATCGTTGCTTACTATCAAAAATACATTGATGAAACTTAAAAGAGAGAAATCAAAGATCTATTATTATAATATGATAGAACACTTTTGGTTGCTGATCCAAGAAGATGTGAGCCAAGAAAATTTGGTGGTAAGGGTGCTAGAGCCAGAAGATAAAAGAGTTATAGATGAAAATTTTATATCATAGTACATTAAAAAATATAAAATATTAATGGAATTTTAGTGTTGTTAATGTTCGATAGAGTTCAATCAAACTGATCATTCACCTCTTGTCTTGCCTAGTTGTGGTCATTCAATTTGTTTGTCTTGTGTAAATTAATATACTTCTGGAGAGTAATCCTTAATTTGCAAAGAAGATGGGTATACATCTATTTAGATATATTTAAGAATATAATGCAATGTTGAAAGAGATATCAAATGTTTTCCACATAATTAAAGTATTATTACATTACTAAAGAAACGACGATCATCTGGTAGATGTATTACAACCATTTAAACACCTGATGAACAATAATAATAGATTCACAATTAATTAAAGGATGTTAGTGATTTTTCAAGTGAAAAGGGCATTTCTTAATCTTAATCTTAGGAAGCATTACCTAAATCAAGTCTATGCAAATTGCATCAAAAGGAACTAGAATTAGTATGTCAAGAAGATGGTTAGTATATATGTGTAAATTGTGCATTATTTGGTCCACATAAATTTCATAATTATCTTTAAATTGAATAATATCTTAAATAAATAGAATCAGCTGTTTAATAAATATCAAATGTCTACAAATAAATACAGACTGAAAGAAACAGTTAAGATCAAATTAAACAATTACTGGTTCTGGGACTTAATTAATAATAAAACTGTTTAAAATCTCTTATATAATTATAATTTGATGATCTTATTAAATCAATTGAAGATATCAAATTATAAGTTTTGCATAAGATCGAACTTAATTATTAAAATTCTATTGAACATTAATCCAATAAACTTGATTCAGAATTTATTTCATTATAAATTGAAGCTGATAAATGGTTAAATTAGGCTAATATTTAATTAAGTTTATTATTAGAAGATTCTGAAAAATAGAAATGCATCAAATTTGATGATCAAATAGTTAAAAAAGGGGAGATTTTAATATCATAATTTGATTAAATTAAAGAACAAATCAAAATCAAAGTTGAATAAACTTATAATTCATTAGATGTTTAAGTTCCTATTTAAATGATAATAAATTATATTAATAAAGTAATGGGATTAAACAAAACTAAATCAGAAGTAATTAAATAGGAATTTATTTAACCTCTAGAATCTATTTTAGAGGAGAAAGATCCTATAAAGAAAATTGATCAATCAGACTTTTTATTAGATGATAAATAATTGTAAGAAGAAACATTCTAATAATATGAATAGCATAAACCATTATAAATTGATGTAGTAAAAGGAAAAAGATATTCTGGTGTATTTTCTTAATCATAATAACCAACCCAACCTACTTCACCTTCTTAAGATATGACAAAATCAACTAATTTTACATCTATTTAAAACTAATAAATAAGATTCAAAGAAAGAAGTATGACATTATCACATCATGAACTTTTAGATGTTTCTTAAATTCTTGTTTAAAAGCAATCTAAAATTAATAATAATAACTAAAATAGTAATTCAAAATAATAGAAAAAATTTACTAATAATCAAAAAATGAATGATAAACTATCGAATACATTTAGTATCATTCATCAAGACAAAAGTGAAATTATAGATTTAAGTTCTATAGGTAATATTATATATAATTACTTAGATTTTAATGATCAAATTATACAGATTTTGGGAGATTACTTAAAAGGTACTCAAACTGTAAAGGTCCTAAAATTAAGTAAATGCAAATTAACAGATGATCTTCTATATAAATTGGTTTTGAATATCACTCAAACCAAGTAAATTATTATTTTTTATTTAATAGAATTAATACATTGCATCTTTAATAAAACATATTGACAGAAAAATGTCTTGATAACATTTTAACTCATTTGAGATAAAATGGTCAAACATAATTAAGAAGCATATATATGAATTAAAACAATGTTACAGCTGCAAAGTCAAAAAAAAAGATTGATGAACTTAAAAAATTTGGAATTTAGATATCATTATGATTTTTGATCATTTATTTGATGTATAAATTATGATAGATTATTCTAATATCATAATATTTATAATTTAAGGTATATCTATATTATGAAATAATTTGATATTTATAAGTATTTCATAATAAAAATCTATATCTGTAATTATTATATAAGGTAATTTAAGATACAAAAATAGAAATTTATTAGTTATGCTACATTTCAATTAATTTAAAAAATATATTTTTCTACATGTAAAAATCATACCTTTTTATTTAGATTATTATATATAATTAACAAAAGAAAAAGCAAATATACAAAGATTTATCTCAAAGTTTTGGTGGAGACTCGGCAGAATTCTGCTTTTTTAAAAATTTTCCATCTGGTCCTCTTTCTCTTTTTAATGCATGTTAATGCCTTGATTCATATATATATTTTTAATTTGATTTATCTAAAACCTTTGTAGCTTGCTCTTTTCTTAATTCCTCTAGTTTTAATGCTTATTAAGCTCTTTTGATTCTTCGAATCATGATTCGTCTATATCTAAGAATTAATAAATTAAATTACTATTTCTGATTAACATATCTAGGTTCCTACTCATATTATATAATTATGGGAAATTTAGGTTAGTTTTTTTCTTCCTATTTTCCTTAATTTTGTAAATCAGCTTCCTTAAAGTGATTAGTAAATTCAAAGAAATTCGTAAGGTATTGTTAATTTAAGAAATGACTCTTTGATCTTTCATCTTCTGGGTAGAACATTGAATACTACTTTTTCTCATTTTCCCTTTAATTTTCTTACAACATAAAAAAAAATTTAATTATAGCGGGCTAAGAAACTTAATAAATATACATTTGTAATAATAAGAAATAGAAATTTAGTAAATCCTTAATCCAATAATTTCCATGCAAAATTATCAAAGAATTGAAAAGGATAAATGTTAAATATAGTCAGAATGACTTGAATTTAGATGAATATACATAAAACTAATATAAAAGTTCATAGATATTGTTATAAATATTAAATAACTAAAAATGAAAAACATGAAAGTGATTACAGATCTTAACAATATCAAATAGTATATTTATATAAAATTTTGGAATACTAAAACTTATTCCTGATTCAATATCAAATATATAATAATAATAATTATTATTATTAAATATCTTAGGGTTATTATATTAAGAAATATAGAAGGAAAATTAGGTGTTAGTGATTTCATAAGAGATAATTAGTTATGTTATTTGATGCTTTTTCTAAAAAAATGATAATTTTTATAAAAATCACAAAAATTATTAAGATTCTGGAATGGCTATTAGGAGTGATTCTTAAAGAGTTTTCTAAACCTAAATTCTTAAAACTTTGATGAATGAGAATCATTTACTAAAATCTTAGGCAAAATAGAAGGATGCTTTGATAATACAATTATTAGAAAAGAAAGTGAAGGAAAGTGAGTAGACTTTGAAATCTGGAAGATAGATAAAATAAAATGGATCTAAAACAAGAAGGGATGATAAGGATTTAAGAATACATACAAGAATTAAGACTCTAATTGACTTGTTGCCAGATGGGTTTTGAATTCAAAATTTTCGCACTTATTTTTTTAATATATTATAAAATTGTGATGAGTGATTCAGATGATTCGTTAAAGTAATAACACCAACTTCCGTAAAATTTTGGTGAAATTATTGATTCAGATGACGAGAACTGGATGCCTCCTAAAAAGAGTTATAGCTAACTAGAAGAATTTGAACCTTCGAAATTTAACAAGAACATTATTGCTTTAGATTGGGGTTTTAATAAAGTAGAATATTTGTTTAAAATAAAAAGGTGTTTGTAAAAGAACTGTAAATTGAAGCATTATAAGATCCAACATGGAGAGCATAAGTTATCAAATAATTTGAGATACATCCTACTTTAGATCATCCTAATATTGTTAAAGTAGTAGCATTATCAATAATTTAGGTTAAAGAGTAAAACTATGAAGAGAAAAAAATTGTATTAGAGTTCTTAAATGAAGCAAACTACTTTAAGAAAGCAATTCTAGAAGTACAATTGTTATTTTAAACTTTTAGTAAGCTCGTCCTATAACAAATATGATTAAGTTAAGATCTTATATTTAAGATATAGCAGAAGGACTCAATTATTTACATAATTTAAGTAATATATCTAAATATTTGAGATTTTGTTCATATGGATATTAGAATAGAGACTTTGCATTGTACAAGAGGACTAGATGATCTAATTAGAACAGTATCTAAATAATTAAATAGAGGTTAAACTTGGAGATTTTGGGAATATTTAAAGAAAGGGTGACATATTAGATGCCTTTCATTATGAGTTCATCAAAAAAAGATAACCAATGATGCCACCTGAATTAGCTATAGGGTCTTAAGCAGATCCTAAAATGGATATATGGTGTTTTGGCATAGTGATTCATCAAATGATTATGGCTTATGCTCCTAATTTAATGCCTTAAAACTAGAATCAACCAACAAAGATCTCCTTTGCAAAAGCTCATTGGAGTAAATACGAAGTAGAACTTTTCAAATTGGTCAAGAGTATGTTACAAATTAATGCAAATGATAGACCATCAGCATAGTAAATACTATAAATTCCATGGCTTTAATGATATTTATATCTATAAAATTAAAGTAACCAATTCTTATGACTCTTCAAATTTCTATCAAATTATTTTAAAAGATAATTAATAACAAAAATAAGTATAAAATAGTTTTATATCAACGTATACTGATATTATTTGATGCTAATTAGCATTTGCTGTTTTATTAATTAATTATCTATTATGGATAGATATTCCAAAACCTTAAAGTTTCATCTCCAGCTCCGGTTACTATAGTATATCCATCAGGAGACATTGCCAGATATAACACACTTAATTGTAATAAATATATACCGACTGGTATGACCAATTAAAGTAGCAATTCTTTTCATACCATTACATTTCCATAGTATAATTTAATTTTGACTATAACCATGTGTTGAAATCAATTCATTTTCCATTTTACTGAACATTAAATTACAGACTTAACTTCCAGTATCTTCTTTTGATAACATTTTTCCTTCTAAAGCATTCCAAAATCTAATTGTTTTATCAGCAGTTCCACCACCACTAGCTAATAATCCATGTTAATGTGGACTCCAAGCTATAGCTTTAACTGCTGCTTAATGTTCATTAAATTTGAAGATTGGTTTATCATATTAAGCTGAACTCCAAATGTATAATTTATTATCATTTCCACCAGAAGCTAATAATTGGCTATCAGAAGACCATTTTAAACCACAAACTTCTTATTTATGTGCAATAGATTTGAAAAAATAGTCTTCTTTTTATCTTAAGTCTCTTTAAATTATTGATTTATCTCTTGAACCACTACTTAACATATTTTCAGCAAAGCAAAGAGATCCAACTCTGGCAACATGACTTTTAAAAGTTCTCACTTTTTATAACTTACAAGCATCCCATATTTGTACTTCTCCATTGTTAGTTCCTACTCCTAATAATGGTCCTCTTAATGACCATCCAACACTTGTTACTACATCATTACAAAGATCAAGCATTTTAGTAACTTTTGAAGATTAAGCATTCCTAATTAGATTTTAAAAGATACTATAAATAAACACTATTATTGAGAGCTACTGATAAAATGTTTTAATTGCTCCAATCTATTAGATTTAAATAGAAATCATCCTATAATTAAGGAGCATCCAAAACTTTAAATGGCACTTTAGGGATTTTTCTTATATATTTCCCATAATAACTTGATATTGTTTCTGGCAAAGCAAAGTATTTATGATCAACAAGAGGACTAAATTATTTAAAAATTGTTACCTATTATAATTTTTTGGATCAATAGAATCAATATAATGAATATGTTCATTCTTGTATTGGAAGTTATTTTGATTAATGAATTTAAGTGAACCATTCTAAGGTTACATCATAGGGTCCTAATCTAAAATTTATTATTTATATAGCATTTCAAGAGTTGCTTAAGATGAAGCTATATCTTGAGCAGGTGCCTTAGTTTCAGTAAGAATGTTAAATTTCTTTTTTATAGTTGGAATAAAACGATCTCCAGCACAATTATTTCTTCGCTTTTAGTCAGTATTCCCCAAATTGATTATGTTTTCTTATTAAAATAAAGATATAGGATCGTATTAATTTCCTTAAAGGATTATTTGATTTTTATCAATAGAACTCTAAAATAATGGATCAGAGCAAAACTAGAATAATTATATGAATATACTTGAAGTTTCAGCTTTGACATTTACAAACAAAAATAAAATTTATGTTTTACATACAATCAAAGAAAATTAAGTATCAAATTTTTGATAGACATATATATATATAATCAATAACACTTTATTAAGTTAAAATCTTATAATTATTGATAAATGTAAATCAATCATCAAGTTGACATAATAGTGCAACTCCACGTCTAGTCCAAACTGCTGGTTCCACACCAGTAAATAAATCCAAATATAAAACAAAGTTGGTTGAATGACCTGTTGTTGATAGTGTTCCTCTTCTTGTAGAAGTCTTGTAAAGAGGGCATTTGTACAATTTCTAAGCATTTTAATTTTATGCTGATGCTATTACAGGTTCAAGCCTATTTTATTAGAATTTAAAATATTACCAAATAACAGGCATTTCTTGGAATAACACTAAAGGATCAGATTCTTCTAATTGATTAGTTCCAACATCCCATTTGCATCCTTGTAAATAGAGACCATCAACATTGACACCTAAATATTAAATAATAATAATATACCATCTTAAGGAACATCTTAAATATTGTCCTTGTAGAATGGTCTAACTTAAGTTCTGAATGTCAAAGTATCAATAGGAGTTTTTGTTTTACGAGCATAAGTTTATTTTGTGGCAGTCATAAAACCTTGAGGGAAGAACATAGCTGATAACCAATAAGATCTCATAGTTCCATTTTCAAGCCACTATTTAAAGAATTCCTAAAAATAAATTATTTTCATAAATACCAATCTTTAGTTTAGATCTGTAACCCAGGAACCTAAGGGTTTTAAAGATGGATAGGCTACATTTTCCCAATTTTCAGGAACCTTAGCATCCAAGAATGAATTAAACATTTTTTCTAATTCAATTGACATAACAACTAATCCTTGAATAGCTTTCTACAATAATTCCAATGAATTTTTCATAACTCGAACTAATTTAATAAAACGATCAACTTCCTATGATCTAAAGATAACTAAAGATTCGGTAGCTACTTCTTTCTTCTAAACTAAAAGTGGAGGCAATTTTCCTAATATTTCTTTAGCTATTTTAAACACAATTTAATCAGGTGTCTCTTCTACTCCCTTTTCTGCTACCATTCTTGGTTGTACTGACAATAAAGTACTCATAAATTCAGCCACTGTTTTTTATTAGAAAGTAATATTAGCATTAGTATGTAAACCAAAAACTTCTGGGTCATCTTCTAAAGGTAATGAACTTATATATTAAATAACAGATTGTAAATCTATAATCTAAGGTGGATGATAAACACCACTAGATGAGAATATATAGTTTGGATCATTTAGAACAGCAGGACAGAAATATTATTTAAGTAGATCAGTAATTAATCTAACATCCTTATCATCTGTAACTCTACCACCATAATTGATTTCTGAAATTATATAATTCAATGTTTAATATGGAACTTCTGGTTATTCATCTAAGTACATTTTCAATTGTAATTAACAAGTTTCGAAATCTGAATTCATCCATTCATATGGAATATTCCAACCAATTGGTCCAAACTTTCTCCTTTCTAAAATAACTGCATGGAAGAAAGCTAATGAGAATAACAGTTTCTTATATTCATCTTACTTAGTGCAAGAATCATAACCTGATAAATCATTATATGTTCTCATCATATTTGCCTTTAATCCTTTAGGTGGTTCATTTGTTAATTTGATACCACTCTATAATACTGGAACAGGGAATTTATCTGTAGGCATACTTGTTAACCATAATCTATAATTGGCATCTGTATCTGCTTCTACTTATAATTCTTAAATTCTCTCTAATTCTGGCATCCATGTTATAGCCAAGTGACAATTCTATAAACAAACCCAATCTCCTGTTCTTCTACCTGTTTTAATCAATTCCTTTGCAATATTACCTTATCCTTAACCTAATGAAATAATTTTTAATTTAGTTTCCATTTCCATATCTTTAGCCAAGTTTAATAAATATGTTATAGGATCAGCTCCAGGAGATAATACAAATATTATTGGAGTTGTGCAAGATGAATCTTAAAAGGCACCTTTCAAATTAAAAACAGGGGGTTCAATGAAAAATGATGTTATAGTATCTGACACATAATTTTTGATTAAAATAACCAATTTCTCATCTCTAAGTGTTTTGAATAATAATAATTTTTAAAATGGATCCAATGAACGAAATACAAGAGGTAAATCACATTTCCATGGATCTTAAGCATCCATTACTTCTCTCCATAATGATTCATCATTACTGTCTTTTAATGACATTGGTACTTATGCAAAGACATGAGATTATTTACTTAACATCATGCAATTCTTCCATGTTTTCTCACTTAAGAATGAAGGATGTTCTTCATTTGGTACTGTGCCAGTGCCTCCTCTTAAAAAGATATTCCATTCCCTAACATGTATATATTATGCTTGTAATTAAATTTTACTAGCAATCAAGAAACTAAATAATAACTTATCTTTCTCAAACAATCCTCTACATATATTGATATAAAATGCTTTAGTAATATCATCAATCAACACTGCTAATCTTTCTTCTAATGATGGAGGATTAGGTGCAACTTCTAATCTCTTCTTAAATAATTTAATAAAGAATTCTAAAGAATATTAATACATAGGATCAATCAAAGCAAGATCTGCAATAACAAAGTAAATAACCGATCCTCTTCTAGCAATAATACGATATTGTTCTCTTGCTTAATTGATTTCTTCAGCAGTAATCTTAGACTAAGCCATACGTTAATTGACAGTATCAGATGTAATTTTAGATGCATCCAAAGTTGTAATTAAATCTTCTTCTTCCAATATTCTACCTTATGCTTCAGATATTAATTTCAATATCTTATCCTCCAATTCTTATAATTATCTCTTGTCTTAAGATATTTAAAGTATTAAATTAACTCTTTTTTCTTCCAAATCAATTCTTTCTTATCTTACAACTTCAACCAACAATTGATCTTCTAAACCTTATGGTGTGACAGTAAAGTTAATGATTGTTGTTTTAATACTGATCTCAGGTATATAGTGAGGATTTGGTAATTTTGTAGTAAAATATAATTTGAAATCATTGTTGTATGGTATATCTTAGTCTCCTAGACGTAATAAATGTACAGCTCCTTTTTTGGTAGTTTGTTTTTATAATATAGGTTCTAAAGAAGGGTCAAGATCTTCCTCTACATTTTCCATTAAAACTTATTATCCAAAACGAATGGAGTTTTCAAGAGTTTTGAGAAAATTGCTTTCACTTAATTTAGTAATTTGCAAATTAGTTTCCTTTCCTAATGCTTTAATCCACTTATTAGCTTAACCTTATGGATCTATAATTAATGGCCATCTTCTGCAATTGAAAACAAAGATTCCATTATCAATTGATAAATTATCTGCAGGTAATCCAGCTTCTTACCATTCTCTTATTGTTACTTCTTCTGCTAAAATTCTTTAAAGAGTGAAATTATCACTTACAGGAATACTCAACTCTTTACAATTATTGATCCATTTGGCTATAATTTCAGATCTATAATTATAAGTAAATGGTCCAAGATATGCAATAGATCCAGCAGCCAAAATAATATTACCAACTAGATTTCTTAAATCTTCCTCTAATAATGCAGCATTAACTTTCCATCTTTCAGCTTCACTAGCTAATCCTGAAACTAACTTCTCTGCTCTTACTAATTAAATTTCAGCTGTCTATTATTGTTATTTCAACATTTCAGATTTATTTATAGATGTCTAAAGATTTCTCTTGAGTTCATTAACCATATCTTATACTTCCTTCAATTATCCCATCTTTATTGCCAATTCCTATTCAACCTTTTTTAAGGATGCTTCAGCTTCTTTTAATGCTTTCTCTTTAGGACCAACTACTTTTTTAACTTATGCAAACTTTTCAGTTGCAACAACCCATACTAATAAAGTTGTAGCTGCTTATGACACATTCATAATCTTTTCTTTATTGAAATCTGGGTTACTAAGATAAGTTTATTTCAATTTCTATAATCTTCTTTCTGGAACTTATGTAACATCAAATTCAAGTAAATCTTGGATAAATGTCATACGACCTAGAAGCTTCTAAGCAGATGGCCAGTCTTCTTTTTCTCCAAAGAGTAAATTGACTGCACACATAACAATTTACACTAGATTTGGTGGAGTCTTTAAGGCTTTCATTTCATTTATAGCTGCTTTATCTATACTTTAAACTGCTTTTTAAGCTTATTCCAAGATTGGTAATGCTTAATCTAATTCAGCCTAACAGGAATCTCTCATCTCATTAACTTCATCCTTTTTCTTTTATGCCTCTGCAGCTTCTTTTGAAACAATTTATTCAGTTACATTAGCTTCTTTTGATTTACCTTCTAATTCAACCATCATTTTAGCATTATCTTTTGCACTTTATTCAAGAATAGGTTAAAACTCAATAATTTTCTTTTATAATTTTCCAACTTCCTCATTAGTATCCTTCAAAGTTTATAAACCTACTGTATATTTCTTTATTTTTTAAGGTAATATATTTGATTACACTTTCATCATGTCTATATATAATTTCAACAATTCTAAATAACTTGTAGGTGTAACATAGTTCTTTCTTCTTAATTCATCATAAAATCTTTCACTATATGTTTTCACATCTGAATGTATTATAACAGACATGGAAGCTAAGCTATCGACAAATTCCCCAATACCTAAATGTTCCTAACCTCCCAAATCTTTCATTGCAACACTATTTAGAGCTTCATCTGGCCATTTATCAAACCAATCAATGGTACAACAATTAATAATTGATGGGAATTATCTGCATCTATTTCTCAACTTTTCTCCTACAGGTGAAAATGCTAACACAATGTGTAAATTCTCTCTTACTCGACTTACAAAAAATTTAAGTAGAACATCTCTTGAATCATATAAACCCTTATCCTTTGCCAATTGTCTGACATCATTAATAATTTCTTCAATATCTTCGGCTGCCCATAAATTAGGCACTTCACCTGTATTAAGTACATTATTAATATCTTCTAAAAATGATTCTCTAACAACTTAAGTATCAGAAAACAAGAATACTACTGGCTAATCTTTAGCTCCTGCTTGTTTTAGTAATTTCTTAAGATCATCTTTCCATGATTAATCTCTATAATTCTTTGTAATTTCTATACTAAATACAGATTATGATCTTGTTTAAGCAGATAATTTAGTTAACGATTATCTACCAGAACCACCAACACCAATCAAAAGTGCATTTCCTCTAGGTTATCTAAGAATTCTGCATAATCTACTCAAATGCATGATAGNGCAGCTTTATCTATACTTTAAACTGCTTTTTAAGCTTATTCCAAGATTGGTAATGCTTAATCTAATTCAGCCTAACAGGAATCTCTCATCTCATTAACTTCATCCTTTTTCTTTTATGCCTCTGCAGCTTCTTTTGAAACAATTTATTCAGTTACATTAGCTTCTTTTGATTTACCTTCTAATTCAACCATCATTTTAGCATTATCTTTTGCACTTTATTCAAGAATAGGTTAAAACTCAATAATTTTCTTTTATAATTTTCCAACTTCCTCATTAGTATCCTTCAAAGTTTATAAACCTACTGTATATTTCTTTATTTTTTAAGGTAATATATTTGATTACACTTTCATCATGTCTATATATAATTTCAACAATTCTAAATAACTTGTAGGTGTAACATAGTTCTTTCTTCTTAATTCATCATAAAATCTTTCACTATATGTTTTCACATCTGAATGTATTATAACAGACATGGAAGCTAAGCTATCCATAAACTCCCCAATACCTAAATGTTCCTAACCTCCCAATTCTTTCATTGCAACACTACTTAAAGCTTCATCTGGCCATTTATCAAACCAATCAATTGTACAACAATTAATAATTGATGGGAATTATCTGCATCTATTTCTTAACTTTTCTCCTACAGGTGAAAATGCTAACACGATGTGTAAATTCTCTCTTACTCTACTTACAAAGAATTTAAGTAGAACATCTCTTGAATCATATAAACCCTGTTCCTTTGCCAATGGTCTGACATCATTAATAATTTCTTCAATATCTTCGGTTGCCCATAAATTAGGTACTTCACCTGTATTAAGTACATTATTAATATCTTCTAAAAATGATTCTCTAACAACTTAAGTATCAGAGAACAAGAATACTACAGCCTAATCTTTAGCTCCTGCTTGTTTTAGTAATTTCTTAAGGTCATCTTTCCATGATTAATCTCTATAATTCTTTGTAATTTCTATGCTAAATACAGATTGTGATCTTGTTTAAGCAGATAATTTAGTTAATGATTATCTACCAGAACCACCAACACCAATCAAAAGTGCATTTCCTCTAGGTTATCTAAGAATTCTGCATAATCTACTCAAATGCATGATAGCATCAGTAAAGAATACAAGATTCATTTACTTTTGAGATGCATTGTACATACTTAAGAATTCCAGAAACTTGCGTGGCAATTCTTATGGATTTTCAATTCTAATATAATCTTTATTAGAATTGCCATAATCACCGAAAAGTAGATTCTAGACTTGAGGCTTTTCCCATTCAAATTCAAAGACTCTTTAAGTATGTCCCATTAAATGAGTCAAAAACCAATCTCTGTCTTTATCATCAACCAATCTATCATAAAATACTCTTTGTGATTCATGTGCCCATAATTAAATAAGCATCTCCTTATTTGTTAAATTTTCATATCTGATTTATAATACACCTTAAATAACTTTGCTTAAATCTCTCAAGTTGAAAGTATAATGAGATTTAGTAGGTGTGGGTAACAACTCTTTAGTAATTTTGAAATAGATTTCTACACTTGATTTGACAATATAAGATGCAAATTTATCCAATCCTTTATTTTATTCCATAAGAAATCCCTTAAGGATAGCAGTGAAAATGACTTCCATAGATCGTTAAGAAAGATCTGGACACCAAGTTTGATTGAAATGTCTAAATAATCTAGGAGTTACAGGATTACGTCCACCTCCAGGAGGTGCACAAGCTGTAATGAATTGACAATCTTTGACATACATAAAGTATAATTTCTTAAGATCATAGAATCCACCTTGATCAATGATTTATCTAAATAATTCATTTGGGGGTTAAGCACCATATTTTTCTAATGCAGGCATATTGACATCATCAATAAAGAGGATCATTTTACGACCAGCTGGTGGACCTAAAAGATCTTTCTTTTTTTTCATAAATTTATCTTTATCCATAAATAGATCTTATAAATTCTTGGCACTAGTTTATGCAGAGAAATTAAGTGTAGAGAATACAAACTTATCTTATTCTAAACTATATAAGTATTCATTTATTATAACAGTTTTTCCAGTACCAGTTTCTCCAGATAAAAGAATATTGAATCCTCCCTCAATTAATTGAGTTATCAAATATTTAAATTTAACTGTGTCACTTGTTGGCACTAAGATATTGAAATAAGGAATGCTTGAATTATATTTAAACTCTGTAATCTTTTCAGTCCAAGGCTTGAATTCTTTAGTCTTGTAATCACAATAGTAATCATATACATCTCCCTCGAATGGGAATCCACTGAATAGTGAAATAATCTTTCCTTTCAAATATTAACTAAATTAAGATCTACTAGAATCATGTAGATTGGCTCCAGCACTCCAAATATAACTGAAAATCAACACCATTGCAATATGAGATTCCATATCGAATTTATTCATCTTTTCTAAATTAACTGTTTCAGTCAATTATTTCAAATTAATTTAAGCCAAATTAAGTAGTGATTTTAAGATATTGTTGACAGTAGTTGGAATTTTCTCTTTGAATTCTTCTCTAACAACTTTCAAATTATCTTTAAAGAAATGCTCTATCTTATCAATCAGAGTATCCACATAAGTTGGAACCTTCTCATCTTTCATATATTATTCTCTTATTTACACTCCCCAAGTCTTGATTAATGGTTCCCATCCTAAATGATGTGGTTCCATATAAACCATACCACATCTACTAACTGTAGCTGGAGATGCAACTGCTAAATCTTATACCTCAAACATCATTGTGAATGTTGCAGGTAATTTAATTCTTTGACCATTGTTTAAACATAACATTTTATTATCATCCAACACTGTATTCATATTTTCAATCCAAAGTGCATCAACAGGACCATCAAAAATAATCCATTTCTTTTGATCTGTTGTATCTGTAACAGCAGTTCTTACAATACTAGCAACAATACCATCTGTCCATTCATTTGTTAATACATTAGTATATCCAAATAATTCATTCATTGTAACTGATTTTGGATTTAATGTTTACTTTTACACAACTTTATGATAATAATCTTAAGATCCTTCTTTATTTAATTATTCCATTGCTCTTGCAAGAGTATGTATTAATGTAGTCTTACCAGTTCCTGTTAGACCAACAACCATAACTCCGTGTCTGACTTATATGGTTTCCATTAATTAACAGATTTTCTTTTTAAATGCTGCTGGATCATCAAAGTGATTCAATTTAAGTTAATTTGTAATAGCATCAACTAATTATTTATCAATATCTTCTTTCATATCAACTTCTGGGAATAAATCCTTTATAATTCCATAAAATAATGGGAGATCATGTTCAAGAAACTTTGGAACATTACTATCCTTCATTGCTTTTATAAGCACTTCATTTTCAGGTTTATTAGCATTCTTTCTACGTAATGCACCTGCCATAACCAATACTGATTTGACTGCTCTCATACCAAAATCATAATGATCTTGTTTACTTAACTGTTCAGAAGATAATGAATATAAATTAACCATTTTACGAGCTAATATTCTACCACCTTCAAATCCTTCTGAAAATAGAATAATTTCTGCAATCATACCATAATCAGGAATCATCATAGCCACTGGTCTGAATAAAGCTTTAAGATTATCTGGTAATTCAGTTCTTCCTGCATATCCTGGATTCATAGTAATAAATACTCCAAATCTCCTATTCAAAGGAATTGTACGTGATTCAAAATCAAATTAATCTAATTTCTACCTTATAGCTTATTAAATAGTTAGAATTTATTAGGCTATGACTGACAAGACTTCAATGTCTATACGATTAAATTCATCAAAACAAGCCCAAGCACCACATTATGCTAATCCTGAAAAGAATCTACCCATAGTCTTGAAATCCAAACCATCAGAACAATTAAAGACCACACATTGTACAGCTAAAGCTTTAGCCAAATCTTTAGTTGTTTCAGTTTTACCAGTACCAGCAGGTCCTGCAGGAGCTCCTCCAAAATTTAAATGCAATGCTCCTGTCAATGTCATATAACATTTATCAGTAAGTGGAGTAATGACTAATCTTGGTCCATTACCTAAATATTCAAAACCATATATGAATCTTGTATTGGTTTGTCTAACTACACAATTATCTACATCTGTTTCCCAATAATATCTTAATTATTTGGCCCATTCAAAATCATTTAAAGATGCAACATTCTTTTCAACCATAGTTCCAACAACATCTCTAGCATGTACATCCAACACAATCAAAGCACCCATCAATGTTCTTTATAAAGTATTCAAATCTCCTCTCACAATTGAAACTTCTTTATTTAATAACTAAATCATAAAATCATAATATTATGACAATGATGTTTTTCTTCCCATTCCCATTCTCTCAATAGCTGTAGTGCATCCTTCTGTCCATTTTATCAAATCTACAGTCAAAACTGGTTAGGCTGGATATTCAAATAACCATTCATCTCTCTCTAATTCTTTTTATGGATATGACAAATATGACTTCTTAGTAATATCATATAATGATTTAATCATCATATTTTAAATTCTCAATAACCAATGTTCTACTGGACCTTGAGCCATAACTATAGTTGAAAATGGAACTAATTCAGGCATAGTTTCTGGTTCTGCTGATTACATGGCTATAATTTCAGTTGAATCTTCTATATCAGAGAATTTTATTCTGTTTATGTTATCAAAACACTTTCTTAAATGAGCTTAGACTGCATGAGGATTACGAGTTTAAGATAAAATTTCTAATAATTCATCATTTGACAAAAAGTAAAATCTTGGAAATGCTTATCTTTTTGTTTCTAAATAATTATCTAAACTTTTTTAAATATCTTCCAAAATTTTATTATTAATTTAAAATTTCTTTAATAATTCTTCAGAATTACAACAATCTTAAACTAAAGGTCTTTTAAATGTTTTCATCATAATGTCTCTCCAAAATTTATCAACTCCCATAAATTTAGTTGTTTCTTAAGGTAATTATTTTTAAATATCATCTGCACTGAAAATATTTTCTAAATACATCCATTACCTTTGACATGATAACCATTCATCAATAATATCTGAAATAAGAACCAACTTTCTTTCCCATTCTTCAACAACTGGTCTAATTTCAGCAACAAAACGAGTTCCTAACATTGTTTAAACTTTTAATTAATGATCATCTAATGCTGCAATAATATCATCTAAAGAACCAATAATAAATTTATCTTTAGCTTCTCTATAATGATTAACTATGAATGATAATTATGACCATTTTGATTTAATATCTTCAATTTATGCTTCAATACTAGCTTCACCTGATGCTTTAGCTGATATTTCTTCAATCTTTTCTCTCTTATTCATAACACCATCTGCTAACAATTCTTAGAGTGTAAATGTTTTTCCTGGTTACCAATTAGATCCTAAATCTTCAAATATTTTCTTCCAATGTCTTGGTCTTAAATCTTTATTTCCTAATGCTTATATAACAGGCATAATTGTAGAAACATTACTGACTCTAGCAGCATGTTAATCTAATACTTTATCTCTTCCTTCTTTTGATAGATTATTAATATTTTATCTTAATTTTAGAATTCCAATTTCATAACTTTTCATTTCTTTTTCAATTTCTTCAACATTCAAAGTTGTAAATATGTTCTTTTATAAATCTTCATATAATTTATTGAATTTATCTGTATGTGTCCAAAGCATCCTTCTATCATTATAGGTAGCTTCTAATTCTTATAAATCTTTATTTGTTGAAACACTTAATCCCATCAATTTGGCATAGTGTAAATAGTTCTTATCCATTTCTTTGAATCTATCTAAAGATCTAGTCTTAATTTCATTTAATTGTTATAGTGCATCTGCAGGTTAAGTATCTTCTAATATTAGTTTACCTTTATTAACTGATGAAGTTGTATTTTGAATATTAGTAATGAATTTACCAAATTCAGCTTCATGCTTTTTCATCATTTCTTATTTTCTTTCTTTACATAATTCTTCAGCTTCTTTAATTTTCAAAGTTAATCTTAAATATTCTGCCTAAATATCATCCATCATAACAATATCTGAGTTTTTTAAAGGATTCAAATCAAATTTAGATTTTAATAAAGAATGCATAGCTTCAACTTCTATTTTTGCTGATTCAAGTCCTTTAATATTTTATTCAGCTTCTTAGATAGCTTCTATAAATTCAGCATATTCTTTAAGATTTTAAGGATTCTTAGATAAATTAGATGTATATGTCTATAATGTAGTTAATGTTTGATTAGCTTTCTTTTACATTAATTTATATAAGTAGTCTTTAAAATTTTCTAATTTTGTAATAACTTATGGTTAAAGTTTATTTTTTATTTTTTTACCATCTACATTTAGAATACCTTTAGCAATATCTTTAATATATTGATTTATGTCTGATAACCATTTTTTAAGTTCCATAACATGAGATTTAATGATATCTAAAGTGTGTTCTTCTTTTTCAAATTCTCCCTAATTCCAAGTATTTAAAAATTCATAAATAGGTTTACATTTCATATAATTTTGATTCACATAAATTTCAGCAGCTAGAAAATCACTAGTAACTTTTTCAAATATTTCATTTTTTATATTTTAATATTCAATGCTATCTGTTATAATACCTTATACATCAGCAATACAATCCTTATTTTCCTTTTATTCAGATAATAATTCTCCTAATTTAGTATTCTTTATGTATCCAATCATACTTTAATGAGAAATTACTCTTGCAGTATTTCTCATAACAACAATCATATCATCTAATAAACATTTCAAATGTTCTGAGATTTCTTTTTCATCTGGTGTAAATATTTAAACATCAAAATTTACTGCTGTATTGAATAATCCATTTTTACGTTCTTTTTTCATTTCCTCTAATAACATACTCATAGATGTTTAATTAATAGAAACAAGTGTTTCAACTGTCATATAATCAACCAATTTAATGAATAAATGTAATCTACCTTTGTCTTTTTCTGCCAATTATAAGAGTAAGGCATTTTCTTCCTTTTCTTTTCTTTCTTCATTCATAGGTTTCTATTTAACTTATTATCCAAATCTGGCTTCTTCATTTTCTTATTAATTGTTTTAATTTGTTCTATCAATAACTTCTTTACAAACAGTATCTAATTTTTATAATACTTTATCAATCACAGAATCATAATGCTTAGATGCATCAGATCTGGCTTTCTTTTAATCACCTTTAAAGAAATCATCTGCTTCCCAAGTTTTATTAGCTTATTGTATACTATTACTTAAAGTTTTTTGAAGTTGTAATTCATACATCATTTGATTGATATCCATCAAATGTTAAGCAAAAGCTGGTTTGGCTACAAAAGATTCATGAATCAACTTTTTTCTGGTCTTACTAAATAGATTGTACCTAACATTGGATTTCCAAATATTAAAGATTTTGGCTAGAATTATTATATATAATTATTACTTATGGCATAATTTTTGAAAAATTAAATATTGGTGATAATATTGAACATAGTACTTTCATGCATCCAATCAGAAAGTGAAATNCTGATAACCATTTTTTAAGTTCCATAACATGAGATTTAATGATATCAAGTGTATGTTCTTCTTTTTCAAATTCTGCTTAATTCCAAGTATTTAAGAATTCATAAATAGGTTTACATTTCATATAATTTTGATTCACATAAATTTCAGCAGCTAGAAAATCACTAGTAACTTTTTCAAATATTTCATTTTTTATATTTTAATATTCAATGCTATCTGTTATAATACCTTATACATCAGCAATACAATCCTTATTTTCCTTTTATTCAGATAATAATTCTCCTAATTTAGTATTCTTTATGTATCCAATCATACTTTAATGAGAAATTACTCTTGCAGTATTTCTCATAACAACAATCATATCATCTAATAAACATTTCAAATGTTCTGAGATTTCTTTTTCATCTGGTGTAAATATTTAAACATCAAAATTTACTGCTGTATTGAATAATCCATTTTTACGTTCTTTTTTCATTTCCTCTAATAACATACTCATAGATGTTTAATTAATAGAAACAAGTGTTTCAACTGTCATATAATCAACCAATTTAATGAATAAATGTAATCTACCTTTGTCTTTTTCTGCCAATTATAAGAGTAAGGCATTTTCTTCCTTTTCTTTTCTTTCTTCATTCATAGGTTTCTATTTAACTTATTATCCAAATCTGGCTTCTTCATTTTCTTATTAATTGTTTTAATTTGTTCTATCAATAACTTCTTTACAAACAGTATCTAATTTTTATAATACTTTATCAATCACAGAATCATAATGCTTAGATGCATCAGATCTGGCTTTCTTTTAATCACCTTTAAAGAAATCATCTGCTTCCCAAGTTTTATTAGCTTATTGTATACTATTACTTAAAGTTTTTTGAAGTTGTAATTCATACATCATTTGATTGATATCCATCAAATGTTAAGCAAAAGCTGGTTTGGCTACAAAAGATTCATGAATCAACTTTTTTCTGGTCTTACTAAATAGATTGTACCTAACATTGGATTTCCAAATATTAAAGATTTTGGCTAGAATTATTATATATAATTATTACTTATCGCGTAATTTTTGAAAAATTAAATATTGGTGATAATATTGAACATTGTACTTTCATGCATCCAATCAGAAAGTGAAATAACTTCAGTGCTATGGTCACCTTAGATTTTCTTTTTTCCCTTATCAGTATAAACATGAACAATTCCATGGGCAGATATAGTATAGTATTCTCTTAATGTTTATTCCTTTTGATTTTCCCTTGTTTTGACAACAATCAGATCATAAGGTCTGAAAGGTTCTTTACTTTTATTAAATTCCATAGGCAACTCAAGTTCAGCATCCTCAGTATTATTTTGACGTCTTAATTTGTCTTTTTTATTGTAGGCTTCACATTAAAGTTCAATATATCCGGCTTTGCTTACACAATTAATAAATTTAATTGGAGTAGTGTTTCCATACTTAGCAAAAAACTTAATGGCATCCTCCCCAGTTTAAATTAATTTTTAATATTAATGAAAGACAGTAGCGTCTATGTAATTGGCTTTTTGTATTTTAGACACTTGCACCTTCTCTTTAAATAATCCCTTCACCATAGCTGTATATGTAACATTGTCTGGTTAAGCCTAATTGTTATTATTCAATCAATACTTGCTCTTCCTCTTCAATTGGTTCTTCTTGTGATTGTTCAATGGGTCCAGCTTACTAAATAGGCTATTCTTCATTCTTAGCTAGACTATATTCTTATAATTCTCTCTATTTTTATTGAAAAACTTCTATACCTCTGGATCAAAGCGATATAACTGTTTGTACACCTCTTCATTATTTGAAAGTGAATCTATGTATAAATAAGCTTGATACTTGTAGCAAATTGATTCTTCTTCTTTCCAATGACCAGGCGTTTCTCCTCTCTCCTTCGCACTAGATCCTTATAATCAATTTGATCTTATCTGAAATTCATAAAATAATTAATTAAAAAATCAAGTCATTCATTCAATATTTCAAAATGCACTTAGTAAATTCTCTCTGTAATTTTTTGGAATAAACCTTGAAGACTTTATTAAAGATTTCGCATCTAATTTTCTTCCTTGAATTAACAAATCTGCCAATTATTCAACTTCACCTACATACCCTACATATTAATCCTATTTCATTAGCTTAAAGAATATCTACAAATGAGACACATTTTTCCTAAACTTAACCAGACGATCTTAGTCATGCGACGAAAGCAGACCTTACAAATAATCGTCATTCAAATATATTGCAGCTGTCTACATATTTTTCCAAATTGTATAAGTCTCATTTAATTAAAGTAATTCTTCATTATCTTGAAGTAACTCAAATTAATTATCCAACTCAATTTCAATATCTGGTTATTATACACTGATATCTTGATTTAAATTGTGGAAGTATTAAATATATTATGAAACATTCTATTCTTCATTTTATTCTTCACTATATTCCCATTTTACTAGTTTCTCAATTCTTAATTTTAGAGAAGAATCCAAAGTATAATGGTTTATCTTAGGAACATCAAACTTTATTCTTAATGCCATTAATTCTGATTCAGCCCACAGTTTTAATCTTATAAATTAATGAGGCATTTTATTCTAACCAAAATATGATGTTATCTATCGAATGATATCAATACATTTCTATTCCAATTATTTTAATTCACTCTGATTTAATTATTAGATTTCTTCAGATTTCACTTATTTCATTTATTACCATATTTCAGATCTTTATGATTAAATTTTAGACAATTAAAATTCCTTCTCTTGTATTCCTTATAATAAATGATAAAGTTCAATAACATTCTTATTCTCCTCTTTTAGTTATGTTATTTCAAATTATAGAATAGTCTTTTACTCTTCACATACTTGACTTATGATTGCAGCTTTATTGATACGTTTCTAAATTAATTATTCAAGTTTTGTATTTTCCTCTTATAATTTCAAATATTCATCATAAATTTCTTAGTTTTAAGATCTATAATTATTATGTGGAAGTCTAATCTTTTATAATATAATTCTTGCTTAATTAATGCTAAGTTACATTTTAGTAACCATAGCTGGAATCTCATTAAATAGCTCAATGATCTTTTTAACTTCTATCTCTAAAGATCTATGTGCTTTATTTAAGTCTATTAAATTTTAATTAGTTTTATCTGTCAAAGATTTGATAATCAATCTTAAATGTTTAACTAAATATCTTAATTCTATCCCAAAATTATCTAGATCTTTGATGAAATTTGGAATAGAATTAAAAAATTTTAATTCTTCAATTTCTTCATTCATTATATCATCAATTAAATAATTCATACATGCTTCTACTCCAGCAACATCATGAAATATATATATTAGTATTTATTCTTCAAATAAATCATAAGAATGATCCAATTCTGCCCTTAATTAATTAAGTTAATTTGTAAATGATGTCTCTTATAACACACTATCTTCAACATGTTCAGTCAACATTAATACTTCAAAGCTTTCTTTACGTATTTAATATAATTTTTATCTTAATTTCTCAAAATCTATTTCTTATTGAACCCATTCATGTTTCTTTAGTTATTCAAGACTTTAACTAGCCAAATCTCCAACTTAATTATCTAAATGATATTTTAAATCCATCGATAATTCATTCAAACGTTGCACTATTTAATATTTTTCAATTAACATTTTGACTAGAGCTTTTGCATTATAATATTTATGCTAAATTTTAGTTGTTATGAATTTAAAATATCTATAAAAATTCATATATCTAGTTGTATCATCCTCATCAGTTTTAACTATACTCTTCATTTTATTCAAATCCCAATTGATATAATCCATAAAGTATGGAATTAAAATGGGAGGTTCAACAAATAATTATGGATACTAAGTAATTTCTGGTTATTATGGCATTTAAACAGGTTATAATGGATCATAAGTTTCTTAATGATGCTATTAAATTGATTTATCTAAAGATTAATCAAGTAAATCGATTTCTGCTTAAGAGTATTCAGCAGGTTCATTAAAATATTGAATTGATTGATTTATTGCATCTCTTGGAATGAATTTGGTCTTAACTGGTTCAAACAACTAAATTCAGAACATTTCAATACCTTTACTAATGGAGTCATATTGTAAGGTATTATCATTTTACTCTTAGATTCAGGTAATACAGTAGATTTTTAAATGAATGGTTGTTCAGTGGATATGTAAGATTAATTACTACTTGGAAGAACCATAATATAAGAAGATGCATTTTATTTTGGTAACATAATAATTATTATACATTAATAATTAAATGTCTGAGAAAAAAAAGCTATCATTAATCTTGACTCTCTTTCTGAAAATACGTAAATCCTTCAAATATCTTAAGATTTTCTTTATTTGATTGAGTCTTTGGTATTTTTTCTTTAAAAATTCTAAAATCTAAATTATTTGGTTTTATTAAAGTGATGGGTGCCTGAATTTATAAATCCTACATCTTTTTTAATTCTAAATCTTTAAAAAATGCATGATCTAAAATTTGCTAAGCTCCCTTTCTTCCTAATCTTTTTTTTGGCTTATTTCATCATAAATATCATACATCAATTTCAAGAAGTTTCGTTAGCAAATCTCTTGCATCTTTCGAGCATAATTCTAAAAAAGGCACTAATCTGACACTTCTATTCTGCATCATTTATTTTTTATCTCTACTGTAAAAAGGAGGTTTCCCAAAATACATCTCATAAATTAAACATCCTAGACTATAAAAATCACAAGTAAAAGTATATCCTTCATTATCTAATACTTCTGGTGCCAAATAATCTATTGTTCCACAACAAGTTTTAGCTTTTTAATTATAATCTTCAAGAATTTTAGAAAGACCAAAATCAGATAATTTGATGTGTCCAGATTCACTTACAAGTATATTCTCTGGTTTAAGATCTCTATATATTACATTCAAAGAATGTAAGTGTTGTAAGCCAAATATTATTTCTGCAGAATAAAATTTAATAAAGTGATCAGGAACACTTGGTTAAGATTTAATATGATAATAAAAATCTCCTCCTGCCATATAATCAACTATAAAATAGAGACGAGTATTATTTTAGAATGCATACCTGAGTCTATAAATATAAATAAGAAAATTACTTCACAACAAAATTTGAATCTGCTTTCTCTAATATTTTTCTTTCATCTAATACATGCCTAATTTATGATTCCTTCCTTATATTTTTTTTTTCCAATATCTTCATTGCATATAACTTTTGTCTTTCATTTTTATAGTATTCAACAAGTATAACTCTTCCATATGCTCCTTAACCTAGCATTTTTAATTTCTTAAAATCGGATAATTTGGCCAATTACTTTGTTTCTCTACCTTAAATAGAGATAGCTGTTGCTAAGGAATCATCTTCATCAAATTTTAATTTAACTACATCATTTTAAACTATTTCTTCTTGAAAACAAAAATTCCCCATAATTTTGAAAATATTAAATGTAATATGAGATTCGTTCTAATGTTGAACTTTACAAAAATAATTTTTATTTGATTTAGTACTGATTTTTATTGATAGGAGAGCATATTTGTTATGATGATCTAATTCTTATAGGAATATTACAATATCATTAAAATATGATGTTAATTATCAAAGTAAATAAAAATTAGTAATCCCTCTTTCTCTCAATTATTTTAGAACTCAAATAAATTTAATCAATTTTATAAACAAATAGTATTTTTAAGATATGAATGAGGATGGTTTTAAATAAAAGAATAATGGGCTTACTTATAGATTTGAATAATTCATATTAATCTCTTATTTTAATATATATTAAATTTACATCAATATTTACGCTCTGTTCTTAAAAGCAACTTATCTAAAGTGGCATCACTATATTAAAAATAACATTCATCAGCTGATTTTTTATCCTTAAAAAAAGCTTTTAGAATAACCTGCATATATTATATATTTATACTCTAGTTTCAGACTCATTTTCTTGAATATTATTTGCAACAATATGAAGTTTTACTAATTCACCACATCTTGTCTTTATATCGCTCTAAAATTAAATAATCTATTACAATGAGATCTGAGATCTAATTCTTAGCTAAAAAATTGTAGATATCAATTTCATAGAGTTCAGGAGGATTTCCACTATTCTATTATTATTATTATTTCCATTCTTTTTATCTAGGTAAATCTCTTTCTCTATCCCTACCTCTGAATTAAAATGAATTATTCTATCTCTTGAATCTTCTAATTGGTTTTCGAGTTTTTCCTTTTTAATTTTACTACTGTCTCTATTATCTATTCTTAGATGTAGTCTATTCCAAATTTATTTCCTCTATTTCTGACATAAAATATAAATTATATAAATTTTAATGATTTTTATTATTCATAAAGAAGTACTTAAATTTAAAATGAAAATGAAAATATATAAATAAAACAAAGAATAATTATAAGTACTTCCTTTAATCAAAATATTAATAAAAATAATCATATATTTCATAATTTAATTAACCATTCTTGATATCAATATACTTATAAAAGCTATCTATTTATCCAATTATATATATTATTAACTAATTTTTTATCAATATTTGTTAAAATATGTTATTACATTTATTAAAACTTATTGAAAATTGAAAGGATTCTAAAAATCAACAAAATAAAAAGTATCATTCGAAAATCTAATAATTAAAATTAATTAGTTAATAGGATAAACTTTTGCAGGCCTAATTAGACAAATTATAATTTATAAATTATAAATAAAGCAAATTAAATTATAATAATTATCAATTTAAATGCCTAAGTTGTGTGAAAAAATTAATCAATTCTTAAGATAACATGTTGTGGAGAAATATCTCCTTTTAACATCTCTTATTTGGAATACTAAAATCACTCCTATGTAAAATTAGAGCCATATTATAGAAAATTCAACAATTTATGTTAAGGCTCACTAGTATTCAATTTTATTATGTTAGACATTATTTAAGGGAAATGACCAGATAATAAATAATTAATAGATAAAATCAATTAATTATATAAGCCCATTAAGGAGGACTCAAAGATTTTAGTAAATTTTATAATAATTATTTTAGTATAAAACAAAAATTAATAACAGTTTTCAGTTATCCAAACATTTTAAAGAAAAATAAGTGAATTAAATAGTACTGCTTAAATACATACATTGTAACTGATAAATCAAAAAGAATTAGAAACGACTTACTTCAGCTTAGAAGACATTGAAACAACATACAGTTCCTACCCAGAAGAATAGAATTACAGTTTCATAGATGAGAGTCTAATCTAAACATAGTGAATTATTAACATTAAATAATGATAAAATATAATGTTATTCTTAATTTTATATTATTTAAAAACTGAACAAAATATATTTACTTTTCAAAAATTGAAGCAGTTTATTTAGTATAAATAGGATTAATGCTATTTCTTGCTTTTAATTTTTTTCATAATTAAAGAGTTATTTTGAATTTGCAGAATATTCTTTTTTAACTTGACTTATAAAATACTTATTTTTCTAATAGGTAGAATTCTAGATGAACTACTAATAAGGGATGTTGAGCTTTAAGATAATCTTGTTATTGTTTTTGATATCTAATGTTAATTTTCATAATAGAGCTATTTTATATTAGTTATTTTATTAAAATATTTTCTTTTTAAATTTAATCAAATTTTTTGAATTTTAAATAATTTTTTCAATTTGATTAAGCCATTTTTAGTTTTCTTTCTAATGTCCCAACAGCTTTAATTTCTACATAATATTTTTATAGCTCTTTATTCATCAAATATAAATAAAATATAGATCAATTTTAATAAGGATATTTAGTTCATAAATTTAATTAAATGGGTGAAATTGTGGCAAATCAACTTTTTGTTGCTGGTTATAGTCGTAGTAAAGTAAATGATGACAAAGATGTAAAGGAAATCTTCAAAAAGTACGGAACAATCAAGGATGTAGCATATAAGGGAGCTTACTCATTTGTAGTAAGAAAATATTTGAAAATTAAGACATTTAGTAATGAGCAAGAAGCACAAGAAGCGTTAAAGGCAACAAATGGGGAAACCTTCAATGGATAGAAATTGAAAGTTGACCTAGTAGATAATAGGAAGGGAAGAAAAAATGGTCCTAATGAGCAGGATAAATGTTTTAAATGCAATAAAGGAGGGCATTGGTATATAAATTTGGTATATTCTTAAGGGCTCGTAATTGTCCTAATAAAACATCACCAAGACGTAGCAGAAAAAGATCAAATTCAAGATCAAAGTATTTTAAGTTATTTAAATTAGGAGGCGTCATAGAAGATCTCGTTCTAGATCATACTCTTCAAATTCATCATCTAGTAGAAGAAGATATCAAAATAGAAGAAATAAACATAGCAGAAGTCCAAGAAGAGATATGAGATAAAAAAAGAGAAGTATTAGTCCTAGAAGATCACACTCTGATTCAGGCTCATCCAAAAGACAGATTTCAAAATCTTGATAAAAAGTGGGAAAAAAAATTTTTATTACAAAAAGAATATAAAATTAATTGAATATATATTTATTCAATTCTTTCTCATAAAATTAAAAAATTATGAAAAAAAGAACTCTTTAGGAACTATATGAAGAATAAGAATAAATTAATTCATCTTATATGGATGTTAATTCTCTTTAAAAATAATTATACTTAGAAAACTAAAAGAGACTATAGAAAGAAAATGAAGAGAAAGAAGAGTAATTAAAAAATGATGGAGATGAAGTAAAATAAGTAGATGAAAAAATTAATCTGTGTTTTCCAGTTGGTAAATTTTGTTTAAATCATTTATCTTAATATCCTAAAGAAGAAAAGCAACCACATATACTATCTTTCATAAATATAATACAAGAGAATGCTTTTTAAGATAGTAAGTGAATGATTAATAAAATTTAGTATAAAAAGAAAAGCCTAAAATTACATTAGAAGCAGCTTTGATGACTTGCTATGGTTTTGAAGATCATTTGCTTAAACCTTTAGTTTTATCAGGAGTCAAATTATTTATTATAAATGATAATGATAATAATGATAAGAAACTTGAAATTATTGAAGAATTTAATGGCCATCAAAATTGGACAGTGATTAAACCATCAAAATTAAGTTCTATAACATTTGGAGGATCATTTCATCCTAAAATTTGGATATTGAAATTTCCTAAGTTTATTAGAATTGTTATTGGAAGTTAAAATTTGCATGTTGGAGATTGGACAGTTTGGTCATAAGCAATGTGGATATAAGATTTTTAAATTGGAAATAGTGAATTAGATGAAATATCAAAAGATTTTAAAGTAGGTTTAAAAGAATTTTTAGATAATATTCTTCCAAATTCACATAAGTTTGAAGATCTACTTAAAATTAAATATAATGATTATGATTTTCAAAACATTAATATTAGGTTGATAACATCAATTCCTGGAAGATTTACAGGAAATCAAATGAATAAATATGGGATGATGAGAATATAATCTGTTATTAATTCAGAACTTAAAAGTAATAATATAGATATTCCTAAATAAGTAAGTATTACATACTAAACTACAAGTATTGGACAATTAGATATTAATTATATAGATTTTGTTTAACAATGTTGTTCTGGATAATAAATTAAAGTAACTTAAAAATTATAATAAAATAATAAATCTATTGCTTAAATGCTATTTAATTAATAAGAAGAGGAGAAATCTATCTTAAAATTAATATATCCTACTTCTGATTATATATAGAATTAAACTTCTGCAGGACCAGAATATGCAAATCCTTTATTTCTAAGAAAATAATAATATGAAAATCCAAAATTTCCAAAAAATATTTTCTACAGATATTAAGGTTCTAATTATTATTATTGGCATGCTGGAAATATCCCACATTTAAAGGTTATGATAATAACTGGTTTAGATGAGAAAATAGATGATAAAGCATCAATTTATATTGGAAGTCATAATTTAAGTTAAGCTGCTTGGGGAAGATTAGAGAAGAATGCTACTTAATTGTTTATATCAAATACAGAATTAGGTGTTTTATATCCCCCAAAAAAGGATTCAGCTAAATTAAAATAATCAATTATTGAATAAATGTCTTTTAAATTCCCTCCAGATAAATATGAAAAAACAGATTAACCTTGGATAAGCGAAGTTTACTATGAATAATAAATATGAAATTCATTTCAGGTTTAAAATGAATCACTTATTAAAATAAATTAGATAATTATGTTTTTATATATAAAATTTTTAATATAAAATGATACTTTATAAGAATTTAATTGAATGATCATTCTTATAATATGTTTCGACTACTTCTGGTAATTAGAGTTTTTAGCATAGGAAATTTTGAAGTAAATTACATTTAAAGTTTTAAGGTTGTTAAATAATAATAGGGTTTTAAAATTCCATAAAATTATCCATTTGATGCACATATATTTTATTTTGAACTATAAAGAACTAAAAGTCTTATAAATGATTTATATATTAAATTAATATAATTATTGTATATTTAGATGAAATTAAATACTTTATTGATTGAAGAAACTTTTAACAATCCAATCGTAGTTTAAGACATAGTGCTTAAAAATCATAGTTTTTTATCTAAGGACAAGGATAAAATAAAGAAAATAATATAATATAAGCTTAGTTTTTAAAGGATTTTGTGAAAAAATGAAAATTTTAAAGAATAATTCAATTCTTTTATTTTATTCTATTAAATTTGATATTGTTCTTAATTTATATTTTTTAATTTTCGAATTCTTATTATACTTAACAAAGGTTTTTGTAATTAACTATTTTTATAAATTAATTAAAACTACAACCATATATATTTTTTTGTTGCTTTAAATTTATTGTAATTTAATTTAAAGGTGAAAAATGTAGGGTTTATTTATTTAATGTAAATATTCAATTTACAATAAGTTATTTTATCTTCTATCAATTTTAGATTTAATATTAGATTTAATATTAGATAATATGAAATTTATTGAAAAATTGAAATTTAATTGCAATTAAAAAAAAAGGATAAATAAAAAAAAAACTCCGAAAAGGCGGATTTGAACCACCGACCTGGGGATAACTGGATTAACACTACAGTCCCTCGCTCTACCAACTGAGCTATTTTCGGATGTTAGAAAATTGGATGTTATTCTACATATGTATACCTAGACAAAATATTGAAAGCATAGGAAACTTTAATATTTTTTGAATAAAATAGTTTTAAGATAATAGTTCAATCCTTTATCTTTTATATAAGATTATTGAATCAATCAATTAAGTAAACTAATTTTTATATACTTTATAAATTATTAAAATTTAAGATATAATTATTTGAAGCTTGTTTAATATATTTTTATCAATATTTTTTATATATTTGAAGTATTTTTTTTTCTAATTCTCCATCATCTTTCATTAATTATTCAAATTTCTCTTTATCATATTTCCAAATTTCTTTTTATTTTTAAATGTCTTTGATTTTTTCTTCTTTAAGTTCTTTTTCTAATTTAGATAATATCTAAGAATAAAAAATTCAAATACTGATTTTTGAGATATACCTTCATATAATCGATCTTTTCTTTGTTTTTATATTTTATCTTTCAAAAATATTATTTAATCATCAAAAGAACTTTCATATTAATCTAAAATATTCCTTGCCAGAATATTTTATTGTCTTCTAGCTTATTTTTGATCATTTTTTTCATCTATTACTTATCTTTTCTCCAACTCAAAAACTATTCGGTGACTAACAAAACAATAGCATATACATTTTTTTTAGATAATTCAATTTTTCATCTCTTAATTTAAGTTACATAACCAAATGAACATTTTCAAATTAATTTCTTAATGAATCTTTCTATTTTATTTTAGTACTGATTCTCGGATGATTATTCTATTACTATTAATTTTAAATTGATTTATTATGTTGAAGATTTTATAATTATACTTATTAGAAATTCTTATATTCATTTTTTTGTTCGTTGATATTCTCTATATCTTCAGTAATAGGTTTGGGTTTTAATTTCTTTAGACATTATTTAATATTTTGAATTTAAATATCTAATTAATTATCAATAACAGGGCAATTTTGATTTTTTTCTTCTTGTAATATTTTTTCTTATAATATTTTTAGTACGTCTTCTTTTTTTTTTTCTATTATATATTTTTTTTTAATTGGATCATTTTCATCCAACTATTCTATGTCTTTTTCATCATATTATTATAAAAATTTATAATCTATTTCACTTATATTTAGAGTATCAAAATCAAAAGTATGTTATTAATCATATGAAGACTGTGTATTTTCTGAGTATTTTTCTTTTGTAAATACTCTTGGTTTTTTTTGTTGAGACTTTGATCTATTAGATGAAGTTTTTTAAAATGAATGAGATCTAATAGGTCTTTTTTATTGATTAATTTCTTGTTCATATTTAACTTATGATGATTTTCTATCTTCTTTTTTTTAAGAATATTTATCAAGAGATTTATTATTTCGTTATTTTGAATTAATAACTTAATATTAGATCTATTATTTGTTCGGTTTTTGTAAAAGGTCATTTTCTTCTTCATGGTATATTTATTATTCATCTTGAGAATTATCAAAATACTCAACATATCTAATCTAATTTTTATGAATTTTACTCTGAAGGTTAAGAATTTGAATCATTTGCTAAATAATCTTGTTAACTATTAATGTTGGGATTCAATACTTTATCCTTATAAAGCTTGGATAACTCTTACAAAATTTATAAAAAATTTGATATATGCTTTAAATCTCCTTATACTATTTTAGGGCCACTTATATGTGATAAATTAGTATTCAAAACTTAATTTGACTAAGAGTATTCTATTTATATTATTACTAAAAATTCAATTAGTGCATTTATCTTTTCTCCTGCTTAAATTCTTTAATTTTTAATATTCTCTATTTCATCTTCTAAGAATGGAAAAAGAATTTAAAAAATAATACAATAATTTTCCTCGTTTTTAATCTCTTATCTAATATTATGAACCTACTTATAATTTACATATTAATTTCACTTTTGGGTTCTAATTTTAAGTTCTAAACAATTTATTTGTATATTTCAATGATTTATTAAACCTTAGGATTCATTTATTGTATGTTTTTGAATATCAATTAGATTTAATAATAATAATTAATAAGAATAAAGAGCTAGATGTAATGATATTAATGTATCTTTTCATTCTTTAATTAAATGATCTCAAATGATTGGAATTACTAAAAATAATAACAATACTTATACTATTATAGCATATTATCTAAGTAATTATTTTTATATGGAATATAAAGAATTTGTAATAACAATAACTTTAGAATTAGTAAAATTAGACCTTAACAAAAATTTGTAATATAATAAACCTTAAAAATATTATTTCAAATAAATAATTAATCAATTAAGTCTTTCATTTCAATAATCTATGTTTTCAATTAAGAGCCTTCACTTTATGCAATTGTGGCTGCAACAACAGGTCTACTGATACCACAAGCTCTACCTAAACTTGCTTAAGTTGACACAAAACAATATGAAACATTCTATTTTATTTCCATTTAATTACTTTCTCTTCACATTTAATAGGTATATTTGCTACTATTTCTATAGGATCACAATCAGCTGCCAAAATCACTAATTCACATATTCCTTTATCAAGACTAATTTATTTGTTAGATTATACTTTTTTAAGACTTCATTAGCTCCTTTTTTTAATTGCTTATAATTTAAAGCCTATCGAAGAAGATCTAATATTTTAGTCTATAATTTTGCATCTGCAATAGGAGAAGGCTTTATTCTTGGGGCTTCTACTTTCTACATATAAATAATTTAGTATTAAAATAATTCATAATTAAAATAATTCAAATTAGTGAATTTCAGAAAGTTTAGAATGTTCACTAAATTTAGAAGTAAACCTTAGTAAATATTCTAATGTCCATTAATCAAATCTTTATTTTAAATAGTTAATAGAGGATGGCATTAAAATTATCTAACATGTAGAAACACCTTAATCTATACTTTCCAAATCCTTAAAAAATAATGATTCTTATTATATGGAACTTTATTGGTCTGATATTATCTCACATTTTTAGAAATAATCTTAAACAATTTGAATAAGTATATCTTAAATTGAATAGTCTCTCATCTAATTGACTATATTAATCTAGAAATTTAGTTTAAGTAAAATTATCAAAATTTCTTCCTTTTTTGATAAATTATCATTTAATATATATTCACTTTTAATTGATAATAATTATATATATACTTGTAATAAGCTGTTGCCATCTATTTAATTTTTGAATTCCCTTTATGAGTTTCTTTTTCGATTACAAGACTATTTGATTCTATGAATAACTTAGGAGCATTCATTTCATTATTACAGTCATATCGACTCCAATTAACAGGTAATAAGCCTTTTGTTTCTTCATGCGAATCAATTGAACTATCTGAATATTCTATATGATCATTATCTCCTTCCTTCAATAAAGGAGCATCTTATATGTTAAAATAATTATTTGGTGATTTACTCATTGTAAAGTAATTAGGTTAATTAATTTTCATAAATGAAGCATTCAATTATTTTGTTAAATTGAAACAACATGTATATTAGTTTTTTGGTTGATATATTTATTTTCTATATTAATATAACTTATTTCTAGATTTCTAAAAATATTCAGAAAAAATGTCTTTATTATTTTTTCGAATAAGTTTCCATAGACAACCATAAGATTTAGGTTTGCAACTAATGTAAAATTAGCTATATTGCAATAACAAAAAACACATTTAGATTTGATTTTATTGCATGCAAATATCAAAAACACTTAAATTATCTATTCCTGTAACTTAAGTAATTTCAAAAGGATGTGAACATCTATCATAAATATCAAGTTATCCTTTATATTATAATGCAAATTAAACTGCTGAGATAAATCCACGTTTTACTCCAATATGTAATGGACTATAACCTTAAGCATTTAGCATTAGAGGACAAGCACTAATCATAATATTAAAAACTATACCCATAATAAAGAAGAAGAGCAGCATATTTCTCTGGGAATTAAAAACTTGGCCACTTGTTCATCAAATAATGTAAACCTGTATTTCCATCTTTATCCATTTCATTTGGATCAGTTCCATGTTATAAAAAGCCTTACATCAAGTTTATCTGTTATTTAATTAAAGATATTATAACTAGATTTTACTAGAATAAAAGTTATTTTTACTTAATTTAAATTAACATTTAAAGATAATAAACATTTAACACTTTAAAACTTATCAGATAACAATGCTGTTTAAATTGGAGTCTGTTTCTAATTATTTAATGAATTTTTATCAACAACATTGCTACAACCCAAAATAACTCCTAAATGTTATTTTAAAGCTGCTTAATGTATAATAGTATTTCCATTCTCATCAGTATTTTAATAATTAAAATATTCACCTAGAAAATGTTTTATCATATTCTAGAATGTTGCTTGATGTTCTTTTTATAACCAATTTTAAAATTATTCCAACTTATGACCATTAATCCTTTCATTCCAACCCAAATAAATAACCCAATCAATACTGAACTCTTTTAATTATGAAGAATATTTTAATTCATAAATTGGATTTCCTGTAAGTAATAAAATTTAGATTGAATTTTTTAGTAGCTATGGGAATAAATGTATTTGATTATATTCAATATTTAATTAAATTAGTTCATCTGGCATTTATGGCATAATAGTGAGATAATTATTTGAAATATCTAAATTCTATAATTGGGGATGAAATTTATTAAACTAAAAATCACATGAGAGACATTACATTAAAAGGTAAAATTTTAAGATAATTATTTGATATATCTAATATTCTTAAATTTTATAATATCTTAAATTCATCACCATATTATCGAATGCAATTATGAGACAAATCTAATTTAATAATCCATATATTATTTAACTTTTCTTTATTAATCTCACTTAAACCTTAGTTACTTAAATCAAGTTATTCAATTCGTTTACAAAATACAATATGTTTTTTATTTAATTAAGGAGAGCTTAATATAACCTCTAATTCTTTATGTTTTTAATACAAATGCTATTTTTTTAAAGGGTTTTCATTAAAAATTGCTAATTTAGTGCAATTCATTTCACTCATAAATATTATATTTTATATTATTAATTAAAATAACATCTTTCTATAATCTATAATCAGTTTACAATTTATTATAAGTAAAATACTTATGATTATTTAAAAATGAAAGACTCATTAAGAAAATAATAAAAATAATATTGACTAGATATATAATTTACTTAATTCGTTTAATTAATCATTATTGCAAAATTATATATTTAATTAACATTATTGAAATAATATGTATATTAATAGTAGAGATATAATTTAATTTTTTTAGCATTTTGTTATATAAATGAATAAAATATCTAATTAAAATTAGTTAACTAATTTATCACCTTATTCTTGATAATATCTATATATATATATAAAGGTAATTAAAGAAAAAGAATAAATTTAAAGATAATTAATTTAAAAGTATTGTATATTAATATAAAGAAAATTAGTTAATTAAAAATTTTGTTTAACTAGAAAATAATTCTATTTTATTGAGTTCAAATTTAAACAACTAAACAAAATTTAAATCCCTTTTATAAATAGAAGTTTTGATTAATAAATAAAACTAGCTCCATAAAAAGACAAATAATAATTATTATTAATTTTTTCTTATTTAATTCATGATGTCTTACAGAAATATTCTAAATATTGAGCTTATCTTAATTAGATCTATTATTTCTCCTAATGTTCTAATTTTGAAAACATTGGGTTAGCAGGAGCATCTGTCTCAGACCAATTTGGATTGTGAAAAATATGTACAATAGCTTACAATATTTCATACTCNAAATATTCAGAAAAAATGTCTTTATTATTTTTTCGAATAAGTTTCCATAAACAACCATAAGATTTAGGTTTGCAACTAATGTAAAATTAGCTAGAAATTAGTTCATCTGGCATTTATGGCATAATAGTGAGATAATTATTTGAAATATCTAAATTCTATAATTGGGGATGAAATTTATTAAACTAAAAATCACATGAAAGACATTACATTAAAAGGTAAAATTTTAAGATAATTATTTTATATATCTAATATTCTTAAATTTTATAATATCTTAAATTCATCACCATATAATCGAATGCAATTATGAGACAAATCTAATTTAATAATCCATATATTATTTAACTTTTCTTTATTAATCTCACTTAAACCTTAGTTACTTAAATCAAGTTATTCAATTCGTTTACAAAATACAATATGTTTTTTATTTAATTAAGGAGAGCTTAATATAACCTCTAATTCTTTATGTTTTTAATACAAATGCTATTTTTTTAAAGGGTTTTCATTAAAAATTGCTAATTTAGTGCAATTCATTTCACTCATAAATATTATATTTTATATTATTAATTAAAATAACATCTTTCTATAATCTATAATCAGTTTACAATTTATTATAAGTAAAATACTTATGATTATTTAAAAATGAAAGACTCATTAAGAAAATAATAAAAATAATATTGACTAGATATATAATTTACTTAATTCGTTTAATTAATCATTATTGCAAAATTATATATTTAATTAACATTATTGAAATAATATGTATATTAATAGTAGAGATATAATTTAATTTTTTTAGCATTTTGTTATATAAATGAATAAAATATCTAATTAAAATTAGTTAACTAATTTATCACCTTATTCTTGATAATATCTATATATATATATAAAGGTAATTAAAGGAAAAGAATAAATTTAAAGATAATTAATTTAAAAGTATTGTATATTAATATAAAGAAAATTAGTTAATTAAAAATTTTGTTTAACTAGAAAATAATTCTATTTTATTGAGTTCAAATTTAAACAACTAAACAAAATTTAAATCCCTTTTATAAATAGAAGTTTTGATTAATAAATAAAACTAGCTCCATAAAAAGACAAATAATAATTATTATTAATTTTTTCTTATTTAATTCATGATGTCTTACAGAAATATTCTAAATATTGAGCTTATCTTAATTAGATCTATTATTTCTCCTAATGTTCTAATTTTGAAAACATTGGGTTAGCAGGAGCATCTGTCTCAGACCAATTTGGATTGTGAAAAATATGTACAATAGCTTACAATATTTCATACTCAGTTGTTGTTTTTTTCCAATGTGAGAATAAGGGAATGCATAAAGTGTGATCTTAAAATGATTTTACACTATTTACCTCCATAAATATTTTCATGCTATAAGACTTCATCTCCTTGATCTGTTTTTACTGGATCAAAGTAAAAAATTGGAGCACTCATAGGATGATCTGATTAGAATTTTAAAACACCTATTATTATTAATAAATTTAAAGACCACTAATGGCTCTTCCTTAGAAATTTCCTTATCCACAAAACTCAAATCTCCAGAATTAGTAAATTACTGAATCGTCTTAAATATAAGGGGATAAATTGAATTGAGCCTCATTTGAGTCTATATCTGATTGAACTCTTGAAAAAAGGTTTTCAAATTCATTTGCTCTCTAAAATTTAATAATATATATATACACTATTATTGATTTTAGCTTCCTCTTTGAATTTGATATTTGAATTTGAGCCCTACTATTACTCTATATTATGTTAAGAAAATATTACATTAGCCTTAAGGTGCAGGTTGATTCCAATTTTATATTTATTACTGATTTTAAAAGTCTTAAGAATAATAATGAGTCAATAATACTTTATTATTATTGAATTGGTTGTTATTAGTTAGAATTTGACTACTGAANTTGACTAGATATATAATTTACTTAATTCGTTTAATTAATCATTATTGCAAAATTATATATTTAATTAACATTATTGAAATAATATGTATATTAATAGTAGAGATATAATTTAATTTTTTTAGCATTTTGTTATATAAATGAATAAAATATCTAATTAAAATTAGTTAACTAATTTATCACCTTATTCTTGATAATATCTATATATATATATAAAGGTAATTAAAGAAAAAGAATAAATTTAAAGATAATTAATTTAAAAGTATTGTATATTAATATAAAGAAAATTAGTTAATTAAAAATTTTGTTTAACTAGAAAATAATTCTATTTTATTGAGTTCAAATTTAAACAACTAAACAAAATTTAAATCCCTTTTATAAATAGAAGTTTTGATTAATAAATAAAACTAGCTCCATAAAAAGACAAATAATAATTATTATTAATTTTTTCTTATTTAATTCATGATGTCTTACAGAAATATTCTAAATATTGAGCTTATCTTAATTAGATCTATTATTTCTCCTAATGTTCTAATTTTGAAAACATTGGGTTAGCAGGAGCATCTGTCTCAGACCAATTTGGATTGTGAAAAATATGTACAATAGCTTACAATATTTCATACTCAGTTGTTGTTTTTTTCCAATGTGAGAATAAGGGAATGCATAAAGTGTGATCTTAAAATGATTTTACACTATTTACCTCCATAAATATTTTCATGCTATAAGACTTCATCTCCTTGATCTGTTTTTACTGGATCAAAGTAAAAAATTGGAGCACTCATAGGATGATCTGATTAGAATTTTAAAACACCTATTATTATTAATAAATTTAAAGACCACTAATGGCTCTTCCTTAGAAATTTCCTTATCCACAAAACTCAAATCTCCAGAATTAGTAAATTACTGAATCGTCTTAAATATAAGGGGATAAATTGAATTGAGCCTCATTTGAGTCTATATCTGATTGAACTCTTGAAAAAAGGTTTTCAAATTCATTTGCTCTCTAAAATTTAATAATATATATATACACTATTATTGATTTTAGCTTCCTCTTTGAATTTGATATTTGAATTTGAGCCCTACTATTACTCTATATTATGTTAAGAAAATATTACATTAGCCTTAAGGTGCAGGTTGATTCCAATTTTATATTTATTACTGATTTTAAAAGTCTTAAGAATAATAATGAGTCAATAATACTTTATTATTATTGAATTGGTTGTTATTAGTTAGAATTTGACTACTGAACAGATGATAGAATTTTAATTTTTGGATTTTATGTACCAATTCTCATTATTTTTTAATTAAATTATTTAGAACTAATATCTTCGATTCCCAATTAAAATAGGTATTTATAATTAATCAAAATAATTGCTATTAGAAATACAAATTAAAATATATAAAAAAACCCTAAAAGTTTTAATTTTTTGTAATAGATTAATATTTCTTATAGGTTTGTACTAATATTTAAAAATAAATATTATTATTTATTCTAATAATATTAACTTTATATTGAATATTTGTCATCTATAAAAATGAAATTTATAAACAAATAAAATGATTTCTTATATTCAAAACTTTTTTATTCTTTCTCTTGCTCCTTTTAAAATATCTGGAGTTTAACATCTTTGGTAATTGAAGACTTTAGGAAGTGAATTCCATTAAATTCTATCATTAACAGCATTTAAATATTCTTATAATTGATATGATTCACTTTTTTGATTCTTTTCTATAATTCTTACTTAATTCTATAATATGTATATTAATTACATGAATTCGTTAAATTTGAGATACTCTTGATGCAGAAGATTTGTTCATAATTCCTATCCAGTTCCTGAAAGGTGATTCTCTAGAAATATAGCCTTCAAATTTAAGTATTTAACAATTTTGCTTAGGTTGTGAATGGAAATGGTATGAATTACTTCTTTTTTGAGATTACTTTAGTTTCTTAACAGGAGTAGAAAAGCCTTTCTAAGTATATTTCGGCATAGGAACATCATAATAATCAACTGCACACTTAGCATACTATATAATTTACGTAGTTTAGTTATTGATTGAAGTATCCATATGATTAATCTCTACTAGATTATAAATCAAATGAATTATTATGAGAATTTCTTCTTTTTGTAATATACATTGTGTGCTTTTTTGAATCATATTTATGATCATTAAATTTAAAATGCCTTGTTAAAACAGAATCCAACATAAATTTATAATTATAATAATAGATTTATTTTTATATATTTTATATAAAATAGTCATTCCTAGTTTAAATCTTTATCTTTTTTTTTAAGGGATGAAGATTAACCATTTAATACATCTAATTGAAAATTAAATTATTCAATATTTTGATCTTGTTATTTAATTTATTTTTTTAAACAATGAAATTGAAATTATTCTTATTCACATTCTTGAACAGAGGCATCTAAAATGGGAGGTTTTAATTTTTGTAATAAAATTTACTCATTTTTTTTGATATTTATTTTTGGTTGAACTTATTAATTCTTTTTATTATTTTCATCATAAAATTTAAGAATAGAATCAAATATCTCAAAAAGATTTTACAATAAAAACTCTAAAGGAGAAAGAATTTATTCTAAGTACAACCGTTTTTAGAGTTTATCAATTTTTTTTATGTGTTTTGATAAAACCTTTAATGATTTTCTACCACATAATTCATCTTTTTTTTCTAAGATCTTGATTTATTTATAAATAACTAAAACAGGTTTAATTTTTGATTTTATTTCCAACCATTTAGATATATATTAATATTACTAAGCATTTTTTTCAATTTCATTTTGTAAATATTCTATAATTTTATTATTAGTATAATTTTTCTCTTTCAGATTAATGTAATGATCAACTATACCTTGAAAATCTTTAATGAAACAAGAATCCAAAATCCTCATAGTCAAATTTAGTACTTCTAATAAATAATGATATTTCTTTGATAAATTTTGATTTATTTCTAGTGTAGGAAAAGCTAAAAAGATAAAATGAATAAGTACATTATTTAAAATTTATGTGTCCATCTTAAAAATTTATTTCTACTGGGTTTATATTGATGAAAAAGATTTATTGTTAAAATGACTAATCCTATCTAGAATCTTATATATGTTTATCATATTTGATAATTTATTCTAATTGACTCTGATAATGGCCATTTACAAAATTTGAGATTTTACATAGTCCTGCATTAGTTAGTTCTTAGATTATTTAAATAGCATATAAATTATCAGCAATATATTTTGGATTTTTTTTGATTAAAGAGTTAGAGAACTCTTTGAGTCTCTTTTTTCTTTAAGAATTTTGATCAGGAGGTCCAATAACAATAGGATTTATATTAGGAACTGAAATAGTAATAAAAGGAAAGTTTGTATGTTAAAGTGATTAATTATTACCTGAAAATTCAGGCATATATTCATCATAGATATCTTCTTATACTAGTTCGTCTTAATAAAATTACATTTTATATTTTTATATATTTTTTGTTTGCAAATAAATATTTAATTTCTAGTGAGAAAAGCGAGACAACAGATCCAAAGTTAAGAAATGGACCAATTGTATATAGATAATGCACTGATATTTTTTGCTTATTACTTTTTGTTGTCTTCACTATAGGCTCTCTTTTCATATTTAGTTATGCAATAAAAAATGGTGATCCTTATAGAATTGCCTAACCATATGATCCTGATCTTAAAATATCTATAAATATTAAGATAAGGCTTGTGGAGTTGATGAGGATGTAGTTGATTATCCTTACATTTATTTTGCTAACCCAACTAATCCTAAATATCTTTATGTGACAACTTGTGTAGCTGAATGTCCAAGTATTTGTAATAATTTAGTGTGTAGAAGAAGAAGAGAGTGAAAGTGCTCCATCAGCAAGACATACTAAAATATCTCATTTGGAAGAAGCTAAAACAAATCCAAAATTACCAAGTGAATTGAAATGTTAACCTAATTCTATTGTTAAGAGCTGTAAATAAAATATGTTGAGTACTAATCCAGAAGAAGTAGTAGTTATTTACAATACAGAATTATGTACATAATTAAAATTTATTCAAGTTATGAAAACTGTGTGTTTACCAACAACTAAATAATATTATGAAACTGTAAAAGATAAAATTGATGTTGAAACTATGGAAAAAGTATCAAATGATATGATCACAACTAAATGGCTTATTTTTGGTTCTATAGGTATATCTTTAGTACTTGGATTCATATTTTTGTTCCTTATAGAAACATTGGCTGGATGTGTTATTGGACACTCATCCTATTGTTATTCAGTGTATTAATAGCAGGAGGAGTTTACACCACTGGATACTATTATGCTTTAACTGATCCATCAAAATTGCCAGCCTCAGCTTAAGCTGAAATTGATGCCCAAACTCTTTAAGAATAAGCTTAAGCAATAATGTTAATCCTAAGAACTATTTATATATTGGAATTACATTATTTTCTTTAGCAGGATTGATTTTATTAGCTGTTTGTTGTATGTATTCAAGGATTCGGCTTGCAAATGCCATACTTAAAGTATTATATTTTATCTAATAATTAATAGACAGCATGCGATTATGTTTAAGCTAATTTTACAGTTGTTATCCTTCCATTTGCAACCTTTTTCATCATGCTAATGTATTTCATCTATTGGTTCGTTGTTGCATTGTATTTATATAGTTCTGGAGAAATTACAAATAAACCTAAACAATTACCATTTGGATAATTTTCATTTACTTAAAATCAAAAAATATTTGCTAATATTCACTTATTTAGTTTACTTTGGAATTCTTCATTTATTATAGCATCAGTTGAATTTATAATTGCTGGTTCTTTCTGCATTTGGTATTTCTAACAAGGACCCAGAGCATAAGAAGGAGGTTCTAATCCTTTGTCAACTGCTATTGGAAGATTCTTTAGATATCATTTAGGAACAGTTGCTTTTGGATCATTAATTTTAGCTATAATTGAATTCATTAGAATTTGGTTGGCTTTCCTTTACAAATAATAGGAAGAATTAATAAAGAAAAATAAATTCTTTGAATATTTATTTAAATGTTTGATGTGTTGTATGTGGTGCTTTGAGAAATGTGTTTAATATATTAATAAAAATGCATATGTAGTTAGTAATATGACAGGCAAAGGTTTCTTTCATTCAGCCAAAGAAGCTGTATTTTTGATTGCAAGAAATCCACTGAGATTTGCAACAGTTGGAGGATTTGGAGAGATATTTATTACTTTAGGAAGAGGTTTTATTGCTTTGTTAACAGGTCTATTTTGTTATTTTATAATAACAAGAACTGAAAAGTTTAAATATAATGTAACTTATCCAGAAGGACCATCATTATTATATGGTGTAATTGGTTTAGTCGTTGGATCATTATTCATGTCAATCTATGGAGTTGCTTGTGATGCAATATTGATTGTTTTTGTAATGGATGAAGAAATGGAAAAATAAAACGGAAAAGGAGTTGCTTTGTGTTGTCCACCAAAATTGGAGAAATTTTTGGAAGATTAATGATTATTAAATATAATACAACAATTTCATAAAAATTATATTAGATAATTATCATTTAAAATATTGACTTATAATATATGGCAAAATCAATAAAATAATCATTAGAAATATATGATAATTATCTTTGTATTTTTCTATTGATGTAACTAGATATCAATTTTTTTCTATATAAATATCTAATAAAATAAATGTTATGATTAGAATTTGGAGATCACACTAAAAAATAATCAAATGAAATCGAATTGAATTAAAATTCCAACCAGATTTTATAATTAATATTGTTAATAATATAATAATTGAAATTTTTTAAATTCAAGTTATTTTATCAAAAAATTAAAATATAAATTTCTAAATATTATTGACTTGATAGATTTTTAAAAATAAAATCTGAATTTTACTTAATATCATGAAATTCTAACAACATAATGCTTGTAAGAATATAAAATTAATATAGGAAACTTATAAGTATGATAGTAAATCTATCCTAAAAATAGCTAGATTTTAATTTCTATAATTTAAATTAGACATTTTTGTGTTAAAAGATTGTATTAATCTAAAAATAAAAATAGTAATCTTTTGTAAACATTAGGTTAGAATTAAATAATTACCAAAAATTGTTGAAACAATAATTTTCACTATAATAAATTAATAACTATGAATCATAAAAATCTACAATCGGGACAATAATTAATATAGGTTATTTTATAAGTTTTAACTGGAGAGTTAGAACGTGATTTAATTTATTTTTGTTACTATTTATAAATCCAAAAAAATTAACAATCTTTATTTGCACACTATTTGATATTTTAGTAATGAGTTTTTAGATAATATAACTAATTTAACATTAACCTATTTATGTAGATATCTAATTCTAATATTTTTTATTTTGAGATTTATCCATTACTGATTTAACTCTTGCATAAGCATTAAAATTTAATACATTAATTAGCCAACTGCTATTTCATTATATTAGCTAAACAATTTGAATGGTAATTATGATTTAATTTATTTTGACAATGTAGAGTTACCTTCTTTTCAAAAATATATTTTTCACAACTTAAACAAATATTTTATTAATCAGCAATATTGAGATGATTCAATTAATTAGAGAAACTTCTTTCAGTTTATTAGTTTTTTGGAATATTTTGAGAAACAATAGAACTGTTGATTATTTAGTTCAATCTATTTTATTATTTTTATCGAATGTATTTTATTTGAAAATTGATATCAATTAGTTTCAATCTCTAAATTCTTTCTGGTAAGACATTACGAGTAGAATAGATTTCTTTAAGTTTTAACAATTATTGGAATTTTTGCTAAAACTAATTATCCATCAAATCCATTATTATATTATTAATTTATAATACGTTTTTATTTATGAGAACTGCATTACTTCTAATTGTTATTTTTTTAACAAGAGGATTCTTAGAAATAAATGAAAAGTAGTAGAAGAGTCTATAACATTTATTGATGTAAGAAATACATGATGGAGGTAATTTTTAAGCAGCAGATCCTAAGGCAATAGCTAATATTGATTTCATTTTTAGTGGATATAATTTATTTTTTGGAAATCCAATAACTTGGAGAGAAACATCAGATCCTGGTTTTACAGGAAGAAACATCTTTTTGACTTCATATAGCAAAAAATAAGTCACATCAGATGGAAGACATAAAATTCCAGACCATTTAAATGTTATTACAAAGAAAGGATGCAAATACAACTTTGAGTCATTTGTAATTAAGAATACAGAGTAAATTTAAAATTATATGAGTTCTTTTGTTGGGTATGTTATCTCTAATAATATAGAGTAAATTTAGTGTCTAATATTGATATTACTCCATGGGCATTTACATCATCATCTGAATTCAATCATATGTAATCAAAAATAGAGTAAACATCTTCTACTTTTGTGGTTTCTATAGCTTCATGTTAAATAGCATAAATTACACAAGTTCCTGAATTAGCAGAATTTCATCAAAGTTTTATTGATCAATTGTCAGCCTTACCAGTTGAATATTCAGCACCTTAATATTTGGAATTCTTAAATAATTTTGGAACACATTATGCAACTGATATAGTACTTGGATCTAAAGTAGGTTATGTATATACTTTACCACCTGGAATAGTTGATGATTTTGATTAAAAAAAGTTTAAAGAAATTGATTTAAAATAAGCAGCTACAATTACATCAGCCCTTCTTAAAGGAGTTATAGGATAATAAATATTACCAAAGGAACAAGAAGCTAAAGCCTATAGTGATGTATCTAAATTAAGTACTCAAAGTTTCACTATTGAAATTGGGCCATAAAGCACAGAAAATACTCCTAAAGATTGGTTAAGAGAAACTGAATTGGAACCAACTCCAATTAGATATACATTAAAAAGTTTAAGTGAATTAGTATTGGAAGGAAAAGGATAACTATCCTAAGTTAAGGAATATTAAAAAATTGGATAAAATTTAAAGTAATTATTTTATATAATTATTACAGAAAGGCTTTAACTGATTATTGCAATTTATTATAATTATAAGGATAAAGAAATGGAAAATGTGAAACAAATAAAAGGGAAATTGGTTAATGGGTTGAAACTAGAAAAGTGTGTTTGAATTTCTTAAAAGATTGTGATTGGAGTGGTGCAAGTACATAAATTTGTGGGAATAGAAATCCAATATAAAAAATTGGATTAGATTTACCTGAAATTTAAGCTAATTCAGTTAAATTTCATAGTGATAAAACAGTTATATTAGGAATTAGTAAATTCAAAAGAGATAAAAATTAAGACATAGTAATAGCTGCATTTCATAATGATTATTTATTCTTAGATAAACCAGAGATATGCTTAATAAATTAAGGAATGTCTGCATCTGCTGAATATCCTATTTATATAACTGATACATCTAAATGTGTTGTTTTATTATTATGGAATGCTTGTGAAGGAGAAGTATTTTATTTTACATCAGTTATATGCAATCAAATGGATTTTATGAATGCATAATTTGAGATGTTAGGATCTATGGGAAAATGTGAAGTAATTATTATAATATAATATTTTTATTAGATTGCTTTGTTGGATATACGTTATCCAAATTCTGCATAATTAAGAATTTGTTTATTTAAAGAACCAAAACTAGAAGGATAGAAGGCTTGTTTTACTAATGAAAATAAAGATGCTTACTTTGGATAAGAATTTAAGAGTATGATGATCGAAGAAAATGAAGTAATGATTCATAGATCTATGCCTGGTAGTATTGCAATTTAATTTGGTTGAATTTATTAATAATATCTATCTATATATATATCTAAAAGGATTCATTATTGTTCTATATTAAATATTGTTTACTTTTTTCAACTTAAATAGATAGGTTTTTTGGGTTAATTAATTCTTATTAGATTAAATTTTATGAAGATATCGATACTTATAAAGTAATAATAATAGTCAAGGTTTATATGATTTTTCATTTATAGTTTATTAAGACTTAAAATATTCACAAATCTATTTTAAAATTTAATTAAAATTATCAATGTCAAAGAGAGGAAGAGGAGGTCAAGTTGGTATCAAATTGAGAATTACACTTGCATGTAATGTAGGAGCTGTTTTAAATTGTGCTGATAACTCAGGAGCAAAAAATATCTATGTTATTTCAACCTTTGGAATTAAAGGACATTTAAGCAGATTACCTTCTGCCTCTATTGGTGATATGGTTTTATGTTCAGTCAAATAGGGTAAACCAGCACTTAGAAAGAAGGGTATTTAAACGAATAAATAATGTTAGTTATGTAAGCAGTGGTTGTTAGACAAAGAAAACCATATAGACGTAGAGAAGGATATTATATTTACTTTGAAGGTTTATATTTGCAAATTAATTATTAGATAATGCTGGAGTTATTATCAATCCAAAGGGTGAAATGAAAGGATCAGCTATTACAGGTCCAGTTGGAAAAGAAGCTGCTGATTTATGGCCAAAAATAGCATCAGCTGCTGGTTCAGTTCTTTGATTTAATTTTGCAGTATATAATATAAATTAATCTATACATCAATGTTATGAAGCATATACAATTGATGTTAAAATTAAATTAATATCAATTAGTATTTAAGATAAACTGGGCAATCCTCAAAATTATTGGAGAGACTCTGAGAAAAGATTACATAGAGAGAAAAGCAAAAAAGGTTTATTTATTATATAATGTATTTTCCCTTTAAGTAGAATATAAGCATGAATTATGTTCATATTACTTTATGTAAAATATTTGAAATTCTAAGAAATTCTTCAAACATCACTTTTTTACATAGAGTGGTTAAATATTTTATTTATAAATTAAATAAATTTTGCTTCAATATGTAAGAAAAACATAAAAATTTTTCACTTAGAATAAAGAATATTGAAAACAAAAATCAAGCAATAATCATTGATGATGATGATGAACCAAAAATGTAAGATTAAATTAGCAAATTAGTTAAAAATAAATAAAATAAAATGAGTACTAATTTGATAGTGAGATTACTCCATGGTTAAGTCAAAAAACAGCTTCTATAAAACATCCAACAATTCGATTTCATAATGAGATCATTGAATTTTATGATTACATATGTCCTACAATTGAAGAGCATAAAAAAAGAGAACAAGCATTTAAGAGAGTTGAAATATTTATAAAGGAATGTGTTTCAGAAGTAGATATCTAAGCATTTGGTAGTTTCAAAACGAAGCTTTATTTGCCTAATGCAGATATTGATGTTGTTATGATAGATAAAAGCATTTCGGCTAAAGAATTATATAAAAAAGTTGCATAAAGTTTAATGAAGAGTGATAAGTTTGAAAATGTGAATTTAATTGCCAATGCAAAAGTACCAATAATAAAATTCTTTGAAGTTGAATCTTAATATCAATTTGACATATCATTTAATTAAATGGATGGTCTAAGATAAATTGATGAAATTCAAAAAGCATTTTCAATTTATCCTGAATTTAAATATCTAATAATGATTTTAAAATGTATGTTGAAGTAGCGTGAATTAAATGAAACTTATAGTGGAGGAATAGGTTCTTTTTTACTATTTCAGATGATTTTAGCATTCTTGAGAGAAATAAGAAAAGAAGCATTTGCAAATAAAAAATAAGAACAATTAAAAAATATAACATTAGGAGAGTATATATTAAGATTCTTGGAATTTTATGGATAGAAATTTGATTATCAAAGAAAGCGTATTTTAATGGTTAATGGAGGAAGTATCATAAATAAGCATGCTCCTGATGATAAATTTTCTTTGATAAGTCCCTAAGATCCAGATCATGATATAGGAAGCAGCAGTTTTAGAATAAAGGAAATATTTAAAATCTTTGCAAATAGATACAATTACATGTCTAATTATAGTTTTAAGCCAGAGGAATCTGTTTTGAAGTACTTAATTAACCCTTCGGATTAAAAATTTACTTTTATTAAGCAAAATTGACATAATAATAAATATATTTATTTAAGTAAAATATTTTTAAAGTATTCCGATTGATTAATTAAGTATTTACAGAACGAGCAATTTATATTACTAAAGAGTTATTTTTTTATTAATATATATATA